CCTCACGGATGTAAGTACATGTATGCGAGTGGTGTATAAATTATAATTTTCATCCTAAATATAACGTCTGAACGTATTATAAATTAATAATTACATATTATCTACGAGAAACAGACAGATAAATCGATCCAACCCGCAACACAAGATCATCTTAGACGAGTCAATATTCAAAATATTGATGGTTCCGATCGATAAAAGTTAAATCCACAGTAAACAAAAAAAATATATACATTAGTTAGAGTAGTAGAGACCACAAACCTTATCTATATAAAAACATTAAAACGTTAATATAAAGTATGTTTTTAATCCGCCTTTGAGTTTTGACGTTAAAACTATAGTACGCAGACAGAATTATATGGATTACTTATTTAGGTGAAGCAAAAGCATATTTGTCTCAAGTAATTATAAGTTGGTCCTGTACATACTATTTATATGGATTGGAATTAACTTAATGCATTATGTTTTTTTTTATAAATTTTTTTTAGTATAAATTGAATGTAGTTACTCTTCTCTCTTTTTCTTTTCCTACGAGCCACAAATCCTATATGACAGCAACTACTCTTCTTAACTTTTTTTGTTTTTGGCCTACATACTTTTAATTTACTCTCTCTCTCTTCTCAAGAATATCTTTTGGTTCATACCAATTTATTTTTATGTTTCGAATAAATTGCATCCACAAGTACCAATAATATCTACTCATAGATACATATACATATATAATTAGTCGAATACACAAAATAGTTTTTTTTTTTTTTTCAAAACAGTTGAACTTGTTGAATGTTAATATGTACACGCAACAAACCAATTGGTTAGAGGACTATTTATTCTCAGTCACCCACATCTTGAGGATTATCATAGTCGATATATATAACCCGATAGGAAAAAAGGTCATTTGACTCAGTGAGAAGCACATCCAAACCATGAATGAAGGGACGAGGAGAAGAAAAAGCCAAAGAGGTTTGGATCTCAATTGGATGAGTACATTACAAAAAGAAGAATCTTTGTAATATTGTCCCTTTCCGTACGATTTAACTATATCTAGGAAAATTCTTGGAAGGTGCAGTTGTCATTTGTCAATTTCCACTCAATTGTTTCACCCTTTTTTTTATTAATAAGTATTTCCAATCTTTAATCCGTAATCTTTTGATACCTGCCGGAACTTGTGAGAGTAAATCATTTTCTTGTAAATATAATGCAAATTAGGATATGACAACGCTGTAAATATCGTCTTTAATTAACCAGTTTCAGCACTGTAATTTTACCTCATCAAATGGTATACATATACATACTTCAACTACATAGTCTAAGCAATTCCTCTGGATCCTTCTCTAAATAGTTTCTGAGGAAAGAGTTTGCTCCGAAAACCAAATATAAAACATAGAAGATGATTGATGAACATAATCAATCTAGATCATGAAAGCTTGTCAAGTAAACCAGCTGATAGAACTCAACTAAACTGAAGAACAAAAGACCTGTTCGAAGGGTGAATGGGATGACTTGAGGAGCAGGAAACTGACCTCATAGAAACATGAGATTCTCAACCTGAGTAGAGGAAACAGAGTCTGCATGACATCGTATATATTGCTCTGTGGTTCCTTCTTTTACAAAATTTCTCACTCTATTTTTCTTCAGATCACAATAGACAGCACTGGATAGTGACGAATGCACATAAGTTGGTGTAAAAATAATCTCACCCGTGTCAGCGTCAGTAGTGCGAAACTTCTGAAACCTAAGAATACGCGAGTTTGTTGCTGAGGCAGCTAGATTAGGCAAAACAAAGGTCTTCTTCGACCATTCCTCCTTAGATGCATCTTCTAGAACCCACAAACCAATAATACCACTGACTTTCTTTTCATAGAAGATGACAGCTAGCTTTCCCTCATAGTTTGTCAACTTTGAAAAACTACGAAAGTTGCAAGGTCCTTTGATAAGATCAAGTTTTTCAGACCTAACATCAAAACTCATGATTGCAGACTCGTTTAGTTCTGTGCCAATAAAAGCTTGATAATACAAAACACCATTGATGCAAAGTTCCTCACTTACAGGAGAGTGAGGAGGAATAATGTCTTGAATCATCCTCCACGAATCTGGAGTTCCCAATGTCAAAACCTGTATCTCCTCAGCTAAACCGCGTCTGTTTCTCAGCTTAGGCATGCCTCTCGTAATGCACAACACTTTATAATCACTGTCGATGGGATCATAGCCTAAGTACTGGTTTATGGCTCTCCTCCCTGATTTGATCTTGGGCAAGGTAATTGATCGTCTAGTGCAAGGGTTATATACGACAAGGCTAGAAGGTGGTCCATAGCATATCAAACCATGGACGGAAGGAGCAATGGTCGTGCGTTGTCTGGTGTGGAAAGTCACATGGTAAATGATTGGAGAAGCCGAAGATGATGATGCTTCATGTGTACTTTTGAGGTGAACGGATGAGATGGTTAAACCCAAAGAATTATCTCTGAATACGAATACAAGACTTTTGGGTCTTTTTAAGGACTCGTTGAGAAACAATTTCATGAAATATCGGCTACGGATTCTGGCAGCCCAGAGCTTAGATACGCACAAGAATCTGATTAGGGTTTTGAGAGGAAATCGTTTAAGTATCTCCATCATCAGATCAACCGGAAGCAACTCTGAGTTTACACTTACCTTGGTAAGCTTATTCCTCTGTGTTTCCATGGTGGAGAAACGTGAAAGGTGACAATCGATCTCCCTCGAGCAGCCACCTTTGCGTTTTACCTTCTTAGTACAAAACTTTTGTTTAGGTGAAAACCCTAAAGCCTTCATTCTTCAATTAGTAAACGATGTGCTGCCGTTTCATCAATTCCACATTAGTAAATAATTTTTATAGGTTTATTTAAGTTGACAAAAAGATATAAATAAATATTTATCCAAATTTAGCTTGATATTATCTTAATAGAAAATATCACGACCAAAAAAAATCTTAATAGAAAATAATGTTATATTATGTAATCAATTTTAGACTTTTAATTATTGTTATTATAAGATCCTTTATATAGTAAGTTTTTTAAATCTATCCAAACACTTATCAATTTTTATATATATAAATCTATGATGCGTGTTTATATATTTAAATGCGGAATAAATATTATGCAGATGACTAAATAATCACATAAATATTATGCAGATCACTTTCTCAACGTAATCGACAATATCAACAACTTTAGTCTTTATCTAATGTTTCCTTTATATTCACACTAAACCTGTCGACCTTAAACTAATTAAGCTATTCATGGCCTTCTCTGTAGAAATCTCGTCTATCTCTCCTTACACTTTATCCGCAAACCCTAGTAACGTATCTCGAAATACCATTTCCCCTTCCTTTTTCAAGCCCTCCCTTAAACCCTACGTTTCCAAAACCCTAAGTATCTCTGTTTCATGCAGACATCCACTTTCCCCTGTTTTCTCGGCGAGAACACATGTCACTGATGACGTAGCCGAAGATGACAAGCCTCACGAAGAATGCGGAATTGTCGGTATCCATGGAGACCCTGAAGCTTCCCGTCTCTCTTACTTGGCTCTTCACGCACTGCAACACCGTGGCCAAGAAGGAGCAGGAATTGTAACCGCTAATCAAAACGGCCTCGAATCAATCACAGGGGTCGGATTAGTCTCAGATGTGTTCAACGAGTCAAAACTAAACAATCTTCCCGGCGACATAGCGATAGGGCATGTCCGGTACTCAACTTCCGGAGCTTCAATGCTCAAGAATGTTCAGCCTTTCATCGCTAGCTGCAAGCTAGGATCACTCGCAGTAGCGCACAATGGTAATTTCGTGAATTACAAGCAACTGAAGACAAAGCTAGAAGAGAAGGGTTCAATCTTCATCACAAGTTCTGATACCGAGCTCGTTCTTCACCTGATCGCCAAATCTAAGGCTAAGACGTTTCTTTTGAGGGTCATTGATGCTTGTGAGAAGCTTAGAGGTGCTTACTCGATGGTTTTCGTCTTTGAAGACAAGCTTATTGCTGTTCGTGACCCGTTTGGGTTTAGACCACTTGTGATGGGCAGAAGAAGCAACGGAGCTGTTGTTTTTGCCTCCGAGACTTGCGCTCTGGACCTGATTGATGCTAGTTATGAACGTGAAGTGTGTCCCGGCGAGATTGTGGTGGTGGATAAAAATCATGGAAACAGTTCAATGTTCATGCTCTCACACCCTGAACCGAAACAGTGCGTTTTTGAGCATGGTTACTTCTCACAGCCCAACTCAATTGTCTTTGGCCGTTCTGTGTATGAAACCCGCCGCATGTACGGCGAGATCCTAGCCACCGTGGCACCTGTCGATTGTGATGTCGTCATTGCAGTGCCAGACTCGGGGACAGTTGCAGCTCTTGGATATGCAGCCAAAGCTGGAGTGCCGTTCCAGATTGGTCTTCTCAGGTCACACTATGCAAAACGCACGTTTATAGAGCCGACTCAGAAGATCCGTGATTTCGCGGTGAAGGTGAAGCTATCTCCTGTCCGAGCAGTCCTTGAAGGGAAGCGGGTGGTAGTAGTGGACGACTCTATTGTCCGCGGTACCACGAGTTTGAAGATAGTTCGGCTGCTTAGAGACGCCGGAGCAAAGGAGGTTCATATGAGAGTCGCATTGCCACCGATGATTGCATCTTGTTACTACGGAGTGGACACCCCGAGGAGCCAAGAGTTGATCTCTAGTAAGATGAGCGTTGAGGCAATCCAGAAGCATATCAATTGTGATTCTCTGGCGTTTCTACCATTAGATCGCTTGAAAGAAGTCTATGGACCAGTTGAGTCATGCAGGTATTGCTATGCCTGCTTTACTGGGAAGTACCCGGTGACCGCACCAGAGACTGAGGAGGCCGACGCTTTATGAATTTTTTCTATCAATACCCCTACTATCTGCCTTAGTTTTTAAGTTTTGAGAAGCATAGTTTATAATTAGGTGATATATTGCTTTCTGTTTTCAAAGAAATCATCGATTGTCTTTATTTAATAATCAGTCAAAACTCAAAAAATATTACAGAATGATGTTTCAGACATATTTTGAACGAGATTTGATATTACAGAAGATGTGGTTGAATCAGCCGTTTTCAGCTCGGTCATATGCGTTGGATTTGTGCTTGGGGGCAAACGTGAAGCCCTCCGGAACCTTTCCAAGCAACATTTCCGATATACGCACCTGCGTATAGTAACATTATATCAAACTTAAGTACATATAGTCCAAACTTCAAAGTAAGGTGGAATGAAGGAGAAGGATATAACAAACGCACCCAGTCACCCGCAGATTCAGACATCATGAGTGTCTCGAGATCATCACGACCAAAGTATGAAGGTGGACGCCAGTTGATTTGCTGCGGGATCACATCAAGCAAACCAACAGGTATGTACCTAAACGTGTAGCTTAGCCACTCCAGCAAGAAATGCCTAGTTGTCTCAACTCCTGTTGAAAAGGTTAAGAAACGGCAGAACTTTAGCCACAAGAGAAAGAGCAACCAACAAAACATAATCTCAATTCCATGCTGTGTTTTTTACCTTTCGTGTCGGATCCCCAATGTTGAAGACCAAAACGTACGAAGTCCTTCATGATGTTGAGTCTTTCTCCGGAGGTAATGTCCCAATGCCGTTGCTCTTTAATTTCAGTAAATATCCAAGGCTGCACAAGTCAAAAGTCCATGAGGCTATAGAATGAATTACCAGGAAGAAGCTGATATTATTTGGCATACACATACCTTGATCAGTGCTCCACGAGCAATCATGCAGCTAGACAACTCAGGACAGTCAGACTTATGTTTGTTCCAGTCTAAATAAGAGTAAACATCTCCATTTCCTATAACTTGTAGGTTAGTAGAAGCGTTTTTGGTACACTGGTATATATAGTCCCAATCCGCAGACTTGCTATAACGTTGCTGTCTTGATCTCCCATGAATAGTCACTGCAGTGGCTCCCCAATTTCCGATATCTGCAATTAATGAATCTATCCGGTTCTTACCCTCAAAGAATGCTGTTCGTACCTGGCACCAAAAAGGACCGGACAAGTAAAGAATGGTTATAATACCAACACATTTGCATCCAGTAATGTTGCAGTTTCATGTGGAAGGCGATTTAGTTACAGATTTGCTTAGGCAGTTACCTTGATAGTAATAGGTGTTTCAACAATGGAAGAAGAGACTTCCACGATGTTCTTCATTCGTAATGGTTTGTTGAGAAGAGCTGAACCAGCACTTTTGTTGACAACCATATCTATCGGGCAACCCATGTTGATGTCTATGAAATCAACGGTGCATTCTCGGTCTATAAGTTCAACTGTGCGCGACACAGTGTCAGGATAAGAACCGCAAATCTGAACACCAAACAGATCTTCCGAAGAATGCCGTCTAAGCAGAGCCCATTCGGAAGCTTGGCCCTACAACAAATCATTTTGCAGGTTTTCACATTATGACAAAAAAAAAAAGGTTTAATCATTCTTGCAGCATAGCTGAGAGTGTAATTAGTGGCCTAACCTGCAAAAGATTTGTGCACATAGCCATCTCACCACAAGTCACATCTGCTCCCAACACTTTACAAAGTCTTCGGAAGGGAAGATTGCCCACAGTTGTTAGGGGTGCAAGGTACAACTTATCCCTAAAATCAATTAGCTTTTTCTTTTCACGAGGGTGCAACTTTAGACTACTATCAGTTTCAACAATTTTGATGCTATCCTCATCTTCTACGTCAGCTTTTGAAGTAGAAAATCCGTTCTTTTTCGCTTCCTCTTCAACTTTCACGCCTGTATCAATACAATTAAATTGAATATTATGATATTTTCTTGCCCCACACCCTTCTTACATCAACTTTTTCTATTTAGATATAGCTATATGTAGTACTTATAAGCATTAAAACTATGCAACTATCTGAGATAATTTAGCAAAAAATAATTGGCATTTTGGAAATGTAGAGAAGTAAGGCTAACCATCATTAACTCCACCAACATCTCCAGGTTTAGAATTCTCTTCGTCCTCAGGTTTTGCCTTTTTCATGGGACGAACTTCCTCAATTTCTAATGGTCCAGGAATATCAACATCTTGTATCATTTCTGATGTAGGCTCAGAACTGACAGCTGAGTCAACCGTGACTTCAGTTGGTTGAGTGCCGTTCACACCATTTTGAGTTTTTTCTGTGCTATTTTCTTCGGCAGCATTGCTTTTTTTGGCATGCCCCTAGAAATTTTATGAATATAAAGAGAAAAACCACTCAGGCCTCATGGTAAGAGACTAAGAGATATGGGAGCGAAGCAGTATATGACATGCCATAGAAACTGGACAAACACAAAAATCATGAAATAAACAATATCCGTAAGACATACCAACAGACCGAGGGACTTGAGTTTTGCATCTGCGTTGATAAAAGTCATCTTATTTTTCCACAGAAGCCTCTGGGTCTCTTTGTTAAAATAGTTCATTTCTGATTTTCCCTTCTCATCAGAATTACCAGCAATATCTCTGTGAGTGCCTAAGAATCTACATGATAAACCATATGCACACTTCATTTCAGAGGCCACAAATGGGCATTGCCCCTCTATATCATCTGGTTTCTGCATTTACAACAAAAAATATGAACTAGTTACAATCAATAACACAAAATTATACAATATTCAATACACCCAATTCATGAACCAAATCAGCAACAGTAAACTGCAAAAGTGAGTGAGTACCTGAGCCTTGAAAGCCTCAATATCATGATTAAACCGGCACTTGTCTTTATACTGACATGAATTAACGTCTTCTGTTCTCGCAACCTGCGGACAGAGATTGATGGTAGATTGCTGCAAGAAAGAGCATGCCAGGTTCGGTTACTAAACTATCTCTTATCCAATGGTTACGGTTGCCAAAAACTAATTCTTAAACATAGTTAGATTCGCAGCTATACAAGCACCGATGTGAATGACTCTTATCATCTCTGGATTGGTAAAAATGGATGAATCAATACCTCGCGGCGTTCACGTTTGAGTTGTCGTTTAGATTTCTTCTCCTGAACCAAGCCCGATTGAGGCGCCCTAACATCGGCGGCGTCATTTTGCTTCACGGAACGGCTTGGAGGAGGAGGACATAGGAACTCCTTCTTAATAGGAGCCATTGATCGTTCTATAAGCTCTTGCGAAGTCGCTTCATACACAGAGAACTGTTTCGTCGATTGAACCGGTGAAGCAGGCTTTGCATCTCCTTCAACACTAGTATCTGCCGCGAGCTCCGCTATTACATCGGACATAGCGGACAAGCTCCGTCGTCGCGGGAAAGATACCAAAGGTACACGAAAGTGAAGTGACTGATAGTGTTGCTTAGGGTTTTAGATATTTTCACAGAGAGACGAAGAAGGAGAGGAATTGGAAAATAAACAAACATTCATGGGATGCTGTTTAATGGGCCAAAATTTTGTGGCCCATCACGTTAAAATAAACAAACAAACAAAGAGACAGAATCCAAAACTAAATAAAAACAAAACAAACAGAGAATCTCTTTGTCTGAAGCTCAATCCCATTACATATAACAAATTCATAGTTCATACCACCTATATCTACCATAAATTGAATTTTTTTCTTTCTAAGATAACAACATAGTGTAAAATTAAATTTCTTGGACTTACGCCTTATATGATATATGTAAATTCAACTGACTCTGCACATAAATGAAATATAATGTTTGATTCGATATGTAACTTGAAAAACTCCAACCCTCTTTGATCCAGCAACCAACTTCTCTGCTCTATTCGTTTGATTCAGATTTTGTTGCCATGGTTCCATTCTGGTGGTTCTGCTGATGAGACTGTTGCTGCATCTGTTGTGGCTGCTGTCTTGACTGGCTGATGTTTAGTTGCTGGAACATCTCAGCGTTGAGTGATTGCATCTTTGATCTCTCTGATTCGTTCTGGCTCGTCTCACCGATTGCCAGTTTCAGTCGCTGAACTTCCCCATTCAGTGCTTCGTTCAGAGCTGCAAAGCAGGAAAAAAACCCATTATTACACATTCGTTAAGGGCACAAACATGACATCTTTTGCCCCTGCTAATGGAGATTTTTTAAGCATATAGGATCTGGTTCCATTAGGCTTCGATTATAGAAAATATAGAGATTTCTTCAATTCTGTACGGATTCAGTGCTATCAGAGGCGAAATTCATGTTAATAATATTGTAAGTTTGATATAGTGTCAAGAGAAATGTTTACCATCGCGAAGACGCGCTTGTTGCTCCATTGCTTGAAGCCGAAACTTCAGCTCATTGTTCTGATTTGTGAACCCAATCATATCTCGCTGGATAATGCAGTAACTAAGATCGTTAAAAAAAAAAAAACACAGACCAATCTAGGCGCTGTTATAACATTGTAGACTACGCACCTGCAAAAGCGTGAGCTGAGCAGACAATGTGGTAGCCTCGGTCTGAAGAGTCTGCACTTTGTGTTCCAATTCTACTATGTACCGCATCTTCCTCTCCTTTGACCGTGCTGCGGATTGACGGTTCGCCAAGATTCTGAAAAGAAGATCATTCCATAAACATGAGAAAAACCGATTAAAAACAGGTAACGTTAGTAAAAATATCTAATATACCTTTTGACACGCTTAGGGTCAGACATGGCCATCTCTGCTAGTTTATCATTTGCCATGATCTTCTTCATTTCCGCTGCAGTAAACTCACCGTTCTTAAACTCGATGTTAAAAGCAGCACTGGAATTCCCATCAACCGAATTGGTAGGGGAAACTTTCCGTGACATAGTTCCAGGAGAAGGAGGCGGCTTTAGTGATTCATCACCAAAAGACAACTTCTCCATGAAACAACTGTCAACTGAAACACTCCTGTAATGTCTAGTCGTAGGAGCAATATCTCCTCCAGCCGCTCTTCTCTTCACACTCTCTCTCTTTTCGCCGGAAGAATTCAAATTATTGTTATTATTCGCACTCTCATTCACACTGCTGCTCTCTCCTTCGGTATCACTACCGTTAGTCTTCGTCCCGCTTGCTCTGCTGCTCTCCATATCATCCCTATTCTCATTACCATTCTTGCTATCATCAGCCTCAGAGGAGTTCAAAACATCAATGTTTTCAAGATTCATATATGCTGAGAAGAGATCATCCATGGATTCTCTCTCTCCGACACCTTCTCTTTCGCAGCTCGATTCCTTCTTCACGAAAGGAGTAGACTTTGACCAATCAGCACATTCCCCACCAGAAATAGACCTCTCCAATGGTCTTGGAGGGATCAAAGGCAACGAATTCTGAACAATCATGGAATTAAACCCACTGGGAATATCACTGTTGGAGCGTCTATGAGACTTTCTCGGAGGTAAACTCTCACCAACTCTCAAGGAGCTAGAAGAGGTCGAATTACACCTCGTGAACGGCGATGGAGGCAACGAATGGTTGCTGTTAAACCCGCCGGAATCTCTATCCTCCATGGAAACATCGTGATCTGGTTGTGCCGACAGAGAATCGCGAAACGGAGAAGGGCTTAACGGAGGTAACGAATCAAAGGAGAAGAAAGAGTTGGGCTGTGACATTGACCGCGAATGACTAGCTCCCGGGTTAAAGTTAACCGAACCGGGTTGTCGGGTGGTCGGGATCTGAGAAAACGGAGAAGTCGGTGGGATTAAGTTGGGGTGCGACGGAGGAACACCGATTCGTTTGGCACTGTCACTGAAAGGCTTGGAGAATTGAGGAGCTGATGAGCGGATGAAATTAGGGTTTAAATCGAGCTGAGAAATGGGATTTTTGGGAATGGAAGAAGATGAAGTGCCGAAAGATGAATGAAGTCTCTGGATCATATCACTGTTACTACACTTCTCTGTATCACCCATTTCTTCTTGCTATCCGGATTAGATCGAAATTCGATGGATAATGCAGTTTATATTCACCACTCTCTAATAACCAGAAGAAAACCCTAAAGGATCAAGCTTTGTGTAGAAGAACAACTTACCTATCATCAAAAAGAATCAATGATGAGAAGAAAAAGAGAGTTAATTGTGCATCAAAGTTTTCATAAGAGTTTTGCAGAAAAATCAGAGCTTTGGAGAAGCAAGAAATGCAAGTGGTGGTTACCTCTACTTCAACGCACTTGAATTAATCAATGGCGCAAATGGCGAGAACGTATTAAGAAGAAGAAATACAAATCTTTTTTTCTCTCTCTCTCTATCTCTCTCTTCCAACGTTGAAATAAGAGGAAACTTATCTAATCAATCTTCATCACTCTCTCTCTAGAAATTGGAGAATCACAGGGCCATTTTCTCTTTCTTTTTCTTTTTCCTCCGCGATTTTCTCTCTTCTTTGATATATTTTTTTCTCGATAAAATAGTAAAAACTCGAAAGAGACAACGACTTTTTTTTTCTTTTTGGGCACGAGCAAGAGAGTCTAAACCAAAGACACGGATTTCATGAGAAGGAAGATAGAAAAAGAAAATATAAACACCCAACAAGACGCGTGAATTTACCACAACCCACCCAAGATTTTCTATTTAATGCAATTCTATCCAAAACTTTGTATATATTGGATTTGTTATTTGTTAGCCGTTTGTTTCCATTGTTTTTAAGTATAAAATCTGTGCATAATCAGTATCAAATATGAACTTAACATATATACTAGATATGGATGATAAACATTGTTCAAGTAGTATTTGTAAATTCCTTATTCGTATGATTACATTGAATATATAAACGGCTATTTTTTGCATAAAGATCTAAAACCTAATATTACTGGTTTGACAAAGTGGATTTTAGGAATGATATTCTCTTGTCAACCGAAATGGAAGTTAAAATCATTTAGGAAAATTGGATTTTGGATGATTTGAATATGGATTGAGATTCAATTCTATTCCGACCACATTTGACATTCTTGGCTAGACGAAAGATTCTGTCCTCGTTATGTTGTCATGTGTCTACATGTACAATGTAAAAGCCATTCTTTGTTTTTTCTTTTCTGCCTCTTTACTTATAAATTTCTTAAAATATTATGTGATGGACCGCCATATTGAAAGATTTCTTCCGGATTTCTTTGTCTATTACTCAACAAATTCCATAAATTGCAGATTACTATAGTTTACGAATTTTAGCGATCGTCTCTGTTGATCTCGTGCTGCATCGTTTAGTTATATAAGGACGATGACAGATAGGTTCGTTTTTTGGTGCTTAACCACATTGTGTTATTTGTAATAACATGTGTATTAAATAAATTTATTCTCATTCTTGTTTTAGTAAAAAAAAAAAACATTTTCATCTGAACGATAAATTATCCGAATGGTTTAGATGTGTGGTTGTAAACTAAATGTTATGACGAAATTTTTCTAGTGCTAAAAATCTCGTACAGTAGCTATTAAACACGTTACTTATTTACTTTTTTTTTTTGTTGATAATACTTATTTACAATTTGATACCACATTATCTTTCATAAAACAAATGATCAACATACAAGTAGGATTCACCTACCGTTTTAAGGCTTGGTTAAAAAAAAACAAAAATTGGTGCAAAAATGTTCTAAACGGTGGTAGCCAGAGTTTACAATCTTTGTAAACAATTTCTAAGATCTAGATTTCACCTATCAATATAATTATATTCATTTGCCTTTAATTACATGAACCCCACCACACAACAAATATTGACTCTTATAACCACCTCCCTCCATGTTTCTCATAAATATCTACATATCATTATTTGATTCTAAGATTATAGTATTTTATTCAGCAATGTATAAATAATAGTTATAAAATAAAACATGAACTATCGTGGAAATAAACAACTCAATAGTCTTGCCATCAGATAAAATAATATTTCAAGTTTTTTTCTACAACCGATAAGTTTTTAAGTCGAAGTCTATGTATAATAATACCTAAAAATACATCAAAATAATCAAAGAGATAACCAATGATTTTCTTATTTAAATGAACTACTAATGTTTTATAAATATTCAATGTTCCTGAGGAAATTAATAGAAGACATAGATCCGCGTGTGAAATGGATAATTGAAAGTCGTAATTAAGGTGTAAATCACGTGGATTAAGTCGTACTCATATCATAAATGGTCGTGTTATAATTAATTAACAGAAACCGATCATCATCTCTATATATATATATATATATATATATATATATATATATATATATTAACCGAAACTAGGATGCACGTTTTAAAAATCAAAACACGGTGGTTTATGAAATAAAATTGTTTGATTGACTAATTATGTACAGTTTGTATGTGCAATGGAAATGATCCACGGATCTAAACGTGAGCCAAACATATTTATCAGAATAATATAAGTGGGGCATTGTTTTTCTTGATCGTGAAGAAATTAATTTCAGAAACAATCTTATGTCTGCAACCATAAATTAAGATTTTAGAGGACTTTTTTTTTTTGGTTTACGAGAAATTCGTGTATTTTATTTGGTATATGTTTCTTTATATTCTCGGCAAATGCAAATGTTACAACATGCATAACCATGGATATTACTTCTCTCTTTTAATAAGTTCAACATGCCTGACAAAAAAAAAGAAGTTAACGAATATCTTTATTTACATAAAGTTCGGAACTATAGAAATATTATACACAGTGAAATGTAACCAAAATCTCCTATGAATTAGTAGAAGACATTAACAATTAAAATTGTAGGCTAATTGTAAACACACTAAAAAAAAGATACAGTATTCGTCTTCCACATATGAATAAGACGAAGCGGACCCCACATATCTAGCTTATCTTCAATTTCAAAACCAAACTAAACTTGGCGACAATTCCGCCGATCGTACCACGTGGTTTTTCATACATCGTTAGATGACAAATTCACTTATTTATGGGACCCAATTATATTATTCTCATTAATAAGATCACCATGACACGTGGCAAATTCCAGGAATTAGAGAGAGAACTGAATTTTGACTATTTAAACATTTAGCTAAGGTTCGTGTAGAAAGGAAAATAAAATAAAATTATTTGTTATTATTAAAACGAAAAATGAAACATAACAAAAAAAAAAACCTTATTAACAAAAATTATAGATGCGGCGGATAAAATAATCAAATCTAACCAAAAAAAAAACATTTACTTGGAAGATGGATGATCCATGGTGATTGACTGAAACAGTCACCTAGTCCGACATGATCGCACTTGGCTATGCAATGGGAGTGAAACTGTGCGTTTTAGTTTTGCCGTTTTATTCTCAAATATCTTATCGGCGTACTTTTTTTTATCCGAATCAACCATAATCGCCAAACACTCACAATTGTTTTCTTTAGTTTCTTCATTCCCACTATTCTCGGCAAAACTGTTGACACACGGTTCTTCTTCCACCGCTACGCTAGCAACTTGCATTGACCCGTGGCTTGACGAAACAATCATGACAATACCGAAACCTAGCCATATGAGAATAGGAAGAATGATCAGGGACAAGGCGTAGTAGATGATCCATTGGAATCCGCTATGGTTCTTGCCGTGAAATGTCCATTCAAAAGCAAAAGCGATTCCAGAGCAAAATGTGGCAAAACTGCTTATAAAAAAGATTCGAACGATTCTCGGGTTAGGAACATTAAAAAATGTCTTCATGTTGGTAAGCCAACCCTTTGGTGGTTGCGGTTGTGGACTAATGGTGGTTGTCTTTAGCTTTTGGTCCATGTTTTTTTCTTATTTGAGTGGAACTTTGAGCAGAAAAGATGAAGAGACTAATATAAGTCGTTGAAACTTTGACTACTAATATAAGGAGATTAATTTTTTTTCCTTTTTCTCTGTTGAAGCTGTTCAGATTCTTACGATTTAGTGGGTGATATTTCGAATTTTGAAATTATAATACTACAAAACGGAAAATCTTAACTTTTTATTAATTAGTTACATAAAACAACAAAACCAAGTCAAAACAATACTACTAAATATTTGCATTAACGGAAGTACGGAACTATCGACAGTAAAAACAATAACGAGCCTAGCTTCATCTCTCATTCGACTTTTGATCCTATTTGTTAAAACTAAAACGATAAAAAGAAAAATGGATGAAGAGAGAGCAATACTTGATATATAGTGGCTACTGGGCCATAAATCTTGGTTACTTGATAGTGATGTAGCGGTTTGTGCCGTGCCTAGCCCAATAGTCCTTGAGATCAACAGGAGAGGAAAGCTCGTGCCCTTCGCCAGCTAAACGGCTAAGTAACCTGGAGAAGACACTTCCACTCATTTTCCTGCCTCCCACTCGAGAATGCCGCTTGTTTGGCATCTGCGGGAGCGGATACTGAGACAAAGTGGTTGTGCAGCAAGAAGATTGCCAACCGCCGTTTCCCCACTTGTAACACTGACGAACAGTCCCAGTGCAAGTGCACATGGGCACTGGCATTGTCGTCTCATCGAATGTGACTAGGTTTAAACCGACATCGTAACTGTCCCAATCTTTTCTGCTTTTCTTTCCCGGAGAAGCAACTTGATGGTTCAGATCCTCGTCCACTTTCTTTCCCTTTGATCGTGCTACCTGCTTGCTCTCTTTCTTCCTTTTGGTCAGTCTCGTGTTGGCTGCTTCAGGTGGAATAGTTGATATAGGTGAAGGGGCAGGTAAGTGGCTTTCTTCAGTTACACAACTGTGGGAACCACCACGCTTGGCACACGACAAAATGTAGTTAAGATTGTTTTCACGGTATCGAAGAGCATTTAACGCACTTTCTGTCTCCATAATAGCATTATCTCTTTCAGAGAGAGCTTTGTCCCGCTGCTCAAGTGCTTCATCACGAGCGGCTAATGCTTCATTTGTTGCTGCTACGGCTTCGTTTCTTTCCTTGACTGCTGCATCCCTCTCAGCAAGGATGGACATGATCTTCTTATTCATCACCAATGCATTATGTTGCTCCTTTATCTGATGCTGAGGCATCATATTCTACTGTACACACAGAGTTTGTACTTAGCTTTCATTCAAAGCAAATGTATGATCTGCTTCAAGTGTTTTTTCTTACCACAGATTGTGTCCCTTTGTTGTAATCGGGCTTGTAGCGCCCATTTTCATACTGCCCACCACTCTCCATCCGCTTACTTTCAACTGCAATGGTGAAAATGATATCAAACATTGTGAAACTAGGCTGAAGAGTAACTAAAACTATGAACCGAAATCATAACAGAAATACTCACAATTAGATGTCATCACAAAGAACAATCTATAACGATGTTCAGTTCTACTGCTTAGTTTATTTCTTTTAATCCTTTTTTTCTAAATGAGCTCACAATTGTTTACTAATTGGATAAAAAATCAAGTACGATGTGGGCTTGTATCTAAAGCTTTCACATTTGAACTCAAAGCTTAATTGATCATCTAATCCACCAAAATGACACAAAGATTAGAATCTTTATTAGTTAGCTTAAACAAAATTCTAAAATCCTGACTTGTAACGAATAAATTCATTGGTCTCAGCCACAAGTTGCAATCCCCACTAGACACACAATTTACCAAAATCAATCCAGAAATCGATCCAAAGTCAGCGAGCGTAAAACCATCCAATCAAAACAATGCAGCAAGTAAGATAAGCCGGAAGATATATAGAGTTCGAATTTCAAGTTGAAACTACGATAAGAACTCCCAGAAGAACCGATAATCAAAAAGATATAAATCAGGGGAAAATAAAAATCGAGAGAAACAATTGACATGTTCGAATTAACCGAGCAATCAAGAACAAAAGAAACGAAAGGATCGAAGAAGACTCACAGATTTCGTGGGAGAAACAAGCAACGGAGACGGAGAAAGATCTCAGGGTGGAGATGGTGTGTGTCTGTGAGAGCGAACAAGGTGGGAAGTGGAAGAAGTGCCAGATATACTCTCGTTTCAATTTCCTAATATACCCTTCTCTTAGATGCTAAACAATATCCAAAAAGAAGGTTATTCTTGTCTATCTATCTTACTCGTTCAAAGCAAATACGTTTCTGTTTGAACCTCTCCGCATACTGTATAAGCCCAACTTTACCAAAACTTTTATTGCAGAAAATTGGACTTTTGGATATTATTAGATTCATTCAAGTAAACATATGTTGACAAAAAAATATCATACTTTCCATTAATTGGTGTCATAAATTTAACATGTTTTATGTGATATATATTTAACATTTAGCTAAATTTTAAAGTTTTTATATGTTGAATTTATAAAATGTTTTTTTTTTTTTGACAAGAGTACAAAATGTTTTTGTTTAAGAATAAAAAAGGATATTAAATTTAAATACGGTGAAAACTTGGTCACAAAATAACGGGATCTATCTCACGTTAGTGTGGGCCGAATGATGGGCCAAAAGAATAAGAACTAATCCGGGTCGAATACGGGTAGACCCGTCTTAAGATCCCGACGTGTGCGCTTCGCTGTTGTAGTATATCTCATCAATCAGGCTTATTAGCCTCGAAAACTCAATCCTTGTAAATTCAACGGAGAGAGAGATCTGAGATCAGATTCCGGCGTCCCAAAGAAGCAGAAATCTTAAGATCCAGCATCGCCTGAGATGTCTACCTTCAGTGGCGATGAGACTGCTCCTTTCTTCGGCTTCCTTGGCGCTGCCGCAGCGCTCGTCTTCTCCTGTATATCCATCCACTCTCTCTTATAATCTCCATCTTTTTTTCTTTTTTTTTTGGTTCTGAATTGTTCACTGATCTTGTGTGTGTTTGTTGTTCTCATGATGTTTACTCAAAGTTGCTTTAGATCGGCCCTGAGAAGTTCACCGATCTGTGTGTTCCTCTTGATTTTTCTTATAAATTTGAGATACTATGACCTTAAGTTTCTCTCTAGATTTGTTTTGGATATCACTGAACTATATGTCTCCCCTTTTCCAAAATTCTAGTTTATCATCTTTAATCAGTGGATCAGATTCTTAAGGAACTGCTCTACACTGGTTTAGAGACGAGTCCTTTTTCGTTTCTCCGTTGGTTATGTAGTCCAGGATGATCTTTCTAGCAATTGAGCCTAGATCTGTATTGTTGAATTTGTTGGTGAATCTCTTCTTTGTCCAACATATCGAAATTAGCTAGGGAAATTTGCTGGATTTATCAGGCTTTGTGATTGCCGTGACTAATACTAATTGAACAAGTAATTATTTACCATCAAATTGCTGAGTTGCTTTCATCCTTGTCAATTATATTTTATCTTCAGATCCAAGGCATGTTGATTTACTTGTGTAAAGCACAGTTAGATTGTGACCTTAACAAGTGTGTTTTTAGCCTGACATGGACTTTACCCTTTAACAAGGTATGGGAGCTGCGTACGGGACAGCCAAGAGTGGTGTGGGAGTGGCATCCATGGGTGTGATGAGGCCGGAGTTGGTGATGAAGTCTATTGTCCCTGTTGTTATGGCTGGTGTTTTGGGTATCTATGGTTTGATTATTGCTGTTATCATCAGTACCGGGATTAACCCCAAGGCTAAATCTTACTACCTCTTCGATGGATATGCCCATCTCTCTTCTGGTCTTGCTTGTGGGCTTGCTGGTCTTTCAGCTGGAATGGCCATTGGTATAGTTGGTGATGCTGGTGTCAGGTATGATCCTCCATTTCTTTCTTTTGCAGATTCACATTTATGGCTTAATTTGCTAGAAAGACTCAATTTCATAGTAGAAGTAATGAACCATAATATCATGAGTTTAGTGTCACAATTCAATTTGATGCAAATTGGTAGGGAATATGTGCAATTCCCTGAATGTTGATCTATAATGAAAGAAATCTTAGTTCATTACATAGCGTATTTCTAGTGTCTTAAAGATGTGTGTGTGAGTATCTATTCCCTCTTATACCCATTTGATAAGCAACTTGGTGGTTTGATGACAGGGCCAATGCTCAACAGCCAAAACTTTTCGTTGGTATGATTCTTATCCTCATTTTCGCTGAAGCTCTGGCTCTATACGGTCTCATTGTTGGGATCATTTTGTCCTCCCGAGCTGGTCAGTCCAGAGCCGAATGAGAAAAGAATGCGGTTCTTGAAGTCCGCATGATTCTTTCTTCCCCTTTTCGCCGGTCTCTTCATCGAGCCGGGATCTTCTTATATTATTTGTCAGGTTAGTAGAGACACAGTGGTTTTGTTCATTGTAGCATGTTTTCCATGAACGTGTCTGCTCGAAACAAAAACCACACATCATCATCAAAAATGTTCAGTTTTCACCCTTGTGTGATGTTTGTAATGAGACGGTTACGGATTATTATGTTCCCAGTAAGATAACTGTGGGAGACACCCTATTTATATCGTTTATCATTTTCCTAATAAATCCCAGAAAACTCGATTTGATCTTGTTTATTTTGGTTCTTTTTCTTTTTTTTTGTTATTGGGTTTTATCTTCAATATAGTATTATGATCATGTGGATGTGTCTGTCAACTACAAATCCACAACGTTATTTTGAACATGCGTCTGTACCTCATTGCACATTTTGTCGTCTAATATAATTCAAAGCCCAAAGCCTTAGAACATAAGCCCAAGCCCATATTCTTTTTCAATTTACGACAAAGACCTGGACCGATATATAAAGAAGATAGACGTGAATAACGATAGACTTTTAATTGCGGAATCACGCGACCAATTGATTCTTCTCCCTCCACTCGATTACTCTCTCGATCTCTCCTTTCTCCGATTGTTTGTTCTCGCGAGAAGGAAGCTTCCAATTCTAGGTTTCCGTTTTAATCCGAGGTAGACAAACAATTATGGTTCACTTTGTAAGTTTTGGGCGATTCGATAGAAATTTGGAGTACTAGTTTTACGTTTTCAAGAGTTTAGGAATCGAAAGGTAGGATTTTGTGCGTTTCGACGCGAGAGTTGTTTTAAGTTGTAGATGATCTCTGCTTACATGTCTGCTTACTTGTGCTGAAATGACCCGAATTGGTCTTCCTTTTTTTGACAGTTGGCGTTAACTCTTATTTATCTACCAGTTGAAGTATGGTAAGTTTTCTCTTTAGGTCTTGTATCACATTAATCATCATTCTAACTCTAGTAATTGTTCTTCCATCTCATGTGTTGGTGTTCCTGTGATTGCAGTTTTACGATGGATACGCGTATCATAGAACTACCTTTGAGCAGACTTACCGGTGTTATCCCTCATCCTTTATTGATAAGGTTTGATTTCAAAGTTGCTTTCTTATAAGTAAAATTGGAGAACTTGTGCAATGTGAAAACCTCACTTTGTCTCAGTTTACAAACCCAATTCTAACTTCTCTTGCCTTGCCTTTTTCTCGTTTTCTATTCACAGCCTCAAATTGAAAGTGGTGACAAGAGTAAGTCTTTAATCTTACAAATAATGTGTCTTTCCAAGTCATTGTTACTCTTTATAATGCTCAAGTTTTGAAATTTGACTTCCTTTAATATCTGTTTTCAGTTATAATGCCACCATCAGCTCTTGATCGTCTAGGTATATCTTCTTCCTTAGCTTTTTCATTCTAGCTTCTTTTTGGATTTCATGTGATTATTCTGAGCCACTAACATCCATGACTGTTTACAGCCTCTTTGCATATCGATTATCCAATGCTCTTTGAGCTTCGTAATACTTCAACGGATAGTGTTTCTCACTGTGGAGTCCTTGAGTTCATCGCAGAAGAAGGCGTGATTTACATGCCCTACTGGGTAATAAACAGTTACTCGGTTTTATCACCAATACTAGATACTCGACATCCCGTGACATAAAATTGATTGTGTGTTTTTGCAGATGATGCAGAACTTGCTGTTGCAAGAAGGAGACATTGTGAGAGTTAGAAATGTCACTCTTCCTAAGGGAACCTATGTGAAACTACAACCCCATACAACAGACTTTCTCGATATAGCTAACCCGAAAGCCATGTAAGTCCGACTTACTCTTCCCCCTCTTGTATTTTTGTCTACACCTATACTTTGAATTCTTTGCGAATACCGTATTCTGTTTATATTGAAGCGGTTCCTGTGTTTCTGCTGCAGCTTAGAGACCGCCTTGAGGAACTATTCATGTCTAACTGTCGGAGATAGCATTATGGTCCCATACAACAATAAGAAATACTTCATAGATATACTGGAGGCAAAACCTTCTAATGGTATCAGCATCATAGAAACTGATTGTGAGGTTGATTTTGCTCCTCCCCTTGATTACAAGGAACCCGAACGACCTGTAGTACCTGCTTCAGCTAAAGGTCAAGCAAAAGGTTTGTATGAATTGGACATGAAATTAGCTCCAAGCTGTTAAATTCTCATGTGATCTTCTTTTTTTGATACAGCTAAGGAGGTTCCTGTGGCTGAAGCCGAACCAAAGTTTAACCCTTTCACGGGTTCGGGAAGACGTTTGGATGGACGACCTTTATCCTATGAACCGCAACCTATTGCTGCTAATAGTAACGGCCAATCACACTCTCTAGCAAGTAGTAGTGGGTCAGAGAAGGCTAAACAACAAACTCAAGGGAAACTTGTGTTTGGTTCAAATGTAGACCGGTCTACTAAAGAGACAACAAAGGTAAGTAACTTGTTTAAAGTATTATGTGCAAAATGGAATGAGATATAACAAATGGCGTAGAAATATAATGTGATCTATCTGTAACATAGGTTGGAGCTGGGAAAGAAAGAAAGCAAGAGGAAGAGGCTGAGAAGAAAGACAAGTTCAACGCTTTTAGTGGTAAAAAATATTCATTGAGGGGCTGAACCAATGTGTGGAACCAATCTCTTGTCTTGTTTATGATTTTATTCGTGTGGTTATGTATTATCATCGAATCAAACGTGTAAAGGAAAAAAAAACACATATGTGCTGCTGTTTGATTCATCGTCATTTACATTCTTAATTTCATACTATTTAAAACCAAGTTGATCCATAGTGTTTAATGTTTGGAGTGGGATTTAGCCATTCATGTGTAAGACTAAGAAGAATGCATGTTGTTTGTGCAAATTTTGAAAACGCTGCGCTGTTTACCTAATGAAGAGACGGCGAGACGCCAAATGTTTTATTTAGAGAAGAACCGAACCGAACCGAACCGTCTTTAATTGGTTTAAAAGAGACTCTTGAAAAGTTCCAACCGCCTCTCTTTTTCTGAAACAGAAGAAGGATCTCAGGAGTTTCTGATTTCTCTCATAAATCATAATAATAAATACAAATTAGTCAAAAAAATCCGATCTTCATTTCCTTCAAAACGGCTACAAAATTAGGGTTTTGTTTCTTCTCGCTCGCCGATTGTGTGGAAATGTCTTCCCAAATTATTAGGGCACAGAAGAAGCAACCGCCGGAGCCGCCGTGTCTGATTTCGTTACTCCCTGATGAAATCGTCGTCGATATCGTAGCCCGTGTCCCTAGATGCTATTACCCAACTCTCTCCCAAGTTTCAAGGCGTTTCCGATCACTCGTCGCGTCTCCGGAGCTTTACGCCAGACGATCCTTCTTCGGATGCACAGAGCAATGTCTCTATGTCGCAATCTCCAAAGATCAAACCTCTGATATCCATTGGTTTACTCTTTGCCGGAAACCTAACGGACAACAATTCTCCGGCACCGCCTCTGATCATCGCCTGGTCCATATCCCCTCTCTCCCTCCTATGCCTATACAAGGAAGCTATGTTGGCATTGGTTCGAACATCTTTGTGATGGGTGGATTTTGCAATTGGAAGATCACATCGAGTGTTTCGCTCATTGATTGTCGAACTCACACGGCTCAGACTCTCCCTGACATGCCTAAGGCCGTTGCTATTTCCGTCACAGAGCTCATTGATCGGAAGATTTATGTAATCGGAGGATCAGATACGCTCTCGCCGTTGAAATCGCCATCAAGAAGTATGATGGTGTATGATACTGATACCGAAATGTGGGAACTTCGGGCTAGGCCAGATTGGGAGGCAGGGAAAAGATGGTTTAGCAGTGTGGTAATAGGAGGTAAGATTTACATGAGGACTTATTACAATAGCTTTGTTTACGATCCGAATGAAGATAGTTGCGATAGAGACGAGGTTCTGCATTCTAAGGAGTGGTCGAGTTCGTGTGTGATAGATGATGTGTTGTATTACTATGATGTTCGTGGGAATTGTTTGAGAGCTTATGATCCAAAGCAGAGATCTTGGGGAGTGGTTAAAGGTTTTGAAGGATTGTTGCCTGAGGCTTGTAAGTGGTCGAAAACTGTGAGTTGCACCGGTGGAAATTTGGTTCTGTTCTTGCAGAAAACAGAGGAAACAGAGATTTGGTCTGCGGAAATCGCAGTGGAAAGACGTGAAGGTGGAGAGATTTGGGGTAAAGTGGAGTGGTGTAGTGTTGTGCTTGATGGGAATTTTCACATAATGGATTGTGTAGCTGTTGAGCTCTGATCTTGTGATGAACCTTTGTTGTCCCCTGTTCTTGTGTGTTTACTAGCTAGCTTATGAATGTGCTTTAAAACTTCCCTGTATTCTTCTGTTTATTAGCGTAAGTTTGTATGGGTGATGTTGTTTTTGGTGGGGGCAATTTTACTTACATTTGTTAATAAGAGTCCCCTGCTGCTTCTTCTGTTCTTTTGTAGTGATTCAAAACTTATTTGGGCTCTATTCGAAACTTACGGAGAGAGATAGATAGAGTCACAAATTGACTGAAGGTTGGAGTAAACAACTACACTTCATGTATAATAAGGACATATCTAGTAAGAATAATAGAATAACAAATGCAGATATTTTTGTATTGAAAGAAAGATTTTGGGGATTGCTCACAGATTTATAGTATTCTTTACTGTTTGACAAAAAATTGTTGTTTCTTCAATAAAAACTTCCAACATTTCCTACTGTCTTGTTAGTCTTGTCTGTGTGTGATTGTTTACATACATACACAAGTATACATAATAAATTTTCTTTATTATGTAATGAGTTTTCCTTTTTTTTTGTGTCAAGATATAATGAGTTTTAATAACATAAATTTGACTGAAAATTTAGTAAACTATATTTATTATGATTCCATTTAGAATGTGTTTACAAGTGAGGTTATTTTTATATTAAAAACATAAGAAATAAACAATTTTTACGGGTAAAAACTAAAAAGAAAAGAATTTGATGAAAAAGAAAATTTCAATTACAACATTCTGTTTCAAAACAAAAGACAGAAAACGGAAATGAAAAGACATAAAAGAAGATATACAAAACATGGCTTCTGCTACAAGAAACCCAAAAGGAAAATGTCATTGGACCAAACAGAAGTTAGAAAAGTGTAGGCATGCTTTTTCTCCAACTATGCGATCTCCGAGTTGTCAAGAACGAAGGAGGTGTGAAGGTCAGACCAAACATCTCCTTCATGGCTCTGCCTTGCTCAGCGAACCTCACAAGCTTCGCTACAACATCTGCGCTTTCCACAACCTGAGTCGTGTCCTTGGGATTGCTCCACAGCTCGTTCACAAGTTGTAATCGCCTGCGTTTGGAGTTAACCGCAATCCCAAACTTGTGATAGATTCTTTTCCTCTCTTCTTCTGAAAACCTTTTCCCCACAAGCTTGCTCAGCATCTTTCTCTCCCTGTGAAGCGCTTTCCGGCTTCACAAAAAATAGTATGCCTTAAACAAACTGCAACCACTAATGCCAAACGCTATATACAAACGCCAAAAATATCTAACCTTGAGGCCAATGTTAAGGTTTCTCCTCCTTCCAAAGCTTGGTTTCCCTGAGAGAAGCTATCTTTCATAAACAAAAGTCTTCTTAGCTCTACTCCGATGTAGATTGAATCCGCCTCATCTCCTTTGAAGAGCAAGTAGAAGTATGTTCTATGCACCAAAGAGATGTTACAAGTTTGCCATAGCTCCAGAATCTCTTGCCGCTGTCTCTCAAATTCTCCGTCCATGGATATTAGACCAATGTCCCTCCCCATTTTACCAGAATCCTCACCATTCGAGACCTGATCAAACAAAACTTGAAAATCAATTGTAAACTACAAAGAAGAATCGATTAGTATATATTTTCATGAACTTACCTCGCCTTGACGCTTGGCCATCTCTTTAAGCCCTTCAACGAAAGTCCGGATACTAGTAATACCTCCCTCTTCTCCTAACGGCGTTCTGATGCTCTGAGCCCCTGTAGAATCACTCCCGCAAGAAGACATAGAATCATTCCTCGATATAGTAGAACCGAACTCTAAATCAGGAAACGCAATCTTATGACTCTCTGGTCTTCCGAGGAAGCCTGTCCCTAGGTTTTCAGGCGGAGTGCTCGTGCCTGACACAGTCTCTCTGCGGTTCCAGCTTCCCACCCTGACGTTCTGGCCTACACTCGTTTCACCATTAGCATCCTCACCACGGCCTAAAACGTTTTCAGGTTCTGCTCTCTTATCTTTCTTGTTATTATAGACTGTGACTGATTCCTCAGTCTCAATGCATTGAACTTCTCTGCAATATTCTTCTGATAGATCTTCTGAACGCCTAGGCAAGTCTTCATCCAGATCATCATCATCAGAGTGAGAATGAACATAAGCTCTTGATATTGACAGCGGTGTAGACATTCCATCTGATATGTAACTCCTTCTGTCTGAATCGACCACGCCTGATGTCTCTGATACTGAACCATCCTCCCACTTGTCTGTGTGGTTGCCGAAATGCGGAGTTCCAGGCTTCAACAGAAGAAAAACAGAAGTAAGCCGTTTAGCAGAAGAAATCTAAGGCAGAACCGCGATAATTGGGAAAACGTGATGAACAATTTAATTATCTGTTGCATAAAGTGAGATTGTGGGAACAACCAGTAATACCTTTGACGCCACATTGTGTTCAATCATTCTCATGAAATCTTCAAGCCGGGATTGAGCAAGATCCCTCTGTTTTCTCAACTCTGCGATCTCCTTTTCCATCTGTATAACATTAACTCTTTATCAGCATTCACCCGCCCCACAGTTACAAAACCAGCCAATGTCATATCAAACCTGAAAAGGAAACTTATGAAAGCAATCTGTGCGTGTTCACAAAAGCACAAACCTTTTGTATCTGAAGATCTTTCTTCCTCACCGTCATTGCACAATCACAGTTTGAGGCAGGTGAGGAGGCAGGGTTTCTCAGCTCGGTCTCAAGCCTCGCAAGCTCACGCTGTAGTTGCTTCAGCAGAGCCTTGTCTGACATAACAACATTGATCCGCGCCTTTGTGGTAACTTCCTTTGCACAGCACGCAAACAAGAGAGTGTTCTTCGTTAGCTCTACATGACTCCTTGCTGGGCTCAGAGTGCAGATGATAGCTGTTCTTGCATTACCCCCCAAGCATGGCTGTAGAATTCGTGTGAGCTTGGAGTCTCTAAAGTTGATGTGCCCTTGTCTTCCCTTACTAGATCAAGAGTAGAAACGAGTGGCTCCATTATTAAAGTTTAACTACTAAGCATGCGAAAGACAGACAGCAATGTTTAAAGGATGTATTGTCTACACACCTAAGTTTACGGATCACTGTTCCAAGAGTCAGCAAACTTCTATTGATATGGCAGCCTTCCTTGAGTCTTGTACCAGCTGACATCGCCTGTGATGCACGCTCACTTCCCGCTAGATCGATGAAATTCTGCACATAAAGGGTGATCAACATGAAGACGGTTCTTAGAAAAAACAACCCTCAAGATGCAACATAAAGAAGGGTTATTTAGCATTTCAGATGAGAGCATACCACACTCGCCATGAGGGTGGTGGAGTTTTCTTTGCCTAGGAACTCACGAGCAGAGCTTTCAACTGTCTAAAAATTAACGAGACAATCAAGGGCCAAGCTAAGTGAGAGAGACTTTGTATCATAAATAAAGTGATAGATAAGAATTTAACCAGTCTGATCATTTGATGAGATCTGGAACTTCTCTCATTCAATGAGGTTTCACCAATCTTGCGCTGTGCTGCAAAAATGAAGAAGCATGTAAGTTTACTTTTAAATCAGAGTTTCAGATCATGTACAAAACAACACTACTATCATTGGGTTACTTCATAGTAATGGAAAGTGATTTTGACTTTTACCTTCACAAATAGATAGAAGCTCCTTCAGGTGGTTCCAGTCTCGCAGAGTTTCCTCTGTGGCTTTTTCAACAACTGTCCCTTTCTAATAAGAAAGGATAGAACTAAAACGAGTGAGACAATTTTACAAACTAAAATTGCTCAGTAAAGAAAATGACATTCATTTACCTCAGGATCGTCTCGTAGCCTCAGCGATGTACCATCCGAGCTAAGCAGATCTCGTATGGCCTCATTGTAGATCTCTATAGCTGAAAATTTCACGGAAAACGCCCTTTCTTCATGCTGCAGCATCCAGATCCAATTAGTAGTGCATAAGAAGAATAAATACCAGCAATTATTTTGGAAAAATAATCAGATGCAATGAGGCTTGTACCTGAAATATATAGTCAAATATGTCAGCCACAGCGAACTCAGTAATACCAGTCATGGTGTATGTCTTACCGCTACTGGTCTGGCCATATGCGAAAATACTACCTGTCGATCGTTACAGTCATTAAAGAACTTAGCATATAGTTTCATCAATGTGTGCATCAGCAAAACAACGGAAAATCAAGCTTACAATTGATTCCTTTGACAACCGACAGAGCGATTTCCTTGGTTCCATCCTCGTAAACTTGTCTGGTGGGGCATTCACCTCGGTAGACTTTATCTGTCACCAAAAAAAAAACAAACAGGGAATGGGAATCTGAGTCAACAACATACGGATGAAAGGTTAGATCGTTTCAAAAAGAAAGTAGAAGTTTAGAATATCAAAGGTCAAAGCCAGGTAAAATTAAGTTCATATAAGAGGTTAACTATTAGTTTGAAGTTCAAGTAAGAGAGTGTGGATCTAATGTATAGAAGAGGTTAAACCGTTAGAGCACTATTGCTCCTTAGTCCTTACCAAATGAATATGCAGAAGGAAAGTTTGAGCCTTCGCGCAATGTGTTTCTGTACAATATGGTGGTATCATTGATACATTCCCAATCCGCAGCTTCGTTAGCCGCAATCTCTTTCTCATTTAGAGGCCTCAATCTCACCAGAACCAGTATCTTCTCTTCTCGGGCTACAGGCATATGTGTCTTTTCCATCTTCTTTAGCAAGTGCTACCAATTGCTCACCATTGGTTTGAATATTTCAGAGTAACCAGAGGAACCTTTGTTTTCCTGAAACAGTTCAAACTTAAGACCTCTAAGATTGGAGTCTTAGCATATTTATTGCAGAAAATAATTTCAGGAATGCTGAAAGAACTTCAAAAGCAGAAATGACCCTTATTTTCCAACTAATCACAACCATAAACAAATGGTAAAACTCAGAAATCTGATCTCACCAAACCAAAACTAAGAGATTAAAACATGAAACATGCCTAGAAAGAGAAAAGCTTCTCGGTTGTGCTGAAAGAGAACACTCGAACATTATATATGAACCAAAGACACAAAATAAGAGAAGACTTGTTGCCATTATAATATTGAGGTTAATAGAAGACAGTTTACTTAGAAGGTGATCAACCACAACTGAAGAAGAAGAAACAAAACAAAGATTACCGACTTTATCTGTAATCTGTAATGGTCACCCACTATGCTTGAAGACTAAGTCACGTTTTTACCAAATCTAAACATTGTTTAATCGAATAAGAGAGGTAATACATGGTCCCACAGACCATGCTTCTCTCCCTATAAAAATAAATTATCATACTCTAAACTTTGAAAACTGACTAGGATTATAATATATATAGTACACGCAAAATCAAACATAAAATTAATAGTAGCTTTTTAGTTTTGAATTCATTCAATGGAGAGGGAGACAAGGTCAGTCACAAATGCGTGTTCTATAAGGTAAAAGAAAAAGAAGCTTGGATTTTACTAGTCAAAAAAAAATCATAGAAACTTTTCAATTGCACCAGCAGGACATTTAAACATCATCATTAATAAATGCATCTGAATCTTGAATCAGAATCCTAAGATTTGTCAATCAAGATAAAAGAAACATGCAAAGAGCTCTTTTACCTTGCCTTGAGATTTAGTTGTCTTTCTTCCTTTCAAAGCAATGTGGTTCCAGTAAGAAGCCTGGTCTCACTCTTCCCACTCCGTAGCTCTAAACTGCAAACATCCACTACAGAATTCAGCACTGACACCACGGATTCGAAATTTTGCAATTGTTTTCTACTTCTCTCTATTAGACAGTTTAATAATGAAAAAAAAAAAGATTTTGAAAAAGGAAATATGTTTTTTTTGGGCACATGAAAAAAAAAGAAAGTAGTAAGTAGTAACCCAAGAAATAGAAAGAAAGAAGATGGAAATTATGATGTCACGGTTGAGAGAAACAACAACGTGAATGAAATTCTGAAAGAGAACCCTAAAAAGTGTCGGAATTGATCGCACAACGAAAATTGGAAACACAGTGGTCACCGGAAAACCAAAAAAAAAAAAAAAACCGGAAAGATATGTAAAAGAGAGAGAGAGAAATTACAAAAGTTATTACACCCACTGCTACTGCCTACAAGTTTGGTATTCTTCGTCGTCTTCTTCTTCTTATTTTTGTCTGAAGGGACCACTCATTGATTTGGTCCCAAAGATTCTCTCTTTTCTATTCGCCGGTTTCTCTCTCTCTCGGCTTGGGTTCTTAATGACCGTTTTGCCCCTTAAACACCTTTATCGACCACGTGGACCTCACACTCCATTCCATCATAGCCCATTAGTGAGAGCCCTTCTCTTCAGGCCCAGGGTCTTTACGAATTTGTCATCACTTCGTAATGGATAAGAGATATTGTGACTTGGATAGTAGTTATCATGGTATTAAAGAAATGATAGCCCAACATTACAAGTAAAGCCCAACAGTTAGCATTGATGCACAAGCTAATATAACTTTCTTCTTTGGATTGAAGGAAAAAAAAATGTTAGTTAAATGAAAATGTGAACATGGGCAAGGAAATTAAAACAACTTTAAACGAAGGCCACTAGTAGAGTTCTTGAGAGTTGCTTTCAACTACTTCTCGACCACCAATTTTTTAAATGGCTGGTGACATTTGGCCCACCCACCTCTTTGTCCTTTTTTTTTTAATTTCCTTTTGTGGCTCTTGTTTTTTCCCCATTTTTTTATTTTAGTTTATATTATACTTTTTAAAATAGTCACACGTCCTAAATCTATAGCACCATACATAAAACTATTTCAGCTGCCGTAAAAAAAAAGAAAAACAAAATCAGATAAATGATCCAAGAAATCATAAGGTTGTGACAATAAAACTTATCACAGAGTGATTCACCAAAACGAAGGAAACAAGACAACGACTGTGTTTCGGGGAGACACATCAATGACCTTCCAGATGGCATAGAGTCTTTCGTCTTCACGATTAGGGTCCCATTTTTAGTCGAGATAATTTTATTTTTTCTGTCTTATAATGGACTTTTAAACAATCTTATTATAACTTGTTAAAAAGAAAAAATAATCTTATTATAATTCAAAACCATATCCACTAAAAAGATATGGTCTCCCCAATATTTTCTCCTAATCATACATTCATACTACACATTTCTTGTTAGGCGCTTACTACTTTAATCATAATTTTCGTTAGCCAATAACAATTAAAGAAAAAAACTATTGAAATTAAAGAAATTTACTCAAAGTAGTAATTAACAGTTTTTGCCTTGTCACAGCCAAGTAGGCTTGTTTTGATACTCTCGGCGCGTGGATTTGGTCGTCGTCGCTTCTGGTCTCTCAAGCTTCTCTTCCATCGTAGAAAAAGATTTAAAAGGAGAGATTTTATAATCTTAAAAAATTTTCTTTCTTTCTTTCTTCTTCATCTTCTTCTTCCTTGATACCAACGCGTAATCCTAACCCTTAATCTACTTCCTCCTTAATTAATCAGAGTTTTCTACTTATTTCCACTTCCTCTCTTTCAATCGCAATCTGAGTTCTGGCTAAAGATTTTGTCTTGAACGTGAGATTCATTGCTCCGAATAGAGTGAGAAAAAGACTTTTAAGATTGAAGAAGAAAGATGCGGATTTTGTGCGATGCTTGCGAGAACGCAGCCGCAATCGTCTTTTGCGCCGCCGATGAAGCTGCCCTTTGTCGCTCCTGCGATGAAAAAGTAATTTCTCTCGGAAAAATGCTTCCTTTTTTTTTTTGCTCTCCTCCTCTGTATTCATTGAGATGGGTTCATGAAAGATCAAGTCTTTGTTATCTGTGTCTGGTATTGTCCTTAATTCTCAGTTGATTTGGGCCTGAGTTGATTGAAAGTGGACAACTTTGAGCTAAAGAAATAAGATTTTGAGATTTGGTTTCTAGATTCTTAGCTCTTGACATGAGATTATCTTTTGAAGTGGAATGAATCTGTCAAAAGAATTCAAATAGCTAAAACCTCTTCTCTCATTTGGTGGATTAAGATGTTCAATTGATGAATATTCATGTTTGATTATATGAGTGGTTTCAATGATTTATACTCTGTCATGTACATTGCAGGGAACGTTTTGTCTCCAGAGTTTGCATTTAGTATAACTTCTCTGGAGAAGAAAATAATCGATTTTCTGCTCTTTGCGCTTAATCCTTACTTCAGTTAGATGACTCTTAAGGGTAACACTTTGTAGTCCTTCTCGAGTCATTGGTTTATCCTTCTCTATCGCAATAGCTTTTAGTAGTTTTCGGATTTTGATCGAAAATGGGTTACTTCAAAACTTTGTATTGTTTTTTCTTTCAGGTTCATATGTGCAACAAGCTAGCTAGTCGGCATGTACGTGTTGGTTTAGCCGAACCAAGCAATGCCCCGTGCTGTGATATATGCGAAAATGCACCTGGTATGATCTGTTTACAACGAATTTTCCACACTCATGTTTCAATGTTTTCGCATATTGTGCATATATAGAAATATGAAGAGAAATCTTTGTCTGCAATGTTTTCGTTGTGAGAACAGCCTTCTTTTACTGTGAGATAGACGGTAGCTCTCTGTGTCTGCAATGTGACATGGTAGTACATGTTGGTGGCAAGAGAACACATGGTCGGTTTCTTTTGCTGAGACAGAGAATCGAGGTTTGAATTAACTAAATGTTTCTTTCTCACGCAGACACAATCATTTCGAGTCGATTTCTTGATTTAATCTTCACCTTGTGTGTACCGTTTCTTGTAGTTTCCAGGTGACAAGTCTAAAGCAAACAATATGAGGGACAATTTGCAGAACCAAAGAGTGTCTACAAATGGAAATGGTGAAGCTAATGGCAAGATTGATGATGAAATGATTGATCTAAATGCTAATCCACAAAGAGTACATGAGCCAGCATCAAATAACAACGTATTTGAATCCCTTCCATCCAATATATATCTACAAATTCTCAATCTTTGCTTGTGTATTCACAATTATTATGTTTCTCAATGAGCAGGGGATTGATGTAAATAACGAGAACAATCACGAGCCTGCAGGCATTGTACCAGTTGGACCCTTTAAACGAGAGTCTGAGAAGTGATAAGGTGAGAGAGAGAGACTTTACTCTGATTCAAAAAATCAGTTTAAGAAGAAGATTGTAAAAAGTTTCAAGAACTGGAGATTTCATGTCTTTTTTTCCTTCCTTTTGATTCTAAGATCGTTGCAGGGTTTGGTGTACGCAACCTTTCTTGTGGAAGAGGGAAGGTTTATGTTTGTTTGTGCATTATCTTAGTTTTAAGGAATTAGCTTAAGTGCTCACAGGAATGTAAGCCAATCTCTGAAATTCTGAATAATTTTTTCCTGGTTTCCTTTCCTTTTTCTTAAATAAACTCCTCTGGAAAATGGACGAAAGAGAAAGAGGACGAGAAATTGGGCCAATTAAAAGATTAAGCCCACTTTATATGCAAATGTCCTTTGAGAAATGTAAGAGCAGGATTATCGCAAGTCTCTTAGTGAGTTCTTAGCTTTAATGGTTAATTAAAATAAATACAAAGTCACCTTTGCAACTAAAAAACGTCTCTTAGTTAAGAGACAAAAACAGAACTAAGAGGCGTCCACGTGGCAAGGTGGGTGTTTTTTTTTTCTCTCTCATTTCGCGATTTCACCAAGAAACAGAGAGAAACCGGAGGGGGCGATCGTTTGATTCCATCATTCCATGGCCGGAAAAGTGCTATCTTCGGCGCCTTTCAACGCGCCGCCGATGATTGTCCAAGATGCTGACCCGTTACGTTTCCGGGTCGGTGAAAAAGACCCTTAAACCCGTGTCGCTGCTTTTATCGGCGACCACCACCGGTATTTCGCGGCAGCAGCAGCAGCCGCCGCAGCTAATCCACACCTCACCTAGAGTTCCGTCAGAATTTCTATTCGGAGGAACCCATTATCGGAAACCCTAACGACAGTGGTGGATCCGACGGCGAAGATAACGTTCACGTGGAAGAAGAAGACGAGGATGATGACATAGACGGAAATGAAGGTGACATCGGCATGAACAAAGAAGCTGGGGAAATTTTGTATCATCAGATTGATACTTTTTAAGTTGGAAACCATTGGATTGGTATTGATCATGCTTGCGTTTAATCTATAGCCTATTTTGTTGTTAAATTTGATTTTCTTTGCACAATTTTAGAGGGTCTTTGATGGCTGATGCTATGATTTTACCTTGAGGACACACTTTTGGAGCTGGAGGAATTGAACAAGTGAAACAGATGGTACAGAGTTTTGTTTCTGCTATTTGCATTTGTCTCTTTTATTTTGCTTGGAAACGAATCTCAGAGATATGATGCAATACACAACTAACATTTGCTAATTGGATTTGGTTTGATCTGAACATGATAGGGAGTGTTCATGGAGTATGAGAGGAAATTTGTTTGGTGTGTGTAATGGGATTCTCTGTTTGGAAAAGATGCAAGGAAATTTCTGAATCTAAGTGTTATTCTATTCCTTTTTTGTGTTAAAAGATTAGCTGGTTTCATCGACTTTTGTATCCCGCACTGCAGCTCCAAATCAATGATCAGAGGTGTGAGGATGCTGAAGAGATGGTTCATGAAAGTGAAACCAAGAAGGATCACTAGACCCTTCACAATTGTACTCGAAAACATAGTTGTGTCTTATTTTAACGAGCAAAGAGTTGTATTATGTTAAAACCTTAAAATTATCATGTTATTTATACTTTGCTTTTCAAAATATGGCTATTATGTAGTTTTAATCTTTCTCCTTATACGTCTCTCAAATTGAAATCAGCAGCGGTAATTACGATTGCAAATTGGCTACTTCATGAAGTTATATCATCAAGAAGGTCTCAATGATCTCAAATTGAGAGTCGAGGACATAATTATAATATCAATCTTCAAAATCTATTCAATTAAGAAAACACAAGAACTTGGTTTCACTTACAACAAAAACATTTGTTAATGCAATTCAAAAGGAGTGTAGTTACAAAAACATTTTTTTTCCTCTAAGAACCCCTAATTAAGAGTCTACCAATGGAGACAAATAAAATTTAAAACCAATTAACAACCTCTTAAGTCAAAAAAATTCAAAAGTAATATTAAAAATATTCCTAAGATTTACACTAAGAGCTTACCAATAAGGGTGCTCTAAGCTTCGTTAAAGAGCATTTGTTCTTATATATCCTCTTTGTTCAAAACTAAAAATTGGTTGTTTACTCCAGTTTTAGTTGTTATTTACAAATCCAAAACCTATTTGGAATTTAACTGCAGTAGTAGATGATGATGCTACCAAAAATAAAAATATGAAAAATTTCACAATGTTCTTTTTATGTAATGTTCGATCTTGAGTTTCTGTTTACCAAACCCAAGTCTTGTTGATTATGGAATATCTGTAGAAAACAATTTTCAAGTTCAAATAGATCAAGATAGATAGATAACTTCAATATGATAGAACTTATTAAAAGAAGTAGCTAATGCAAAAGTAGGCAGAGAAAATAATGATTTGACATGATAATAACAAGCAAACTCAAAAACAAATGTAATTAAAACATCTGCTTCATCTCTTTTTTCACAGCATCATCAGCTCTTCAATAGGTGTAGCCTTTGACGAACATGCCCTCCTTAGCCTCTTCGGACTCACCCTCCCCGGTGTATTTTCCAAGCTGAGCCAACGAATTCGCCTTGGCACGGGCCAAGAGAGTGGTCTGAGCTGCGTTCACGTTCTCGGGTCTGCCACCCCATGTTTTCAGACAAGTGTTCTGCAACGCACGTGCGTAGGAGAAGGACACGTGCCATGGGTTTGGTGCCTGGTTCATTGCGTTCAGGTTGAGTGTTGCCTCCACCTCTGACTGTCCTCCGGACAAGAACTGCAAAACAACAACAAAACAAAAACAAGAAGCAATATTACTTCTACCTCAAGCCACCAATATTAGGTTTTGCCTCATACAACACTTGTTTGTTGTACTGAATCGAACAATGTTTTAACTGTGAATTATCGTGAAGAGAAGGAGAGAACTTGCCATGATTCCGGGGACTGCGGGAGGGACTCTGTTGCGGAGGAGCTTGAGGGTGTAGGCGGCAACTTTTTCAGGAGTAACTCTGTCTTTAGACTCAGCTCCGGGAGTCACCATACTCGGTTTTAGGAGAATACCTGTGTAAGGAAGATGGTAAAATTTTCCATAGTAATTTTCAGACGTTACAAGTTGTATTAAGACAAGCACTCTATAACGAATATATACCTTCAAACATGACATTGTTCTGAGCAAGGTAAAAGAAAACCTCAGCCCAAACCTTCTCTGCTACGTCGTATGTTCTGTCAATGTCGTGTTCTCCATCCAACAAGATCTCTGGCTCCACAATCGGAACCAACCCGCTGTCCTGAAAAAACGCAATTCTTGTGTGAATAGAGCTTGATACAGTCCGATGGACATGTTTCTTGGGATACACGCTATGTTTGTTACCTGTGAAATGGCAGCGTATCGAGCAAGACCCCAAGCAGCTTCTTTGACAGCGAGAGCAGAAGGACCGTTAGGAATGCTCACGACAGTACGCCTAATCAGCCATCAGAGACAATCAATCACTATAAAATCGAACCGAGGCATATTTTCGGGTAGGAAATTAAACCAGAACCAAGAGTACTACTGTATACCATTTGGCAAAACGCGCACCCTGTTGGTAGTAAGCAGCAGTTCTAGAGGCTAGACCGTCAAGTCCTTGGCACCATGACTCATTGTTGGATCCAACAAGTGGCACCAAACCCTAATATTCCATACACAAAAGTCATTAAGATTCTCAAATTAAGCACCATGCATGTTGGTATATATACTCTACAGTATGCGTTCAGTTACCTTGTCAACTTTGATACCAGGGACAATGTTCTGCTCGACGAGGACGTCGACCATTTTCTTCCCTTCGGTGGTAGACTGATACAAAGTCTCCTCAAACAGGATTGCGCCGGAGATGTACTGTCCGAGTCCAGGTGCAGAGACCAACAAAGTCCGGAAAGCTTGACGGTTTGCCTCAGTGTTCTCCAGCCCTATCGAATCCAAACGTTTCCCGCAAGTCGCGTTGGACTCGTCCATCGCCAAGATTCCGCGTCCCGGAGACGCAATAGTTTTCTACTCCAACCAAAATTAAGATAGAGAATCAAATGAAATGGCATTATTCCTTTATTAACACAACTGTCACGATTTTTTCTTCTATACACGAACAGACAGTAACCTAAAATCAAAACCAAACTTCAAATTTTTTGAACCATAGTATAAGTGTATAACCTAAATAAAAACTAAACATCTAAAGGGTAAATTCGGTTTAAATTGGTTGTGAAAAGAAAGAAAAAGGTAGAAACAGGGGAAAACAGAACAAGAGAATCTAGACATTCCAATTCAAAAAGGTGAAAAAGGCACTTTACGAATCATGCAGATAAAACACACGTGGTAAAGAAGAGAGGATATGTGTGAACTAACCGCTGTCTTAACAAGCTCATCGGCGTAGGAGGAAGCGGCACGGACGGTGAGGGAGGTGGCACGGTTGCGGAGAACGACGGAGGCGGAAGAAGGCTGACGGAAGAGAACGCTTTGTCCCTTGACCCATTCGGATTTGTCCAACACCGGAGAAGCCTTGAGGAGTGAGGTTGATGCCATTTTTTCTTTTGTGTTATCTCTTTTCTCTGCCTTTGGTTTCTTTGAGAGACTCACAGTAAAAGCTTATGACACCACCCTTATCTCTCACTCCTCCCTCTTTTGGATTTATATTTCTCTTCAGATCAGTTATTTGAGGTTCTTGTGACCTTGCCAATAGTATTCCGCCACCTGGACCGTAATCTTGTATTACTCTCAATTCAAGAAAAATACATACACTCTTTTTTTTTTTGTTAAAAGAAAACTACATACACCCCCAAAAAAATTTCATTTTCTTTTTCTCCGAATAAGGAATCGATACTCTTTTTATGCCCGTCGTTACATATTCGCTTGATTTTTGTTTGCCTTTACACGGGAAAAAATCGAATAAGCACATCAATAGTAAAGATTCGTTCAAGACACTGTTTCTTTATTTCTAAGTTACTATACATGTTGTAATAATGTTGAACTCGAGGACAGAAAACATAAGACAAACGCATCATTTTCAATTAAAAATAGTGGCAACAGCCTTATAAAGATACAAAGATGGTGTTTTGATAAGAGAAATAAAAATTATGAGGTTCTTATCATTTCTAATATTTTAAGAGCTGACGCGATTATTGATCAGTTTAGCGTAAGTCAAAATTTGACGGTAGAGAGTTTACCACGTCATTTAGGCTGGGTCTCAAACCGTAGACAATTTTTTTTTTTTTCAACCATAGACATATGTTAATCAAAAATAGAGATGTATGTTTTCTTCTCGAATTTGAAAAACGCATTTCTTGAATGACAAGTGAAGACAAGAAAACCAACTAAAATCCCTTTTAGAATTTAGAGCCAAAGATGCGTCGGAAAGTTACATCCAGAGAGAATGACTTTGTGAGGACGTGATTCCCTGCGGTTTCTTAAGGCTGAGGTTAAGCATGGAGATTTTAAGAGATTGTGAAGTCTATATCAACGGTCGAGAGACACTGCAATCTCATCGTCACCATTGCACAACAGGTGGCCAAGTGGGTCGGGTAGCCACCAAATTGACCCTTTAAACCTTTTTCGGTCTGGTCTAGTAGCAGATTTCGAAATCTCAAAGCCGGTTTGTGTCGGTTAAGGAGTAGTAAAGTAAAGAGGGAGTTTCTGATGTCAAAATAAATACAAGACTTAAATCTTCATCGTTCACTTAAAAGTTTCTGCAAGAGACAGATCCGAGATCCCAGCTATCAGATCATCAATATTGCTCTTCTCTGCTACAACTTGATCATCATTCAGTGGCTGGACCGTGGAAGACTCATAGAGGGCCTTCTTCAGCTGCAGCACCAACCCATCTTCCTCATCATCGTCCCCGACAATCTCCAGATCCCACACCTTGAAAATCTCTTGGGGAGTTACTTTGACAGGAACCTCTATAACATTACAACCGTCAACATTGTCTTCAACGTATGTGCTCATGAAATCATCCTTGAATACTTGAGACGATACTAACTCTGGTACTTCTTCTTCAGCCTCTCCATTGCTAACTGACCCATCCTCTTCTATACTTTCAACACCTCCAAGATCTGTAGTAGGACGATCCACCGCTGGTTCACGGGTTCCATTCTCTGCTATGGACTCTGGAAAATAATAATCTTCTAAAGAATTCTTTGACGGGTCTGATTCAAATGTTAGCATAGAGACAATCTCGCTGACTTCTTCATTCGATGAATTAGTTTTACTGTTCGCTGAATCAGCTTCTGGTTCAAATCTCCGTAGATGAATAGGCTCGGATTCAATCATATCCTCGTCTGGAGACAGGACACCTCTTGTTCCTGTAGATGAAGGAACAAACATCTCGGGATGGATATCGATGATTTCTGTTAAAGCATCTCTAAAAGTTCCCCAATTATTGCAGTCTGAATCATCTGGAAAACTGATGATACAGGAATCAGCCCAAGCTAAACATTCAGGAGAAAGATCTTCCTCGTTTCTCACTAAAAGAGAAACCTCTGCTACGTCTTCTCGTTCAGGCATTGCTACAAAGCACATCCAGATCTTTCATGTTAGAGAATTCAGGCATAACATATATTCTTCAAGACATCTAACGATATCAGGATGGTTAAAAATCCCAAATTGAAACTAAACGAGAGCAGAAGACGCTAATTTCAATCACTAATTATAACAAAACATCGAATTGCCCAGTGAAATACCTAATTTCTAAAATTCGAACGCACAAGAATCGAAAATCGCAAGTTCTAATAACGAATCGAACAAAGTGTATAACCGTCAAATACGCAAGCAGGAAAATGAAAATTCTTCTGAGTACACTTAATTCCATGACTAAGTCCAATGGATTACTGGGTAATTCAATTCAAAGAAGCAATTAAGGAAATGACTAACCTTTATCGACACGAGAATCCCCAAAAAATAACCCTAATTTTCGGAAGAAGAAAAGAAGAAGAAAACTAATTTTGAAATCTCCGAGACGCCCAACTGAAGAGGAAACGACGCTGAATTGTTGGATAAACTCGTACGATGTCGTTTTGAGGGACAAGTCGGGTATTTGTTTTTTCTCTCTTTCTATTTTTGTTATTAATAGCCCAGACATCTTTGAGATTTACAGAAAAGCCTCATACTTTTTTATTGGTACATATGATCCCAAAATGTAGACATAAAGCATATTTGTCTTTTTGCATTTTCTTTGGCCTTAGAGAAAGCTTAAATATAGATAAAAGTTTCAATTTGTTTGATACAGTAAAAGTCTTATACTTCATTTCAACATTACCATTGTCATCTTAAAATGTTAGACGGATTAACAACACGAAATTAAATATCCCTTAATATTTTTTTCTTTTGTCTTTCATTATATGAATCAGTGATAAGAAAAAATTCTCACTTTTGATTCTGTTCCTAGTTAAATACAAGTTAATTTCTTTTGTCAACTCTTATAAAGGCAGAGTCTTCTCAAATTGGGTTGGCCTTAAAATAAGCCAAGAGACCAACAAAAGGTGCATTGATGTAAGTCGTTGGTTCCGTCTCACTTGCATTTGTCCGACCTCCAATGAATTTGTCATCTATGTCGGGTCCCCCGATCACCGCACCTACTAAAACGTTGGGGTCTGGATTTGGTGATGCGAAAATATTCCATCCTTCCGAGCATTTGATGGCAGTGGGATGAGTCGTGATAGACGGTGACGATGCACCGCGGTGGTGGATTTGTCGTGGATATCGGTTACCGTACCCGATCATGTATGACATTTTCATCGGATTATCTCCCAGAATGTAATCCACCTATATTAAATCATTGTTACCATAGAACCAATCCAGTTAGTTAAATAGACCACTACTACATTGTGAAATGAAAACTCATGAACTTTCTCAAAACAAACTATATTTGCTATGGAATATATATGTATTAAGTATTGGCTAACTTTTTATCAAAAAAACAAACCACTGGTGTATTAGATATTGACCAACTTACCTGTCGTTTGGCCAAGCGACGGAGAGAATCCGGCTGGATCTTGAGACTACCACAGTGGAGTTGTTGAGAGGATTTAGAAAGGTAATTGGCGTAAGTGAGAAGGAGAAAAGACAATGCGACGGTGTTTTGGAGCTGACTGCTTCCGGGTTTGTAAAGAAGGCCACCGGGAGAGTAACTCATATGTGCACCCGGAGTTTCCAGAAAAAACGAACACATCAATTTTTCCGCTGTGTCCTTATACGGTGCAATCCCAGCTACATTCTTTTCAAATACTTCCTATATCAACAACAAGTAGCTCAAACGGTTTAGACATTTTTATATATAAGCATAACAGTGTATGCATGGTGATGTTATATACGCCACTTGTATGTTCAGTATAAAATGAATTACGATCATGAGTTTTATTGTATTTATGAATATGAATATGTGATGTCGTCATTTTAAAATCATAGAGAATTGGATCCAACCTTTGCAACGAGAACATTGACGCCCCCAACTTTGTTATCCCATCCAAACTCGAAGTAATTGGAATCTGACCCAAAAGATTGACGATTGTCCACTAAGTATTTAATGTAAGAATCTTTACCGGTCGCTCTTCTCAGCCATGCAGCTCCCCATAATAACTCATCCTATATGAAACAAAATTCTCATTTATATGAAATGAAAATCAATTTAGACCGATCTAATTTTACATAATATATTCAAAAAATTATAGAGGTTACCTCATATCCGTTTACACTACAATAAAATGGGCAAACAGCAAGTTTAGTCTCAGGATTATTGGTATAAGAACCTCTATGTGAATCTGCGTACTCAAAAGTTTTTAAAGCATTATCGAGCAACAATTTAGAATATCTAGGATCAAATTGTTTGAATGCAATTGAAGCGGCTGCCAACGCAGCTGCGATTTCTCCAGCTAAATCAGAGGCTGGATTCGGTGCTTCCACGGCGTAAGCGGTCCGTGGTGTGTCCATATCCTCTGGTCTCTCCCAACACTGATGATCCGGTGTTGGTTCACCTACCTAAAATACCATTATTGACATTATGAATCAAATTCTCAATATATATATGCATCAGTTTAAGTTTTATGAATATTATTGTTAAACAAGATATTAATTTTGTGTATTACTGTACGTATAAAGAAATACATTAGGAACCCAACATCTAAAGTAATTAGATTCATGTAAAATAAAAGACTAGTGGTTATATAGTCACCGTACTTGGACGAAGATGCGATTAGGTAGTTGCGAAACGGTCTTAAGGAGATAATTGGTGCCCCACCGGAGAGCGACGAGATTGTCCCTGAGATCAGTCGGAGACATGTAACTTCCAAAGTCGATAGCGCTCCACGCAAGCATGGTAGCCGTAAAAGCCATCGGAAAATGGAACTTAATGTTATCTCCGGCGTCGTAGTAACCACCAACGAGGTTGGCATTGAGGTTCTTGCCGTCGTTGAGTGCGGAGTTGCGGCGCCACGTCATCCTCTGTTCTCTTGGAAGATATCCAGAGCGTTGACCTTCAAAGAAGAGGATTGACTTTGTGAGAGCATCGGAGTAGTCGTGAGAAATCGTCGTTGGTAGGATGATGAGGAGAATAAGAACTATGGAAGAGCAAATCGATGGCTTCATTGTTTTTTTTCTTTTAGGGTTTATGAGAGATGACTGAATAAGACGATGCATATATACTGTACTTTTATTCGAAATTTTTCTATGGAAACTTTCCCGCATGTACTTTATTAAAAAAATTTCTAGTTTAATGAATATTTTGGCGAGTTTTTATTTTCCAAATTTGATAAAAAAAAAAATTATGTAAACTTGGTAAAAAAAAGTTTAATATATTAGAGTAAATGCGATGAATATTATGGAGTCTATAAAACATCATCTAAATTACCACAAATAAAGCCATATCATCTGCAATAAATAAATTTATGTATGAATATATTATTAATTTAAAAGATTTTCTTTTAATTTTAATAATTATATAAATACTTTAACAGAAAAAGATAAACCACAACGGTAAAATTACAAAAGAAAATTGTATACTGAAAACGTAACTTATATAAATACTTAGGTTGTGACTAGTGCATGGGGAGAAGAAAAATAATTAAAGGGAATTGGAAGAATTTATATCTTTAACATCTGAATTTTCTTCTATATGTCCACTAGTCAAACCTTAAGAATAAATCATGAGAAATTTTTAATCTACCTTACCATTGATTATACTTTTAAATAAAATAAAAGTAAATACCATTTAAAAAATCTTACAAAAAGGTTTAAAAGATTTTTTAATGCATTATTTGAAGAATCTTCCATAAAGTGATATATATGTCTCTCTCTTGATGCGTACTTTTACCCCAATCAATATATGTACATTATCATTTTTCCATTTTCTTTAGTTTTACAAATTTGGGAAGAGATTATACTCAAGAGAACTTGGGGTTGCTTTTAAAGTACGCAAATACACCAACAAAAGGTGCATTGATGTACGTTGTGGGCTCAGTCTCACTAGCATTTGTCCGACCTCCAATAAATTTATCATCTACGTCAGGCCCGCCAATCACCGCACCAATAAGAATGTTGGGGTTTGGATTGGGTGATGCGAAAATATTCCATCCTGCTGAGCACCCAAATGCAGTCGGATGAACGGTAAAAGACGGTATAGACGAGCCACGGTGGTGGATCAGTCGCGGGTACTGCTCACCATACCCAATCATGTATGACAACTTCATTGGATTATCTCCCAAAACGTAGTCTACCTACAAAAAAAAAACACACACACACACCAATAAATTTTGATTAGATTGATATTATGATATATTGACTTTGATCGGTAAGAAGCACAATAAATGAAAAAATTGATCTTATAATTCTAATATACCTGTCGTTTGACTATGCGGCGAAGAGAATCCGGTTGAAACTTGAGGTTACCGCAATTGAGTTGTTGAGAGGATGTAGTGAGGTAATCTGCATAGGTAAGGAGGAGGAAAGATAGTGCGGCCGTGTTCTGTAGCTGACTGCTTCCGTGTTTGTAAATGAGACCGCCGGGAGTGTAAGTCATATGTGGACCATTGGTTTCCGGCAAAAATGCACACATCATTTTCTCTGCGGTATCTTTATATGCTGCTAACGTAGTCACATTCTTCTCAAATACTTCCTGTTTAACCAAATTGATTAACGGTCACACTTATAATATACATCAGTTTGATTTTGGAAATTGGACCAAACCTTGGCAACGAGAACATTAACACCCCCAACTTTGTTGTCCCAGCCAAACTCAAAGTAATTGAAATTTGCACCGAAAGCTTGACCATTGTTCACTAAGTATGTCAGATAATAATCTTCGCCGGTTGCTCGTCTCAGCCACGCAGCTCCCCATAGCAACTCGTCCTATATGAAATAACATGATGATTTCTATGAATATAAACCCAATTATATTTGATTGTACAATATTCGAAAAAAGAAAAGAAAAGATATACCTTATATCCATTAACACTACAGTAAAACGGGCAAACGACTTGTTTGACTCCCGGATTATCGGTATAAGAACCTCGATGTGAATCTGCGTACTGAAACGTTTGTACGGCTTTATTGAGTAATATTGTGGAATACTTAGGATTTGCTTGTTTGAATGCAATTGAAGCGGCTGCCAAAGCTGCTGCAATTTCTCCCGCTAAATCGGAGGCTGGATATGGTGCATCTAAGGCGAAAGCGGTTCGTGGTGTGTCCATATCTTCCGGTCTTTCCCAACAATCATGGTCTGCTTGTGCTTCACCTACCTATATCATATTAATCTTGTGTTGATAGTGTGTACACATTAAAAAAAAATATTCATAATCTTTTTCATTCAAAATCGTGATCTCGTAAAAAGGATAATTACATAGGAAGAAACTAATCAACACATATTGATTATCTTTTCGGGGAAATATATCCAATTTGATCCTGTCTTTATCAAGATACCAAGGTATCTTATTAATTATGACAAAATTGGTGCAAATCAAATTCTTGATAACGGTATATATTATACTATAACTATTATGCCCATAGATGGGGTAAAAACCAAATACATGATTACAGTAAATAAAACGACGACGGGTTAAGGGTTTATACGTACTTGGACGAAAATGCGATCAGGGAGTTGTGAAACGGTCTTAAGGAGATAATCAGTGGCCCACTTGAGGGCTACGAGATTATGTCTGAAATCATTCTGAGACATGTAGCGTCCGAAGTCAATAGAACTCCAAGCAAGCATCGTGGCCGTAAAAGCCATAGGAAAATGAAACTTAACGTTGTCTCCGGCGTCGTAGTAACCACCAACGAGGTCGGTTTTGAGGTTTCGGCCATCATTGAGTGCAGAGTTACTACGCCACGTCATCCTTTGTTGTTTTGGAAGACGTCCAGAGCGTTGACCTTCGAAAAAGAGGATTGACTTTCTAAGAGCGTCGGAGTAGTCGTGAGGGATCGCCGTTGGTAGAAGGAGAAGTATAAGTATGAAAACGGTTACAAAGTAAATCGAAGGCTTCATTTTCCTAGCTAGAATTTATTAGGATTTGGTGAGATTTCGTTGTTTTTGACATGTAGTTTTGGGACTTTAGGGTTCATATTTATAGACACATAATAGTGGCTACAACTTCTGGAGTTCTGGTTTACGTATACGTATTTTGGGTAATTTGGTAAGTAATCAATACGTCTTGGTTTGTTAAGGATCCATGCATGTTTTATCAAAAAAAAAAAAGATATAGAGAGAAACAAGTAAACGATATAATGATTCCCCTTCACTGACTCAAAGGTTTATTCACAATACTCTTCTCGTTTTTCTTTTACACCTCGAATTCTCTTATACTGTTTTCAAGAAAATATTCTTAACTGTTAAATTGAAAATTAATATCTTTGAAATTTTCCCCTTTAATTGAATTTAAATATATTTTTATTTTTTTCTAATTCAAATATATTTTAAGACAATAATATTCAATTCTAGTAATAATCTTTTTTAGATTTGATAGATTTGATCATCTGTTTTTTATAATGCCAGTTGTGGTAAAAAAAAAACTATCCACATTTGTTTTTTCTTTTTCTTTTCTAGGTTTACATATATGAAGAAGTTCTCTGTATGTTGAAATTCTGAAAAGAGATGCAATGAGAAATAAAAATATTAAAATTAGATGACTCATCATTAGCTAATTAATTTTTAATGAATTATTATAAATTAACAATTTAACAGGCATTAAGAGGAAATGTGAGAGAAAGATAGGAGAATGAAATCTGAATGTTTTGTGTTGCATTGGGTGAGGTACAGATTTTTTTCCCGGGATACCTCTTCTTTATTACATATGGATTAATATTTTGCTAAACTTATTTTCAGAATATAATTAACATGTAAATATCAACAAAAAAAAATCTTATAACTTAAAGTAATTTGATTTCATATTTTCATCACTTGTTTCGCCAATATAAATTTCAGGCAAACCAATATTTTCATACAGAAACTGTAAATCAAATTTAAGAAGAAAATAGTACTAGAAACGTGATAAAAATTGTTCATGGTAAGCAAAAATTAATGTTCTTTTAGAAAAAAACAATGTGTTTGGTCTAAAACGAAACTTTTCTTGATGAGTTTTGCTTCTCTTTCCAATGAACTCTTCTTTTCTTCCTGGATCTTGAACCAAGCATGTGTGCATGCAACGATTCGAGATATTGCTTGTGTTTAATCAAATCGTACAATTTATTTTGCTCTTCACTACATTATTTATGGAACGAGTTAATAATAATGAAAAAAAATGAAATGAAACGAGTTAAGTAATTAGCAAATTAAAACTCTGTTTTTTCTTATCTTATTCGTGTACCGTATCTATTTTTTGTTTCTGGTCCATAAGGCAATCATGCTCTTTTATTTCTCTACACAATGTCTACCTTGCTCTGGTAATTTTATTGTATGATTATATTTTATAGAAAGCACATATTTGTTCGTTTCTATATATCACATCACCTTTCGTTGTAGTTTCCACAATTGTCGCGTTTATATATTCTTTAAGAAATATTTAATTTCAAGCATATCCAAACTGAGGCAAAACAAATTTTTAAAGAATACTTAAATTATTATTAATTTTGTATATTACATTTATTAGTATCTATGACCAACCGCTATTATTAGGTTTAGTTGCAGAGTAGTTTTCGATTACTTTCTAGCTATTTTATAAAAATCCAATTATAAATTTGTTGACTATAGTTGTATCAATGAATCATTTGTACAATCATAGACCTATAAAATATATTACGGAATGATCACAATCATCACATAATAAGTACGGACACACAACAAACCAAAACTAAACTGATATTATTGCTCGAGTTAGTATTTAATTTGTAATATCTATCTTGAGGTGCAACCAAAATAATTAAATAATGAAATCATAAGTCATAGCAATTGAAGTAATATATGACTCTCGAGAGAAATTTGCATGGAATAAATAATTTTCAAATAATGATAGTCTAGCTAGTGGTCATTGTTATGTTTAGTTCAGACTAATTCACTACAAGAAAACAGTCGTTTTGCGAGGCAACTTTGCGAGGGAAACCATCCCTCGCAAATTTGCGAGGGAATTGCAAGTAATTTGCTACGAAAAGGACGCGCGTCGCACTTCCGTCGCAAATTTTGCGAGGGAAAGTTTCCTCGCAAAATTGCGAGGGAATTACGAGTACTTTGCTACGAAAAGGACGCGTGTCGCACTTCCGTCGCAAATTTTGCGAGGGAAAAGTTTCCTCGCAAAATTGCGAGGGACGTACGAGTACTTTGCGAGGAACAATATACTCTGTCGCAAATCTCCCGCAAATACCTCGCAAATCTTTACCCTAAACCCTAAAATACATAAAAGTGTTTTGCGATCTTTGATTTTTATTTATAAATATGAATCTAAGAGACCATATAATCAGACAAGTTGAATATATGGTGATGCATAAAAAAATGTTGTATAGGTTTCAATATTAACATTTTATTTTGAAAATGTTATAAACATTGATTCACATTATATAAAAACATAAGATCATCATCATTGATGTATTTGAGGAAAATGCACATTCGGACGAATTCGAAGTATATGATAAGAAAGTAGATTCTAATGTAGATAATTAACTTCCTAATGATTCAAAAAAATGAATCCGAATGATTTTTAGTAGTGTTTTGTTGTTTTTTTTCAAATTGATTCTATTTTGCGAGGGTTTTGCGAGGGTTTTGCGAGGGATACTAGTAATTCCCTCGCAAAACTAAACCCTAAATCAAGGGTTTTGCGAGGGAATTGCGAGGGACCATAGCAATTCCCTCGCAAAAGTGGATACCACTTATGAATCCCTAAACCCTATACCCTAAACCATTTGCGAGGGATTTGCTATGATGCCTCGCAATTCTCTCGCAAATATTTCAGTTTTTTCGCGGTTCAATTTTTTGGCGGAAATTTTAAAATTTTTGGCAAATTTTTCAAAAAATTTGCGAGGGATTTGCTAGGTATCCCTCGCAACTCCCTCGCAAATTGTTTCCAGTTTTTCGCGCTCCAACGTTTTGGCGGAAATTTCAAAAATTTTAGCGAAAATTTTCAAAACTTTTGCGAGGGATTTGCTAGGGAATTGCGACGGTATAAATATATATATATAAGTGATTGCATATTCACATCTCTTCACTCATTCACTCATTCACATCTCATTTCCTCTTACTTAAAAAGTCTTCATTCCTATCATTCACATCTCTTCAAAGGTATGTTTTTTAATTTCATTGTTAGATTTATGTTTAGATTTGTATTATTATAGTTTTAGATTTAAGAGTTTGCTAGTTTTAAAATTAGAAAATTAGGATTTCTAGATTTAGATTATTGTGAAAGGTATTGGATTTGTTAGTTTTGGATTTAGAAATTTAGTTTTATATTAGGATTGGAATTTTAAATTATTTTAGGTTTCATTTAGAAATTGAATTGTTAATTTTTAGAATTTTTTTAGTATGGAATTTTAGATTATATATTAATAACTAAATTTCAAATTTAAATTGTTATTATTTTTAAAGATTATTAATTTTAGAAACCTTTTAAGGATTTTCTTAAATTTGACTTAAAACTTTCTTATTGTATTTTAAATATTATTATTCATTATAGAAAATAATATTATGCATTTAAAATTTATCAATATATATCTATATATTGATAAAATTTAAATGCATTTTATTATTTTTTCTTTTTTTTTTATTTTTTTTAATTCTCCCTCGCAAATCCATCGCAAAATTTAATACGGATTTTTTTTATTTTTTTTTTAATTGTCCCTCGCAAATCCATCGCAATTTGCGCGTGTTTTGCGAGGGCATACGTGCCTCGCAATTTGCGCGTGTTTTGCGAGGGCATATATTTCCTAGCAAATATTGCGAGGGAATTGCTACGTTTACCGATTTGCGAGACACGATTTGCGAGGAACTGGTGTTCCTCGCAAATCGCTCGCTAAAGTCGATTTGCGAGGGATTAGCTACATATTCGTCCCTAGCAAATCGATTGTTTTCTTGTAGTGATTATTTTCAACCTTTTTTCTCCTACCACTAAAATATTCATGTATCGATTATATGACGTGAGATCTCTCTTTAACAAAACTAAATAAACTTTAGCAACCATTTTATATGTTATGTGAGTAGACTATCAATTACATTTGATAAAAAGGAAAAATCAAATGATCAACAGGTGAATAATCCGAATAAGTTATTCAGATTATTTCTTGTGTAAAAGAAAAACTATTTAACTGTAAGAACTTCTTCCTTAGCTTCTTTGCTTGGGCAAGATGAGAGACTTCTAAAAAACATGTACTCCCATCCCATGCATATTCCAGGAACTTTAGAATAATGTTTTCCAATTCTACTCTCATGACGTTAGCTAGAACCAGGATTGGCTGCAAAGTACGCCAATACGCCAACGAAAGGAGCATTGATGTAAGTAGTGGGCTCGGACTTGCCGAAATCGGACCGATCATCATCGTACTTATCGTCCTCTCCAGGCCCACCCACCACCGCTCCAATCAAAACGTTCGGGTTCGGTTCGGTCGAATTGAAATAAACCGACCCATCTTTGCATCTGATGGCTTCTGGATGATCCTTGATCGATGGCAATGATGAGCCACGGTGGTGGATCCTCTTTGGATATCTCTCTCCGTATCCGACCATGTACGATAATCCCATTGGATTATCCCCCAATATATAGTCCACCTTCAATATCCAATAAACATTCAATATGACATTTAATTACGTAAATGATGAATTTTGCAGGATATCAAAACAAATTGCTATTCACTTAGTCTTTGTTTCTATTAATGTAAGAAGCATTAGTCACTAACATCTTGAAAACCAAATCGTATAATTTTTTAAAAAAACTGCTAAGGTGTAATCATTAGACAAAAAATGGTAAAAGTGATATTTGCACCAATCTACAATCAATTCCGTAGATTATAAGCTACAACCATAGATTTCTATAATCATTTATGTAAAGATGAGAACTTTATGCTCAAGGTAAAAACAGAGATGATAACTAGAGTTAAAAGTAATTCATCTCTGGTTAAGTTAAACATTTCTGGGAGCACAAGGAGCTGGCCAAGGAAGGACAGTTTGTCCGTTTGTGAATTCAAAAGGAACGTTTGTAGCTGCACTATAGGGTTGAGGTTGTCTCCTATGTATAAATTGATATAAAGACATGAGAGACGCAGCCACAACAAGAGAGTGCAGAGAAAGCACAAGCAATGTAGATCTAAGGAGCTTAGATCATAAGGGGTGAGAGACTGTAAAGTATAAGCTTTCGGGTAGTTTCTCAAGTAATACAAGATAGAGAGTGAGTCTTTAACTAGAGAAGAGTTTAGACGTTCACTAGGATTATCTTGTAATCACCCTCTTTCTTCTTCATAGTGGAGTTGTGGATCTATCGATCCTAACCGGACGTAGCGGCTCGTTAATGCCGTGAACCGGGTTAACAAATCCTTTGTGTGCTCCTTTTCTTCCTTTCTTCTGCTCTGTTTTACTCTCTTCTTCTTCTCCATAACATGTTCTGCTTGTGTGTGATCTTGTGTTCATAATGACAAAGCATGAAGCTTTGAGGTGTTGAGAGGTCAAAAACCTCTACAAGTGGTATCAGAGCACAGGTTCGTGCTTAAAGACTCAAGCTTTGCTCTGAATCTTCAGGTTCCGTGAGAAAGATTCAAGCTTTTCAAGGAAAAATGCAAACTTTGTCAAAAAGGTCACGACTTTATGAAGGAGAAGCGTCTGGAAAAGCAGTGTTAGAGAAGAACGGTGAATCTGGTTATTATGTCTCAAGGAAGATGGAGTGTTCATTCCCTTTTAGAGACAAGAGATTCGCTGAAATGGAGTAGAGAAGAAGACAAAAGAAGATGCAAGATTTCTGTTGAAATCTGGGTTTTGCGGAGGAAGCTTGTCATGAGCTCTTGTGGTGTTCAGAGATTCACGACAAGGAAGATGTCTAGATTCTCGCCGGAGAAGGCTGAGATTCCGGTGGAGTGGCTCGAGTTTCCGACGACGTCGTGAAAGAGAAGACGGCGCCGTCACGAGCAGAACGAGTCGGAGAAGAAGAAGCCTTGGGTTTTGCTGTCTAGGAAGAGACTCGCAGGAAGAGGAATCGTGGAGGCTTGCTGGGTTGGTGACGAAACAGTCATCGGAAAAACGAGGGACGTTGGCCGGAAATATTGGTGACGATGGTCGGCGGTGAGGAGAAGAGAGGTTATGTCACGACAAAAGAAATTTTGTCTTCTCCTTTGTTGGGCCAAGATGGATCTCTTCTATTATTAGTAAATATTGGGCCCAAAATATTTATTAATGCCCAAGAGGAAAAGAGGGATAAGGCACGTGTTATTTTATCCTCTTTATGCTTCTCGTCCGTTCAAGCTTCGAGACTGAAGCTCAAAGAGACAGTCACGACAGAAGCTCAAACCGCAAATTAAGGTTGTATCTGGGAGCGGTTTGGTTCGACTGTGAAGTCGAAATTGGAGCAGTTGCCGAAAATTCTCATCGTCGGAGGAAGTGTCGATTGAAGAAGAACATTCTCGGAGCTCCAATTAGCAAAGTAACCGTGAGAGCTGGAGCTTAAGTTGGAGTTGCGAAGCTCAGAGACATTCCGGTATATCCTAGTTTCTAATTTTTCTGTAAAGAAATTGGAGGTTGCAATGAGTAAAGAACGACAACAGTCACAAGTATGTGTCTATGTTTACTCTTGATTGGAAAGGAAGGAATATAGTAAAATCATCGGGTGAAGTTTGATTAAGATCCTGGAAACGTGTAGGTCGGATTTCCTTGACTACACTCGTCGGATTAGAATCATTCTTCTTTCTCAAGACTCAATGTTGGAGGTTCAAGTCTTATTCCACTGTTATTGCAAGAGATTGAAAAGATTCAGCTTTGGGTTTTAAGCTGGCCTTTTCTGGGAGTTTGAATCAGATTGGTATACTCTTTTACTGTTGAATCAGGTTGGTATTCAATTGTTGATGTGATCACAGCCTCGGAAACTCTTAAATTTCAAGGGACTAGGGGACGCCTTAGAAACTTGAAATTGATGAGTATTGGGCTGTGGAGTATTGGTAAAAGGTTTTCTGGATTCAGTTTAAAGACAAGATTTCAGTGGTTGTTTGAGTTTTGAAGATGATTGGATGAGTGGTTTGTCTCAGTGTCAAAGGTTAGATTCTAGTGAATCTGAAAATGGACAGATTGGTGGATTGTTAGTAAAAGCGTCTACCGGATTATGTCAGCGGGTTACAAACGAGATTGTTGGGTCTGTAACAGTTGTTGAGGCAGTATTCACTTGTACAGAAAACATTTCTGTAGATACAGTGGGTGAAACACACTTCTGGTGTAAGCCTAAGTGTGAGATGAAGAGTGTTTAGGTCCTTATATAAGAACATAAACTCTCGAAAAGATGGCAGCGACAAAGATTCATGTTTTGTGCAGATTTGTGTTTTGATATAGCACATGGTGGTTCTGTTGGAATGAATCTAAGAGCAAGGAGTTCTTATCTCGGGTGGAGCAACGTATTCTCAGTGGTTGTCTTGTGTTTGAATCAGATCTTCAAGCGACAAAGAAGTATCTGATGGTATGCATTTGGCTATAGTATTTTCTTGTGTCGAAAGTCTTCTTAGCCGAGAGGGTGTTAGGCACCGGGAGGGTGTTTGGCATCAAGGGGTGTTAGGCGGCGTGTCCTGTTCGTTTGAATAGCGGTGCAAGACAAGTATATAGTGGAATTGGCTGCAGGAAGTACAAGATTTGATTTCTGGGATTGAGGTTTGGTTTGATGGTGTTTCAGCCTAAGTTGTTGCATTATCAGATTTTGGAGAATGCTCTAGAGATGACAAGGCTGCTGAAAATAGAGACAGGTTCTTGGTGTTCTTTGGGTAAAAATGGATCAGTTTGTGTGGTTGTAAGAAGGAAGAGTATGTGTCACAAGTTCTGACATACTTTCTTAAGTAAGGAGCCATGGTTTAACATTCTGATACAAAAACCGTGAAAATGGATCAAAGATACAGTGAAGAGCAGTTTTAACTCGTATTGGTGAAGTTGAGCTATGTTTGCAGAGACATAGAAAACTTCTAAACAGTGTTATGTTCCAGGAGAAGAAATTGATTTTACATGAAGATGTTAAATTCAGGTGGAGCTATGTTTAGAAGAGGTCTCAAATCATATCAAGGTCTTAAATGACTTAAGAAGTATATGTTAGCTCAAAAAGGAAATGAGTTAAAAAGGCTGCATAATCACTATTGGTTAATGTTCATGGAAGTTCAGTTTACTTTGAAGAAAGGAAAGCCAAGAACAGGTGGCTATCAACAAGTTCAACGGGTAAAATATGAGGGGAAAAGGATTCTAACATATTTGGTTTGAAGCTGGTTGATTGGTGAGGACATTCAGAAATGGAGCTGCAGGTTTTCTCTTAAAAGAGCTGCTGGTTTTCTGAAAGTTTTCAGCGAGAAGTCACAAAGCTGCTATTTGAGATAAAGCTATTGAAGTGTTTTAGTGGGATTCTATAAAGAAGAAACTGAAAGAGGCAAATGCAAATGTTGCGAGGATTGTCTAAAGACGAGTCACTTCAAGAGAGGAAAAGATTGTGTATCTAGCTTGATACACAATATCTCAAAGCTGGTGTTTGAAGCTGGAAAGAAGTCCTAGTAAAGAGATAAATGCAGAAAATTTCAAACTGCATTTGGAAGACAATGACTAAGGAGTTTGAGTTAATTGTCTACACCAGGAGAAGATCACATAAGTGTCTACTCAGGGAAATCACTTGCAGGTTAGTCAAGTGGGTAATTTCAAGTATCAGGGAGTCATAAAGAAGAAAAGAAAAGACTATAGTTAGGGTCTGGTTAGTATTATTGACGATGGTACTAAGTTCTGGTGGAGTTTCGCATGCTTTTAAGCATTGCAAGATGATGTTACAGCAGGAAATGCATCAAGGTTCTAGATTTGGTGTGAAAGGAGCTGTACATGGTTGTCTCAGGATTATCACAATGAGTTGCTGATATGAGACATGTTAAAGGTTGCTGGTAGTGATTAAAATCTGCTGGTGATGAGTCTGTTTTAACAGATGGATTGAACAAGGTTTATGTTCAGGTTCTGGTTTATTGAATCAGGTTGTTGTAGAAAAGGTTATGTCTCAGGTTATACAAGATATTTAACCAGTTAGAGAGACTTTCTACATGGTGAATCAAAAGCTTCAAAGCTGAGGCTAAGATGATTCTGATTCTGCATAAGATTCAGAAAAAGGATTTGATTCAAGGCTCAGTGCACATGAGGTGAATCAAGTAGTCGACAAAGGAATCAGGTTTGCAAAATGAAAAGGATGTTTACAATCACTGATACATGTCTGTGGTCCTAACAGAGGCCATGGTGGAGAATGTGTGATTGCACGTTTCATAGGCGGTGAAGCTTATGGAGTTTTCTGTTGAATTGACAAGTTGAATGGTTTTCTTAACTTGTTAATGGAGTTTATTGCTGAGTGGTTACATCAATATTTAGGTGCTTAGTGCATCATGAAGTGATCGTTGAAGAGTTGAGCTTTATACAAGTCTGTATAGGAGCTGGTTTTCACAACTCTGGTGAACTAAAGATGTGTTGATGGCTCAGGTTTAGCAGTGTGAGTAGTCACAGCTAAAGAGCATTGAACATAAGTTAAATGCTGAAGGGTAGAGCAGGTTTATGGTGTTTAAACTGCTAAGTGTCAAGGCTGAGTAATCAAACTCAGGAACCGATACTGGAATCTAAAGAAAGAATAAGAAGGTACTCTCTCTCTCGCAAGTGCGTGCAGGTTGCTTGGCTTGATCATTACGTTCTCAGGTGGAGATTGTAAAGATGAGAACTTTATGCTCAAGGTAAAAACAGAGATGATAACTAGAGTTAAAAGTAATTCATCTCTGGTTAAGTTAAACATTTCTGGGAGCACAAGGAGCTGGCCAAGGAAGGACAGTTTGTCCGTTTGTGAATTCAAAAGGAACGTTTGTAGCTGCACTATAGGGTTGAGGTTGTCTCCTATGTATAAATTGATATAAAGACATGAGAGACGCAGCCACAACAAGAGAGTGCAGAGAAAGCACAAGCAATGTAGATCTAAGGAGCTTAGATCATAAGGGGTGAGAGACTGTAAAGTATAAGCTTTCGGGTAGTTTCTCAAGTAATACAAGATAGAGAGTGAGTCTTTAACTAGAGAAGAGTTTAGACGTTCACTAGGATTATCTTGTAATCACCCTCTTTCTTCTTCATAGTGGAGTTGTGGATCTATCGATCCTAACCGGACGTAGCGGCTCGTTAATGCCGTGAACCGGGTTAACAAATCCTTTGTGTGCTCCTTTTCTTCCTTTCTTCTGCTCTGTTTTACTCTCTTCTTCTTCTCCATAACATGTTCTGCTTGTGTGTGATCTTGTGTTCATAATGACAAAGCATGAAGCTTTGAGGTGTTGAGAGGTCAAAAACCTCTACAATTTAACATAATAATGATATATTCATTGCATAGACAGACCATCGTGACAATGTATTTATTTTCAGTTTTCTTTCACGCATGCGATATAAGTCCGGTTTAAGTGATTCTAGCATCAGAAACCCGATCACTCAACTCAAGACCGGATAATCTGAATTATAGGCTAACCAATCATTAAAAAACTTAAAATCAAACCAACACAGACGACCAGTCTAACCTGTTTCTTGGCAAGACGGCGGAGATGATCAGGAGGGATGGTAAGGGTGCCGCAATTGAGGGAGAGAGAGCTTCTTGAAAGATATTGCGCGTATACAAGGAGGAGGAAAGATATGGTGGTCGCATGTTGGAGCTGGCTACCGCCGGGTTTGTAAAGTAGACCGGCGGGAGTATACTCAACATGCGGTCCTGAAGATTCCGGGACCAGACTACACATGAAGCTCTCCGCCGATGCCTTGTACGCCTCTAAGTTGTACATATTTCCTTCTATAACTTCCTGTACCGAAATTCAAACAAACCCCAATTTCATCGGTTATGATGCCGGTTTGGTTCTTAACCGGGTCAGTTTGGATTCACGTACACGGAAAGAAAAGAACATAACTTTGATATGCACGTGAAAGTCTCGTGCTTACTAACTTTTACTAAAGTATTTAAAGTTAATTTCGATTTGATCCCCCAACTTTGATGTTACTATAAATTTGGAAACTAACCTTTGAAACGAGAACATTAAGTCCACCAACTTTGTTGTCCCAGCCAAATTCGTCTACGTTATCGCTAGCACCAAACGGTTCACGATTACTCTCTATGTAATTAAGGTATCTTTCATCACCAGTCGCTTTTCTCAACCAAGCTGCTCCCCACAATAACTCATCCTACCCATAACAAAAATTACAAAAAAAAACAACATTAAAAAAATCACTAAAAAAAAATAATTTGTACAAAATATAAATATTTATCATGATTGTAGCTTGGTCTAGTGATCCTCTTGCATTTTTGTTAACTTCTTTAGTGATACAAATGTTGGGATTTTTGTTTACCTGAAATCCGTTGAAATCGCAGTAGAAAGGGCAAACGTCATTTTTGATATCATCATTGCTGCTATAAGCACCGCGATACATATCAGCGAACTGGAAAGTTTTGACGGCATTTTGGAGCAATGTCTGAGAGTATCCTGGATCCGATGATCGAAAAGCAATCGAAGCAGCTGAGAGGGCTGCCGTAGTTTCTCCGGCCACTTCAGAAGCCGGATTTGGGGCATTAACAACGTAAGCAGTCCTTGGTGTATCCATATCTTCTGGTCTTTCCCAGCAGTTATGATCTGCTATTGGATCACCTACCTATCACAATTTCGTTTAATTTTTTTCCTACCTTAGTTAGTTTTCAAATAATAATATTCAAGCCCTCTAAATAAAACAAATATATAAATCAAGATACTAATTATTAATGAATAAAATAAGAAATACACCTAACAACATCAACATCATATATGATGTTTGATTTCTCTAATATTGGAACAAAGAGAATTGAACGATTCTGAAAGAAAGAGGTCTCTGTCATCGTATCTCAACTCTAATTATTAAATGATCATAGTTTATTAAAATTATGATGTAAACGACCATTGAATTAACGTTGAGAATTCCATAACCCATTCACTAATTTATTTTATAGGTGTATTATTGAATTATCATTATCCATTTATTGCTGAATTATATAGTCAACAAAATTTATTGTTAAAGGTTCCAAAAAAAAGGCAGAAAAATAATCGCAAAACCTGCAACTAAAAAACTAATAGTTGGTCGTCTTTGTATTTACTACAAAGTACGGACACACACAAAATAAGACCAAAATTAAATTGACATTTACGTTGCCAACTTATAAAGTTCCTTGTAAATTGTTATTTCCTCTAATTATTCATGCGATGATTATATGCGTATGTTACGTACTGGACTTTCTCATTAACAATAACTAATTAAATTGATATTTATTTATGAAATTTTCCTATAGAAAATGGAAAAATAAAATAAAGGAAAAGAGAGAAGTAAGGGCCAAAAAAAAGTGTGACGCAACGACAAAAAAGGTAAATGCAGAGAGACTCTTGAGAGTCCAAAAACAAACACCCACTTCACGGGTTAGTTTCATCTCTTGGCAACTCAAACGATTCAGTTCCCTAAATCTCTGTGTTATTTTAATTCCCCAATTTACCCTTCCACATTGTTGCTTATTCACTCACCGGCAAAAATAAAAAAAACAGTTACGAAATTGAATTGGCCCATTTAAAACCACACTAACCTGGACGAAGATTCGGTTTGGTAGCTGAGAAACGGATTTGAGGAGGTAATTAGAGCTCCACCGGAGAGCCACGAGGGAGTTTCGTAGCTCCGACGAAGGCATGAGTTCGCCGAATTCAATTACGCTCCACGCGAGCATTGTGGTGGTGAAAGCCATCGGGAAATTGAATTTGACGTTGTCTCCGGCGTCGTAATAACCGCCGGTTAAATCTGTGTTGTGTGTCCAACCGTCGCTCAGACCGGAATTACGACGCCACGTCATACGCTGGTCGTTTGGGAGGTAACCGGAGCGTTGGCCTTCGAAGAAGAGGATTGATTTTGAGAGTGCGTCGGAGTAATCGTGCTGGTTCGACGACATTGTCGGACGGAGGAGGAGGAGGAAGCTGAAGACAAGTGAGAGAGGGTATAAATGTAATTTCATGGTGTATCGGCGTCGGTGGCGGCGGCGGTGGTGGTGATGGTGATGAGGGAGAGGCTTACTGTCTGTGACTGATCCGTGTTTGCAACTACGAGTGTGTCACGAGATGTGTTTATATATAAGTGGGAGATTTTTTTATTTATTTATATGTATAGAAAAGAATCATTAAGTGATTTAGTGCCTTTTGATATGCGATTTATGCCTTTTTTTCCTTCATTTTCTTAATTATCTTATGGAAAAAACATTATGCTGTTCTGCAATTTTCGTCTAATACCAGTACTAGAAATTAAACAATAAAACTTAATTCTTTGAGTGATTTTTTATTTATTTATATATATATAGAAAGGAATCATTAAGTGATTTAGTGCCTTTTGATATGCGATTTATGCCTTTTTTCCTTCATTTTCTTATGGAAAAAAAACATTATGCTGTTCTGCAATTTTTCGTATAATACCAGTACTAGAAATTAAACAGTAAAACTAAATTCTTTGAGTGATTTTTTCCATTTTATTTCCTAGAAAGTTTTTTGTAATTTTCTTCTTTTTTGTTTACAGTTACTCACACATGTAGATTAGAATTTAGTCAATTTACTAGCAGGATCAAAGTAAAAACTTTAAAAGTATCAATATTGAGGTTTTATATAAATAAACTACGAAGTCAGTTAGCTATGTTAGAAAAGCTTATATAATTCATTGGAAAATTAGTCGATAATGGAATTAAGAATGTCCATATTTGAATACGTAACAATAGATATATCAGAATAAGTTAAGCTTATTACACAAGCAAAATTTCGACTAAAATCTGAAATTGTGTATTAGGGAATTATTCTGCAATCGTGGATTACAAAAAAAAACTAATTTAATGAGAACTGAATAATGTCATTTGTGCGTGTGGCAGCACTACCGACAAATGAAACTGAAGCGAGCGCGCGAGCAAGCCCATGAGTGTCACTCTTTTGGTTTTTGCTCGAAAGATAAACTAAAACTATATATTTTTTCATTTTCTGTTTTTGATATCTCTTTAAGAATGCAATGAGCATGTCTCTTTATGAATATAATGAGCATTATAAATGTAAAATAGGTTTAACAATGAATAAAAAATAGTATGACGACAAAAAGAAAAGAAAAAAGGATAGTATAAGCGACGGGATTAGCATAATAATAAGATAGCTTTCTCAGTGTTATGTATATCGATAATGCAAAAAAAAATAAAAAAATCAGAATCTCGTGACTATGTGGGACCTGCATGCTACTGTAACATGAATCAGGCTTTGCGTTTAAGCGTTAAGTTGCTAAGGAAAGTATACAAAAAATCACAATCTTTCTATGTTTGTGTGTACATAAATATTTTTTCTATGAGTTACCTACTAACAAAACATTATCCAATTGTATGTTTTTTGGTTCCTACCGACTATGTACGTAGTAGCGCCTCGCTTCTAATGATTTAGTCTTTAGCGTCCACGAAAGACGGTCTCTTATTTTCTCATCTTTACAAATTAACTTTGTCATCTTTATCTTCATATGAGCAACATCCATATATCCAGCCTTCTTGTAGAGCCAACCAATTAACTTTTTGATTCCACTGATAACACAACGACATAAGAAACCTACAAAAAAATAAAACTAAGAGTAACGAAATATTTTAAAACAAAACACTTTTCCAGTTGAATTATAATAAAGGGACTAATGGATCTTGAACCCATTAATGATCATCGATCTTAGAAGGTGTCGCGACATTGTGGACTAATGGAGCGTATCAGAAAAAAGTGAGAAGGGTCAATACATACCGAATGTTAGTTAGTTAAATGTTAGGCGAGTAGAAATATCAAATATATGAATTCATCATCCTTTTTATATGAAACAAATCTCACGTAATACTAATAGAAAAAAAAAATAGAACGTATTTGTGGGGGACTTTGCCATTTTCACAAGCAAGATAATCTGTTATTTTTTGCCTTATCCTTTATCGATCATTTTTCTCTTTTCCTCTGAAAATCTTAGCTTTACGAATTACGCTTACATGATTTTTTGCCCTAGGAAAATATCATAAACCAATATGATCTTATAATGTCCAAAACATTAACTTGGTTGAAAATCATATATATGAGATAAATTAATTAAGATTCCACTAACAAAAGTCAATTTTTTTGGTTTGTTAAATGAATAAATAGACAATTGGTGTCATACTAATATATAAATCAATAAATGTATTACAAATCTATGTCTCATTGCATTGGTACCATTACGTACCTTGTGGATCACGACAAGTGACCTCACAGCACATGTGTGGTATCTTTTTTTTCCTTTTACGTGTATCAAATTGTCGATAATTATTTCTACAAACATTGACCTAAAAGCAAAGGGTAGATAGATCCATTTCATTGTTGGGGATTAAGCCTAGAGAGAAATTAGACTAGTGAATTTCATAGTGGCCTTTATTTATGTTTAGTATGTTATTGGGTTTTCAAACCTCATTTCTTAACAAATCAATTGCTGACGTCATTAAATATTTTTTAACGAGTCTCCCTCATCTCTCAACTTTATTTAACACTTAAATTAATTTTTTAAAAATAATAATGAAATTAACATGGTTTTAATTACAATCATTATTTTTTAAAAGTTGAAGTGTTAAATTTTGTTTTAAATTTTAGTCAAAATCACTATTATTTTTAAAAACGAGTTTATGTGTTAAATCTATATTACGTGAAAACATGCCGAACTTCGAACAGCAAAGCTTACGGACCGATTAAGGACATGATGCCTAGGCGCGGTTAGTTTTCGACGTTTTAAAAATTTAACACTTAAAGTAATTTTTAAAAAGTAATAGTGAAATTAACATGATTTTAGTTAAAAGCATTATTTTCTTAAAGTTTAAGTATTAAATTTTGTTTTAAATTTTAGTCAAAATCACTATTATTTTTAAAAACGAGTTTATGTATTAAATCTATATTACGTGAAAACATGCCGAACTTTGAACACCAAAGCTTACGGTCCGATTAAGGACAGGATGCCTAGGCGCGATTAGATTTCGACGTTTTTAAATTTTAACACTTAAACTAATTTTTAAAAACTAATAGTGAAATTAACTTGGTTTTAGTTAAAAATATTATTTTCTTAAAGTTTAAGTGTTAAATTTTGTTTTAAATTTTAGTCAAATCACTATTATTTTTAAAAACGAGTTTAAGTGTTAAATCTATATTAAGTGAAAACATGCCGAACTTTGAACACCAAAGCTTACAGACCGATTAAGGACAGAATACCTAGGCGCAGTTAGTTTTCGACGTTTTTAAAATTTAACACTTAAACTAATTTTTGAAAAGTAATAGTGAAATTAACATGGTTTTAGTTAAAAACATTATTTTCTTAAAGTTTAAGTGTTAAATTTTGTTTAAATTTTAGTCAAAATCACTATTATTTTTTAAAAACTAGTTTAAGTGTTAAATCTATATTACGTGAAACTATGCCGAACTTCGAACACCAAAGCTTACGGACCGATTAAGGACAGGATGCCTAGGCGCGGTTAGTTTACGATGTTTTTAAAATTTAACACTTAAACTAATTTTTGAAAAGTAATAGTGAAATTAACATGGTTTTAGTTAAAAATATTATTTTTAAAAAGTTTAAGTGTTAAATTTTGTTTAAATTTTAGTCAAAATCACTATTATTTTTTAAAAACGAGTTTAAGTGTTAAATCTATATTACGTGAAACCATGCCGAACTATCTAAAATGTTTTTAAAAACTGTTTTGCATTGATTTGTAGAAACGTTTATTTTTCTTTGAATATAATTTAACATTAAATTCAAAAAAAAAAAAAAAAAAAAAAACCATGCCGAACTTCGAACACCAAAGCTTACGGACCGATTAAGGACATGATGCCTAGGCGCGGTAGTTTTCTACGTTTTTAAAATTTAACACTTAAACTAAATTTTAAAAAAATAATAGTGAAATAAACATGATTTTAGTTAAAAGCATTAATTTCTTAAAGTTTAAGTGTTAAATTTGGTTTAAATTTTAGTGAAATTTATATAATTTAAGTGAAATAATTATTATATTTGAATCATTAGTGTAATTATTTTAATTAACACATAAACTAAATTAATATTTAAACTAATCTTAAAGAAAAATAAAAAGAAAAAAAATAAGAATGAAAAAAGAATACCTTGTTGGATTTGTAGCAAAGAAGGCCCGATACAAAAAAGCCCATTCCAAAGTCATATTTGAGCCCATCGTTCTTGGGTAGCTCTCTCCATCGGTTGAAGCACCTCGGTGGCTAGATCACTAACCGGTGGATTTAGGGCGAACTGAAATCGATCTTTGATTTAGAGATAAGACGATAGAGGAGATGATCATTCAATCAATGAACCGATGATATATGCTTTCCGGCTCCGATCACCCTAACTCTTACGGATGTTGCAGCGACCTTTGTTTCAAACTTGGATCATCATTAGAATTCACAGAGTCTTTGTATAAAGACATAATTGGCTCGAGAAGAGAAGAAGAATTAAAAGAAGCGTTGTTGAGAAGAGTAGTTGTGCGTAAGAAGAAGAAGAAGAAGAAAAAGAAGAAGAAGAAGAAGAAGAAGAAGAAGCGAGAAACAGAGTGTTAATAATCAGACTGCGTGAGAGAGTCTCATCTATGATCTATTTATAAGCAAAGAGGTTCAAAAGAAAAAAGAAATTGCTAATCACAATTAACGGTCACATAACAATTTCCTTTTTTCTGTAATTTCCTTTTTTCTTTCTATGCCTTTGTTTCCTTTTTTTCGATGGCTTTTTTTTTTTTGTGTTAAGGTGACTAGTGAATTTCATAATGGGCTCCATTTAGGTTTTAGTTTGTTAATGGGTTTTCAAAGCCCATTTCTTAACAAACCAATTGCTGACGTCATTAATTTGTTTTAACGAGTCTCCCTCATCTCTCAATTTCGTTTCGTCGCACGACCGATTCTGCTTTCTCGTCGGAGATCAGCTGCCAGTCACCTTCGTAACGGAGGTACACTGCTGTTTCTTCAGTGAAATCGAGTTCCGCTATCTTCTTAAAAGAATGTATTGGTTGATTTTGGTTTAAGGTATTGATTTCGTTTTGCCTCTTATTAGTTCCTACACTCGAGATTCAGCTCTTAGGGTTTTATCGTACCTTAAAGAATGCGCACCGTATGTATTATTATTCTGTGGCGAATTAGGTAATTTTTACTTGCGTAAGCTCTGAAGAGTTTTCCGATTTTGTGGTCTTTAGAAGAAAATGAGTTCAGAGACAAGGAGCAGGAAGATTCTTAGTGATCGTTTTGCTTACCGTGATGATCCTTATCGAAGAGATTCACTTCCAAGTTTCAGGTTTCTCTCATTGCTCTTCAAATCTGTGTTTCATATACTAAGGAGTTGTTTTACTGTGGGTGGAGTAGGCTGCTATACTAAATTGCTTCTTTGTTGCTACATTTAATTCTCTCTTGCAGCCAAAGAAGTAATACATGCAATAACTGCAAGCGACCTGGTCATTTTGCTCGAGATTGTCCTAATGTCTCAATCTGCCACAACTGTGGCCTTCCTGGGTACACCTATTCATCCATACTCTGCTTGCCTTTCTTATTCCATCGTTGCATTTCTTTATCACCTTAACTTGGTTTTGTGAAGTTCTTGGTACCTTTTATGATAACACACCCCAATCTCTAAGGTGGATTTGTACATCACATTTTAGCTGATTTAGGTTGATTGATTTATATATGTGTTTGTGTGCTTCTTTGGATTTGCTTTTTCTGGCCAACATTATACCAAGTTATGCTATTTTGGCTTAGATTAATATTGTCTTTACAAAACTTGGCAGGCATATTGTATCCGAATGCTCAACAAAGTCGCTGTGTTGGAACTGCCGTGAACCAGGTCACATGGCTAATAGCTGCACCAACGAAGGCATTTGTCACAGCTGTGGTATTGCCGGACACCAAGCAAAAGACTGCATTGCTCGCCAGCTCCCGCCTGGTGACCTTATACTCTGCAACAACTGTTACAAGCAAGGCCACTATGCAGCTGATTGCACGAATGGAAAAGCCTGCAACAACTGCAGGAAGACGGGTCATTTAGCCCGTGACTGCAGAGACGATCCTGTCTGCAATCTGTGTAACGTTTCTGGTCACCTTGCTATAAAATGCCCAAAAACAGATGGGGTAGTAGGAGACCAAAGACCACGTGGAAACCGAAGCGGCCGAACCCAGTCCGAGGACATTGTGTGTAGGAACTGTCGGCAAGTGGGTCATATGAGCAGAGACTGCACGGCTCGGTTGATGGTATGCCGGAATTGTGGTGGAAGGGGACACATTGCGTATGAATGCCCTTCTGAAAGATTTGGGAACAATCAGTATCCCTTAAGGTACTAAGCCCCACTACAAAGGAGCTTCAACGGTCTATATTTTAATTAAATCACCAATAATGTTTTGTTGTATCGGTTCTGGGGATCTTCAGATGAGGTGTACGTATGACATTTATTATTTAATCGTTCATCGATTGAGCTGGTTGGGCCCTTGAGAATTAATTCAAGTCCGGTTCTTAAATGGGCTTGCTCATGTAAGATAATGATGGGCTATATGTTTTTAATTAATGAAAAAAACATATTTTAATAGAGAAAACTTAAAAAGAGAGAGAGAGATTACCTAGCTAAGTTGATTATTTATTCAGTTTGGGCGAAAGAGATAGGTACTATAGAAGGAGTAAAGATGTATTATACGGTCAAAAGATGATTATGGTGATGACAATCCAACGATGATCATGGTAGTTACGACGATTCCAGTGCAAAAAGATATCTTTAGATGGCGTGAGAGACAAAAACAAATTAAACCAGTGGGTTTCCTTTTCTTTTCTGTGAACGAGAGAGAGATCAGGTTGATCAATGTTTCCATTTTGAGATTAGCAAGAGAGAGAAGTTTTCTTTAGGTACAACTTTTGCAATTTCAATAGTAAAACAAAAACCAGAAAAAAGAGAGATAGAGTTAGGCATTGACATTACGGAGAAAAAGACTCTTTGTTTTACTTTTTTTTTACTTTCTTTTTCCTTTTTTTTTCCTTTTTACTTCTCTTTTTATTATTTCTAAAGAAGATGATCGTGTTCGAGGTCAATATTGCATTCTTTCTGAATGTTGTTTGTTCGTTTTTTTATTATTATTTTAGTCAGGGAGAAGTCATGTGTTCAAGTTATTGTATACGACTATACGGCATTAATGATAATGATACGAGTGAACAACTGATCAGATGGTTTAATATTTTATGCGACATTATAAATAATAAGATAGGTCGGCAATTCAGATAGTTGTACTGCATAATGACAAAAGATGCATTCAATAGATATTGACTTCAAAGTGGAGAAAATTTGTAATTTTTTTTTTTTAACTCTTGGTTAATTTTAAAGAGCACATAAAAAATCAAATAGAAAAAAATTACTTATGTGTGCATGGAATAAGTTGGAATATATTCTCACGTCCTGTGTGCTGTGTTGGTAGTTACTAAAAATAGATATGCAAAAAGGGTTACATGAATGGACCACGTAGATTCATGCATTTGTTATCCTCAGACAAAGTTAAAGTTAAGTTAAATTCTTCGCTATACTGAATTTTCTACGAGAAATCCAACTCTTTCTCCAATCACTAAATGGGAAATGGCGTCTTTATTTCCACATTCAAACTATCTCCACATTATATGAGTCACCAAATATCTGAATTTCTTCAACTTTGAAAAATATACTCCATAAATCGTGTTAGATTTCTTCTGCTTAATTTTAATAAATTTTCCGTAATATTACTAATTAAACTGATTATGGAAAATTGATGAAATGAAAGTAAAGGGATGTAGAAATCTTTGGTTTTGTGAATTGTAAATGAGTCAGCAAAAGTAATTCTTCTGTCGGAGATGAAAATTATTATTATTTTACTATAAACGGCATTACGCGTGAGGGTGTTTGGTCGACTCGTTTACTACTGGATTTTTCATATTTTTTTTTGTGTTAGACCACGTACGTAGTAGCCCCAAGGCTAACACTAATGAAGGAAGGTTCCGCGCCAAAGTAAAGCCACGTCATCCGAATCCTAAGTCCACGTGTTCCTTCTTACCACGCGTGATTATTTGGTTGGGCTTGTTTCTAGTCTACGAGGCCCAACAGAGATTATTTATATTTATGTTGTGACCCAAAATCAGCTAGTTGTTTTTACTAATTAGTTTCTTGCTTAGTTTAAAAATGATCTTGAAGTATGATAATTATTAGTTTCTTGCATTGGAATTAAATATTAAACAGCTGATATAAAGCTGTGCTACTAAACAACACCATTTCAAACCATTGGACACTTTAGCCGGTAGCTCGGAACGGCGATGAGTCTGGTGGCTCTAGGCGCCGTGAGACCGAACATGTCAGTCATATCCAAATCGTCGGAGTTAACTCCGTCCGGCAAGTCCCAATCAAAAGAATGAAGCATATGCGCGACGGCGAGTTCCATAGCATAAAGCCCTAATTGCATACCCGGGCACGATCTTCGACCCGACCCAAACGGTAGAAACTCGAAATCACTACCCTTGAAATCCGGAGCCTTGTTATCCATAAACCGACCCGGTTTAAACGCATCTGGTTCAGTCCAAACCGATCCGTCACGCCCAATTGCGTAAACATTGATCATGACCCGAGAATCACGGGGAATTGAGTAGCCGGAGACGACGGAATCTGTCGCCGCCTCGTGGAGGAGAAGCGGAATCGGCGGGTGTAGCCTCAACGTCTCTTTCATTGCGCATCTGAAGTAAGGAAGATTCTCGAGATCAGATTCGTGAAATTGACGATTCAAACTGATGACGTCAGCGAGTTCTTGCTGCAATTTCCTCAGTTCGTGAGGATTCTTCATTAGCTCCGTCATTGCCCATTCAATTGCAGACGCCACCGTTTCAGTCCCACCAAACATCACATCCTACAATAATAATTCAACTTCTTAATCAATTAAAATGACATTATTATAAAATTTTAACATATGGTTTGTAATACTAATCTAGTTGTATTATTACCATGACGAGGGCTTTGATGTTATCTCTTGTGAGCCTGATTGATGATTGTGAATCAATATTAGATTTACTGTCATTTTCACCGTTATAAAACGCCATTAGTTCATCGACCATGTCATCGTCCAAGCCATCATCGTCGGGTTTTCGCGATTTCTTCTTTTTGATATGTGCATCGATGATTCTATCTATGAACCCATCCAATGATTTCCTAGCGTTTTCTAACCGCTTGTTGAAACCGTGGTTACCAAACCATTTCATCCACGGTAAAAACTCTGTGATATCAAATGCACCAAAGAGCTTAGAGAACTCTTGTAGTATCTTGACGAATTCGTCTTGACCGTCGCGAGCGAACGAGCCAAACGCAGCTCTGTAGGTTATATTCCGCGTCAAAGCAAAAACCAACTCTCCCACGTTAACCAGTGAACCGGTTTGGTTGGTCAGTGTTTGAATCATTGAATCAATTTCTTCTCGTACTGAGGCCCATGATTCGGCCCGCTTTCTGCTAAAGAGCTTCATAACGCAAATCTTTCTCATTTGACGCCAAAGTGGACCGTAGTTAGCAAACGCCATATCCGCCCGGTTGTATGTAAGATATGAAATCGCCACGTTAGCTGGCCGATTTGCAAAAACCACATCTTGAACCTAACATAACCGAATACTTTAATTGAATCCATTCATTTTTTTTTTGTTAGAATCCAAACAAATGATTGAGAAGAATCATTAAAAAATAATTGTGTCAAAAATAATAATTCAAGTAATAATTAAAATTCAAATAAATATCACTTACCTGAAGAATTTCTCGTGCCATGTCAGCGGTAGAAACGGCTACAATATGAATTTTACCCATTTGAAGATGTAGAAGACCACCAAATTGTTTAGCTAACTCGGCCAAACCACGATGATTCAACTGATTTTTAAGTTTGAAGTTTCCTATCACTGGAAATCCTTTTGGACCTGGTGGAAAGGAAAGACTCCGATTTAACAAAACTCTAACTAAATACAACATGAAAATAAGAAAAACATATAAAATTGGGGAGCAAAGCAAACAATCCATCTTTTCTCTTTTACTGTTTTTCTAATACAGAGAGTGAAAAGATGGTGAAGAGTTTTTTTTTTTTTTTTGTATCTGGCTGTTATTTGAATATATAGAAAACAAAAGTTCTTTACAATTTGGGTGGCTGTTACTAAATATTCGTAGATTCTGTTTTAGATTTATGCATATGTGTATGGTAAATAATACTCGTTAAATATGAAAGATTTGTTTCCCGTTTCGGCATTTAAAAATACAATTTACTTGAGTATTTAAAAATATAAAGAAAACAATGGTAGTCAATATTTTGTGTCTTTTGCAGCAGTACATAATACATATATCCCAATAAAGATAACAAATAAATTTAAAGTTGGAAATTTAGCAATGGACGAATAAAAGAATTTTAATATACGAGCAGTAAATTTTAGCCGTTAGATTTACATAAACGACTTACGACAAAAAGAACGTGGTTAACACCACCTACGTAGCTTTCTCAAGATTTATACGAATATTAGTATATATAATAATCTACTAGCTAGTATTTGTTTTGCGGTACTAGCTAAAAAAACTACGCAGCATATATATTGAAGGACTTAAGCTTTTTTACGTTGATTTGTAATTTTGTTTATGGATTTTTATTACAATAATCACTTTTCAGCGAAAATATATATTTTGAAAAAAAATATATATATATATATATATATATATATACCTAAGCTTTTTTCTTACGTTGATTGTACATTGATAATCTATTTCTTACATAATGATAAATTATACAAATTCTTAGATATCCAAAGTACTATAAAATATATAAGCTAATACACAATTTTTGTGAATTTAGTACGCCACTGGACATCTTTTGCATAATGATATATCATATATTATCTTCTTTCTAGATGTCATATTATAGTAATACAATTCCAAATTTAAACCTAAGCTATTTTTATCTGTATTCGCACGTAGATGATCTTTTTAGATATGTAATAGTTTGTTAAATTGGCGTACAAACACGTAGTGCTTTATAATCAGAAGGATATGGCTTTAAATAAATAAAAACTAGAAAAGAATTAAACATACAGACACAGTATACTGTTTTTTAGGAGGTATGTGACACGTGATTTGATCATTTATTAAAAAAAAAGAAAAAACTTAACAAGTTTTTCAAGATTTTGTATTTTAATGTTTAGAGATTCGATAAATAAAATTTTTATACCATGATCCAAAGATTGAAACCTTTTATTTCTCTTGTTTATAAATGAGAAGATGCTTGGCCTTAGGTAAACCAAGCTTTCTTTATCATCTTCGTATTCTAGGCTTTTCAAGAGAAACAAAAAATTTAATATGTTGTCGGGTGAGAAAACGATGATGGATTTCTCAGATGAAAATGTGGCAAACAAAACTATAATTTTTGGAGTAAATGACAGTTCCACACGATCAATAATGCTTAAGTTCGCAATTATATCGATATATGGAGTCGTAAGAGGATGGGATAGTGTGATTGCATACAAAGATGATATGAGTTTCAGCTATTTTCTATTCAGATACTTTGGATTCTTGTCAATGTACATTTACGTTTTAAAATTGGTTTGTTGTTTTGGTCCCTCAGATCCACCACACACTACATTCAAAGGACGATCATTCTTGCTTGCCATCATAACATTAGTGATGAGCGTATCTATGTTTTATAACTGTTACACATGGCAGAGGTGGGATGTTTATTTTCTTACGTTAAGTGTTATTATCGCTACAATCTCATTATCTCAATTGATTTACGGCATGGATGGGCTTGAGGCTGGTTATATTGTATGGAAAACCATCTTTGGATCTGCTTGGGGAATTTTCGGTCTATATTTTGATATTACATCAGGATCAATTATCTGTACTTTCTTCATCACCGCAATATTTCAAATGGCGTTCACGTCAGTAGTTTATATGGACGGTTTTGAACTCGAGGAATAACTAGTGGCTTCTTTTGTCAAAGAAAGAACTACTGGCTTCAACTAGTTTATTTTAATTTTGTTACAATTTAGAATCCAGATAAATCATTAAAATATTATGTTGTCAAAAAAAAATCAAGTAATAATTTAAATTCAAATAAATCACTTACCTGAAGAATTTCTCGAGCTATTTCAGCTGTAGAAACGGCTACAATATGATTTTTACCCATTTGAAGGTGTAAAAGACCACTAATTTGTTTGGCTAACTCAACACAAATCACGATGGTAATCAATATTCTCTGTCTTTTTGCAGCAGTCGATAATATTTCCCAACAAAGATAAATTTTATATTAGATTGGAAATCTAGCAATGGACGAGTTCCTTTTATTATAAAGCAATAAATTTTAGCCGTTAGGCATTTGATTTACATAAACGAACCTCCGCAGCTTTCTCAAGATTTACATGAATACTAAGATAATTTGAGGATTTATTTGTCTGATGGAGACCTATAGGGTAAAATGTTGACGATTCTTAAAGTATAGGGGTTATATTTGTTATAAGATTAAAAGTGAGACTTGGAAAAGTAAAGTAAATTCAATGTTAATGTTCTATCTGATACCATACCAAACGGTAGGTTTTGATTTCAAACACTCTCTCTCTCTCTCACACAAGGAAGGAGGAAGAAGACGAAGATAGAGAGATAGTGTTTTGTTTACGAATGGAAACAATAAGAAAGCAAGCTTCTAAGCTCAGAGAACAAGTGGCCAGACAGCAACAGGTATTGAAAATTCAAAAAACCCTAAATTATATCTCAAGATTATCAATTTTACTTATGATTAATTGATGGGTTTTGGTTGAGTTTGATCTGCGTAGATGGTGTTGGCTTCTCGGTCTTTAATCGATAGTGTGAAAGTTGGACAAGTTACAATCTTTGATCTCTCAAATTGATTTTTTTTTTTGTTTACAATTTTAGTTGATTTAGGTTCAATTGGGAAAACTTGTATCTTTGGTGCTATTGGTTTGATATTTAATATTTGATCTTTGAAATTGATAATCTTTTTACAATAAGCTTTCAAAGGTTCTTCTTGTATGTTGATGTTTTTCTATGTTCTGTTGCAAATTTTGATGGAGGCTGTTCTGAGACAATTTGGGGGAGGAGGTTATGGAGGTTCAGACACTGTAATAACCGATGAGGAAGAGTTTCATCGCCATCAGAAACTCGAGAAGCTCTACCTCTCAACACGTTCTGCTAAGGTTTTTGAAATTTCCAGCTTGTTACAACAACTTTAATTATCTTGGTCTTGGTACAGTTTCTTCATTGAAACCCTGAAATTTACTTTTCTTCTCAGCATTTTCAACGGGATATTGTTCGTGGTGTTGAAGGATATATCGTTACAGGATCCAAACAAGTCGAAATAGGTGATTTTTTTCTTATGCATTTGTGTTTCTACTGTTTTTAAGAATCATATAATTGTCTTCTGATTCATTTTGTTGCGGTTAGGGACTAAGTTGAGTGAGGATAGTAGGAGATATGGTTCGGAAAATACATGTACAAGTGGTAATACACTAACAAGAGCTTCACTAAGTTGCGCAAATGCCCGGGCTCAAATGGAGAAAGAGCGCGGAAATCTCTTGAAGACTCTTGGCACTCAGGTTTCAAACCGTTTAGTTTGGCAAAATCTATGCACCCTTTTTTTTGTCAATATAGCTAAGTTTTACATGATGAAGTTATTAGGTCGCTGAGCCATTAAGAGCAATGGTAATGGGTGCCCCATTGGAGGATGCTCGACATTTAGCTCAGCGGTATGATCGGATGCGACAAGAAGCTGAAGCTCAGGTACTCAGCAGTGTCGCTTCTTCTAACTTCTGACACTAAATTGTGTTTTTTTTTACTAACATTTTTTCTTGAACCTACGCAGACTATAGAAGTATCAAAACGGCAAGCTAAGGTTAGAGAGAATCCCGGTAATCCCGAACTAGTAATGAAGCTGGAATCTACTGAAGCAAAACTGCAAGACCTAAAATCAAACATGACAATATTGGGGAAGGAAGCAGCTTCTGCCATGGCTGGAGTCGAAGATCAACAGCAAAACCAAACTCTTCAGCGGCTAATAACTTTGGTACTTACGTAGACAACTGTCTTTTGGTAAGACTTGGAAGTTATTTTGGCTTCAAAATCACTTATTTCTCTCTTGCTTTTGCATGTTTCTATGAAAAGGTTGAAGCAGAGCGTAATTATCATCAAAGGATCCTTGAGGTTATTGAACGGCTAGAAGGAGAGGTATATATATCTCCATTGGCCACATCTTTCTACATTGTTAATCTCCGAGTGATATAATTTCATTGTATAGATGAGATTTGAGCAACAAAGAATCGAAGCACCTCAAACTCCACAAGTAGAGAACATCACATTTTCGCCTCCTCCTTCATATGAAGAAGCCAATGATGGAGTCAATGCTTCTCAAATGCATAATGGAACATCAGACGCCATGGGATACTTCTTAGGAGAGGTTAGTGTACTTAAAAATGTCATCTTGTTATGTTCACAAGAGCTTAATTAATCTCTTAAGTTGCCTATCTTTTTCCGCACAGGTCATGTTTCCGTATCAAGCTGATTCAGATTTTGAGCTCAGCTTATCAGTTGGAGACTATGTTGTTATCAGAGAGGTTAGCATTCAAATCAAAGCATATAAGATACCATTCTTTTCTGGCTCAGGACATCAAATAACCGAAAGAATCTTAAAACTCATCTTTGATCTTTGAGGACTCATTCACATGTCTTTATGCTGATCCAGGTAGCGAGTAGCGGGTGGGCAGAAGGAGAATGTAAAGGCAAAGCGGGGTGGTTTCCTTATGATTACATCGAAAGAAGGGATCGTGTCCTCGCAACTAAGGTCATCGAGGTATTCTAATGGCTTTTTGGTGGGTTTCGGTGATTCTTGGGACACTAGTTTTATCTGTTTAAAGAAACTTTGTGATTTTTGTTGCCATTGTTGTTCAGTATTTAGCTAGATTTATGTTTCTTCCTCTCTTTTTTACTTTTACACAAAATCTGATCATAAGCAAAAGAAATCTCATCTCCGATGATATCTAACAATATTTTCCATAATTCAAATGCTTTCGGAAAGGATTTCTCAATGTAGGTTAAAATATATCTTGGACTTCATTGTTATCAATAAACTAATTTAGTAATTTTCCTTAACTTCTTTAACTTTTAAGAAAATAAAACTCAAATTTAGTGGTTATACAACATTTTGATTGAAACTAACATTATGAACTAACGGTCTGTGAGAGGACAAAAGCATTTTTCACATATGTACCAAAAAAAGAAAATCGATTTTACTTTTCTTATAAAATGACAAAAATTATCAAGAAATGGAACATAACTTACGACGAAATTTACCTAACGACTTTGTTTCCTTGATGAATATTATATACACTTTTTGTAATCTATGGCCATGAAAATTACCAAGAAATTGACAAGAAATCGGGTGGAAGTCGGGAATGTTACATACTTTTCTTTGTAACTCCACTGCGAAAGCAAAAAAAAATTTAGTCAACCTTTTGGGAAAATTATCGTCTTTGACATAAGAGATTAAAAAAACTTTGCTTACGTAATATTCTTTATTTGCGTTATAGTTGGTAATTTTCCTTTAATTTTAGAAACTTTGCTTACCTATATTTTTTACCAAATTTTTTTTTTACTTGCTTATATTTTGAATCAACTGTTATTAACACATGTATAAATGATGTTTTCGTCATCATTGAAGTCAAGCTCGAGAGAAATTTGTTTCCTAATTTAATTCATAAATGAGAAAGTGAATATGTACATCTTCGAAGAAATAACGTAACCATTGACTTAAACAAAAAAAATAACATTAGTCTTTAATTAAATTGACATTTAAAATTAACAATACAAGTCTTTTCAAAGTCTTTTGAGAGTTTTTTTCTTAATTCTATAACAATACAAGTCTTTTTCATAGTCTCTTTTAATTGACTAAATAATAAAGACCATGAAAAGACTTGTATTGTAAGTTTGAGTGTAAATTGTAATTAAAGACTATTATTTTGTTTATTTCTGTATCTTTGCCATGTAAATAATTACATTATATGATAAATAAATGATCATATTGACAAATGACAGCTAGAAATGTAATTAGCCCACCAACTAAATAATTGTATAGGTTAATAATGGAGCAAGTAGCAAGTGATGTTCTTTCTATATACATTTTTTTAATTTTAATTTCTTTTAATGGGTTATTTTATTTTAACTGTAATTTCGTAGAAGAGTAATTTCGGAAGAAAAAAAGAAAAGAAAAGAAAAGCATCACGTGGTAAAGAGAGAGTAGTATAAAGATAGTTGGTTGGGTTCTGTTTTTTTCTGTATACAAATCTCGAGGCGCCAAAAACAACCAAAAACTTCATAGCGGTGATCAGATTCACCAAATTTCTCTTAACCAAATCAATCAAAATGCTAATCAAATCCCAAAGATTGACCCTTTTCTCTCCTCTCTTTCCCAAACCAAGACCGATTCCGGTTTACTCCCACCAAACACTAGTCGCAGATTCGGTGCTAACTCGGAGAAAACTCGGTGCGATCACCGCAACTCCGAGTTTCCAAGGAAATCCGGTGGTGACTCCGCGGAGAATAAAATTAGAGCAAGCTACGAGGAACTGCGTCGGAAGTGATCGGGAAATCGACGAAGAAGAAGAGGAGAAGAAGAGAGGGGATCTGGTGAAACAGAGCATATGGGAACAGATGAAAGAGATAGTGAAGTTCACAGGTCCGGCGATGGGGATGTGGATTTGTGGACCGTTGATGAGTCTCATCGACACGGTCGTCATCGGCCAAGGAAGCTCCATCGAACTCGCTGCTCTTGGTACGTACGCTTTTCAATCATTACTTATATTTCCGGTTTAGTAGCCAATTTTAAACCGGACTGGTCCTCAATAGATAGATTCATACTGTTTATGGTGCCTTTGTTTAGTCTCTTTCGAATATATTACACAGATTTGGAACCATGTGAACCAGTAATAGTTTTTAAAACGGGTAAACAAATTAGGCAAGTGTCCAGCTATATCATCTTATTATTTAATCATTTTTCCAAGCCAATCATTGAATTTGTGTCGGTTTACCAACTTCAAAAATTTTGTGTTTGTGTAACGTTTTTCACGAGTCTTCTAGACAGAAAAAATATCGGTAACACAACGGAATGACATAATTAAAAAGAACAAAATACATATGTCAAAGTTAATTGTGTTGGTCTGAAGAAAAAGGCAAATGGTTTAAGTCTCGTTGGTCAAAGTTATAGACCGTTTTCAATTGATTATTATGCATTTGATTTATACAAATTGGACTAGTCAACTCAAGGCTAACTAACATAATTCAGTAATAATAATAATAATAAAGTGTTTGAGTTTTGGTGACAATACGGTAATAATTGTGTATTTTTTATACGATGGCTGAGAAAATTACCGGTTTAATAGGACCGGGAACAGTACTATGCGACCACATGAGTTACGTCTTCATGTTCCTCTCCGTGGCTACATCCAACATGGTCGCAACTTCTCTTGCCAAACAGGTAATTTACTTTTTACTCTTTCAACTTTGTCTTCTTCTGATGTGGAAACATATCAAATGTTATTTGTTTTTCTTGCAGGACAAGAAAGAAGCACAACATCAAATCTCTGTCTTGCTCTTCATTGGATTGGTTTGTGGACTAATGATGCTTTTGCTCACAAGATTATTCGGTCCTTGGGCTGTTACTGGTAAACAATTTTTAGTACAGAAGTATGTTTCCGTTTTTAGTAATTTTTCGAGAGAAATGTATTTAGACTTTTGTCATGGTTTTTTTTGCAGCTTTTACAAGGGGGAAGAACATTGAGATTGTCCCTGCAGCTAATACATATATTCAGGTTCTTGTTCTTTTGATCATTCCCTGTTTCAAAATCTTCTGATAAATGATGCCTCTCTTTAACTGGAATCTTTCTGTCTCGTAGATTCGAGGCTTAGCGTGGCCGTTTATCCTTGTTGGATTGGTTGCTCAAAGCGCAAGGTTTCTTACACTTCCCTTCTTATTAATTAGCTATAACGTTCGATGTTCTGTGTCGATTTTTTCGCCTCTTTATTGCTTAATTTGATGTGAGAATCTGTCTCAGTCTTGGAATGAAGAACTCATGGGGACCTCTTAAAGCTTTAGCTGCAGCAACGATCATTAATGGTCTCGGAGATACAATCTTATGCTTGTTTCTTGGACAAGGTATTGCTGGAGCTGCTTGGGCAACAACTGCTTCTCAGGTAATATAAATTATACCATGAAGCCCAAAACTTGTAAACTGTAAATGCAGAAGATTTCATTACGGATGATATATTTGCATATTATGTTATAGGTTGTTTCGGCTTATATGATGATGGATTCTCTGAACAAAGAAGGCTACAATGCTTACTCCTTCGCTATCCCTTCACCGCAAGAACTATGGAAGATCTCTGCACTCGCTGCACCTGTCTTTATCTCCATCTTCTCCAAGATTGCTTTCTACTCTTTCATCATCTACTGTGCTACTTCCATGGGAACTCACGTTTTAGCCGCTCATCAGGTACAATACAAAACAGAGATCTTCATGCCTAGCATTGTTGGTGTTGTATATTTATATTTCTGGTTTTTTTATAGGTGATGGCTCAGACGTACAGGATGTGCAACGTATGGGGTGAGCCACTCTCTCAAACGGCTCAGTCCTTTATGCCAGAGATGTTATATGGTGCGAACCGTAACCTTCCAAAGGCTAGAACGTTACTTAAGTCCCTAATGATTATTGGAGCCACCCTTGGATTAGTCTTGGGAGTTATCGGAACAGCGGTTCCAGGCCTGTTTCCTGGTGTCTACACACATGATAAAGTCATCATATCCCAGGTCTGTTTTTGGTTTTCAAATCAACATTTGTTTCATGTGTTTTATCTTCTAACTTGGTCTAATCTGATTCTTGATCTGTTTCCAGATGCATAAATTGCTTATACCTTTCTTCATGGCGTTGTCTGCATTGCCTATGACAGTATCCCTCGAGGGTACATTGCTGGTAAATTACAAAGCTCTTGTTTAATTACATGGTTCCTTGAGAAGCAAGCAACTTAATAAAGCTTTCGATTTTTCTAATCTTGATAGAAGATAGTGTGCTTAAAACTAAACGTTGTTTGTTATTTACCAGGCGGGACGTGATCTCAAATTCGTCAGCTCAGTGATGAGTTCAAGCTTCGTTCTTGGCTGTCTCACACTAATGGTACTTGATAGATCCTTTTCATAAACCCTAATTAAGATTATTAATCTTCGAAGACACTTTAAATTTGAGCAACCCTAAAATGCTTTTTGTTGATAATGACAGTTCGTGACTCGAAGTGGCTATGGTTTACTCGGCTGCTGGTTCGTTCTCGTTGGATTTCAATGGGTAAAGATTTGTATACATAACAACATTTTGTTACCAGAGATTTTTTCTTTGTCCAAATCTGTCTTTAACCAAAATATGGTTAACATTGCAGGGTCGGTTTGGTCTGTATCTACGACGGCTTCTTTCGCCTGGAGGCATACTTAATTCGGATGGGATAAGTCCATATACGGCGGAGAAGATCAAATCCATTTAGTCTCAGTATGATGATTTCATTGATTATCTAAAGAGTTTGCCAACAAATGGCTAATTATGATATCTCAGGCACCAAAAAAAGCAAGTCACATCGAGCTCTGAGGCTCTAGAATGATGTCTAGGTTCTAAGCTTATTGTCAACTTCTTTTTTTGGTCAGAGGCTCAATGCAAATTTAAAGCATAATAGACAAATAATATTAAGTGTGGTTAGTTCAATCAGTTAGGAAAAAAGTAATTTGGATTATGTTTATTCAACGTAACAAAATTTTCATTCAAGATTGTCATCTTCCTTTGACGAAATCTCAAATTCACTTTTTTTGACTCGTCTCTTCATTTAATGGTCACAACATGGTTAAAGCTTCCAACAGAGGAGAATTTGGCTTACTGATCAAATGTGATTGTATTTCTAATTGTATTCTTGAAGAAATGAAAATGCATCACTACTCTTGAGATGATAACAAACAAACCGGGTAAAAATTTAAGCCGTTGGAACTCTACTTCCGCCTCTGCGTCCACGTCCATCAGGTCTCTCTGAATATTCTCTTCTCTACAATAACCAAAAGGTTAAAATACTGAATGATCTTAAAAAACAAAACAATAGAGAGTAATACGTGATGTTTTCAGGGTTACTTACAAAGGGTTTAGTGGGTCTAGTGTTTGCGTATTTCTGCCTTCTAGTAATTGACATTCTCTCAACTTCCTTCTTCTTCGCCTCTGCTTTCATTTTGGTGGGACTAGGCCGATACAATATCACAGTCCGCCCGATTTGCCCTACTGCTACCGAACCAGTCGCTTCCTCCAAATGCTGAACCGCATCCTCTAGCTCATCGGGCGATGTCTTGCGTATTTTCACCTGTTGGATCATATAAGAATTAACAAGAGACTCGCTCAAGTAAGCCTCAGAAGTTTTTGAATGCTTCCACAGTTTCAATCCATTCTCATAGATCAATCAAACAACAAAATTCCATTCACAAAAAAAAAAAACCAAGATTCCACATAATCAAAATCAAGATTCCAAGATCAACTAGAAGAATCATTCCACTTTCATCTCATTTCATACACCAAAGATGAACACATGAGTCAAATAAACCACAAAGTTACAATTCCTCTACTTTAAAACCCTAATTTTGGGGGAGATTACTTCACTTCCATCTCATTAGACCTAAAAGATTGAACACAAAACCTCATAAAGTTGATACCTTTAAGAGTTCGTTCTTCTCGAGAGTCTCGAGGAAGGAGAAAACGACTGAATCAGTAACACCAGATTTGCCGACGAGTTGACATTTCAATTTATCACCCAAACTATGTGCGTAAGAAGCCAATTCCTTCTTCTCCTTTATCGACAGCTTCAAAGCAGAGCCTCGACTCTTCTTCTTCGCCTTCTCTGTTTTCTCCTCTTTATCTCCTAAACCCATCTCAGATGCTTCCGAATCTTCAATTCCTCTCACGGAAACCACCACTCCACTGTCCAGCTCATCTTCTTCTTCTTCGCCTTCTTCGTATTCGTATTCTTCTGCGCTGTAATCTTCATCCTCGCTCTCTTCGTCTTCTTCGAGATCTGGTTCATCGATGGAAGAGAAGGATTTCACTACGAATGAAGTGCAAGGAGAAGGAAGCGGCTTTGATTGAAGGCGGGGCTTGCTACGGAGATTGGATTGAGAGATTGAAGCGGAGAAGCAAAAGGGTCTAAGGAAGAGACAGACCGACGACGGTGCTTTGGGATGTCGGAGAAGAAGATTGTGGATAAGGTGAGTCGATGAAGAAGACGATGTTGCTGTCACTCTCTCCATTGCACCAAACACACTCTAAAAATTGGTTTGTGGTTTCTTTATTATAAAACCCCTCTAAAATATGCTTATTTCACAATTAAGACCCTAAATGTTTGATTAATCTCATCTCAGTATCTCACGGTTCAGATTGCGCCGTGGTTGTGTTGTATAGTGGGCCAAAATAGGCCCAATTACGACCCATTTTAAAATGATATTCTCTCCTTTCTTTTTTGGTGGGTCACTCAACAATGACATTCTCTACTGTTTAGCACACGCTTTTCTGCTAAAACAAATTAAATTTGGTACGGACCGACACAAATCAGAAATTGATGACGAAACTTTATAAAATAAATTTAATATTTGATAGATTATCTTTGTCTAGCCTAAGTAATTTCCATTTCAGGTATGTTAAAGCTAGTAATTTACTAACAACACATTTATTTGTGCTTTTACAAACACCACGTATTGTTGTTTTTTTTTCCGACGTATCAAGGGAATTTAAAGATCACAGCACATGGCACGTGAGAAAGGAAAAGCATGCACGTGAGCCAGCTGTGCAATGAAGCTCAAAAAAGTGAAAGGTATGACAACTACTTAAGCTTCGAGAAGCAGGCACTCTATATTTATCGCATAACGGTATTTATTTCATTCAATAATTCTTTTGCTGCATAAATTTACAAAATTTTGAGTGTGTGATGTGTACATATATATCTGACGAATATTTTTTGTTTTAAACAGAAGCAATAGCATTATCCAAATTTACATGTTCCCGAGCCGAGAGGCGCTTAAGACGATTTCCAATTATTGTCGTTGCTGTTATTATTATTGTTAATAATAGTAGTTATTATTATTATTTAAGGAAACGCAAGATTCCACATGATACTGCTTAAGCACTATGTCGAGCTAAAATGGATATATACTCGATTTAAATTAATTACCCCCATTAAAACCTTTCAAATTAAACGAAGCAATTTGATTTGGATCGATCAATTAAACGTTATGTATCTTAATCGCTTTTTAAACAAAAAATAATGTTTGTAGTTTGGTATCAATTAGCCTTAGATGTCAAATCAAAACGAAACAAAAACATTAATATTCCATGGATCCTAGTTGTTGATTCAGAACGATTTTTAATACAAATAGCGCAATTTAATGAATATACAGAATTACCCTTGCTAACTCGTTGTCGTCAATAATATAAATTACAATATTAACCCCAATTAAGAGCATTTAGCGTCTACGTGTAAAGCGGTATCAGGAGAAAGGAGCAGCGATCACATGGGTAGCTAAATCTTAATCCTCCGGATCCTCACAGTCCAATTATTATCGCGCGTGTCTCTACTCTTACCTGATGCGCGTCACTCAAACAGTTTGAGTCAAAATCCAGTAATATTTTTGATTTATTTTGTATTTTCAAGAAATTAAAAAGATTATTGTTACGTAATTTACAAAGCAATGTCTCGCGGTAAAGGTAGAACCGGAACTCAAGTCAGATCAATCTCCGTGTATGATTGTGTCGCATCCAATGTTAATAATTTAAGGATTTGTATTTTATAAGTTAAGTATACTATTGTAAATAACGTATATTATACATTTTTATCAATCACATAATAAAATGCTTAATTTCACCAAGACAACACAAAAATGATAATATCTCAACATAACAAACGTTTGTTCTATCTATACTGTGTATCTACATTCAAACCATAGTATATCCTTATTTTGCTTTAAATTATTGTTACACGATTCATGATATTGGAAGAATAGCTATTCGCATTCTCTATTCAATGATATATGAACAAAAGTATTAAATGTCCAACTCGGACATTTCTTATGACGTTGTACGAATAAAGCTTAGCAGATATATATACGTGCTGGTAACTCCAGATTTCTGAATCAAAACTTAGATTAATTCCTAAAGCGTGTAAATAATCAAATATATATACTGATAAACAGCATCACATATGTTTGTTAACCAGTTATTATTTATTAAATCGAGTAGTGTTTTGTAGATGCTACAAATTTTTCCATCATAATAAGAAAATTAAAAGCAACGTTAAAATATTATAAAATTTCATAAGCTATCATCCGCAAAGGAACAAACATCAAGACATAAGTAAAAAACAGGATAATTTCGAATGGAGTTTTAAAAGACATTTAACATTCGTATAGATGCGTTACTTATATTCGGGGAGTATATTTTGTGTGTCTGAAAGAAGGAGATAGATAGAAGGGTAAAAAGGGAAAATTACAGTATATGGTCAGCCATAGTTATTCCCGCTCGTCTCGTTGCTTGAAAAAATTTAAACCGGTGCGCCTTTTTTTCACTAAACCATTTTGCTCACTACACGCCACAGGTTGGTCTGGTCTTCAATAATACCACGTCAGCATACAGTAAAAACTACTTTAATTAATTATTATTTATTCTCACCCAAAAAATCATTTTTTATTTGGTTTTGTCGTTCTCCTTCCTAAATAATTTTCAACTACCACAATTAATTAAAAATTAAAAATAGCGTATATTTGGAAAGGCACAGAAAAGAAAACAAAATTCAAAATCTGAAATTTCTCAGCCTCCTCGTTTCTTCACCCAGAGGAGAGAGAAATCTGAGAATTCCACCTTCTCTCTGAATTCGATCTTCGCTTAAAGAAGACGAAACAATCTCTCTCTCTCTTCCATGGTCTCACCATCGCTCTCTACCACATCCTAGCCAAAGAAGAAGACGAGAAAAGAGAGAAGAAGAGAGGTCACAACAATGCTTTATTCTTCTTCTTCTTCTGTCTCCAGCCATGTGAGCTCCCACTGACACATTCTCTGCATCTTCGGAAGTTTTGTTTCGTTTGATTCTTCTCAACGAATCCGCGACCGGGTTTACCGAGTTTGACCCTCGAGTTTCGAGGTTAGTGGATGGCTTCATCCTCATCGAGAACTAGAAGCAGTAGACCTCCAAGTCCCGCTTCTTCCACTTCTTCTTCTCATCTTAGCAACCGTCTCATTCCTCGTTCTTGTTCTACCTCTGCTTCCTCATTGATTACCTCCGCCGCCGGAATCGGCTCCCGATCTATGACGCCTAGTCGCACCTTCTCCGACTCGGGGCTTATCGGCTCCGGGAGCTTTGGAATTGGATCGCCTGTACCTTACCCGTCAGAAGAGCTTCTCGGTGACCCTATGGAGGAGACTATTAGCTCTGAGCGGGATAGTATTTCCGTCACCGTTCGTTTTCGTCCATTGAGGTATGCTAGATCTGATCGCCGTGGACCAGATCTATTGCAGAGATTTCGTTTTCCTGTAGATGCAATTGGAGTCAATTCTTTATTGGGGTTTTCAAATTCAAGTTTCTATCTTTGGGGTTTGCAGTGATAGAGAGTATCAAAGAGGAGATGAAGTTGCTTGGTACCCTGATGGTGATACATTGGTCAGGCACGAGTATAATCCACTCACAGCTTACGCATTCGGTATTTGGTTCACCTCTCAATTATTGTTACCATCATATTCATATCAATAATTGATTTTAGTGTTTGAGTGAATGTTTTTCCAAATTTGTTGTCATGCCAGATAAAGTTTTTGGACCACAAGCAACTACTATCGACGTTTATGATGTAGCTGCAAGACCAGTTGTCAAGGCAGCAATGGAAGGTGTTAACGGTAAGGAACATTGCTGCAAAATTCAGCTTAACCAAAATTTTTGTCTTTTTTATAGAAATATCCTCTCTTGGTATCCAACTAGTATTGCTTGCAATATATTTTCTGACTCAGGGTTGGATATTTGACAGGAACCGTTTTTGCATATGGTGTGACAAGCAGTGGAAAGACACACACAATGCATGTAAGGGTTTAAAAAAACGTCCTTTTACACCTTTCTCTCTAGTTTTTCTTCAAAACACATGTGCTATGGTAGCAAAAGATACCATACAAAGACCAGTTGCCATCATTTATAGCTGATGGTTATGTGAGTTGGAAATGCTCCTATGAATGGAATTTGATGGGCTTCATTTAGATTGGCTGTGCTTATCTTTAGTGAAGTAGCTACCTGGACTGTTGGGACTTTAGTTCCCGTCCAAACAAGTAGAAACCTACATCTGATGTTCTTTTTGTTTTGCCATTGGTTCCTTTTGCAATATGCATAGGGTGATCAAGAATCTCCTGGGATCATACCGCTAGCAATAAAAGACGTGTTCAGTATCATCCAGGATGTAAGTTGTCTTAACGGGGTTCATGTCTTTTCTCATCTCATCACGACTTTTTTATATGATTTCATGCTCGCTAACTGGCTGCATTTTTATATTTCAGACTCCAGGAAGAGAGTTCCTGCTCCGTGTTTCATATCTTGAAATATACAACGAGGTAAGTGGAACTTTTTATCCTTGATACATTTACATGCTAAGCCCTGAAAAGTAGATATTTTTAGATTGGGATATGTTTTCTTGTTCTTCTGCCTTATCTTTGAGAACTAGAATGCTTAAAAATATAGAGAATTGGGTGACTGCTCATGATCTTCTTGGTTTTACATGTGTGCTTCTATGTTTCAGCTGTCTGCACTTTTATCTGATAACCGTCTTTGTATCAGGTGATAAATGATTTACTGGATCCTACGGGCCAAAATTTACGTGTTAGAGAGGATTCCCAGGTTTGCTTCAACCTCTATAGGATGCTTAGCTTTCTCCATTTCTCTCTCACACACGCACACTCATTGTGCTCTGGTAGAAATAGAATAGATGTGAACAATTTAGCTTAGAATCTCATATGAATATAATATCATTTGAGAAAAGATATTGATTCATATTGCGTTTTGTTTTCTAGGGCACTTATGTTGAGGGTATCAAGGAAGAAGTTGTTTTGTCTCCTGGCCATGCATTATCATTCATTGCAGCTGGGGAAGGTTATCAGAAAATTTAACCCCTGAAATATGTTTTGATTTTGTTAACTCTGTCCGTTCCGCCTCTACTTAATATTGCTGTTGTTTTCAATTGCAGAACATCGTCATGTTGGTTCAAATAATTTCAATTTGTTGAGCAGCAGAAGTCACACAATATTTACACTGGTACGTCTTCAAGCTCCAGGAGCTTGTCATAGTGTGTAATTTTGTAGCCTCTTTTCAGTGTCTCAGCATGATGGTTTTTGCTCTTTACAAGGTGTCCTCGCAATGTACATGTTTTGAAGTCTATTTTGTATCTGTTTGCAGATGGTTGAAAGTAGTGCTACTGGAGATGAATATGATGGAGTTATCTTTTCTCAACTCGTAAGGGTTCATTCTTTTTGTTATTGTATAAGATCATTTAGTTTTGAGATGGGACCTAACTTTATATTTTCTTGTTTAGAATTTGATTGACTTAGCTGGATCTGAGAGTTCCAAAACTGAAACAACTGGATTGAGGAGGAAGGAGGGTTCATACATCAACAAGAGTCTTCTAACTCTTGGAACTGTAGGTGTCTTTTTTTAGTACGAGCTGTATTTCTATATTTCATCTGTTTCTTAACAAAATTAATGTTGGCATGTCCATCAAAAGCTCTGTTACTGAATAACGCTGAACTTGCTTACAGGAGTAACTCAATTAGTTTCCACATTCCATTGTTGGCATTAGATAATCCGAAATGAGTTTGCAGTTATTATGGGAATATACTTGGGATTTTCAGTACTTTTTCTCTTGATGTACTGCTGCTAGTACTTCTTGATCGATGTTTGATTTTCTGATAAGTAGTCTGTTGCCCTTATTATACTTTTTGCCTGTCGGTGGTAGCATGTTCAGTCACTTAAACCTTTGATGGTAGGGCGTTTTACTTATAATTATCTCTTGTGGTTTCATTTATGAAGGTGATTGGAAAACTTAGTGAGGGTAAGGCAACTCACATTCCATATCGTGACTCTAAGCTAACTCGTCTTCTGCAATCTTCATTAAGTGGTCATGGGCATGTCTCGGTAAGACTCTTCTGTATCTGTTGCAATATTTCCCCATTTCCTATATACTGGTTTCCCATGGTTGACTTTCTTAGAATTGTTTGATTGCAATACTCTATGCTTGTTTTGTTTATATTGACTAATTTGTAATAAGTAGTTAAGCATTGTGCTGATGCTGATCCACCATAACAACAGAGAAGCTAATTGAGTTTTTTTGTTTCCTTATTATAGCTCATATGTACAATTACTCCTGCGTCTAGTAGTAGTGAGGAAACTCATAATACATTGAAGTTTGCCAGCAGGGCAAAGAGTATAGAAATATATGCTTCACGCAATCAGGTGATGTTTTGACCTGTTTTACAATAAAGTACATTGCTATACTCAAGGGTATAAGCTTGAACATCTGCTTGATTTTTTTTCTTTTTTTCCATTTCTGAAAAGCAGATTATAGATGAGAAGTCATTAATTAAGAAATATCAAAGAGAAATCTCAACCCTCAAACTAGAACTTGATCAGCTTAGAAGGGGTATGCTTGTTGGTGTCAGTCATGAAGAGTTAATGAGCTTAAAGCAACAGGTTCTGACCTCCCCCAAGACCTTTATCTTGAATAAATCTAACTGTGTTCCAAAGGCAGTGAATTAATTAACTATCCATTTATTACAACAGTTAGAAGAAGGTCAAGTGAAAATGCAATCAAGATTGGAGGAAGAAGAAGAAGCCAAAGCAGCTCTAATGAGCAGAATCCAAAAGCTTACCAAGCTCATACTCGTCTCTACCAAGAATTCTATTCCTGGATATTTGGGTGATCTACCTACTCATCAGCGCAGTCTCTCTGCGGGTAAAGATGATGTAAGTTTTCTGCTCAAACTAGTGATCCAACCTAATTGATAATTTCTTGCTATTTCAGATAGGTAAACGGTTTTAGTGATTAGGTTAGTTTTTTTTATCCATTTTGAGGTGCCCAACAGAAGTAGTTTTGGAATAATTGATTGATGATTTAACCTGAATAAGTTTCTGTTTTGTTTGGTCAAAGCTTCTTGTCTCTGGACCAAGTAATTGAAAATCTATCTGTTCCTTATTTTTCTTCTGTTGCATGTTGCTTCCACTTCTTAGAAGCTGTTTCAAAACACAATGACTAATTATGCTATCTCTTTGCTTTTCAGAAATTCGATTCTCTACTGTTGGAAAGTGATAATTTGGGGTCTCCATCTTCGACCTTGGCTCTTGTATCAGAAGGTTCTTTAGGTTTTAACCACAGGCGATCTTCTAGCAAGTTGAATGACGAAAACTCGCCGGGTGCAGAATTTACTCAAGTGAGTAAACTACCCCAACGTTTCTGTTGACTGTTAGAAAAATGGTATCTGATTGTTGTGTGGCTTGTGGCGTTTTTGTAGGGTGTCATGACGCCAGATGAAATCGACCTTCTAGTTGAACAAGTTAAGATGCTTGCTGGTGAGATAGCTTTCAGTACGAGCACACTTAAGCGTTTGGTGGATCAGTCCGTAAATGATCCGGAAAACTCACAAACTCAGGTAATATAGTAGTACTGTCCACCTGAAGTGGCGCATTTAACTTATTCTTAACTAACTAACCTAATAAATTATTGCATGCAGATACAGAATCTGGAACGCGAGATTCACGAAAAGCAAAGGCAAATGAGAGCCTTGGAACAGCTCATAATTGAGAGTGGTGAAGCTTCAATTGCCAACGCATCATTAGTTGAGATGCAACAGGTATTTAACCTCCACATCTCATTCACAGCGAGAACATGATGTTTAACCTTTTCAAAGTCACTGGTTTAAGACTAAACGATGATCTGCTAAGATATCTTGCTCTTTTGTTGTTTTCAGAAAGTTATGAGTCTGATGACCCAATGCAATGAGAAGAGCTTTGAGCTGGAGGTGAATTTTTTTTTTTTTTTTAATTGAAAGTACCGCCTTGTTTTCTACATTAGTAAAATCAGAAGATTGATTATCTTCACCATATGCTTAAACTTGGTTCTACCTCTGTCACAGATCAAATCAGCTGATAATTGCATTCTCCAAGAACAATTACAGAAAAAGGTCGGTACATGTTTTTCTCGTATTGAAGTCGTGCATAATTCTCTTCTTTTTTCCTCCATTCTTCTTGCTTATATCTAATTCATCCTTTGAACATTTGCGAAAAAATGCTTCTTATCACACTTGCTCCAACTATGCAGTGTACCGAGAACAAAGAACTACATGAAAAGGTGAATCTTCTAGAGCAACGCTTGAATGCAGTATCTAGTGAGAAATCCTCACCATCTTGTTCCGATAAAGCGGTATCTGGAGAGTATGCAGACGAACTAAAAAAGAAAATACAATCGCAGGTAAGTTTACAAACATACATTCTCAGTTCTCACAAGTATCCTTGTAAATACCTCTGCGGATCAATAAATACCAAGTAACATAGATTTATGCATTTATGTAAATCTGATCCTCTCTTTATGCTAACATAAATCTCATTCTTACATGGATGTTTATGTTTTGTATTTAGGAAATTGAGAACGAAGAGTTGAAGCTAGAACACGTGCAAATTGTGGAAGAGAACAGTGGGTTACGAGTACAAAATCAAAAACTAGCTGAAGAAGCTTCATATGCTAAGGAGTTAGCCTCTGCTGCTGCTGTTGAGCTGAAAAATCTTGCTAGCGAAGTAACAAAACTCTCACTACAAAACACAAAGCTAGAAAAAGAATTAGCAGCTGCAAGAGACTTGGCTCAAACGCGTAATCCCATGAATGGAGTAAATCGCAAGTATAATGATGGGGCAAGGTCAGGAAGAAAGGCAAGGATTTCTTCAAGTAGGTCAAGTGGAGATGAGTTTGACGCATGGAATCTAGACCCAGAAGATCTTAAAATGGAGTTGCAAGTAAGGAAACAGCGAGAGGTGGCTCTTGAGTCTGCATTGGCAGAGAAAGAGTTTATAGAAGATGAATACAGGAAAAAAGCAGAAGAGGCAAAGAGAAGAGAGGAAGCTTTAGAAAACGATCTGGCAAACATGTGGGTACTTGTTGCCAAGTTGAAGAAAGACAATGGTGCATTGCCTGAACCCAATGGCACTGACCCTGGAAGAGAATTAGAGAAGAGTCAAACCCATGCGGTTCTGAAAGAGAGACAAGTCTCGAGTGCACCAAGACAACCTGAAGTAGTAGTAATAGCTAAAATCGAAGAGACACCAAAAGAGGAACCACTCGTTGCTCGTCTCAAGGTAAATGTAATGAGATGAGTTTTCTACATTTACCTGTGAAACAGTCTTTTCTTTCAAATATAATTAACAAGAATTTGTTGTAATAATGATACAGGCACGAATGCAAGAAATGAAAGAGAAAGAGATGAAATCGCAAGCGAATGGAGACGCAAACTCTCACATTTGTAAAGTATGTTTTGAATCTCCCACTGCGGCAATTCTACTCCCTTGCCGTCATTTCTGCTGTAAGTCATAACTTTATCTCCATGAAACCTCATTTCTCTTCCTTTATCAAACAGTTGTATTAAAAAGATGAAAATCTGTGATTCATTGTTACAGTATGTAAATCCTGTTCCCTTGCTTGTTCTGAATGCCCAATTTGCCGCACAAAGATCTCTGATCGGCTCTTTGCATTTCCGTCTTAACCAATCAAAAGGTAACCTTTCTTGCAAGTGGATGCATCTGCTATGTTACTTTGGTTCTTTTTAGGTTTAGTAAATGTAGAAATCAAATTGAAGCTAAAAACTGAGTTTGGATTGTCTATCACAACTGTATATGAGAAACTCAAAGTTTAAGTTTGGTTTTTGATATGTAGAAAACAAAAGCTGACTTTACCCAATTCTTTAAGCTTTTTAGGTTCAGTGTTTGGATTCATTATTGGTTAGATTTATTAGTGTCAACCGGATTGAACACTATTTTGGTTATGGACCAATGTCAGATGTTGTTAAAACAGATCAGATACTTTTAAAAAATATGTAAATATTGATTTAACTTGCCTGATTATGCAGGTCTCTAAGAACTGTGGGTGAAAGCCTGTTGCTATATATTTTGAGGAGAGAACAGGTTGGGATTTTTTTAATTAGTTTTTGGCTCTTTTGTATGTAATATTTATCTCTATCAGTCTATGCTTATATTTATATTTATCATTTAAAAATGGGGAAAAAGGAAAAATTAAAACATATACGTGTGGACATACATAACGAACGAGATTCATTTCTAAAACCCAAACTTTTCTATTACAAAACAAACAAAAATTAATATTGGAGCAAACTCTTTTATGTTTCTTTTTGTTGTGGTCGCTTATTGTACATCATATACCGAAAGATTGCATTGGCAGGAGTGACTTTGGGATGACCTTCAAAAACGTAACCAATGAATTCTTTTAAGATTTTTCTCTCTCTTTTTTTATGTAACCATCATATATACACGTAGTACTATTTCAACCTTCTTAATAGCAAACCAGTATCCCGAATCAAATTTGACTCTATCCAAACAACCCTACTTTAAATAAATAAAAAATTATCAAGACTGAATCACGAATCTTGTGATTGTTTAATGACTTTTATTATCTTCGATAACTGATTCCTTCCAATATATTGTGACATAGGTGTCTAATCCATTGCCATTGATTTGTAACTAAGTTTTTCTCATAAGAAATTTGTAAAGAACATTTTTTTTTTCTCTAGACCCGATTAATTCAAATAGGACTAAGACACCTTTAGGCCATGAGTGAAAATAAGGTCTTAAAAAACAACAACCAAAAACCATTACAAAAACTAGTTTAAAAAGATTCACAAATTGGATGTACAAAGGCTGTTCACAAAGATTCAGATTCTTCATCCCTTAATGGAACATAATGCAGTTTGCAAACATCAAATTCATCAAAATCAAGATGAAGATCTATACCACAAACTTCTGCCCAATCTCCTCCATCATTCTCTTCTTCGACATAGTTGAATGTATTAGTTTTATAAACTATATATGATATGTTGTTGGTTTTAGTAGTCTAAAACATTTTTAAATTTTACATAATTGGATTTTATTTACTCAACTCTCAGAGATTTAAAGTTCTGTCTTCCAAATGGTTATACTGGAATCATCCAAACTCTAGACATCCCTATCTACATCACGAAGGTTGCTGCAAATGTCATTTTTTTTTTGGATCGAGATGGAGAAAACAACACTATTACCACTGATTTGCCTCCGGCTGTTGAAGTAAGAATTGATGAAGAACGGGAGGGTTTAGGTGAGATCGATGTGAAAGGTGGCGGATTGCAAATAGGTAAACTTTGTGAACAACCTTATTGGTTTTTTCATCCTTATTTACATTCGAGTTTTTTTAATCGGCAGGTCTAGAGAAAAAAAAACGGTTTTCTACAAATTTCTTATGATATAAAAAAAAACTAGTTACTCGGTATTACAAATTTGTTATTGAAGATAAAAATGATGATTAAATAATAATAACAAAGTGCACCGATTGAAATAGTACATATATATTCAACTTTAATGGATCAATAAACCCATTTTAATGTGTTATATATTGACTATCCAATAGATTTGAGTCAATTTTATGTTGACAAACAAACAAAAAAACGAATTATTATTAAGATAATTTAGAAAAAAAAAAGTATTGAAAACGGAAACAAGTTGGTTTGGATTTAAGATTACAAGCTCCAACTAAAAAAAAAAAAAGACTATAATTCAACAAAAATATTTAAGAGAAGGGTTTTTGTTCCCAAAACCCTTGATGATGGTATTGTGAAGAACCATCATAAACCCTATAAGACTCAGTGTTATTGTTATTAGTAATAATGTTATCCTCATAGGAGACACAAGAAGGGTGTTCAAGCAAATCCTCCACTCTCCAACCCGGTAATGTCTCCATCAAATACTCCGATATACTACCAGTACAACCCGATCCAGACCCCGAATCGCTTACTTGATGGTAGTTTTCCTCTATCCCATAATAGCAATTGCTCGTGGTCGTCGAAGGAGAGCTCGTAAATACCTCATTGGAGGCCGAGCTAGGGACCTCGCTCGATACTGATTTTGGTCGAGTTTTGGCTCGACCCAATGCAACAGCGGAGTTGGAATTGGAGGCTTTTGGGTATGCTGACGGGGAGGCAGAGATCTTGACGCCCGTAAGGAGGAATCTATTGTGTTTCTTAGTGTGCTCATTAGCTTGATGTATTGGAATGTCACATTCTCTGCATAGTATTGCTCTGTCTTCTTGGCAAAATAATAATGCACGCCTCTCCTGTCATATGTATACAGATTTAATACGATTTAGTAACAGATAATCAAGAAGACTCTTGTTTTGTATCCATCTATTTTTATAAAATACTAGGGTAAAAACCCGCGCTCCGCTGCGGGATATCTTTTATAAATTATTTTTGTTACTAATGACTTTTGCTTAAACTAAGATTATGTAGTACAAAGTTCACAATGAAATTTGTATTTTTTGGTTTAGACAAAGAAAGTTGTCTTCCTTCGTTTGTAATACAAACAAAAGAGTATCCAAACTTGAATTTAAAAAATAAACAAATATGAAACTTGAATTTAATATAAAAATGATTTGTAAAACTTAAATAAAATTTTAGAATTTGATGGTTGACAGATCATTTTCACCACTTCATCTCATTTAAAAACTTTATTTTGAAGTTCAAATCAAATAAAACAAATTAATACACAGATATGAGAAGGTGACCGTGACACATTACTTAAGAAATCAATGCACAAAATTCTTCTTCTATTCGTCTACCCGCCTTGGATTCATTAACTTCAACATCTTTAGAAAATTGCTCCACCTTCATCTTTAATCAACATTAACTAAATTGACCAAACGAACGATAGTGTATATATATGTACGAAGAAGTGTATAAGCAGAGGTAGATGAGAAATTCCGACAAGTTTTTGGTAGATCCCATGGTACTTGCACAATCTCTCCTTCATACTTTAGATAGATACAAATACAATTGTGGATGTATTAATATTATACAATTGTCCAACCATCTCAAGAGATTCAATATGCATTACACGCTTGATACTTGATTGATTTAACTATTCCTAAGACCAATAGAATATATTACGTAAAGATCATCTTTGGTCTCACCAGTCACAATACATGCATTCAAACTTTGGGATGGACAACAATAGTTCCAGACCTAAATTATGACATTTAGGCAAAGTGAAATACACGGGAAACCTGAAGTGTAAGTAAATAAAACATTAATAATTCTAGAATCATTAATCTATATCTCTGTCCACATGAAATATTTTAACAACCATATTTTCCATTAAACGACTGCAAACACTGATAAAGTATAGGTAGCACTCCAATATATAAAGTACGCAGCTGTTATTTGCTAATTAAATGATTGATTTCGAGCAACTGTGTACTTTTGAAGTCTTCTTTACACGAGTCTCAACAATAAGTACTACCAATTCAAAACTTCCATAACTAAAATAAGTTGTATAAGCCTACCATAACTCCCTGTCGATGAAATGCCTACAACACTACCAACAATGACAAGGAAAGAAAGATCTAGATGGTAATAAAAGCAAAAAACAATGTTGGGGAAGGACACTATTTTTTTTTTTTAGTAAAAGGGAAGGACACTATTTGAATCATGTTTGGAAAACAAGATGGTACTCCCAGTACTCTTTAAATCTTAATCAATAACAAATTCTGTCGGTGATTTTTCCGGTAGTTTACGGTGGTTATTAGAGCTCCTTCCAATGGCAAATCGATTCGACAACAAACCTTGTTGGCGAAGGCAAAACAAAAAAAATAATCTTCGTCTCTCCACGTTTTCAAAGCAAACAGCGAAGACACTTTCTTTAAAGAGGTAAACGGCGAGCACCGGCGGTTGGGATAGGAGTAGCGGCTGAAGGAGTGGAGGAAGAGTGGTGCTGAGAGTGACGAGGAGATGAAGGATGGTGGATCTTGATGTTAGGGAGATGAGGATAATCAGATTATGGATTCATGATCTCTTTTTCTTCTTCTTCTCTGCTTGATTCAACAGATTTATAGAAACTTTTATTTTTTTTCCGATCGAGAGGAAGATGATGACGAAGAAGAAGAGACAGCCGTGTTTTGTCAATTTTAATTAGTCTCTCCATGTTTTCAACACTACTTTATCGAGTGGGCTTATACTTTTGGGCTTTGTTATTTTATTTTTTTCGTCATACTTTTGGGCTTTGTTATTTTTTTCTGTTTTTGTGTGTTTTTAATAATATGAATTATGAAACAACCGAAAAAGGGGAGAGAAAGAGTGACGTGGCAGAATAGAAGATTATTATTGGCAAATAAAGTTGAGCTGTATTATTTAAAATGTTTTGATTGGAGTTTGTTTTTAATGATGTGTCATAACCAGGAAAGCTGAAAATGCTGATGTGTCGGATTAGGAGAGAATCCTATTGTTATTATTGTATTGATTTATCTGCTAGATTTGACACCCTTTTCCCCCACGACCTTTTCAAAAAAGATATGGCTTTTATTGTTATTTTATTTAATGAACGGCAAAAAGAAATATTCTTTTCTCCACGGCTTACCTTCCCAAAGAAGAAAGTATTTTAAAATCGTAATAACTAATACTCGATTTAATTGGTTAATATCTTAAGTTTGATTAGTGTGTGACCAAATAATTCATCAAGATGTTTGGTAAGCTCAATCTCTGTTCTGTTTTTGAGAAAAGTAATATTCGTTGAAAGAAATGGAAAATAATCATTCTTACCAACCAACAAACAAATCTCAGAAAGAAAGAAAAAAGTGACTCAGGTCACCCAAAACATCGGTTCACGAAACCAGATTTCCATCAATACTAACATATCTAAAAGCTCATAAATTTTCCAAGTAAAGATTATATTTTATCAAGAAAGGCCAAAAAAAGAAGAAGAGAGAAGTGTTAAATTTTGTTGTTACCCCGCAAATATCACAAAGAGGAGCATCTTTGAAAGTAGGAGAAGTGAGAGAGAATCGGAGATGTTTTCCGGCGAGCTTATTGGCGAAATGAACATGGCGATCGCAACCATTACAAAGAGCTGCTGCATCTGCACAACAAAACACCGATGCTTCTTCTTTATCACACACATCACACCAAATCTTCATCTTTCTATTTTCTTTCTTTTTTTCCGTATTAGAAACAGTAAAAATTTTGGTTTCTTGAATATCACAAAATTGCTTCTTCACACTCTCTCCCTCAACTTGTACCTTTGGACCAGTACTATATAGTGGTATTTATGTAGATATTCATGTATGTAGAGGTTGATGGGGTATGAGTGTGGGCAAAAGGGTAAGAATAATGTGTTGGCTTTATAGATAAGCAGCTTAGGTTTCCTTTGTCTTTTTTAACTCTTCCTCTCATTTTCTTCATTGATAGCAACTCTCTCCTTTGCTTTTAATGCCCCCAAATTGACTTGTTTTGGTTTTGGTTTCACACCCGGTTTGGTTTGGTTTGGTTTAGAATTCAGGGAACTTAAATAAAAGCATACCGGGTATGTAAATCAATTAGTATATGTTTTAATCACAAATTACATTGAATTTCGGTTTCATAGAAGGAGGCAGAGATTGATAGCAACTTGACATAGTAGTATGATTTGAAGTTAATTATATAATTTGGGTTCATCTAATAACGCTGAGAACTAATAATTGTTCTATATCAATTGGTGGTTTTTTTTTTGGTTCACATCAATTGGTGGCTAAGCTCTCGCTTTCTTTACTTTAAATGTGTCTTAATGCTTTGACAATATTCTTAGTTAAATCATAAATGTGTATTAATGCATATTTCTAAATAGATACTGTAGTTTGGTAAATTCTTAAAAATCACATATAAACTTATTGTGTGATACTAATGTAAGGAAAAATAATAACTCAGTTTTGTTCTTTCTTCTATTTTACCGAAATAGTTAAAAGACCTAGAAGTGGGAACTTTTAAGGTCTTACAATCTTTTTGGTCTAAAATTCAAAAGTGGATACAATCTTTTTGGTCTAAAATTCATCTTTTTAGTCAGATGCTAGTTAATTTAATAAATAGAAACGACAAAAGAAATTCGAAATAAAACTAATAAAATAAATGGAAAAGGTAGGGGAACTTTGACAAATGGCCAGCTCTTCATGCCAGCTTTTGTCGTCCATCATCCATGTGTAATATCTACTTCTTTTTTTTTACCTCTTTAATTATCGCCGCTCTTTTATTTATTTCAATGTATAGATTATGTGTATTAGTTGAAACAAATATAAAATTATTGAAGGACAAATCCATTTTCCAATCTTCTTCATAAACTCAACAAACACTTCATGTATTTGATATTGGTTTCGGTCTAAACCTAACCAACCATAGCTTTATGAACTTTTTTTTTTTTAATGAACTTCAATTTGGTTAAATTCATTTTCATTCTTACAAATTTTTGTATTTCAGTTCTTCTTTTTTTTTCACTTTCTATGTTCTTATCGTTAGAAAGTGATGTTAATTACCGTTGAGATTATTAAAAACGGAGGCATGATCCATTGTTTTCTTCTTGTAAGTACGGTCAAAAATTCTACAATCAAACGTACTCATATAAGGCTTTGCGGTCATGTCGGCCAAATTGTTCCGACTTAATTTAAATGATATTTATTTTTTTGGTATAATAAACGCTGAATACTTTTGATATAAAATAAGTAGAGCGGATCTGATCTTTTGAAGAATAATAATAATTTTAGATAATATATAATTTATGAGGATAGAAGACGACAAAAAACACTTTTAGAGGAAGAAGATATGGATGATCTCTCTCGAATCTTCCCCCTCGTTAATTTTTTTTTTTGTCAACTTCCCATATTACATTTATTTTGACTGAAGCAAATTTAAGAATTTTTGTGTTTGGGTTTCAGCGAAGTTGTTCGTACTTGGAACTAAAAAAAGATAATGTTGATCTCAATTTTTTTTATCAAGACTGCTGCGTGGATTCATATCGTCTTTTGGTTTGCATTTGACGTATACAAAGGAAAATCAAACAAACCATTTTCAATGAAAAAAATAGGAAAGGTTCTTTGCGTGATTTTTAAAGAAATCATAAATTTCTATATAATATTTGTAGATCTTGAGTCACATGGATGTACTACTGGACTTTTTGAAAAGGTTCTTCGTGCACTTTTTAGACATTCCTTTTTTTAAAATAGTAAGCATGTGACCTTTACCAATTAACTACTACCATCAACCATTCATTGATGGACTCCAATTACTTATAATTTGTTTCTATATTTATGTAACCTAACAAAATCCAATCATTCATCCATATATCATTGTCCTTGTTTTGTGTTAAATAATGCTAATTCTTTTCCCCTCTGCTCTGCTAATTCACTATCCTTTGATATCTATTTTCTTGTAACCAAGTTTTAATCTCGAATTGCCACATTCATTTTCATATTTCTTCAGTCGGTGCGTCAATTTTTGTGAGCTGAGTATTAATCATATCGTTTGTCTTAAATCCAACAATGGGTTCGTGGACCATTTCCTGACATGTTTCTTGCTTCTTTCAATCATGTCCGTCCAAATCCCGTAGATCTCAGTGTATATTAATACGTATAATCCCACTTTACTTTTGATTTCTGTCTTGAAAGGAAATGAAGAAAAAAAAAGTGTGAGAGTTTATGTGGTCCAAATCGTGACTAATTTTTGTAGAAATACGTTCGTGTTTACATTATACTCATTACGATTTACGTATATTTTCTCCTAATGTACACGTCCAATTGTTATTCCTAGAAAATTCTGCTGGGATTTTATATGCCTTGTCTAAGAAAAAGAAAAGGAAGAGAGACCTAGAATCTCGGAACTTTGTTGTTTGGGTCTCACTCATGGGCCAATATTGGGCCCATTTTGAAAGCATATCACGATTGTGATTGATTCAACCCAATAAATGAGAGTCCCACCAATAAGATTGGATGATGATTTCCTAAGTGATGCAACTCAGCAACTACAACCCAAAACGTCTCCTTTTGGCATAAATGTATTGATTTGCGAAGCTGCATTCTTTTTTCTTAGATAAGCTTGTTTTATAAATCTCCACTCTTTTTGTTTGGTCTCTTTCCTAGGATATATTTATGTTAGTTCGTTTTATTTGATCTTTTTTTTTATGTCCGGTTTATGGTTATCCTAACGTTGATGCTATTAAAAGCCCACTAAAAGCCCAATAACAAAGATAACTGGTAAATATGGGAACTCAAGAGGGGCAATTATGGAATAAAAAACGCGATGGGGACAAAATAATTTACAGCTACTATCTCTCTCCTCCGTCTTAGCTTCGTCGTGGTCTCTCTGACATTATCGTCAGACAAATAATTTCTAAAAATCTCTCCTCTCCTCTCCTCTCGTTTGATTTAAACAAAGATCATCGACGAACGATGGCGGAAAGCGGCGGTGGCGGTGGCTGTTGTCCGCCGATGGATCTGATGCGTTCAGAGACGATGCAACTTGTTCAGCTCATTGTTCCCATGGAATCTGCTCATCTCACCGTCTCTTACCTTGGAGATCTTGGCCTCGTCCAATTCAAAGACGTCCGTACTCATCCTCCTTCTCTCTCTCTCTCTCGATGTTTTTGTTGATGACATATGTGATTGGATTGTGCATTCTCTTATTTCCAATTGCAATTCGCGTCTGATGAACGATTTTCTCTGTTGGATTTGGATTTTGACGGGTTTTCGAATTTGGAACCCTAGGAGGTTTAATTCAGGTTTCTTAGAAGAGTTTACGCATCTATGTATAGCTGTTATTTGAATATCGCGATCAATTTTGACTTTGGCGTTTGGTTTTGAGATTTTTTTTTAGTTGTTTTCTTAAGAGATGATTGAGATATAGATTTTCCGCACCACAGATCTTTTTGGTCAATGGTTTTTGGTGAATAAATCTATTCTTATAAACCTTTGTTTTTAATGTTGATCTCAGCTTAATTCAGAGAAGAGCCCATTTCAACGTACTTACGCAGCTCAGGTAAATTCATGCTTGTGTATCTGTTTAGGGATTGTGATACAATCTTGCTCATATTATTACATTACGAGAAGGTACATCTTACACGGTTGTGATAATTTGCCTTTTGTTTTTGATGGATTAAGATTAAAAGATGTGGAGAGATGGCACGAAAAATACGTTTCTTCAGAGATCAAATGTCAAAAGCAGGAGTTCCTGCCAAGGAAATGCTAGTGAAAGAAAATGACATTGACTTGGATGATGTTGAGGTAAAAATGGGGATCCATTTTTCATGTCATGCTTTTTGTTTTCTCACGGATATATTTTTTTCTTCCTTCTGTTTGTTAGGTAAAGCTTGGAGAGCTAGAAGCTGAACTTGTTGAAATCAATGCGAATAATGACAAGTTGCAGCGCTCCTATAATGAGCTTATGGAGTACAAGTTGGTTCTTCAGAAGGTATATTTTTCCATATTTATAGTTCACAGATTTGAAGATATGTTATGTTGGATTACGCAAGGACTAATAGTTATCAACTTTGAATTATTGGTCTGTAAGTCTTAATTTACAATAAGGAAAAGTTAAGGTACTAAGGCTATCCCTCGATAGGTAATGTGTGATGAAGATGAATCATAAGAGTATGAGCAATTTCATGGTGATAAGTATGTTTCTAATTTTATGGTTAAATTGGATGTGCATCTCGAGCTTATTTTATCTGAATTTGATCTTTTCAGGCTGGTGAGTTCTTTTCTTCTGCTCATAGAAGTGCCACAGATCAACAAAGTGAGATAGAATCACAACAAGCAGGTGAAGATCTGCTGGAGTCTCCTTTGTTACAGGAAGTATGGAAATTGCAGTGTTCTCATGCTTAAAGTTTTTGTGATTTCTTGTTTAGTTACCAACAGTCACACTAGTTTCTTTTAAACAGGAGAAGTCCATTGATTCGACAAAGCAAGTAAAGCTTGGATTTCTTACCGGATTAGTGCCTCGTGAAAAGTCTATGGTGTTTGAGAGGATTCTATTCCGTGCGACTAGGGGCAACATCTTTATCCGACAGACTGTCATTGAGGAGCCGGTCATTGATCCCAACACTGGGGAGAAGGTTAGATGCTTCAGCTTTCCTCTTGAATTCTCTTAGACATAGGAAGCATAGGAAGCAAGCTCGTATACTGATAGGAGTCCAGTTGCTTTTTTTTTCTTCTGTAATTTCTGCTCTCATATATAAACAATTAAACATATGCTAGATATTTGAAATATGAAAATGTCTTTGCGGCTTTAATATTTTCTACTTGTTAGTGTTGCATCTATCTATATTTTGTCAATGTACAGAGCCAGGACTTTGTTCAACATGGAATGCTGATCTGGTTAGAAAAGAAATATGCTTTTATGTGTATCAATTGGAATGACTTTTAACTTAACAATATTGCAGGCTGAGAAAAATGTTTTTGTTGTCTTCTATTCCGGGGAAAGAGCGAAAAGCAAAATTCTTAAAATATGTGAAGCTTTTGGGGCTAATCGTTATCCTTTCAGTGAGGACCTTGGAAAACAAGCTCAAATGATAACCGAGGTATGTATTATCATTCTTGTGAATGTTCTTATTGATAGGTGTGGTAAATATTGATTACTTTTTGTTGTGATAGACCATTTACTTCCCTGGATATTTTTTCTCTGTACATGGCTTTCTTTTGACATGAGTCATAGTTACTAACAGGATTTTGGGTATTCGTTTGCACTTAAATGTCCAGTATAAGCTAATGCATGGGAATATAATGTTTTGACTATCGTTGATGTACTGAATTTGTGTGCTTCTTAGTTAGAAGTCGTTTAGCATCCATGTTACGATGTATCTTAGGCTAGCAATTTCCTGATGATAATCTCAGAAACTGTTTTCCATGTTTAACTTTTTCACAATTTTTCAGGTTTCGGGTCGATTATCAGAGCTTAAAACCACGATAGATGCTGGGTTAGGTCAACGTAACATTCTTTTGCAGACCATTGGAGATAAGTTTGAGCTATGGAACCTCAAGGTATTATCCTATACGGATCAATGTTTGGGAGTGTTGACCCATTTGTTCTACTCCATGGAAGATGACATCAACTTTTTATTTACTCATTGCAGGTACGCAAAGAGAAAGCTATCTATCATACATTGAACATGCTTAGTCTTGATGTGACGAAGAAGTGCCTCGTGGCCGAGGGCTGGAGTCCTGTCTTTGCATCAAATGAAGTGAGTGGTTCATTTTGTTGCACTGTCAATTGCAACTTTAAATTACATCTTTCGTGACTGTGAGTTTACTGTTTTTGTATCGTTTACTTAAGTGTAATGGGGGTTGGTTGTGCAGATTCAAGATGCATTACAGCGTGCTGCCGTTGATTCCAATTCTCAAGTTGGATCAATTTTCCAGGTCCTAAGGACCAAAGAGTCACCACCAACTTATTTTCGCACAAACAAATTTACTTCTGCAATCCAGGAAATTGTTGATGCGTATGGGTAAGTGTCTTTCTGGAGCTTCTGACTCAGTTTAGGAAACTGGAAATTGGAGATAGCCTTTGTATTATAAGAAAATGTGTTGTAGACTGCGTTTGACTCTTCTGTGATCACTACTCTTCAGTGTGGCCAAGTATCAGGAAGCCAATCCAGGTGTATTCACAATTGTTACCTTCCCCTTCCTTTTCGCTGTTATGTTTGGTGATTGGGGGCATGGAATATGTATTCTGCTTGCAACGATGTACTTGATATTGAGAGAAAAGAAACTTTCCAGCCAGGTAATAATACCCCAACTGATGTAACTTACGTTCTGACTGTGAACACGAGATTGAATTTTATCTCATCAGCAGAACTTGCTTATAGTTTAGCTGTCTGTTTTCTTATGGAGTTGCATGCAAATATGAAAGCATAGGAAATTCACTTGACGTTTCTAAAGATCACATTAGTCTGTTGCATTTTGATGTTTTGTGCTTGCAAGTTCTAGATGCTAACTCTTCACTCGTTGCTTCCTAACAACAGAAACTTGGGGATATTATGGAAATGGCTTTTGGTGGGCGTTATGTCATTTTGATGATGTCACTCTTCTCAATATACACTGGTCTAATCTACAACGAGTTCTTCTCTATACCATACCCATTGTTTGCTCCTTCAGCCTATGATTGCCGTGATACCTCTTGCAGGTATGCCATCTAGTTCTAATAGTTCAGGTTTTTAATGAAAAAGCATATTAGTAGAACAATTGCAGTTATACTTTACGGGTCTGATTTTTTTCTCTTATTCTTTATCTTGTTTATTTGTTCAGCGAGGCTACAACAATTGGTTTGATAAAGGTCAGAGACACTTATCCATTTGGTCTAGATCCTGTGTGGCATGGAAGTCGCAGCGAGCTGCCATTCCTGAACTCGCTGAAGATGAAAATGTCAATCCTTCTCGGAGTTTCTCAAATGAACCTCGGAATCATAATGAGCTACTTTAATGCTAGATTCTTCAAATCAAGTGTAAATATATGGTGGGTTCAGTTGATATCTTCTGACCATAGCGTGTTCTCTCTCTCCAGTTCCTTATATACTAAAACTCAGTTATTATCATAGCGTCTAATTTTTGGGCTTGCAGGTTCCAGTTCATTCCCCAAATGATATTCTTGAACAGCTTGTTTGGCTATCTCTCGGTCCTCATCATCATAAAGTGGTGCACTGGTTCTCAAGCAGATTTGTATCATGTAATGATATATATGTTCCTGAGCCCAATGGACGAGTTAGGAGAGAATCAACTGTTCCCTCACCAGAAAACAGTGCAGGTTAGTATCTCTACGTAGCAATTGCTGTTACGAGATCTAGAAAAGCATGTCATTTGCTGTGGTTCACTCATCCCTTTCCTTCCCATTTTTCAGCTTCTGCTTCTCTTTCTGGCCCTTGTTTCTGTTCCGTGTATGTTGCTTCCAAAGCCGTTCATCTTGAAGAAACAACATGAAGCTGTGAGATTCTAAACTTTCCTTTTCCCTTTTTAGTTTCTTTATCCTTTACTGGTCGTTCTAAACGGGTTCCTTCTCCAGAGGCATCAAGGTCAGTTATACGCACCTCTTGACGAGACAGACGAGAGTCTTCATGTAGAGACAAGCGGAGGATCCCATGGGCATGAGGAGTTTGAATTCAGCGAGATATTTGTGCATCAGCTGATTCACACCATAGAGTTTGTGCTTGGAGCTGTTTCCAACACCGCTTCTTACCTGCGTTTATGGGCTCTCAGGTATGAGTAGTAGAAGCTATACATGAATTACATAACCTGCCTATACTCGTGGCTTAATATCCATTATTTTGTTTCAGTCTTGCCCACTCAGAGCTATCATCAGTCTTCTATGAGAAGGTCCTCCTTCTCGCTTTTGGGTATGCATCTTCTCTCTCTCTCTCTCTCTCTCTCTCTCTCTCTCCCTCCTAAATCTCTCTCCCTCTTTGGTTCAACATGTCTAATCTTTTTGTGTCTCGTTGGCACTAACAACAAAACAGTTACAACAATGTGTTGATCTGGATCGTTGGGATCATCGTGTTCATATTCGCGACCGTGGGAGTGTTGCTGGTGATGGAGACACTAAGCGCGTTCCTTCACGCGCTGCGTCTCCACTGGGTTGAGTTTCAGAACAAATTCTACGAAGGAGATGGTTACAAGTTCGCTCCTTTCACTTTCGTTTTCACCGCAAACGAAGACGAGTGATGTGATTCATTCCTCTCATACGCTGCATTTTGCATATATAAGGTACAAACATGTTTGATTTCTTTCTATTAAAATCCAATATATTTTTTCCCCTTCTCTCCGTATAAGGGTCATTTAAATTTATTTATTTGCCTGTGGAGATAAATTTTTACCAAAAAAATGAGGGGATACTTGGATTTGTACGAGGCAAAAATACAAAACGATACGATTTGTTGTTGTTGTTGTTGTTTGTTTGGAATTAAATAATAAGCTGTGGATATGAATAAATTGAGGAATTGGACCTTCCCAACATGTATATGTTTTTCCAGCCCATGGGACTATATGATGGCCCAGTAGTGCTATTTTATTATCCCATTATTACATTGCTGTTTGTCCAAACGTTTATTTATTTTTTGAGTTGTGCCAAATATATAACATCTCTTGATAAAGATAGATGTTGCACAGAAATACAGAATACAAACAATTAAGTTATAAGAATTATAAAAATTATCCGTGTTAAAAGGCTCATTTACGGCGAATCATTTTAACGGCCCAGTTTCGATTATATATTAAGCCATGTAAACTGATCCTTGTTAAAAGGCTCATTACGGCGAATCATTTGAACGGCCCAGTTTCGATTAACTTTTATATATTAAGCCCATGTAAACTGACCCTTGTTAAAAGGCTCATTTACGGCCCAGTCTTGATTAAACTTTGATATTTTAGGCCCAGGTAAACTGATACTTAGTTAAAGTAGGCTCATTCATATTTAACTTGATTCAAGTCATCATCACTATTGAGCATTGTACGGTTTTGCTCAATAGAATGCATTTTATTTACAAGCAAGAAGCACAGATAAATAGAGAGTCAGCAGCGCAAAGAGAGCTCGCTCATACAAATCACCAAAGTAATTAAAACGTATTGACGAGATGCTTAATGGGCGGTGGTTGAGACGGCGGCTGTAACTGTGGAGACAAGACTGTCAACGCCACAAATGTTACGGCCTTTGCAGATTTTGTAGAAACCATTCTCACCCCAAGTCTCTCCCCACGAGTTCTTGATGATCCAGTAAGGCTTCTCCTTGAACCTAGCCGGAGCGTAACCAGCCGATCCATAACCGACCAACAAGACACCGTGGTTGAGCCTCCTTGTGCATATGTAAGGGCACGAGACTCCTCCAATGTAAGTCTGCATATAGCCAGCGTTGATGCCTACAGCAAGAGGTCCGTTCTTGACAAGGTTTGCAGCAATCTGTTCTTCATCAATGGAGATAACACTGAAGTTGGAGACAGAGGCAACGATCTTGGACTTGTCTAACTTGCAGGTCTTGCCGTCCTTTCCGGTGTAAGGATAGTCTTCTTCTTTCATGAGGCCTCCGGTTTTTAGGGTGTATTCAAAAGCGCTGTTCATTAGCCCACCATTGCAACCAGAGTCGCAGGAACCTGCCTCCTCTGGATCACACTGCATAAAGAGATGATAAAGGACACACTTATCAGACAAAATTTCACAGAGATCATGTTAACCATTATGGCCTGAAACAGCTCAAATTACATATCTTCTCTAGGCACTGATGAGAAAGAAGATCAATCAACGTAAGCAACCTGAACTAAGTAGTGAGTTTTATCATCTCAACATACCGGGAGAAAACTGTGAACATCTTGTATAACATATTGATAAATGATCAAACATCTATATATTTAACACAACACACAATCTAACCCTGATGAGATTTATCTTAATCCCTCATGCTTAATGCCCTCAAAACTCATCCCAAGACTCAAGAGACACGTATGAGAAAGCAAAAATTGAGAAGAAAGAGAAAGAAAAGACAAACCTCGTGATCACAGTCGACAAGCTGTTGTTCGCTGAGGCTGACGAGTTTGCCGGTAGCGAGGAAGTTAGCACCTTCCAAAGCTCCAGTGGCGCTGAAACTCCAGCAAGAGCCGCAAGATCCCTAATTTTGTACACCAATATTAGAACGAATTGAAAACTTGATCTAATTTTCAAAATCATCTAGTAAACTAAAATACCTGATTTTTGACGGGGGTAACAGCACCGCGATCTCTCCAATCAAAGTCCTCCGGGAGGTTTTCGGTAGGGAGAATCGGAGCCTTGTTGGCATCTTTAGGAAGCTTAAAGCCACCTCTAACCCCCAAATGCTTCTTCCGGAACTCAGACCGAGTCAGATCTGAGAACTGCGTTACACCATGACGCGCCGACGGATCCAACTTCTGGTGACGCCTCGCTCGCCTCAGATTCGCCTTGAAAACCGAGAATCTATAGTCATGCTCCTCGTTGGATGCGTACACCTTCCTGAACTTGCTCTTGAACAGAGAAAAGTGATCCTCGGAGGTCAAAACCTGAGGCTCGGCTCCACCAACCACCTGACGGATCACGAGATCATCGCCGTCGTTGACATCAGACGACGAAACGGAGACGATAAAGAAAAACAAAACGAAAACGGAGAAACAAAGCTTAAGACGATCCATTTGATTATATGATTCGATTCAAGGAAGAGACAAAGATTAATATAGAGGGGGTGGAAGTAGGATTCACACGCAACTTGAATGTATAGGTGTATGTATAGATGTCTTTTTCCCTTTGGAGATTAGCTTTCGGTTTCTTTAAAGATAATTTAAAAAGATATTGTTATTATTATTATTAGTCGGAGAAATCGGAAGATATTTATGGTATTTATTATTATTTTAAGATGGCTTATCCAAGAGGAAAACGGAGATAACCAATGATGAACAAACACGTGTTAATCATTGAATGGGTATGGAGTAATGGAATGGGATAGGTTCAACTTGTTAGCAGTGCCGTGTTGTGTTGGACAATATTATTTTATTTTCTAGACTCAAAACTTAAAAAGCCCATGGACCGTTAGTTGCAACGTTTGTCTTCTCTAATTCATTTATTTTTATGTTTACCAGTGTATTGAAATCAATAATCAACCAAATTATGAAGACACGATGATCAAATATGTCTCTTTCAATATGCGTTTAGAATTAATAAAAAAAATGAATCAAGCGTTTTTGTTAAAAGTTACCACTTTTTCTATAGAGTTCACAATGAAGAAACAAACAAATAAGCAACTTAACCCTCTCTTTGTTTGTTTTGTTGTTATAAACAAACCATTTAACCCAAATTTCATATGTGACAACTAAAGGCGATGAGAAACCATAGGCTATACATATAAATTATACAATAATCACGCCAACAACCTAAACCCTCATTCTTCAAGAACGAAAAAAACTAGTGAGAGAAAGAAAACAAACCACCTTTTGTACACGATTGATACTCAACTCACCAACCAGATTTATGTATATAGCCTTTACAGGTTTATGTTAACCTGGTCGCTTACTGTGTTTGTTCTTCGGCTTGGTTACCTCCAGGCTGCGCTTTCCATTCACCTGTTTGTTAGGACCAAACATATCATAAATTCTTAAGGTTGTCTTTGACCTTTAACGACACATACACTTTGGGTTCATGAGTTTTTTCTGCCTTAACTTGGTTTAGTCTATCAGTCCAATAGCTTACTATTGTTGGCAGGGCTGGCTTTTAAATGTGAACCGGTTCAACTTAAAATTCCTTAATTTATTCAAGTCTGGCCAGGCTCTGTGGTACAACCATAATTGCAACGGGTTTGACCAGCCCCAAAAAATAAAGATATTTTCTGAAATGAGAGATAGAGAAATACCTTAGCATCTCTGTTTTTGGAAGTTGAGTTAGAGTTGTGCAAATTCTGCTGTTGTGGGGAACACTCTTCGCAGTAGAAGTTATCTAGCTTTTTAGCTTCCTCTATAGTTGTTCCTATACAAGAAGGATGAAACCTGAGCCAATGTTAGTTTGCTGTAACATCAAAGGCAACTGACAAAGACATTCGAAACAATAACCTTAATCTTCTCTTTACAAAAATGTAAAAAGACTAGGCTTGAAAGTTGAAACACTTAACAGTTCCAACATCCAAGATCAAAAGAGCAATATTTGTTTCAGTGTGACTTCATTCACTTTTACTTGTCTCATATAGCAAGCTAACATGAGTGAAAGACCCAAGGTTACAAGGTTCCGCAACATATACATTAGGATGCTAATCACAGTTATTACAAACGTTCAGACTAGAGTATCAGCTTATGTTCTCATTCATTGGCGGTTTCCACAGATAAGACAAAACATGAACATGAGTAAGGAAGAGCATCAACAAAAGCATTCATCTCAAGCAATCTCAATAGCATCTCTACTAGGACCTCATGGAATACATTTCAAACATATGAACAGTTCCAGCTTACCACTCAGAACATTCTTCGCATTGCACCATCAAGTCATCAGGGTTATACGGCATCTCACACTTGCAGAACCTGCAAACAGAAAAAAAATCAATTTAGATTGCATTAGAAAGCATATGTGACTCAATTGATTACTTCTACTTGCAAAAACCCTTAAACATACCATTGAAAGCACACTAAAGTCACATATAATTAAACTTCAAAAAAGCTAAATTCAACAAATCACTTCAATAAGCTATCAGGTGATATCTAACAGTTTATCATTCAATCTTCTCTACGCGAATACTAACATAATCAATATGGTAACAGAGAGTCTAAGGAACACATACACGGCGACTCTGTCAGGATCAAACGCGCCGGTGGCGGAATTATACTCGAAACGACAGAAGAAGTCGTCGTTTCCAACGGAGTCGAGTTTGGTGTAGCTACTGAAACTGTGGACCTTACACTTTCCTTCGATGGTATCGGCGCTTTGAAAATCAAAGTGGTCAGAGAGGAAAACCTCCTTGGCTCCATGAAACTGTCTCCTCCCTCCGATAGATTCCTCAGGGCGATAATACCACCTCACACGAACTTTCGCGTGCGATCCACGCGCGTCCGTCTCGATCGCCTCTACCCTCGCTACGTACGACGGTTTCCCAGGCTCCGACGACCGCATCAACACAGCATCTCCATCTTCAACCACAAAACAACATCGGATTATTCACTTCGGAAATCAAATTAGGGCTGAAGAAGTCAGACGTACCTTGAATCGTCTTGTTGATGTGTTTGAGCTTATAAGACTTGAGTTGCTTCCTTGGAGCTTTTTGCTTGGGCATCTGAAAGCCAGGTAAGTGAAGGGCGAGGAAGAAAGACGCTCAAGGTTTTTTTTTCTCGAGAAAGTGAGGGAAAATACTTTGCGATCAGTTTTCTCAATGACAAAATACCGTCAGGAATAATCAAATGTCTCGCGGACTATGGTGAGAACAAGTCATGTGGATCTCAGGAGCGTACGATTTGGTGAAGAATGGCTGGATCGTGAAATAGTGGAAATCTAGGGACAAAATGGGTAAAGCGAATGTCAGATAGTCAATTGACCACGTCAGCTTTAAGAGGAAGCGCGTGTGTGATACGCGCGTCTAGACCGCTCCCTTTTGTCGTGAATCATGTAAAATTAGCCACGTAAGCAATTACTCATTATGACTTGTCCTGACTTTGTCTTTGTATGTTGCATGTTTTAAGAGAATAAAGGAATGTTAAGGAAAATATTTTAAGAACGAATCTATATCCTTTTTCTTTCATTGTTCATTGCCTTAATTTTCTAATATTCAATTCTATTTTTATTCACTTATTATTCATTTCTATGCGTACGTATGATTACATTCAAAAGGATTTCCAACATTCTGTCCCAAACAAAATATACGCAAATTGGAACAAACACATCCAAATCTACATAATTTGCGCAAGAAGAAAAGATAACCACAAAAAAACATAAAAACAGTAAGGAAAATCAAAATTGGATATGAATGACGCCCCCACACACTGAAGTTTGTGTTTTCAGTATTGGGTTGAGAATATAACCAAAGGGGCTACTAAATAAATTGAGAAAGTGTAATCTTCTTTTTTCCTAAGCAACACAAGGTGAGGAACAGTGGGTGCTACTAGAGACTCTTCGACAAGGGTAGTTTGAGAAATTCACATTGCTGTTAATAGCAGCAGAAAATGAAGATGAAGATGATTGCTTGTTCTTCTTCTTCCTCTTCTTGTAAGCCTCATCATCATCATCATCATCAAAAGTTTGGGTTGGTTTCTTCAGATCTTCAAGGCATTTTACATCTGAGATACAAATGAATGATCTTGCTTTCCCTGAATAGTACCTTGATAATCCTCTCCTGTTTCACAAAATCCAAAATTAGATAGTAATCCGGAGTTCCATAATTTAAAATAAGAATCATAATCAATGAAATCTTTTTTCAGGATTTTACTTTTTGGGAAGGTTGTTTCTTAGCTCTCCCATGTCAAAAGCCAACCCACTTATGTTTTCCATAATTATAGATATAAGCGAGGTAACAAAAACAAAAACAAAACAAAAATTTGGTTCTCTTTGGCTTTTGTGGGAAAATTTAAGCTATCCATTTCTATATATACACATAAGAAGAGAAAAGGAAAGAGAAAAAGAGAACTCATTTGCTTAATTGAAGGGAATGGTTTCTATTTCTGGGTTTATGTTTTATTTTACTTTCATGGTTCTCTTATTTTTGCAGAATCTGTGACTGACCCTAATCTTTTCTCACCTATACTTCCTCTCCTACAAACACTTGTGAAGAGTTTGATATCCAAACATTTACGATTGTGTAAGTATGCATATACATAATATTACAAGGTTTCTACAATGATTAAATGGAAAAATTAATGGCTTTATCTGATCTAAAGAAGGAAATGGTTTCTATGATTATTATTTATTAACTAACAGAGGTAGTAGACCAAACACTAAACTTCCATTCAATGAATCAAAGCTTGAATCCAATATTTAACAACACACAAACCATTGAGTTCCTTTTCTTAATATAGCTAATTCAGGTTCAAATGTGACAGCTTTAACTAGAGTTTACACTAGACAACAGAGTACGAGAATAGGTTACCCTTTTTTTTCCAAGAACTTTGGGAGAACGAACACATTGTTCCCCAGTTAATGTTTAGGTACCTTCTCAGAGAAGAGATTCATTTGCACAAAAGATGATCTAATTTCTACTCTGAAACAGACCTTTTCTGTTCTACTCGATGCTCAGAGTTCAGACTGTAAAACCAACTTCTTAGAATACAAAAAGAGAACTTTTTGTATTCCTCTGTGTACAAATGATGTAAATTTCATAGGAAGATTCACACACACTTATGTTTCAATGTGAAGTTGTATTTGTAACCTGATATTAACAACTACAATAAAGGAGGATAAGTAAAGTAAATGCATCACAGCATTTAGTAGTACACATACATACATATACATATCCACCCACAAAATTACACTTCATACAAAAAATATATAAATTTGATAAAATACATCAAAATATAGAAATATCACACATCTCCCCGACCACCACCAAAAAAACATATAAAGAAACAAATATATCACCTTAAAAAGTCAAATGTTTCTATTGCAAATACTGCTTATAACGACAAATTCGTTTTGGTGCATTCATTTTGTCTTTTTTTTTTTTTAAATTAATTATCTGTTAGTTTGTTTTTATCTTCCGTTAAGGTTAGCAAACTGAGTAAACATGGCTGTTCCAGAGTGTTCATCCACGGCCTGACCCTCGGCTGTGCCATTGTTCTCTTCCATCTTAGAAGGAACGGGAACAGTAGCCGCTGCATTGGTGGTGGCTGAGGGAGTGATCGGAGATGGAGCAGACACCGGCACCGAGCCAGGTGTCACTACACCAGGCTTAGCGTTCTCAGTCTCTTCTGCTTTGCCCTGAGTGAATGCCTCTTGAAGCTGAAGAGCATACTCCAAGTTCCATAGAACATCTCCCATTGTTGGCCTATCAACACCGTAGTCTTCCAAACACTTCTCTGCAGCTTCAGCAAACTTCTTCATCGATTCAGGATTAATCGTTCCAGCCAAATGAGGATCAATGATCTTTTCGAGAAGTCCTTTTCGTTTCCATTGCATTGCCCATTCAGCTAAGTTAACCTGCTCTCTTGGTAGCTGAGGATTGATGGCTGGTCTTGCGCACAGAGCTTCTAGAAGAACGACACCAAAGGAATAAACATCGGATTTGTCGGTAAGTTGCTGTCTTCTAAAGTATTCCGGGTCTAAGTATCCGAAACTTCCTTTCACAGCCGTACTGACATGGTTTTGTCCAAAAGCTACATCTTTAGAAAGACCAAAGTCAGCGACTTTAGCAACTAAAGCGTCATCGAGAAGAATGTTGGTGGATTTGACATCACGGTGGATAATCCCCTGAGCTGTTCCTGTGTGTAAGTAGTGAAGCCCACGTGCAGATCCGATACATATCTCAAGTCGTTGTTTCCAGGTTAGAGGAGCAAGGTTCTTTCCATACAAGTGGTCCCTGAATGGACCATTGGACATGAACTCATAGACTAAGATCATCTCAGAGTTCTCATCACAGTAACCAATCAAGGAGACCAAGTGTCTGTGTCTGAGCTTAGAAAGCATCTGGATCTCTGTCTGAAACTCAGTGATTCCTTGTTCAGACTGTGGATTACCTCTTTTGACAGCGACTTTGGTTCCATCGTCGAGGGTTCCAATGTAGACGTTACCGAATCCTCCAACACCGATAATCTGGGATGCTTCAAAGTTCTTTGTGGCTTCTTGAAGCTCTGAAAGGGAGAAATAGCGGCCGAGACCAAGTGTTGAGTTGTAGAAGTTGGATTTCTGAGAACCACCTTTGCTTGTCATGAAAGTGCTATCACCAGCATGTATTGGTAGCAACCAAGAGGAGAAACTGTTTCTCTTCTGCCAATCTTGTGGCCTCTTCTTCCACTTGTAAACCATGGCTCCCAGACCAATGAAAGCTCCAAACATCATCACAAACCCCGCGGTTGCAACCATACCATGCTTCCCCATGCCAGTGGTTCTACCATCAACTCCAAACTCTCCATCAAGGCTGTTCACGGAATTGCTCATCTTCAGAACCTCAACACCGTTCAAGATCGCGTTTTTGGTCCCTGTATCTTCTCCCATGGGACCAATCTGGACTTGGAGCTCAGGGCCCATAAGTGTTGCGTTCACAACGATGTCTTTGTAGTAAGGAGCTGCCAGATTCCCAGCGACAGTGGACAAATCCAGCCCAGAAATGGCAGTTTTCCCGTTAATGTACACATTAAAGTACAAGTCATTGAGAGACTTGCTAACGATATCACAGAAATGAAGCCGGATAAGGTAGTTAAACGATGGGTTGGAGGGGAAATTCCAGGAGACGTTAAAATTAGGGTCTATGGTGAGAGAATTAGCCATTTCCACAGCTGTTGCATAGACCGTCTGTGGAGCAATCAAAGGTGTAACTTCCGGTGGGTACTTGATTGCTGAAGGGGTTGTTTTAACGTCCTTTGCCAAGTTCTCATCTTTCAAGAATTCCTTATCCGGTATCCAGGTTCTTCCTAATGTATCATTCTGAGGCATGATCAAGGGACCACCGACATTGACTCTGTAAACAGACTGGTAAGCGTAATCAGACAGACCCGATAACCCATTGACAGGGAAAAGGGCAGTGCCAGAATCAGAGATCAGTTCGTCTGGAGCTGACACGACTTCGATAGCGTTGATGAACGCTGCAGAGCTTTTCATAGGTCTGAACCTGAGGGCGAATTGAGCATCTGTCATGTTGACGAGATACTCCTTCTGAACAACAGCTTGACTATCATTGTTGTTGTTACTTATTTTGAAGTTATGAAGCAGCACATATTTCTCCGTTAAAACGGAAAAGGTTGCTTGTTGGAGATCGAACTTGTCATTAGGAAAGGCCAAGAAATGAAGGCGAACCCAATGCCAACCAGGTCGAGTCAAATGGAATTTGTAGGTGGCTTCCTCACGGAAGATCCTTGCAGTTAGGTAAATAGGAGAAGCGACCTTGTCTGAAGGCGGGGCCGAGACCTGAATATCTTCCTTGGCTTCTATGTATTGGATAGTTTCTTGGTCACTCTTAAAGACTCTTCCATCAGGGGTTTTTGATGACGATTTGCTTCCACAATCAATGAGAATATCATCTGCCGGTTTAAAACCAGTAGCAGGTCCCACAGCAGCGGCAGCTACCGCAGATGCAGAAGGGCCTGAGAGGAAGAGGAGAATAGCGAGAAGGAGAGCCATGGAAGGCTTTGGAGAAAAATAAATGACGAGAACCGTGAATATGTTTGGTTTCTTTCTTATCTCCATCCCTCCTGGGTGGGAAGGAGAGAGAGAAGAGAGGGGGATGAGGAGGAACAAAGATAAGAAGGAATGAGGAAGTTTGCTGGATAGCTTGTGGTTGAAGAAAAGAGGGAGAAAAAAGGTCATGAAAGAGAGAAAAGGTGAGTTGTTATATGTGTGGCCAGTTTTTGGAGTATGCTGTAATTTGGTGGAGGATATGAGCATTGATGATATTCAATGGTCTATTTTTAGCAAATTGCTAATTCTGTTATCTTGACAATTTTAACACAAAGCCAAAAATAAAATAACTCTGGTTCCTATTTCAAGAAAAATAAAAAAACAAGCTCTAACCAGAATCATAACCTAACTATCAGTTTTTTTATCAAACAACTGAACAAGCAAATATGAACGAAGTGATCATAATTATCTGTCGTAAAGAAAGAAAGTATGAAGAAACAATAAGTAGGCAAGAACATACCAGTGAAAGCTTTTCACTGCCACTCAAGTGACTCCAAAGTCTGCTGATGAATGTCTGAATCTCCTGCTGCAACTACATTAAAGCCTGTGACAAATGAAAAAGTAGATAAAGATGTTTAATAGTTCGACATTCAGGGGGATAGTGATCTTTTGTTTTGATGAGTTTGTGACAAATGAAAAAGGAGATAAAAATGAAACAAAAGGTCTTTTTTTTTTTTTTAATAATAATAAACATACTTGTCGCAACTGCACTGGATGAAGCCTCCCACAGAAATGGGTTACCAGTCCAATCGGTTATGGTACCTCCAGCGCCTTCTATTACAGGCACCAGAGCAAGGAAATCATATGGCTGACGAAGAATAACATTGACTTCAATTAGTATGATTAGAAAGGACAGTACCAGTTTAAGATTGGTACATGAGGCAATTACTTTTGACAGGAAATTATAGTGGTGCCATTCTGAAAGAGAAGTTTTACCTTTAGACCGGATTCAATGACAAGATCGACAAATCCAGAAGCCAGGAGAGCGTAAGCATAACAATCACAGCCGTATAATGGCACTTTCACCTGTTACAATAAAATTTAACAAGCCAGAATGAAGTCAATAGTGACCAACATTGAAATGAAAAGAACAGAAAAGAAGGGATTCAAAGGAAGCCATACGAAAATCAACTGGATAAGAAGCTCAATTGAGATACTAGTTATTGTGAGATGCGTTATTCTTCTAATTCTCATAAGGAGGTTTCATCTAGTTTCATTTCCTTGTACTATGCTCCAACCGATAAACATTTCCAATTTAGCTCAATCCCATGTAAGAATATATATTAGAAAAATAGATAAGAACCTTGTCTCTCACTCGAGCATATGCCTTTTCTGCCTCTTCACTGAAAAGATGTGGACTAGTGGTGTATCTGGGCAGTCAAAATGTGAGAAGAGAAAAGAATGAGATCTTAGAGTATGATGATGCTCATGACAGTGGTATTTGCCTTCTTGAAACACGAAACTATATACGCATCACATGTCATTCTAGGCTATTTCCTTCAAAAGATGACCACAAAGGTATCGCTATTAAGGCTCAGTGGACGCAAACTTACAAATATGCTTGTGATAATTTTGGGCAAGATCGCGTTGAGATATCCTCCCCATTTAATTTAGTTCTTCTTCCATTCATTCCTATCCATCTCTCTTTTAGAATAGGCTGATCAATCAGTCCTAGAATCTGAAAGTGAAGACAAGGTCAGTTAGTAAGCTTAAAATGCAATTCACCAGAATCAGAAAAGTTGTTAAAAGACATTTAATAAGAATTCCCGATCTGAAATCAGAATGTGCTTATGATGCATACCACCACAAACATGGGAAGCTTGCAAACAACAAGAGAGTCTGATGTCTTACCGGTTTACCTTTGTAGAGCAGAGCTATCAGCGTACCAAATACGGGTTTCCCTGAGACAAAGCAATTGATAGCACAATCAAATCCTCAAACTCTTGATAAGACAACAAAAATACTAAATATTAGAACAAAGAGTCCACCTGTTATAAAGCTCTTTGTTCCATCGATTGGGTCCAAAACCCAAACATAGTCTGCAGATTCCTCTTTGCATCTCCAACCCTTCTCCTCACCAAATCTACAGTTTCAGCTTTTAATAAGTAAATAAAGATGAACACATGGACTACTAGATGCTGTGGAGAAACAGAGCAGTTTTCATATATAATCATCTACTGAAGCTCAAGGTTAGAGAGCAATCAATGTGTCTTTATCCTGGAGGACAAAAGTCACAACTAAACTCCCTTGTGATCTAGCAGAGCATAGTTCAAGCACGATCACCTCTTTATATCTCATATAAAAGGAGAACAGTAGTCAAATTTTCAAGAAGCAATATTCAAGGAAATACACTCACATAGCATGAGAAGGAAGATTCTGGAATATAATCGAAACCATCGCCTCTTCAGCCATTTGATCAGCGATTGTAACAGGACCTGCAAATTATCCGAATCAGAAGTCTATTTACCAAACCAGTGATCGTTGCCTAACAATCAACCTTCAATTTCTACTGTATCTTCTCCGGACCAGAAATTCCCCTAACACTCGGTGCTCAATCACCAGTGAATCCCCTATTTGAGCAAAGCTCCATTGTATACTATCAATTTACCCTAAACAAAACTAGAGAACCGATCGAGACTTACTCATATCATCTTTATCAACAATGTCGAATTTCTTCCGGAAATACTTTCTGATAACCTCGCCGGAAGCGTCAGCTAATGCATTTCCCACAGCGGCGAATCGATCCAGCTCAGTATCGCTCAGTTTCGAAGGAGACTCTTCGCTTACGTTAGGCTGTTTCGAGTTCGAAGCCATTGTCAGGGAGATCCGGCGGCGGGAGACGGGAACAGCGATTGCAGAAGAAGATAGAAAGGAGAATCGGCTGCTTCTATAAGAAGAAGAGAGACGAATAGAGGAAATTTCAGACCGCAACACCTGAGACGGTGGCGGAATCAGATGGAAGGACTTAGAGAAGAAGTGCGACTGAGCTAACATTTTGCTATGAGTGGGAAGTTGACGGAACAGCCAGAGTCATCAACGACGGAAAAGTTTTGAATAAAGAGATGACGATTATGCAATCTCATCCGTTGGATCGACTTTCCTTCTCCCCGATCCCAAACTCGGTCCGGTTCGATATTGGACTGACGGAACCGTATATAATGTAATCAACGTTGAAATGCCAACAACACTTAACACAATTACACATTTTGTTTAACAAGAATTACAACAACAACAACAAAAAAAAAAAACAACAATAATTCGAAGATGATTTAAGCCCATGATTGTGATTACAAGTAATCATGACCACCCGTATGGTAACTTTCACGTTAAATTACGGTGGCCAGAAAGTTTCTCCTTGATCTTCTCGTGCGGCTCTTGAATCGATCCTGATCCTGATCCTGTTTCTGTTACGGTTGCAGATGATGGCTTGTTGACGCCTAGCTTCGATTTAGTTTCATCCGTAGTTTTACTCCTTGCTCCTTCACCATCCTCCCAGTCCTCCTCCGGCTACATATTTATACGCATCGGATGATCAATATGATACTTACCAATCAGTGCCGTGCCGTGCATAATGTACTCGCTAGTTACCATGCATAGGGATCTTGATGATAATAATTAAAAAAAAAAAACACAGGCATACATAAATAACATCCATTTTAAAACTTAATTATGGTGCTATTAGAATTTTAATAGAATTATGGTGACTTGGTGAGATATTAATCTTACCAAGTTGGTGCCGAACCAGCGGAGATCATGGTCTTGAAGGGGGTCGTGGGACACGGAGATAGGTTGTGCGTGGTGAGGAGTATTGGTGGTGGTGACTGGGGCAGTGATTGGGTGTGGACCGGTGTGGCTGCTCTCCTTAAGGTGAGGAACGGTGGTTGCCACACCTGTCAGGTGCATGGCGTTACCAAACTCGTCCATGAGCTGAGCCGGCTTCCCGTGTTCGTCTGTGAGATAGATCGGGTTTCCTCGTTCGTCTTTCAGATCCGCCATTGTTAGAAGTTTCTCAAGTCTCAATCAAACGTTTGCTAGCGAGTACATTATGCGTTTGCGTGAACATTACATGTACTATACATTCATCATTCATGTGCATGGTCATGACACGTGCCGCAGTAACGAATCAAGATGCGTAGGGTATTGCCACTAAGCACATATGTGTGATCTTTAACGAACGAACCTACTGATACGATTGCTTGAAAACGATTTTTCTGATGTGTACTGACCCATAACTCACAAGTTTCAATATTTGCTTAATATTGTTAGTAGAGAAATGATGGTGTCATTCACCTATAATATTTAAAAAGCTTATCGATCGATCTATATATTACAATCACAAGTAATAGAGGGAGAAACAAAACAATATTTACATATAAGAAGTTTGATTGAGAGGTCAAGCAAGTAGATATAATACAAACTATACCCAATCGGCTGCCTTCATAGTCCAGTTCTGATCTATGCACAGCCAGAACAAATCAATAGATTAATGATCCAATGTTGTTTTTATCCCCAACCTTGTAATCTAAATTTGTAACTTTACATGTGTGAAAATTTAGTATTCATTAAAAAAAAAAACCATGATAAGACAAATTTTGTTGAGCTTTATGAGGAAAGTGTGTAACAGCAAATAGCCTGCTTTTAATTGAATGGTACCGTGTCCCGGTGTGTGTCGACTTCTATGCTTCAGACAGCAGTCAAAGAACAGAGCACGGCGAATCTGAAACAACCACCACAAAGTCTTACTTGTATGATTCACTGATTTGACTTTCAACTATATAATATATAGCAAGAAAAAGAGAGGGAGGCTTACAAGTTCATATTTTGCTGGATTTGGTCCAGAGGAAGCCTTTCTTTTTCACTGGAAGATTCTCTTTAGGGGATTTATAATTACTTCTGGACCCGAAAGAGAAGTGTCGAGCCAAGAAAGGCTTTGCAGAATAGCTTTTAGCACTCGAACTCGAGAGCAGTTTAGGGCTCTTGCTTGCTGCTGCTGCTGTCCTGTGGCTGTGATCAAACATTACAAAATCCTCGCAATCAAAGTCACTGTCCAAAACTCGGTTTCTGAGTCGTTTGTTGTGTCGAGCTTTCAAATCCATCTCTACTTTCAACGCTTTCTCTGACAACTTCGCCGTTTTCTTCTCACCCATTGTACAGATTGGGCATGAAGGGTCGAATTTATCGATTTCCGGCGTCATCTGCTCTAAACACTCCCCATGATAGACATGCCCACAAGCTAGAATTGCAGACACAGAGAGCTCGTTAGTCATGAAGATCTTTTGGCTGCTCCACAAGGATTTCTCTGACAAGGGTCTAGAGCAAGCACCGCAAGTTTGCTGCTGATGCTTGGACATTCGGTTGCCATGATGGTCTATCTTGTCACGTTGAAGCCCAAAGCAATCATTATCATAAGACAAAGGCTCGTTGCTGCGAGAAGATGACATCATTTCAGAAAAGGCTTGCAGTGACCAACCTTCAGATGGTCCAGACTGAGAAGAATCATATCTCAAAGGAGTTCCCTGCCTCTCTTCAGTTGCTGAGCTTCTACTTAGTGAGTTTCTACTTAGTGAGTTCGGACCATAGATTTGACCATCTGAGACTTGCTTTGATAGACGAGGGCGCTGTGTCAGTTTAAGTGTCGATGAACTTGCAGGGTGCAAGTAGCTTTGGGACGAAAGTGGTGATGTAGGGAAAGATGATGGTTGTGAAGCCAGTGAAAGAGACAATTGTGCAGGAGATGGATATGATGGTGCTGCAGACTCTCTTGAAATATTTTCTTTCTGTACGATACATAAGAATGGAGACGTTAGGCATCAACAATATGAGAGAACTCAGCTACTGGTGAGTGGTGAAACACACTTTACCTGTTCAAAGACTGTATTCATGGAAGAATTTCTTGGAAAAGATAGATCTGCCACAATAGATTTTGATTAAGACAGGTGCAGAAGCAAGCCAAGAATCAAAAGACAAATCTTATCATTAAACATAGCCACGTCTTTTTGCTAATCATGACTCCAGAGGGACATTTAACAGGTTCTGTGAAAAAAAAAATCTAAAGTCCCAAGTAAGTAACACCAAGTAACATGTGCTTCCCTCAAGTTTACAAGTTCCATAAAAAGCTGAGCCAGTGAGGAATACGAATTTTAATGTAACCATTTCCTAACAAGCTGAAATTATATACCTGAGGCAGGAGATTTCTGCAATGTCTGTGTCCGAAAACTGTCCAAAGGGGAACCTTCAGATGATACAAAAGCAGATTCAAATTTGATCTCAGAGCCATCGTTCCGACTAATCCCATCAGATAACCAACTGAGAGAGGTTTCTTCACCAGCTACACGTCCTCTATTATCCCAACGGAAACTCCAAGTCGGAGAATGCCTGACATTGCTCCTCTGCAAATTCTCACCAGCTGATGAATTAGGCACCACCATTTTGTCTCGAGCAGCAACACAACACGCATTCCCCATAACTCGCAACTACTAAGCACTACGCAAAGACAGGGCTTATAACTCTCAGACGAAAGAGACCTCAGTAGAATTCACAGCACAACAATTCCTTTCTAGCTACAAACTTAACAGGCAAAATAACAAAACACAAAATCAATTTCAGAAACGAAGATTCAGGAGTTCAATCAGCATCATCAACAGCTGAGAAACCAGAAATTCAATAAAACAATCAAATCATCACAGAGTCAGGAAATCCCCAATAAAAGTCTCAGGTTGCAACACTTACAAGCACAATTAGTAGAGCCACATGTCACTATGGATCAAATAACGAAGCAACAGTTGGAAGAAAATTCTGAATAAGGAAATAATCATATCGATCTATCTACTGATCACTGGAACTGCCGGATCAGTAATTGAAGTAAAAATTTTGCATCAAAGAGATCCGAAATTAAGGCCGGAAAATCTGCAAGGCATGTTGAGATGACCCAAAATAGATACGAAAACCCTAAAATCAAATCATTAAATTCCGAAAGAGACAAAGGATAACAAAAATCAAAATAGATGCTAAGAGAGCCACGAACATCGAACCTGCTCCCAGAAGTACCAAAACGTCGCCGGAGAAGAGGAAGATGACGGTTTCACGGAGAGAGAGCGATGGGTCTGTTAGAGTGAGAAAGGGAGAAAAAGGAAACGAACACTGCGAGGCTTTTGCTTTGCTTTCTTCCTTCTCTCCTTAGAGAGAGAGAGCGAAGAGAGGGAAAGAGACGAATACAAGTCTTTTCTGACGGTTTACTTCACGCCGTCAGGTTCCGGTAGGTGTGTACCAAATAATCAAATCAAACCAAACCAAACCGACTTGAACATGGTTTATTTCGATATTTTTAATGTAGATCTTCATCAATTACGAAAGGTGAAATAGTCAAATAGATAAGAACTTCACAAATTCATAAGGTAATTTTAAAAGAAAGTCAAAGAAATTACAACCGTTTTGCCATGATCGAACCAAGATAAGCCGGTTTAGTTGTGACGCCGTTAGAGTTAGCGGAATTATAGTGACTTACGGTGAGTAGAGCCACGTCACGTTAAAAGACAAAAAGGGAGGGAGAACGAATAATTAACCGGCAACTTTCCGTCGTGACGTCGTTAGATGTGGCCTTTTAGAAAATAAAAAATTAGATTCCAATTTAAAAACATCACAATACTATAGGGACCAATTTAAAAAACCCCCCGTCCCTGTCTATTATTTATCTTACCGGATACGCGACCTGGAGCTTTGTGAAGCCAACACGGAAGAAAAGAGATCAAACGAAAGAAAGAGAATATAAAGACGAAACCATCACTTCCGATTATTATTTAGAGTTAATTATAAATACGAAAAAATTATATAATCGTTACAATACATTCAAGAATTCTCACAAAACCACACTGTTCTGTTTCGAACCGATAGATTCGAACCTTGGTTTTTCTTGATTTAAGTTGCCGGCTTCGAGGAATCTCCGGTGTGAAGTTTCACGGCTTCTTCTTCATGACGCAAGCTGTTTTCTCTAGAATACGGTTTCTTAGAACCCTGTAAAATGTTTAGCAGAGTTTCAGTCTGTTACGTTAGAGAACCAACACTTTTGTTTTTGTTATATGACTCACCTGAAAAATGTTTCCGAGCTTCCTCAATGCTCTAGCTCTAGCTCGAAGAACATCCTTTGAAACACTTGGATCTTTAAGCACCTGAGAACAAACAAAACAGATGACAAGATCTTCACTACTACAGTGGATGTAATAGTATAGGATCATTAATTTCCGACCCAAATCATGGTGTATCTTACCGCTTGGCAGACACGAGATAAGGTTGATTCGATGTCAACAACATTGATTTGCCAAAGGGATTGAAGCATTGCATCTTTTTTAGCTTCAAGGGCTTTCTGAATATTATCTTCTTTGTTCTCTCCATGATTCATCTTGCTCACTTCATCCTGCAACTGAAGCAACGAGACCGCACCTACAGACAAAGAAGAGGTTTTCCGTTGATCCGCTTTTGGAAATCAAAAGCAGCCCCCAAATTCAACTTAAACATTGTTTTTAGCGTTTACCCGAAGCAGCCATCACTTGAGATTTTACTTGGTGGCCTTTGTCACGAACCCATTCGGCTAAAAACGGTACTTTCATGTAACGTTTATCCTTTCCGAGTTCTTTAGCAGCTTTTCTAGTGTAAATGTATCCAACGGTGTGAAGCATTGCCTCACCAAAACCTGACAGTATCGGATGATTACAAACAAAATCAGTTTATTCGGTTTGTCAGGTTACCAAAGTTTGTGTCTTTCATTTACTTGAGAAACAAAAAAGGTAAACTTGAAACAGTAACTGAGAAAGGATTGAATACCAGCTGTAGAAAGCAGTTTTGCCTCTGCGGTGGCCCAGTTTACAAATTCATCAGTTTGTCCTTCCACGAATGGTTCGAGTTTGATTTTGAGTGTAGCGACGAGCTTGTCTACTCTGTCGTTTTGCATCGCCTGCAAAAAAGTCCCAAGAAAACATACAGAAAATATAAACATTAAGGAATAAGAAAACAGTTACCAGAGAGGGAAAACAACCTACTTTGATCTTTTCCCGAAGCATCTGTTTTCTAATCTCAGGCTCATATGATTCTAATTCAGCATCGATTGAGGCTATTGAAGCAAGTGCAAGTTGCCCAACGTACTCCTCAAAGAGCTCGCTACCAAAGAGCATACCAAACACAGCTGCAGGATCAACCATTGCATCCCTGGAAGAAAATGGAAGTGAAATTCACATACTAAAGCAATTAAGCAATCATACCAATCACATTCTCAAATAAACATCATAGAAGATATCTCTAGAATTGAAAGGAATGGCCTTTTATGTGGGAAAAACCGAATTTTTTTCTTCAAATGTAGAATGAATCATGAGGAATGGAAAAAGTGTGAAAACTTACTGTTGAACCCCTTCTTTTCCAAATTTGTCATAAGCTGTTCGCTTCTCCGGATCGCTAAGAACTTGGTAAGCTTCACCTAGTATCTTCATTCACACATAACAATTAACAGGTTCAAGCGATCCAGAATATTATTCAATCAAACACTCGTGAAGTAGAGGTGATTCTATATTATGCTCAAAAAAAAGGTGAAGTACAAAAATGACCTGAAAGTTTTTTTCAGCTTGAGGATCACCAGGGTTCTTGTCTGGATGAACTTGCCTTGCCTGCAAAAAATAAGAGCCATAAATGATCTACCAAAATTGATCTTATAATCAAACCTAAAAAAGCTTCCAAATTTGGAAACACAACAAGTTTCTTTCTTCAAATCCAATATCTGATTCTATACATCATAATCAAATCTACGAATCTAAAGCTTATGCTTGGATTCTAAACAAATCTCTGTGACAATCTACCTGGAAACAATCATAGAGATGGAAAGCTGATGATAAACAGAAAGACTTACTTTAACATAATAAGCCTTCTTAATCTCAGCACCAGAGGCGTCAATCTTGACGCCTAATATGTCGTAGTACTCACTCTCCTTCACCATAGCTCAACTCTCAAACTGATGTTAAAAGGATACTAAAAGACACAAAAATTGTTAGACCCCTCGAGCTCTCTTATTAATGACATGAAACAAAGACCCTTGAGGAAATAATGCGAAACAAACAAAATCAGAGGAGATAAAAGGGAAATGATACAAATTCAATACCGATCTTAGAAAATTTTGGAGGAATTAGGAATTGAAAATCAAATTAGAACACACTAAATTTTGCATATGGAAAGAAAAAAATTCTAAAACTCATAATCGGGAAGCTATAGATTGATACAGAGACGAAGACAGGGACTTACTGCTGTTCGTAAAGCACAGAAACTGGAAAGAAGATTTCAGATTTGGTGAGTTTTTATTTTTTAAGAATCCAGCGTCAAACGATCAAACAGCTGCGATCTATGTGATAAATGACAATAATACCCTTAATATGTTTAAGAAATCACAAAGAAACCTAACCCTAAAAAAGCTGCGTTTCTCTTTTCTCTTTTACACATTCGATCTCTCTTACTGAAACAACAGAGAAGTAAACTCGGCGATTTCGAGCTTGTTCCCCGACGAGTTTGTTCCTGATTCACCTTCCTCTGTTCGTCAATCTCCTAACTTTAAAGGTAAATTTGATTTCGTTTGCAATTTGGATTCAGTCCCTCCTAATTTCAATCGCTTGCAATTTGCCATTCAATGGATTTTTGTATTGAGAATGTTCTGTAATATGGGTTTATTCGATTTCAAGTAGTCCTTTTTAAACCCATCTTCTCTGTGAGTTGTTTCATAGTGATTTCTCTAACTAAATTTTTTTATTTTAGGCATTAGAGCTTACTTATTGATTTTGAGAATTGGGTTTTTGAACTTGCAGATCTATTTATCATTTGTTGAATTAACAACACTCACTACAGATTTTAAAGGTTTTAGCTAAAAGCTAGTCTTTTTGTTGTTTGCGTCATCTGATATGTTCCCATTGTAGTTGATAAGAAACTTTTTTTTGAAGAACTTGTCAAGGGTTCACAGTATTGTAGTTCGTAAGAGACTTTGTTTAAGAAGAGTTCATATTAGTTACTGTTTCATGTCTTCACTAACACTTGTTAATTGAGTCTCATGCTTAATGATTCTGTCTCTTGCTTACTTTAGGCATTAGATCTTACTTTATGTTTTAAATTTATGTTCTCTCTATGTTAAAAAAAACTGATTTAGTTCAGCTTGTACTATCATTGAGATATATGTGAGGATAAGGCACTTCATTTGTTTAGTTCAGCTTCCTCTGTTTCTTTAGACGAATATGTTGGAGGTGAAGAGATTTATGGTTTCTGGTGTGTCTTTATTTCTTGACTTATTCTGGTTGGGTTGTGTAAATTATACGATTAATAACTTGAGCTTACTCATCTTTTTTGTGTTTTAACTTGGATCTCAAGTGTTACTTGCAGTTTGTATAGTAATATAAAACCAAAAACTGAGATTAGGTTAGCTCTAATACTTGTTTAGTTGATCATGTTCTTTTTTTGGTTATAAATCCTTTATCTGCTGTTTTGTTTCTATATCCTTCATTATCCATATGATTACTTTCTGCAGAATATAGTGCCAGTTACACAAGCAAGTGGCAGAGGTGGTCGGAGGAACTTTGCTTCAAGTAACTCTTATCAAGGTAGTTTGTGTTCTTTCTTTAGATTTGTATCATGAACTACTTACAGTAAGATCATTTTTGTTTTGCTATGTAGATTTTGTTGGGTTAGTTATTTGCTTGTCTTAATTAAATTGCAAAAAAAACTGATGCATTTTGTTTCTCAGGTTACAAAGCTTCAGATACCAAACTTATATACCAAACTTAGAAGAGTTCTTATTAGTTACTGTTTCATATATTCACTAACGCTTGTTAATTGAGTCTCATGCTTACATGATACGTCATAAGATATATGCACACAAAAGTTAAAAAGTATTATTCTAAGTTGAAAATTTGATATATTAGACTACTCAAAGCCAAGAATTATTTCATTTTAACCGTATCTCTGTGGTCCTATTATTGCTATATCTAATTATACTAAATCAACAGTCACTTTTTCAATAACTGATGCATTCTCTGATTGACACATCAGCTTAGTACAATTTTCTTACTCTTTCTGTTTTTAGAGAGGATTTTGTTTATTCATACCTAATATTTTGTCGTTTTTATTTGGCTTTTTTATTTTTTTTCTCAAAACCCCACGATCTCCACCTCTTCCACTTCTTCTCCTCCAAAATTTCAATCTGTAAAGAAAAAGATGGTCTTCTCATCATCATACGTTGATTAATCTCATAAATCAGTTACTTTTTTCACCCGAAGGTATCAAATTACCATCTCCAATTTCAGTTTTTATTATATTTTGTAGATTGCTTATTATATCATGCTTAATAGATAACGTTTCAATATATGTGTTTACAGTTTCGCCAAATGTTTTCAAGCTCAATCAAGTATTCAAAAGCTTCATTCTCCCTAACTAATCAAAAAACAATTGCAGATTTTCATTCGGTATTATCCAATTTTCTATGTTTTGGATCAGTGTTTAATTTTCTCCTTAAATCTGCAAATCATATACAGTTCACGTTTAATTGCTTATAACTTTTCCATGGTGTCAACATAAAACCCTCAATTTTTCTGGGTAATTGAAGGGAAGAGGAGAAAGAGATGGGAAGATAAGAGTGAGATTTCACCAGACAATTGTTTTACACGTGTATTTATTCTCACCCCAACTAATTAATTAGATTAGTAGCTTATTTTTTATTTTTTGGCTTTTTGTTACAACTTTATGAAATGTACATACTATCATATAGTATTTGATTAAATTCCTCAATTATTAGAATATTTTAGATTATACCAAAATTAGTGTTTGATGTCAAAATATTTTTTTATTTTAATAAAAAAAATTAATAAACACTATGCACCTAATGCTAGTACTTATATAATTGTATAGGTCGAATTTGTAATCATTGTAAAGGTAATTATTAGAAGCCGTAAGTTTTGGATAGTTAATTACAATTTCTTCGTTGGCTATGATCACTTAGAATTTTCTTTCTCTCTTGGCGACGAAACGAACAAAGATCATCAGAAAGACAGAAAGTGAAGAAATAACAAGTTTAACCAAGTGTTCTTGGTCTAGTGGTTGCCACTTGTGGAGGAGTTGCCCTGTTGGTCTAGGCCAGGGATCGATTCCCCGCAAGCGCGTAATTGTTAGATCTCCACTTGGCCACATGGATATGGGCCCTTGCTTCCGGCCCATTTGCATACCCGGAGAGAGAGTCTATCTGTGGGCTGCACCTCCCCCAGGGGATTAGTCTGGGCCCCTCCATAGGTCTGGGATTCCCCTGAGTTATCAAAAAAAAAAAAAAAAAAAAAAAAAAAAAAAAAAAAAAAAAGACAGAAAGTGGTGGAGAGAATAAAATAAAATTATTAATTTAAAGGTTTGTTGCTTTTCATTGGAAGGAAATTCCTGAGTTGGCCACATATTATATTGGGCTTTTAATTCCAATATCCCTTAATAAATTGGGTTTCTGAGTTGGCCACCGGGTATATTTGGGCTTTTTAATTCCAAATCCCTTTTATAAATTCATATTAGAGCATAATCTCATTTAGCCCATCAGGCCCACGATGTATAAAGCATTTAAGAGGTTGTGGTGTGAGGTGAGAGAGAATCGAACCCTAGTGCGAGGTCAAAACCAAACTCTTGGATGAATTAATTGACCACTAGCCTGCACGATCTTCTTCATTAATTCTATATTTTTATTTTCCTTTATCAATGAGATAATAGACGCAGATCTTTCCCGGCCAATCTTCTCCTCCGAGTTGCTAAACCCTAGCGACGGCAACAATGGTCTAGATTCATTCAACGGATCGTTTCGTGGTTTATCGGGTATTTCTAGTTTCCATAAAAGTTTCAGTTTTTAATTCTATGTGTTAAAGAGTCGCTTTGGTTTATACCGAGTGACGAATCGCCGTTGATTTTTCCATTCAATGGTACTTGAATTTTCTCTGGAATGATGTTCAATTTGTTATAATCTCAAACCTTTGTTGATACTTTGAATGTTTGATTGATTACAATATTGTCCTTGTTTTTTTGCCTTTTCTGTGAACTTATGAGTTTATGTATATACATATATATCTTGAGATCTGCCATTGGTCTTGTTTTTGGCTTTGTATTGCCCACTTAATGGTTTGACCAGAGCTTCTTGTATCTTGTATTGAAGGTGAAACTTTGGTGAGAGGGAGAGTTTTTGTGAAAGAAATCAATGGATTTAGATTTTGATGATCAACCCTCGGATCACGCTGCACCGGCAGGTAATTGGGGTTTTCTTTTTTCCACTTTCATTAGTTTCATGACTTTTTTTTGTTTGTAATTGATTGATGTGGCTAAAACATATCAATTTGGATTTAATAGTTAGGGCTGGTGCAAGGTTTAAACCAAAAGGTAGACCACAACCCAAGAAGAAGCAAGTCTCTCTTTCCACATCCCAAACAACACTCTCTACCGATGCTGCCAAGGAAATACTCTCAACACAAAGCGAAGATCCGGTTCCTCTAGACGGATCACTGGAGATTCCCAGCAGTTTTGTTTCTTTCCTCAACCAAGTTGTTTATTATATGTTGCTCTAAAGTTGGCAGTGTTTTAAGATGTGAATTCTTTCTATTTGCAGATGCTTTACCTTCTGAGACTACTGTGCCGGATAGTGGAACCATTAACAAATCTACCATTGGAACAGTATCAGAAGAGGTAAAATGGTTCTATGTCTACCTTTTGAATTGCTTTTTAGTGTATGTTACATGTCTTTGAAAAACGTTTTTGTTTCTTACAGAATGTAGATGTATTCCCAAGAGGGGTTCATTGGTCTGTGAAACCATCTATTCTTCGTGCTTGTAATAACGTGAATTTGGTGGGAAAAAGACGTGATGATGACATAGAGGCGGCGACTTCATTTCCTGATGATCCCAGAACACAAGATTCTACAATATTTGGAGATTATGTGACTCCTGAAACCGGGGTATTGTGAATTCTATCTCTAACACCATGTATCACTTGCTTTACTGCAAATTTAGAACTGATTAGTAAGTTTTGATATTGTTACAGGAAGACGAAGGTCGTGTGGACATGGAAACTCTTGATATTGTACAGGAGGAAGGCACCACCAGTTCATATGGTAATTTTAAACTCTGAATGTTGATATTTCATATGATTTAGTTCTGTTAAAGGTATATAATTATAAAGCTGTTTCTGTGTAGTGCAACATACTGGAAAGTTGCAACCAAAACCTAGAATACTCGATACTGTGGTTGAAGAACCTGAGCCTCATTACTCCGCTGGTGATACTGGTTATTTTCCAATGGGTACGAACGAGTCTGAGTTTATGGTCAATGTGGAATCAAGAAACGGTTTCAGTACTTATGGAGATACTCAAGAAGAAGAACTTAATATTCCTGAAGCCCCCAGAGAAATGGTAAGATTGGCAAATTGGGTTGCTTTTTTAAGGGCACCGTTTTAAGTTAGCAAATTTGTTAATTGGTTCCGCTTGTAATTTTTTTAATCAGGTTCATGAGATGGAGGCGCGAAATGCTTCTGGCGGATGGGAACACGAAGAACAGGGTGTATCCCCTTGTACAAACAATACAGTTACAGGAGAAGAAGAAAATTGTTTGGGGAAAACAGTAGAAGAACAGTCTGGAAAAGAAAGCAAAACTGGAAAATCGAAGAGAGCTACTTCTCGAAAGCGGAAAAAGACAAGTGAAGAACCAAATAAGTCTAGCGAAAAAACAGAGCAGAAGAAGTTCAAGCATTCAAGTCGTCGACAAAAAAGAACACGTAACTAACTAACTAAATAACTGATATTGTCATCTAGACTATGATCAACTATTTTCTGCATATTGATTCATGTTTATTCCCCGTCCTAGTGGAGAAGGAATTGCTTGAAACCCCGGATGATGAAATCAGATCTCTGCCTCTTAGAGATATGCTTCGCCTTGTCGAATATAAAGAATGGATGGAGGTAAGAACACTTATCATCTGAGCTCTACAGGTTCTTTGGAAATTTAGCGTATCAATGAAGCTGGATCCTAACTGTTCCTTGATGTCAATACCTTGTTAATTATTATACAGAAAAAGGAAGCAAAGGGAGCTGGTGTGCAACCTAGCCAAGAAAGGTATTATTTTCATTCAAAATTTTTTTTGAAAGTGCGAGATGATAAAAGCAGATTGTTTTAATTTTTTTCTCGTCTTATGGGAGTGTGTTGTTATGTGCAGTAATATGAATGCATCAGAGAGCCAGTATCATTCTCAAGGTTTTGACGACGAAGATGAATTTGGTGAATTTGGTGTAGAGTCGAGCGAAAATCAAGAAAATAATGTAGTTAAACCGGATTCACCGGTTAACTATCAAACCTACATGAACAAGACTTCAAGAACTCGATGGTCAAAGCAAGATACAGAACTCTTCTATGAGGTAAACTTGACAGCCCCTGATTCCTAAAAGACGGGTTTTACTGTTTAGGATCATTGTCACATATCTACTTAAGATCGAAATGAAACTCTAGGAGACAAAAAATCACCTTTGTTCGTAAGTATTTATAGATTTGGATTGCCTCTTTTTTATTTTCGTAGGGAATTCAGGAGTTTGGGAGCAATCTATCGATGATACAACAGCTGTTTCCTAATAGAACACGTGAACAGATGAAGCTCAAATTCAAATTGGAGGAACGCCGAAATCCATTGAAACTTAATGATGCATTATCAAGTCGCTCAAAACGTGAGAGAAATCCGTTCTCTCTCTCTCTCTCTCTTTCTCTCTGAATATATAATTTTCTTGGGTGGGCTATAGAAACCTGAAGGTTTTGTTGTTTTTGCAGATTTTACTCATTTCAAGAACGTGATTAAGAAGCTTCAACAAGAAGCCGCGGCTGCAAAAGAAGCTGAAGAAGAAGAAGCTGGAACCGAGGCAGAGACACCTGATGTTCCCGAGAATGTAAAATCCACAACTTTTTGTTTGCGGCTTGCGCCATAATCTGTTAATTTTGTTAAGAAGTTAACGAAACATTAAAACGCTGTCGTTTTCTGGAAACACTAAATGTTGTCGTTTTGGTATGTGTAGGAGGAGCCGGAGAAGTCTGAGGAGACGGAGCGAGCCAGTGATGGAGGAGCAGCTGGAGTTAAAGAATCGGACGGTGGGGATATTGAGAATGGCGTGAGATCGGACGGTGGAGATGAATGTGAGGATGATGAGGGAGATGATGATGATTTTTGGAATTCTTATAAGAGTGACATGTAAACTATATAAACAAATTAGTCTTTTCGTCGTGATTGAATACATAAATCTTTTGATTGAGAGGAAAAATATATGTTAGTATTAAATTTGCTAATTAGTCACGTTTAATTATTTTGAATAGGATTTTGTACAAACAATTATTCAAATGTAAGAACTAAACAAGGGAATATATTTTGGTAAAAACAATTAAAAAAGGAATAAATAATAAAATCCGACAACAAATGGCCAATGACTGTTGACTCGTTTACTGCTCCGTTTTGTCGGCGAAATTCTCATCGATATTTTTTAATTCTTTTTTAACTTTTTCTCTGTGCTTGTCTGATTCTGACGTGACACAGAGCCAACCTATACTGATCGTAGATCCGTTAAATTTTAACCTACGGTCATTAACGACCGTCAGATCTTCGTCGGCTGGTGACAAAAAGCGAATCTCCTGTATTACTTTTCAGTTTTCACTTAATACTTTTATTAATTTATAGTTACGTCCCAATCTCATGCATATTTATTAATTTCAGGCCATTTATTAGTTTTTATTACAGAAGTTACCTCGATTTCTACATTAAATGCACAACCACGATTCTTTCTGCCAAATCTCTTCTTGTTGACTTGTTGTTGGTGATTCAAATTGATATACTTTGATAGTACTAATCATATTACTTATCTGCAAAGGCATGCAAAATTAAAAAAAAATCTGGTTTAGAGAAGTAACAAACAAACAATTTTGTCATCCTTATGAGCGGAAAATAAGACCAAAACTGAGATCAGGAAAAACAATTATTGAGTAAAATACGAAAATAAAAACAATTTTGGTTGTGTTAACTGTTAAGTTTTACTAATACTAAAAGAATTAAAGTTTAGCCAAATTTTAAGTAAGAGATCAGAAGGAAAAATAGTGTGGGGTTCACAATAGGAAAAGAGTGTAAATAATAGGGCTGACATTAAATAAGGAGTAAATAAAATTTAGATATTTTTAATTTTGTTGGCAAAATTAAGATACAAAAATACAGAGGAAATAAATATAAGAAAACAAAAAAGAAAGAGTCCATAGTTCGCTCCGAATTCTACTCCACTTTTACCTCTGAAATTTTGTTTCCTTTTTTTTTGTTTGCGAAATTTCAGGAGTATTTCTGGTTAATGTGAGAAAGAAAGTAGATTCGCAAGAAACCAAAAAAAAAAAAAGTGAGCGATTCGTGTTGGATTGATTTAGTGGATGAGCCATTTTCTTTCTCCAATATTATTTGATTTGAGCGCGAGAGTTTTGCTTCATTCGGAATCTTAAGATGTCAGGTCATGTTGATCGATTCGCAATACCATGTAAGTATTATCAGATCTGTTTTTTCTAATCTCTGGATCCGTCGATTTCTTTCAATGCGATTTCGCTGGGATTGCTTTTGTTAGGGTTTATTCGAGTAATGAGAAGACAAACTCTCTGCAATTTCGTTTTTTCCCTAGTGGGTACTTAGGGTTTTGCTATTTAGAAGCTCAATTTTGAGAAGTTAGGTCGTTATTTCAGCTGTTTGTTGGATGATTTTGTTCAGTGATTGGTGAATAGATAATTAAAAGGTTTTGTTTTTTTTATAGGTTTTGAGGGAATATTGAGCAGTGATGAGAAAAAAGAAAGAAAGTCTGATTTTGAGAACTCGGAAGATGAGAGGAGAACAAGAATCGGTTCGTTGAAGAAGAAAGCAATCAATGCATCTACCAAGTTCAAACATTCTCTCAAGAAGAAGAGAAGAAAAAGTGATGTCCGGGTTAGTTCTGTCTCTATCGAAGATGTTCGTGATGTCGAGGAGCTTCAAGCGGTTGATGAGTTTAGACAAGCATTGGTAATGGACGAGTTGCTTCCCCATAAACACGATGACTATCACATGATGCTGAGGTTCTTGAAGGCTAGGAAATTCGACATTGAGAAAGCTAAGCACATGTGGGCAGATATGATCCAGTGGAGGAAGGAATTTGGTACCGACACTATTATTCAGGATTTTCAGTTTGAAGAGATTGATGATGTTCTGAAATATTACCCGCACGGTTATCACAGTGTTGATAAAGAAGGCAGGCCTGTGTATATTGAAAGGCTAGGGAAAGTTGATCCTAACAAACTGATGCAAGTTACTACCCTTGATCGATATATAAGATATCATGTTAAGGAGTTTGAGAGGAGTTTTATGATCAAGTTTCCTGCCTGCACAATTGCTGCAAAGAAGTATATTGATTCAAGCACCACTATTTTGGACGTCCAAGGAGTGGGGCTGAAGAACTTCACAAAGTCTGCTCGTGAGCTTATTACACGGTTGCAGAAGATTGATGGAGACAATTATCCTGAGACGCTCCACCAAATGTTTATCATCAATGCAGGGCCAGGATTCCGTCTGCTTTGGAGCACTGTGAAAAGCTTTCTAGACCCCAAAACAACTTCTAAGATTCATGTATGTTTATACATGTTTTTGCTTTTTTAGTGTACCTCTAGTTAATGGCTTCCCTTAATTAAACTGCTCCTGGGATTCATCATTAACTTTTTCATTTTGTAATGTAGGTACTCGGATACAAGTATCAGACTAAATTGCTTGAGGTTATTGATTCCAGGTATGTAGCTTGAACTGCTAATCCTTTTTCCTCTCTAGAATTACTCGATTCTTCTGTGTTTTGCTTACATCAGTTATGTATCTTTCATTTGTTTCAGCGAGTTGCCTGAATTCTTGGGAGGTGCATGTACTTGCGCAGATCAGGGTGGTTGTATGCTTTCTGATAAAGGGCCTTGGAAAAATCCAGAGATTGTAAAGGTTACTTATTTGTCCTTTATTGATCTCTTTACACACCCAAGCTTTCATATTATCAGTTTATGTGATTTCAAAAATTGAAACAAATGGTTTACTGTTGTTGCAGATGGTACTTCATGGGGGAGCTCACCGTGCGAAGCAGGTGGTGAAAGTTCTTAACAGCGAGGGGAAAGTCATTGCTTATGCTAAGCCGTCTTATCCATGGATAAAAGGAAGTGACACATCAACTGCAGAATCAGGTTCTGAAGCTGAAGATATCGTTGTGTCTCCAAAAGCAGTAAAGAGTTATTCCCACCTCCGCTTGACCCCTGTTCGTGAAGAGGTGTAATATATGTTCAGACTTCGTTTTTTATAGAATACAGGATTCGTGGTTCTAAATCGTCCTAGTGATTATTTTGCAGGCAAAGGTAGGCTCTGGTGAAACGAGTTTTGCCGGTAGTTTTGCAGGTTATGATGAGTATGTTCCAATGGTTGACAAAGCTGTTGACGCCACCTGGAAGGTTAAACCCACCGCCATCAACAGGGCTCCTTCTAAAGGTAATTTTTTTAATGCTTAAGTGAAAGAAAGGTTTCACTTTTGACATCAAACACTGGGACATTTTTTTGAATCTTTGGTCTCTTATATCTTTTCGCAGGAGCTCATATGCCTCCAAATGTCCCAAAGGATCATGAAAGCTTCAGTGCTCGTGTCCTAGTAATTTTCATGGCTTTTGTGATGGCGATTCTCACATTCTTCCGCACAGTATCATACCGTGTTGTGACTAAGCAGCTTCCACCGCCTACAAGCCAACCGCAAATTGAAGGAAGCGCTGCTACAGAGGAAGCTGATCTCCTCAATTCAGTGCTGAAGAAATTAACCGAACTTGAGGAGAAAATTGGAGCGCTCCAGTCAAAGCCATCTGAGATGCCTTATGAGAAAGAGGAACTGCTTAATGCAGCTGTCTGCCGTGTAGACGCCCTTGAAGCCGAGCTCATAGCCACTAAGAAGGTAACTTAATACCATGTTCAACAACTAAAATCCACTAAAATTAGAACCTGAAATATCTAAAAAGTGTTTCTTATTTGGAGCAGGCTCTTTATGAAGCTCTGATGAGACAAGAAGAATTACTCGCTTACATTGACCGTCAAGAGGCAGCTCAGAACCAGGTCGGTTTTTTCTTTTAAACCTTTAAAACCCAGAGAATCCAAATTTGTCTTCTTGAATCGTATTCATTTAAATTCTTTCAAATGCAATTATTGAATAAACATCAATATTGTTTTTGTTTCCAGAAGAAGAAGAAGAGGAAGCAAATGTTCTGTTTCTAGAAGAAGAAGAATCAAATGTTTGTTTCTAGAAGAAGAAGAGGCATCTCTGCTTTCTCTCTCTCCCTTCGTAGGTTTCCATTGAAACAGAACAACTTTCATCTCATTTTATGTGAAAAGCTAATCAGTTATTTCTCTTTTATGATGATGATTAGTTTATGATGATGATGATGACGAATCGGTCTTTTTAAGTTTATATTAACAAAACAATTATACCAAAAAAAAAAAAACAGGAGAAATAGAGAGTCCTTAAATACAGACAAAACATGACTTCATCTTTATATCTTCTCCAGTATCCATATTTATAAGATTACAGTAATTGGAATTATGTTTTATATTCCAGGCTTCTTAGAAATTGGAAGCTTTAAGGCTGAGGCTACTGTTAACCTCTGATGCAGTCTTCTAGAATAATAAGAACTGAAAATGCAAGAAAAAAGTAGATATTATTTCGAGTATAACCAAATGCAACTGTAATCATCTTAGGTGTTTTATGTGTACTTCAACTAACCTTTCTCTTCTTCTTCTTTTTCTTCTCGATGTAAGCCATTATCTCATGTTGCCTCGTCATTGTCTCGTCCAGTGCCTAAGTTATTAAAACAGAGCAATCACAAAACAGAGTAAACAGAGCAAGAGACTAGTGAGTAGAGAAGGAGAGCTTTACCTTGTTGGTTTCAGACAACTGAAGCTCGAGCTGTTCAACACGACGAAGTGCAGCGTCTAGAATCTTCTCCCTCTCCATAGAAAACGCAGCCTGAGCTTCCATGGACTTACACTTCTCCTCGAGATCTGTCATCTTCTTCACCATCGCCATATACTCCTGCCTCGACATAACAGTCACTCCGTCCTGGTACACGGCGCTGCCTTCTCGGCTATACACATTTGCCTCGGTGAGCTTCCTTGGCATGTTCTTGGTTAGCCTCATCACTCCCACTATCCCCATTAGCAATGCCATCACGCTGCCATATAAGTACCCTCTCCTCTCCAACGGATTCACAGCTGAGTACACATCTGAATTTGCAGTTTAACGGAGTAAGAAACTTATACACAAGCAAGCCCGGTTTGGTTAACGAGAATACTAACCTTTAAGCTCGGTAGAGTTGTTGTTAGCCTTGTTAAGCTTTGTAGGCCAATGAGCAGCATCCACATTCTTGTCGATGAACTTCTTCTCCTTCTCAGCAGCAGATTGCTTATAAGTCTCTTCTGGTTCGCATTTCTTCTAAAGTTCAAAACGAATTAGATTTTACTGAAGAAAATTAAAATATAAAATATCAAAGATCATTGCTTCTTACCTTTGTTTCGTTGTTATACTCAGAGATTGTCTTTTCCTCGATCCCTGACAAGCTCCTCCGCAGGCATCTACCTTCACCGTTCTGAACCAACTGTGTATAAATATGTTACATATGAATCAGAAGTTATATTATTGTAATGTTTTTGATAAAGAATTGCCTTAAGGTTGGTTCTCTAGTACTACCTTGAAGATCTCAGGGTCGTTCCACGGACCTTTGTCTGAACGCATACATCCACCTTTGTCTGCGCAGGTGCACTTACCACCCAAGAACTCAGGCAGCTCACTAATAAACAATGAGAAGAGAGAGTTTTGGATAACATATTTGAAGATAAAGCAACAGTTTCAAGGTCAAGAGTTATGAAGTTCTTACTTGGCCTCAATGATTTCTAGAAGTTTGCTTTGGTATTTGTTGCCAAGAACCTGCCATTAGTGAACAGAAAGAGTAGGTTTTAACCAACCAATCGAGAAGCATATGAAGTAAACCAAAGAAAAGTTTGGATTGTTTAAGTGAAAAGGAAAGCTTTACGTGAATCTTCGCTGTAGTCTTTGGGTCAAGGAAAGATTTCACTGTGCTCCATAAAAGCCTAAACCCATAACCAGCATTGATGATGAACATACGGTTCAGCGTCTACAATGAAACACAAACACAGAGGTCATTGTTCTGTGTCAAAACCATTAGCAACTCAAAGAGAAAGAAAAGGCACAACCGAACCTCAGGGTAGTTATCGTTGTCGATTTTCTGAATACTCTGAAGAAGATCTTTTGCAGCTTTGTTGAAGTTATTAAGCCCCTGCAAATTAAAAAACACACACAGAGATTGAATCGTCCTTACAGAGAATCTATGAGGGGAATATATTTCTATAGCTTATTTGAGCACATACCACGCCTTGAACATCCAAGATCGTTGTGCTCTGATCAATGTGTCTTTTCGCAGCGATGGAACAAGCCGGGAATTTGACGTTGAAAGTCTTCTCAAACTCTTTGACATGGTACTTCACGTACCTATCAATTGTGGTCACTTTCATCAGCTTTGTGGCATCAACTTGGCCTAGCCTCTCAATATAGATAGGTCTTCCTTCCTTGTCAACACCATGATATCCTTGTGGATAATACTGAACCACTTCGTCGATTTCTTTGAAATCAAAGTCCTTCAATAAAAAAGAGAGAAACATTAGAGAGACACAGAGACAAAACATAGATTCAAGAAAAGTGAGCCTTTGATGTCACCTCCATGATCGTGTCTGCGCCATATTCTTTCCTCCAGTTAAGCATATCAGCCCACATATGCTTCGCCTTTTCGAGATCAAACTTTCTTGCCCTCAAGAACCTGAAATATCTCGATCATTTAGAGCAATGAAGAAGAAAGAAATCAAAAGAGAGAGGAAGAACCTAACCTAAGCATCATGTGATGATCATCGTGTTTAGAGGGAAGTAGTTCGTCTAAAATAAGAGCTTGACGGAAAGCATCAACCGCTTGCAACTCTTCTGTATCGATTTCATCAACGATTGAGACACACGCCACACGGCTATGCCTTCGACCTTTCTTGGTCATGGAGTGCTTAAACTTGTTCGTCGCATTTATTGCCTTCTTCTTCAGAGAGCACAGTTTTGTTAATCTGTTATCATCTTCTGAGATCTCAACATCTGCAAGATTCTTGCTTTTAAATAATGTCTTGATTCCAAACAAAAAAATATTGGCAATTTTCTCAGCTTACCTATCTTATTGTGTCGATCCAAATGAGCAACCATTGTATCCGCCATGATTTAAAGTCCTACTGAATCACACACAAAGCAAACAAATGAAAACTCTGTTCTTGTTCCTTGTCTAACAATCAAACAATGAAAATAAAAATTAATCACAAAAGAAACATTTCATCGAACACGTTACATTCCAACCCCAAACAATTACGAGAAACAATCCTTCAAAGCTTATGAGAATTAACATAAACATAAACTTATCATAAATCCCACGTTTTGTGTGATTAGAGACTGAGACCCTAAAGATTCAAGATTCAATAAGCGTGAGATTCAAAGGGTTTAGGCCGGTTTAGGTGAGAGATAGAAGAAGAGATTTATATTCTTTACCTGTAGATTTTTTTATAAAAAAAAACACTAAGGGGAGAAGAAGAAAAGAGAGATCTATATAACTCTCTCGCTAACACCCCAAATTAAGAACGGTTCCAAATTTACAACGCCAAAAATCTCAGACAACAAATCCAGAGAGAGAGAGAGAGAGCATTGACAAGGTTTTACCTTTTCTTGAATTCTTTCATAAAATTTAGCGTTTTCCATTTTGTCTACATATTTTTAGCTCTAATCTTATATTGGAGAAACCATTTTTGTAAATAATAAATTGAGTAAAAAAAAATTTCTATATTTCTCTCTAAATCTGGTCTTATTGATATGCGAAATTGAGTAAATAAAACACATTTATTGTTGGTATTATTTATTTCGAAAACAAAAAAATATTGGTGTCACAATGGTTTTTAAAAAAAATCTAAAAAGTATATATATTTCCTCCTATATATGGAAAATAATAATAAGCTTATTCATAAAGTTTTTGTAGAAACATATCATCATGGATCCTTTTCTTTTTATATTACTCACCATCAATATACACTACTTCCAAAATTAGTTTTTTTGTAAGGTTTTCGAAAAACTCCAGATACTATAATCTGGGGAAATCTGGTGAACATAAATTATCATGGAGCATTTGCATTAGTAACGGATCAATATTCTTCCAAAATGAATAATGAAGATCCAATACAAAAAGTGTTATAAAACATATTATATTATAGAAATTAGAATTATCAAAAATTATACAAAGAAATAAAACAAAAAAAAATAGCTAAACAAATATTTATGCCAAATTTCCAGGGCGTTAAAACAAGTTTTACCCTTTTATAACAAACACTTCAATATATACGTGAATGCTATTTGCATAAACTACTGTCTTTTTCAATTTTTTTTGCTTATTTTTTGTATTTTTATCTAAATTATTCAAACCTATTCATCAATTTGATTCCTTCTCTGCCTTGCAATGAAAGACTCGATCTTGTATCGGAGTTCATCATCGGAATCAAATCTTTCAGCAGATGCATCCGTCTCTGATCTCTTCAATTTTCCACAAGAACTCTTGTCCAAAACCTTCAGATTCTCCGACTGGCTTCGTTGGTAACTCTGAATTTGCCTCTTCTCTGTCAAATTCTGTTTCTCCATCATCACAGTTACGTCCTTATGCTCGACTACGCTCTGTTTTGTCAACTTCTCAGGTTTGCCCTGTTTCACTTTCTTCTCAGGTTTGCTCTGTTTCGTCTTCTTCTCTGTTACGCTTTGTTTAACTCTGCTCTCGGTTATGCTCTGTTTTTCTTCGTTCTCTTTTGCTTTGTTTTCGGTTATGCTCTGTTTAGCATCGCTCTCTGCTTCACTTTGTTTTTCTCTGCTTCTCATCTCAGCTTGTGAAACTCCACCTCTCCTTGAGCTCTCCAGAACAAATTCCTCGTAAAGACCGTTGCTTTTGCACTTGGGATCAAGTTCTTGATTCAAGAGAAGACCGGATTTAGCGATCAGAGCGATGACTACCGCGTTTCCTACAACAAATGCAAGGCTACGGTTTGCGAGAATAACTGATGCGACACTAGAATCCTCAAACGTGACAACAAGCTCATAAGAGAGCTTAGCTACTGTAACCAAAACCACAACTATCTCCATCGCCCGGAAAAACAGATCCAAGATTGTCTCAACACGAGACTTTTTCGCAAGCCTCTTCTTCATTTTTCTTGATTTAGTTTTCTGAGCACTAAACGAATCCATTGAGATAACCGAAGAAGAAAAAAAAAAAACCTCAAAAATAGAAGAAAACAGAGGATTTTGAGTAGTTACTTCTTCAGATCTCTATTAGAGTAAGAGACCAATTGTGTTCTTAGTTTAGATTCATGGAAAGAAGCTGAGAATCTAAAGAGAGGAGAATATGTTTTTCCCTTTGTTCTCTCTTTTTCTTTCTTTCTTTTGCTTTGTTTCTTGAGAGAAATTAGCTTTGCTCTGTGAGAGTATATATATACAGAGTCGTTGAATGGAGCAACCTTTTTATTTAAAAGAAAAGCACTAATCTAAATGGATTAAACAAATAACAGTAAAAATGTATTGCAGCATTAACGTAACGCGGTTTGACTAAATTTAAATATTTGTTACAGTTCTTTAAATATTAAACGTGGTATATATTTTTTCCGTTACAAAAATATTTAGACAACCTCATTAGAATTTTTTTTTTCTAAATTTAAGCAATTTATTTAGGGGAAGTCCCAAAAAATACACCATTTAAAAAAAAACAAAATTTGCAATTATATTATTTTGTAAATTTCCGTGACTAATATATTTTATGAAAATGTGGTATTGTACCAACCGAACAAGCTGTAGCATGTTAACTTTTTGTTAGTTGACATTAAAAAATTTCTTTGATATAAGATACTATTGATCATGGAAAGTATGCAGCTTCTAGAGATTTTGTAGTTAAAGTGCCCTGTCTTGTATCAAATATTATAATTACTCTGTTCTTCTTCTTCATCTTTCTCTTTTTTTTTTGATAAAAAGTATTATAATTACTCTGTCTATATACTTTTATTTATTTATATGATTTAAGTAGTTTTCATGGTTAAAAAAGTAAAAGTTGCTACTGAAATTAATTTAAAAATTTGCATATTAAGTTGATCACTGAGGAAAAAACTCTAGGAGAAGATATAAAGATTATGTTAATTCAGAAATTCCCTTTTTATCACTGGACGATCACCATTACATACAAAATCATGCTGCTTATAATAGACTCATAAATCATAATTCATGTAAAAGGCTGATATATATCAATATATGTGTTTTTTTTTTTTTGATTAAAAGATACTATATATGTGTTCTTCCTTTACAGAAAAAATGTACTTTCGGTTTTTAAAAAACGTCTACAGGTATCCAAAGACAGTTTTTTCATAATTAGTATCGTTTCATACAACAATTTCTTATGTTAATATGTAGTTGTGACCTCTAATTTATGGTCGGAAAAAGGCATCATCGCACTATATTCGTGACTTTGTCCATTTGTAATTATTTACTCGACCGGTAAAAAGCAGCTGCCTTGATATCGACATGTCCATTTCATATCTCCTTTAATTTTTTTCTAATGAATTAATATGTGAAAATCATTTGTAGCACATATTTATTGATTTATATAATACCTTTATCGTAAAGTTTTTTAGGACTTGAATGGTCAGTACAAAGCATGCCCACTGTGCCGAAACAAAATACTATAGAGTCGAAAATTATGCTTATTTACTCTTTTTTTTTTTCTGGAATATAGATAATAGATAAACTATTATGCAAAGAAATTTATGTTTATTAGGGTAATATGGGAAACCTTATATATCTTCTAAGAAATATTATTACTTAGTATTTGTACAGAAGTACATTTTATTGTATTTCATGTAAGGAGAATGGGAAAAATATAATTCAATTACTTCTTCACTAAGAGATGGAGAAATGGCTTGTAGGTCAACAACTCTTTGTTACTTTTTTAATGTCTTGTCTCTTTCTAACCAAAAGCATAAGCATATATACAAGAGGTGGTCTCATGATTATAATTTTAAAATTTTCATTATTGGATACACTTTGACAAAAGCCTCACTTCTTTTCTAAAAAAGTTGAAATGAAGATTCATTATTGGTGTATCATAATATTATTCAGAACGTCCACAAGTGAAACGTGTCTTCATATTTTGATCGGATCTTTCGTATGAAAGCCGCAGTAGTAAGAAACAAAAATAAAATTTGATCACTTAAGAAAACAATGAGTTCGCCACATCACATGCGGCTTAATTATAGTCATCATGTATATTCTCTTAGATATAGATTTTTATAAATGCAAAAAAATTGACGGAAAAAAATGTAAAAATTCCGACCTGCCGGAATCGAACCAGCGACCTAAAGATTACAGCAACTACTACAGTCTTCCGCTCTACCAACTGAGCTAAGGTCGGATTGATAAAATCCGTACAGGTTAAATATATATAGATTACACTTGATAATGGGCCCTAATGGGCCCTAATGGGCTTTCTAACAGATTTGTCAAGAGTTGGCATATATAAAGGCTAGAGGTGAGATTGGTGGAGTGCCGGCTCAAATAGGGGGGCGAGCGGTGCAACGGCCAGGGGTCCAATCCCGTGCTCTAATAATTAAGGGGCCCATTTTAATTTTTTTTTTTTATAAAAGTATTAAAATTTTAAATTACAACATAAAAATACAATTTAAAAGGGCCCATAAAATTTTTTATTATTGTTTTTAGTTTTAATAATTAACTTTTTAATAAAAATATCATACAATTTTTTATATATCACAAAGAACAAAAAAAAAAAAAATCTAAGGGCCTAAAATTTTTTTTGCCCTAGGGCCTATAAAACTGTTGAGCCGGCACCGAGCCACCCATGATACTTACGTGAAAAGCAACCACAACAATAAGCGCTAAATAATGTGCGCTTCCACAGCCATGAGTGGAGAAGAGCCATTGGTTAAAAGAAGATAAATTCAATTTGAATGCTTGATCTGTCCAGTGCTTTGAAACAAGATGAAAAACTTGACATTCTGACTTTTATAGATACTGTAATATTTAAGATAAGAGATAACTAAAAGTCGAACTACATGTGACTGGTTAAGAACCCGGTGAGGAATCTGAAGAATCGTTGGTGATTTGGCCATCAACATAGAACGGATCACGCGGGATTCTGTTATAATTTTTCTACTTACTTTTTGTTCACTAAATATTCATATTCTTATCTTACTGGACCCTATTAATTTATACTTTTCAAAATAACCCTCATATTCCCAGCTTTTTACACACTCAATCTCATGTTTTAAATAATTAGAAAACGTATTCGCTATTTGATACACCTATCTTCGTGACTCTCTATATAAACCCTCTAGTGTTCACCTTTATGTCAAACCACTTAACCACACTAATTAACTAAACAGCAAGTAGAAAAAATGGCTAAGTCGTCATGCACTCTCGTTGCTCTCCTCTGCCTCCACTTTCTTCTACTTTCTTCAACTAGTCAGTGATTTATATATACAAAATCTTTTCCTATTCCTATATAATTAGTTAGAGATTTGGTAAATTGTATAACGTTGTGAATGCTTAATTTAACGCAGATTTGAAGGCGGTAGAGGCCGGGGTATGTCAAAGGTATAGCGGTTCGTGGGAGGGAGTTTGCATTTTCTCGAGCAACTGTAATACCCAATGCATTGAAAGGGAAAGCGCTAAATATGGAGCGTGTCACAGCGATGACAACGGTTTAGCTTGTTTCTGTTATTTCGATTGCTAGAGAAAATTATCGTTTGCGTTTTTATTCTAAGTTGCTTTTTCTTTCCAAAACTTCATATGCGTTGTGTCTCTCCTTCCCTTGGTATCGTTTTGTTGTGTTGTTTGTATTTTATTTTATGTTTCTTTACGAATAATACACTACTGTGATGTGTAACTGTATCGTTAAATTTCGACCTTTTTGTGTTTGGTTTATGTTACATGAGTGTCACAAAACGATATGGTCTATATTATCTGCGTTATGGTTGTATATTCGTGGAGTCATATCTTTTAATTGATTTGAAGCCGATGTGATTTTTGAGACTTAATTAACTACGTCTTGTTATTAAGAATAAGGCGAATTATATGCTTCAAGACAATTTGAAAAGAAACAAGTATAGTCAAATGATGCAGTTCGACGGTTCGACCCTAATCAAGACTCCCATATCAATTAAAACAAAAATCCAGCTAGCGGACTACATCGTTAAAAGAGTAGTATTGGCTTGATATTGCCAACTATATGCTATGCTATGATACTGCTAACTTATTTAAACTAACCAATTAAGACTAATGGATGATCACCAAGAAGTTGGACCACAAAACAAATCCATAGTATATTTCGTTTCTTGATTAATCAAAAAATTTGACGTTACATGCATGATAAATAAGAAGGTAAACTCCATGTGATTAATTAAGAACTTGGTGCGTAATAAATTTGAAAAAAAATCATTGTTGATTCGACCAGCAACATACAACGGATCATGCGGGATTTTGTTTACGTTTGGATTTTAAGAACCCACTGGATAAGATCAAATTTATAGATTAATGAGAAATTGTAGGATGCCAATAAAAATTATGATATCCAACTATCAAAATATTCTAAGCAAATTAAAATATGTTATTTTTTGAGCAAAACATGGTCACTTTCTAAGCAAAATATGTTGAAAAAATAAGTTTTGGTACGACAATTAGCTACAAAGTAGAGGAGTTAGAGTAAGAGATAGTTATGACTTACACATATGAAGATGAATACCCGCTTCACTACATCTTGTAAGTTTCCAGCTGTGAATTTTCTTCATTATATCTACTAACAATGTGTGATACAAATAATATAGTGGAGTTGGGTTTGGGTTTATATATCGTCTTCATCGTCGATTCCAAAACAGTTAATTCTAATCTCATTTGCACAAGACACTTTTTTCTCCAATTCTCATAGCAACATGACAAAGTGAGGGAAACAACCAAGCGTAGGACTTTGATTTCGGATGGAGAGGAAAATTCATGATCTTCAGATAATGAAAAGTAGAGGCTGAAGGATTTCCAGTTAAAATATTACCGAGATTCTTCAGCGTATCAAAACTCTTAAAGTCTACAAACCACTGTAAAGATTTTGTGGATGCGTATCTGACCAAGTCGCTAGCTCGTCAAGCAAGTCTCCTCTTCATATTCACTTTGAGAGACAAGTGTGTTTTGTCTCCCATCGCCTCCCCCCAGATGCCGAAGCAACATCTTCTTCTTTTTTCTAAGCCGCTTACAACATCACATGCCACCTATCCAAATCGGAAGTCACCATTGCTCCTTCCGTCCATGGTCTGATTTGCTCCGGACAATCTTTGCACTAGAAGATCCATTGTCTTATCCAAGATCAATTCAAGGAAGAATAGACTTAACCACTATGATGACTATCTTGATAATTGTTTATCTGTTACGGTCTGATATATAAAAGGACATGATGATCAACTTTTGTCTTTTTTCTTTGGTTATTTTCTTTATATACTATTATGAGTTAATAGATGCAAATAATGTCTATAATATGAATATTGTTGATCGTTTCTCTCTTAACAGTTCTATGCGATTTCATATCAAATAATGTCTATAAACATGAATATTGTTCATCATTTCTCTCTTAACAGTTCTATGCGATTTCATATCATATTTGTTTTGTTTTCAAAACATAATTCATTGATGAAAAAAAAAAAAAATCATAATTCATCGTGACTTCTAACCAAATAATTCTCCTTCGTATTCAAACATGTATATTTATCAAGGACATGTTAAAAATTTGTATGGAACGAAATTATTTATTGGTTATAACTTATAATCGGTTGTTGTAATATATAAACCGTAAATACCAAACCGGATTGATACACCCTAAACAAGAGAGAAAAGACCCTGTGCAGAACGCACGTGTGTCACGCAGATGATTGTGTTTAGGAGAGAAAACTAGTGTGCCCTGATTGTGTTGAATAAAACAGAAAATCCAATGTTTACATGAAAATGAAAAGTCAACTTAAAGCCCAACTTAATAAATATGGGCTTTGTATTTGAGAGAGGCCCGTATAGATATTAACCTCAAACTTAGGGAAACCCTAATATAAGAGCAAACCCTAGCGCTCTCTCCCTCAGCCTCATCTTTTATCCACTACTCGCCGTTCTCACGCTCTCCCCTCGCCGTCGAAGTCAACATGGTATCGTGTTCTACCCTGCTCTCTTCTTACTCATCATCTCTATTTTTCTCTTCTTTCTGTTGTCTGAATCGTTACTTTCGTTGTCTGGTTACAGGCGCCGAAGAAGGATAAGGTTCCGCCACCGTCATCAAAGCCGGCGAAATCCGGAGGTGGAAAGCAGAAGAAGAAGGTTCGTCTCCTTAATTTCATGAGCGATTGGTCTATCTTCCGTGTAGAATTTAGGTTTCATAGGAATGCGTAGAGATCTGGTTCATAGTTTCACAAATGGATTTTTTTTGCCATTGATGTTGATTAGTGTTGAGTTTTGCATTGTCCCCGTGTGCTTAATATAGTTGCTCTTTTTTTTTGTGATGGTGACAAAAAAAAACAGAAGTGGAGCAAGGGAAAGCAAAAGGAGAAGGTGAACAACATGGTGTTGTTTGATCAAGCTACTTATGACAAGCTTCTCACTGAAGCTCCCAAGTTCAAGCTCATCACCCCTTCCATTCTCTCTGACCGTATGAGGGTACATATATCTATCTATCTATCTACTTCTCGTTTCCTCAATTTTACTAAAGAAATGATTGTTATATCATCTAGCAGTGAATTGGATTCAGCTTCAATTGAATCAAGTAGTGAATATTGTTCAATGTTTATAACATGATCTACTTTAGCTAGAAACTGTATGATGTTTAATGAGATGTTTCTTTGCTTTCACATTGGCTCAAATGTTGTAGCTGTGCTATCTAAGTAGAGAGATACTCATTTGGAGCTTTTCCAATTTCCAGAACTTCAAATTTACTTAATTTTTTTTTCTCCTTGTTTGGTCTTGTCTTCTGAAACTTAACTATATGTTTGATATTGTTGAAAATTCAGATTAATGGGTCGCTAGCAAGGAGGGCGATTAGGGAGCTAATGGCCAAAGGTGTGATCAGGATGGTCGCTGCTCACTCGAGCCAGCAGATCTACACTCGTGCCACCAACACCTAAGATGTTTTGGTTCTTTATCCGCCTTGGTGTTTCATTTGTTTTTCTTACCTCTTGCTGTTTGATTCTTCAGGAACTCGTTAGAATCTTTGTTTCGTATTCCCTTTTTTGAGATATATGGCTATTTAAAACGCATCAAGACTTCTAAAATTCAGTCCAACCTTTGCCTCTTTGATCCATCCGTTTTGTCTTGGTCAGATTTTCTAGAATTTGGTGGACCGGTTTCCGTTTGGTTATCCATCAAATAATTTTAAGTTTTAACCGTAGTTCATTATTATTGGTATTGGAAATATTTAAAAGAAATCACCTAAAATATTATTTGCCTACTTATGTTTTTTTTTTAGACTAAGAATCAATATCAGCTGTAAGATGAAAAATGGCATACTTGTTTATCTTTTGAGTTATGAGTCAATAAGGCAGTTAATGAGAAATCACTCAAGAAACTAAATAAGAATGTAATAGGTCATATGACTGAATATCATTAAGTGATATAGTAACGCCTACAGCCCATGTGACAATTTTAACTGTCCCTTAATATTTTGTTAAATAAAGACGTTTGCTTTTCTTATTTTTGTCTTCTAACTAAAGAATTTTAGTGTCTATAATTTTGCTAATTGGACATACACTTAAAAAGAGTATTTATTCAAATAATTTCCCGACATTATCCATGCGTGATAGGTCTTTTCGATCTCGTCTTCTCCCCCGTTAATCAAATGGGCCCAGTTTTTCAATCCATTTGCTAATCTGATCAAATTTTCCTATAATGCTTACAAAACACAATTTGCAAAACATCGCCGTTGACGGTTGATCACATGAAAATTCCCTTTAGACGTTTGTTTCACCATAGCCGTTGGAATATTTTTAACTAACCGCTTATATTTAAAAATAATATGCTTTGGTAAAATAAAAATTTAATCAAGCAATTAGGATAAATTTTCTTACGTTATGTAATTTCTCTTTGATGATTTTTTTTGTTTGGAGTTAGCTTATTACAACCAAATTATAATTTGGTACTATTAATTTAGTCTCCAGCTTAGAGGCATTTTGTAGTATGTGTTACGACGTGTACGGACTATATAGCACCTCAATGTTGGGCCAATTAGATGAAAATGGGCCTGGGTCCACATGCAAGCAGACAAAGATATCGATCGACGTGTCCCATATGAGTCTCGTAGCAAGAGTATGGGAGAAACCAGAGTCGTCCATTTTTGGGTTCAGTGACTGTCATTGTCAGACATCTCTATAGCCTTGTTGGTAAGATTTCACATGATCATCTTATGAAAAATTACAGAATAAATAGAGAAGAGATTTTGGAAGAGAACAAAATGCAATTTGGCTCCTCGCTGATAAGCAACTTTCTTCTTCTCTTGGTTTTCCTTCGATTTCAAACGACATTAACCAAAACCAGAGAACACGATTAAGGACTCTACGTTTCGGTGAGTTCTCTCATTTATTCGATCCTCTTCTATATATCTCCGTGAGTCCGTGTTCATAACCTTTTGGTGTTCTTCTAGCTTCTATGCATTTTAAAGTTTTTACCTTTGGAGGAAATTCACATTCTCTCGTAAAACGATTTTGCTTTATTTTCCGTTCTCTTTCGAATCTTCTATTTCTCTGTGATTCAATGATCTGAAAAATCTAAAAAAGGATATGGATTTAACTTTTTATCTTGTTCAAACTCATTTATGATCCCAAATTTGTTCGTTTCAAAAGATTTGTTACCTGCACAAGTTAATTCCATTGATTTCTTGAAGATACAGTATCTCTTGGTAACTTACAAGAGTTGGAGATTTTGTCTTGATACGATGAATTTCTGAGAGGCTCTTTCTTAAATCTGTGTATCTGAATAACCTGTGTAGTCAAAGTTTCCTACTTTCTAAGAATTTCTTAATTGGACACATACACAAATTGTAGTTTATTATATTCGCATTTGTATGTTGTTTCACTTTACATGCATATCTAGTTTTACTGACTAGTTTTACGATTCTGTTCTGTCTCATTCCAGCTAAAGAAGATGGATTCTGGTTGCAACTTTAGCTTGGGGACAAACACTGTCTTGTCCAAAGACAGTTTCAAGAATGTGGAGAACAAATTTTTGGGTCAGAAGATCAAAGGAAGCGTCTTGAAACAATTTTCTTCAGATTTGAGTTCCAAGAAGTTCAGAAATCGAAAATTGAGGCCCGGTGTTGCTTACGCGATTGCTACTTCAAAGAATGCTAAAGAGGCATTGGTAAGTTCAATGATCAGGGTTATCAAAACACTTGACCACTTATCTGTGGAGCTTTGTCTTAGTGATTGCCTTAAATTGATTGGTTTCATGTTTTTGTCTTTCAGAAACTACAGCCTTCGATGTTTGAGAGAAGAAGAGCAGATCCAAAAAATGTGGCTGCAATCATTCTAGGAGGAGGCGATGGAGCTAAACTCTTTCCTCTTACCAAGCGAGCAGCAACACCGGCTGTGAGTGATTATCATTTACTGGTCGAAACGGTTTTGCAGATGATGTTGTGTGAAGGGGAAGTCTTTAGTTTTCTGATTCTTGAAACACAAACAATATTGCAGGTTCCTGTGGGTGGATGCTATAGGATGATCGATATCCCAATGAGTAATTGCATTAACAGCTGCATAAACAAGATTTTCGTACTGACTCAGTTTAACTCGGCTTCCCTCAATCGCCATTTGGCTCGTACTTATTTTGGAAATGGCATAAACTTTGGAGATGGTTTTGTTGAGGTATATATTACAACAATATGGTTTCTTTCAAAAACTTCTCAGTTTATTTCTGGATTTCAGTGATATAAAACAAATGTAAAATCTTATTGAAACAGGTTCTGGCTGCTACACAAACTCCTGGTGAAGCCGGGAAAAAGTGGTTTCAAGGAACAGCAGATGCTGTGAGAAAATTTCTGTGGGTGTTTGAGGTATGAATAACTTATGATCATTTTACTTGTTTGTTAATCAGACCTTTACGAATCTTACAATGGTCTGGTTCTACTGGTACTTTTTATTATAGGATGCTAAGAACAGGAACATTGAGAATATACTCATCTTGTCTGGAGATCACCTATATAGAATGAACTATATGGACTTTGTTCAGGTAATATAGTAATAAACACATTCCTCTTAGTAGTTTCAAACTGGTTTTGCAAAATAACTCTAAACACTATGCATTGGACAGTACCATGTTGATAGTAAAGCGGATATTACTCTTTCGTGCGCGCCAGTAGATGAGAGGTTAGTTTCTTTAGCACTATGATATGTCTTTTCTATGATTTTGTTTAAGACCTTAACTTGATTTTTAAAACCCCTTATGTGAATTTTCAGCCGTGCATCGGATTATGGACTGGTCAATATTGATCGAAGCGGGCGTGTAGTTCATTTCTCTGAGAAACCAACTGGCATCGATCTGAAATCAATGGTACAGTACAGTTTTAGTTCTCAAAACCTAATACTTAGAAAACCAACTAGCATTGATCTGAATATTTTTTGTTGTTTTGGCCGATATAACTGAATGCAGCAAACCGATACTTCTATGCTTGGACTGTCTCATCAAGAAGCAGCGCAATCTCCATACATTGCATCAATGGGAGTTTATTGTTTCAAAACCGAAGCTTTACTGAAGCTTTTGACACAGCGGTATCCGAGTTCCAATGACTTTGGATCTGAAATTATTCCTGCAGCTATAAGAGATCACAATGTTCAAGTAAAAAAAGAGCTCTTTCTTTTAAAAGAATTTCATGAATTACATCATTTTATCATAAACGATCGAATCAAATTGTCTTCTCCAGGGATACATCTACAGAGACTATTGGGAAGATATCGGAACTATAAAGAGTTTCTATGAAGCTAATCTTGCTCTTGTCGAAGAGGTTAGTTTGATGAATGCTCAAAAATGTTTTTACTTTTGAATTAATCTATGATCAAATCTCCCAACTATTGTTCTTTTGTTCTTATTTTACGCAGCATCCCAAGTTTGAGTTTTACGATCAGAATACGCCTTTCTACACTTCTCCTCGGTTTCTACCACCCACCAAAACCGATAAATGCCGGGTAAACATCTTTCTCTTTACGTTTAAATCCTATTCGTTTGCCTGTAAAACTCGAGTCTTGATTCACTGATTGGTTTAATCCTCTTGATGATTTTGCAGATTGTAAATTCGATAATCTCACACGGATGTTTCTTGGGAGAATGCAGCATCCAACGTTCCATCATTGGTGAAAGGTCACGTCTTGACTATGGTGTTGAGCTTCAGGTGTGAATCCTTGGTCATAAAAGGACCTAGCTTTAAGGACATTATTAGGTTCAAAAGCTGAGTCTGGTTTTTGTTTCTTCTTGCAGGATACTCTTATGTTAGGAGCAGATAGTTACCAAACCGAATCTGAGATCGCGTCTCTGCTCGCGGAAGGAAATGTTCCAATTGGCATTGGCCGAGATACAAAGATCAGGTAACAAACCGAAATCACAATATTATTCTCTGAGCTTGATTCTTAAACTCTGATGCTATCTTTTATACATTGAAGGAAATGCATCATTGACAAGAATGCAAAGATCGGGAAAAACGTGATGATCTTGAACAAAGATGTATGTTTTCTTCTCCATTCTTAATTCTCTTTGCGTTTTCTGTCTTTAAGATCAGTAAAGATCAAGACTTTTGAAAGATTCAACATTCTCAACGGTAATGGTTCTAATTGTTCTATTTCTCAGGATATTAAGGAAGCTGATAGACCAGAGGAAGGATTCTACATTCGATCTGGAATCACTGTGGTTGTCGAAAAGGCCACCATTAAAGATGGTACTGTCATATGAACAAAACGATCTCAAGACCGCCGTGTAATGAGCATTACAACAAACAGATTAGCCGGAAGTTTGAGGTGTTTTGGCCGGAAGTGAAAAAGAGAGACAGTTGTGATTTTGTCATGTAAATTAGAAGAGTTTGAAGAGATAGAAGAATCACACAACTTAGAAGAAGCAAAAGCAAGTTTAAGCTTTACAATAAGAGTGATAAGCCGATCACCTATATAATCACTCTCTTTTCATAATGAGAAATAAATAAAGCTCTATCTTCTTTTTTTGGCAATTGCTTAATTTAGGGTTTAAATCACTTTGCCAAATAATTGGGGTTAAATCGAATTTAGTTACTCCTGTCGGTGGTTTTGCGTAAATATTAAGGGGTTAAATTGATATTAAAAAAAGGTTGGGGCCAGATAAAATCGAATAAGCTTTTATAAGTGTATTCTTTCGTAAATATATAAAAACTAACGAGGAAACAATTAAAAATAAAAACAAAAAATAAAACGCCGATCAATCCATCTTCTTCTTCATCTTCTTCTTCTTCTTCATTTGGTGTTGCGTCTTTCGTCGTCAGATCTGCTCCTTTTCGCTCCATTTTTGGGTGACCATTACTCAGCTTCCGTAAGTGTTTTGATCTTTTGCTTTCTCGGAAATTTTGAATCAATGATCTGAGAAATTTTCCCTGTTTAGATCGATTCTCAAGGTTTTTGTTATGTGCGTGTTGGAATCGTTTTCACCGATTGAGTTTCCAGATCTGAAGTTGAGAGGTTTTTTCTTCTTCTGCGAGTTCTTAGAATCATTTCAATCGGTGAAAAAATCCGATCATTGTTGAGATGGTTTCTGTTACTATGGGTTTGATTCTCTGGTGAGATAGATTAAGCTGATAAACAGTTAATGGCGTTCTCTGGTGAGATAGATTAAGTAGTTTCGGTTGTGTTCAGAGGCGATTTCGTACAGATTTTATGGGAAAATACATCTCCGAGTGAAATACTTGGATAAAATCTTCTATTATGGGGAGAGATTCTGTGTAATCTTGTATATTAGGAAAGAAACTTGGGGATGTCAATTGTGTAGACAAGGTGCATAGATATTAAAGCTTCACAACGAGCATTAGGTTGTCCCAAGTAAAGTGATTTAATGGTGCTTTGTTTCTATGTGAATTTGACCAACCAACTGTTTTGTTTATCCTCTAGGTTTTAAATATCACATTAGATGGACGAAAGCGGAGGCGATAGTGGTTCAGTAGCTACGCCTGTTCAACAGCGAGCACATGAGGCATGGAGGATTTACCAACACTATCTTGACAAGACTACACCTCATGCAAATTACAGGTGGATTGGAACTCTTGTCGTCGCTCTTATCTACTGTTTGAGGGTTTACTATATTCAGGGTTTCTACATCATCGCCTATGGTCTTGGGATCTACCTTCTCAATCTGCTTATCGGGTTCTTGTCCCCTCTTGTTGATCCTGAGGCTGGTGGTGTCTCGGATGGGCCTACTCTGCCTACTAGAGGTTCTGATGAGTTCAAGCCTTTTATTCGCCGTCTCCCCGAGTTCAAATTCTGGTAATGCCATGTTTGAATTGTCTTAAATGCTCGTCTCATGTGCTTTTATACATTTTTTGTTGATTTTTCGAGTTTGCCAGTTGCCATGTCATATTCCTTTCATGATCTGTCATGACTTTTAAATTCCTTCATGATCTTTTTTCGCTGCATTGCTGCCTTACATGGGGTCATGATTGATGATGATTTTAAATTCTGGGAATGTTCAGAATATCTCACATGAGCCAGTTTTCTTTTAACTGATATGCAATTCCCTACAATATCGATGATGAATGCATGTCTCCATTCTTTGTCCATATTAGTATTTTCGATGTTTGAGGCTCTCACAACTGATCATGGTAGATCTAGAATCACTAATATGTGAGCAGTAAGCTTTATCGCCTCAATACATATTGCATTTTATACAGTTACAACATCAGAATCTCTGTGGTGGTATACTATAGAAAGATGCACTTAATAAAAATAAAAGATACCATTGTGTTTTGGCTCATGAAGGTTAGCTGATTACTTGTATTGTGGTCTCAGGTACTCCATGACAAAGGCTTTTTGCATAGCCTTCCTCATGACATTCTTCTCGGTGTTTGACGTTCCTGTGTTTTGGCCAATTCTGCTGTGCTATTGGATCGTTCTCTTTGTTCTCACCATGAGACGCCAGATCGCCCACATGATCAAGTACAAGTACATCCCTTTCAGCTTCGGCAAACAGGTAAAAACTATTAATTGATTGCGGTTTTGATTTGCAAGTCAATTCCTCTATTTGTCTACTCATGCATGTTACAATTTGCAATTGAGTTTTGATAGCTAATCCAACTTAGCCACATTAATATCAGTCGATACAAATACTTGATGAATAGTGTCAGAGGTTTTGAGATTAATTAGGCTACTTCCAAAAGGTCTCTGTTTTCTTGGTAATAATTGTTGGTTTGTGACTTTGTGTGGCAGAAATATGGTGGACGGAGCAGCAGCGGCTCACGTGCGGATTGATCTGACCATTTAGCCACTTTTTTGTTTTTGCAAAAAAGAAAAAGAAAACTGTTAAGAATATCCTTTTGAACTATTTTTACAAGGAAGAATTAGAGGCAGGATAAAAAAGAAAGACAGCATGGAAATTAAATTTGTTTTAGCTCGGAGGAAAATTGTTCGTGTTAGTTGTTTAACCTTGAGTTACATCTAGGATTGTTGTTGCTTTACTAATTAGGCCCCAAACCGGACTACTCCGACTATACAGGCCACTTCTAAACCCGTGAATATTGGACTTTGTAGTAGCCCATTGGGCTAAACTCGCATAAACATTGTATTGTAGTAATATTGACAACATGGTTATAACGGTTATGCAAGAGGCAAGACACTAATTGTGGAATATTAATCGGGTTCTAAAGCCGCACATTCAAAATAAAGCACCACTTAGGTTTGATTAGCCGGAGAAACGGACAGGTTAATAATAGCCAATTATTTAAAACCCAAAATAAAAAGTGTGGAGAGTCATGGATGACACTGTAGTTAAGCACTAAGCTTTAGACATACTGGTTGAGGATTTCATCAACAGTAGTGTATTTGACATCAGGGTAAAGCTCAGAAGCTTCTACTCCAAAAGAAGGTTCGATTTCAAAGCTTGTGTGTCCTCCTTTCACGAAAACGCAGTGACAAAGGGATAGCATCACGTTGAGTGGAGGCGAAGATTCTGCAGAAAAAAGGAAGAAAAAAGCTAAACCCATCAATGGACATAACTATACAGAATTGGAAGAAGAAGAAGAAAAGGTTTAGGATCAAAACCTATGATCTGTTTGAGGAGTTGTTCTTCTGGAACGTAGATTCTTTCAAGTGTTTTGCCAATCTTGTTCTCCCAAAGCGAGACAAGATCGTTGAAGGAGTAAGTGTTCATTGGTGGCCTAACATATAAGATCTTGTTCAAAGTTCTTGGATCATCTACGGCACTGATTGTGTAAGTCGCGATGTCTTCTTCCTTGTTGAACACAGCTGCAAAATATTACCACAAATCAAACACACAAGAAGGGAGTAACTAGACAAGAAACTGCAGATGTTTCAGATAATTGAAACATAGTATCCTTCGATCCATGTTATAAGGTTCTGACAAAGACTAACCATATCAGTCTGCGAGTTCTTAGAGAATTTGTATTATTAAAAGAAAAGAAAGAGTTGTCTTACCTTTGAGGGTTCCATCACCTAAAACAATGACCTTATCCCGAGGAGCAGAAGTAGCACCAGGCTGTGCTAGAGTTGGAAGGAAGTAGCCAGCGAAGAAGTTGCATGAGACATAAGTGTATGGGATTCCTTCGGCTTCGATTGTTCGCCGGATTTTTGCCTTTGTAGCATAGGCTGACTTGGCGGGTTCGACAGTGTGAACACGGTCTACATCATTTCCAAACTCTGAGGGAAAGAATCTCTGCAGGTAAGACAGATGTGTAGATGGTGCATCAGTTGTTGGACGGTAATTAGTGGATACAACAATATCAGAGTCTATAAAATTCTATGCTTGCACAGCATCCAAGTTCAATGATTCTAAAAAGTATCACAGACAAGACCAACACTAATGCCTTATCGATATGTGGTGAAATCAAACAATTCAATACAGGAAATGATGACAAATTCATTTAGGGGTTCCAAATGTCAAATGAGACTAAGATTTATAGACAATTGGGGTTACCTTAACATTACCGGCTTCTTTAATGGCAGAGATGATCTTGTATTGATGGCCCAAGAGGGAGTGTCCAACCGTAGAGATGACCACATCCGCTTGCTTTATCGAATTCACGAGACTCGTATGATCGTCAAGATCTCCCTATCCAGTTTTAGTCAGAATCAGCAAAACCATTAAAGGATCTCAAAGGAAAGAGAAGAGCGTTAAGAGAGATAACGATACGAACGAGGAGAAACTGAACGCCGAGATTCTTGAAATTCTCGATGGTGATCGATCGTGAAGGGCTTGTGAGCGTCGAATTTCTAACGAGAACTAAGGTTGGGTGCCCAGATCTTGCGCTCGCTTCCACTATATATTTCCCGATGTAACCCGTTCCTCCGATGAACAGGATTTTGCTCTTACTCGTCATTTTTAGGCTCGGATTTTGCCGGAGAGAGAGAGAGAGCTACAGAGACAATAAGCACAGTGGCGGGTAACAACGGAATGATTCACAGATGAAAGAAGAGAACTTTGATCCCAAATTTGCGGCTTTTTATAAATAGTATGAACCCACTCTGAGAGAGAGAAGCGGCTTATTATAATGACAATAATACCCTCTGTAGTCAACACTTGAGCTATTTTTTTAGTCAAAATTTGCATGCGAGTGTTGTTGGGTTTGGTTGGTGAAATTGGCGGCTTTTTATGACGCAACTTTCTTTGAGACGTGGGCCATTATCCTAATAGTTGTAATAATGTTTTTTTATTTTATTGGGCCATCGTAAAGGCCCATGTTATTAATTGTATAATAAAACGAAGCGTTTTTCTACCAGGTATTAATAAATAATAGCTGATTACTACTATCTAAACAAGTCTAGAACCGCCTCTTCTGGTTTAGGAGGAGTAGAAGAAGAAAGAAGTGAAAGATCTCGTGGAGGTGAAATTAATCATGAAGCTCTTCTTGTTCTTCGATTTCTTTCCTTGCTTGTAGTTCGGTGGAAATATAGAAACGGATAATTAATGGTGATGTTTAGGAGTGGAAAGAATCATCTCTTCAATGTTTTTTTGTTTAGCGGACACATAAGTTTCCAATTTTTGTTTGGAATCGTGGAGTATTTTTTTAGGGTTCTTCATTCCTGTTTGGCATTTGATCGAATACTTGGTGGATATCTTGCTTATTCTACCAAAAACGTTGTGGAATTTGTTGTCTTGGATGCTCTGAGTTTCGGTTTTGTTCTAGCAGCATCTCTGTGTTTCGATCAAATACTATCTATGTGAAGGTTTTGTACTTGTAAAAATCTTCTCGGAGGTCTTTGGTCTTGAGATTTTTTTTCTTTTCTTACTTCTTCTCAAGTAATGAATGTGCATAACTAACTGTTCTTGGTTGCTCTGTGTTTTACTAGGGTTCATTCTTGTTCAAGTATTTACAGGCAGGAAAAAATGGAGACGCAGAAAAATCAAGCCGAAATCCCTTCGAAACCGGCCATGACTTCATGTAGGAAGAAGGTAAAGGATGATGCCACTTTCTTTGAGGACGTCAAAGATCACATTGATGACTTCATACATGCCTCGATGGATGAACACAAGACCTGTTTCCAGAAGACCATCAAGAAGGTTCTTTCTCAACTCTCTTGTAGCTTAGATTTAGTCCTCATAGGTGATTGTGCTTTTTGCATCTTCATTTGTTGATCATCTGTCTCCTAACTAGGCTTATGTGGGTTGATTTCAGATGTTTGGATTATCAAAGGCGGTCGCAGAGAAGCAAGCTGAGGAGGCAAAGGGAGTCGAGAGTCAATTGCCTCTTCAGACGACAGTGTCAGAGTGAAGACTAGGTTCTTTCCAGCTTGGTTTGATGTCATTTCTCTTGTTTAACATCACATCCAAGTTTCTTTGTAAATTAACTTTTCTGACCAAAGAAACCAGAATAAAATTCAAACATTTCAAATGTTATTGGTTTGAACTTTGTTAAACAGCTGGTAACATAGTAGCTATTGATCATACAATGTACTTGCATACATAAGACTCGTACAACAAAGAAACAAGAAATAAGTTGCTAAACTTAGCCCAAAGATCCAAAAGATATCTATATTAGGTTCTGGATACCAACATCCAATAAAGCCTAGTATGTTGTTTGTTTCTTCTTGAACAGACCAAGCTGCTCCAGTACACGTTTACAGATTTTCAAGCTTAAAGCTGCAACATACAAGAACATGATTTATGAATTCCCCATGTTAATAAATATACCATCAAACTTAATCTAAGCAGGAAAATATCTGAATGCCATTGTTACAAAACATACCAGAAAAAGCATCAAAGACATTGGAGCCAGAAGCATACCTTTATCAAACAGTTACAGCTAGACATCGTACAATGGTGGAAGGTTCTTTCAAGGTAATCACGACATTAGACCACAGAACCGTCCCCCAAATCTTTCCTCCTTCTCTCCTTTCCAATCTGATCTCAGTGCAACATATTTTGGTTGAACCCTTCTCAAGGTTAAACATAATTGCAAGATTTCCACCGAGATTCGACATTCTCGAACCATCACGCTTGTCAGGAAGATCGTCGAGACCCTTCAAACGATCCCAAACCATCGCAACTGGATCAAACACCCAAATTCTATTCTTGCTACCAAAAGTGTAAATCCTGCCATCAATGACACAAGAACCAACACTCCATTGTGTGTCCAACAACTCATCAGTCTCCACTCTACCTTCTTTAGGATCGTAAACAAAGCTATTCTTCCGATCCATAATGTAAATCTTACCATCTATCGCAAAACTTCTGATGGTTAAGTCATGCATTTCCACATTATGAACACCCAAAACAGACTCCCAAGTTTGAGTCTTTAGATCAAAAGCCTCAACCCAATTCACAGACAGAGGGTTACAACCTCCGATTACATACAATTTCCCGTCGACGAATCCCACGGCGGCACAGCCACGTGCCTGCTTCATGCTAGGGAGGAGACGACACGTGTGAGATGGACATTCGACAACAAACCCAGTGGAGACCAATTCGTCATCGATGCATCCACCAAGAACGTAAATTTCAGATTCAATAGCGACAATTGACATTCCCCAGCAAGGAATCGAAGGAAACGACGGAATCGGAACCAATCTATGGTTAATTGAATCATTTCCAAAGGGTTTGAAATTGAGAGTGTACCATCGAGGAGTTTCCGTAGCGTGAGATCTAAGCACAACATAGAGGACACGCTCGGTGCGGCGGAGTAATGACCGTTCGACGTAGATCTCCGGCGAAGCGATGAGACGCCTGAAGGTCTTGGAGACGAGTGAAATCACCGGGTAGTAACATCTCGGCAAGCGTGCTAAGCAATTCTGAATGATTTCATCTGGAAGTAGTAACAGATAAGATGAAGAAGACGGTGCCAGATCAAGCTGTTTCTTTGGCGGCGGTTCTTCGGCGATTGAGCTTACAGAGCTCGAACTCGCGACCGAATAAGGCATAACCGCTCCGCCGCTATGAAATGTCAATCGCGTAAGCAAAAAATACTTCCCGTTTTTATAATCTTTAAATCACCTAAATGGGCTTATTAGGCCCATATATCTATATTAGGCCTCAATTTTATAAGGTCTCTTTTTTGCAAGCATCAAAATTTCCCGCCATGTCTGTATTGAAACAAGTTTTCGTTTTAAAATCCCCAATTCATAAATCCTAGCGGTTCCTGGATTTTGTTGAACCAAAGCTCGCGATTACTAATGGCAGATTTTTGGAGGTAGGTTTTTCCAGCTTTGTTTTTTCCTCTATAGTTATTAATACTAAGACCATGATTCATAATGATGTTGAACTTTTCATTACAAAGAACCTTAATACAGCGTCAATTACTAAAATTGGAGATTCGAAAGATATGGATTCTTCAAATTTAGCGTTAAGCTTATGTCATAAACAATAATTCGCATTGAATGGTTAAGAGAAGAATCGATTCGGTGTGTCCTCTTTTATTCTCGATGGTTTTTGATTCACTGCAGACTCATGTTTCTCATCCTGCATACACAAAGTATTAATCATATTGGTGGCTTTGTTTGGATTGTTTTGAATTCTTAATTGTAGCATAATGTGTCTTAATTAGGACAATATATACCTTTTTTCCTCCTGACTAAGCCTGCCATTGGTGCAGCCTCCACTAGTTCTGTAGTTTGGGAATGGAACATGACCGTTCTCTATGTTGTTGATATCTTGCACTAGGAGTTCGTAGTGTCTCTTTACCTCCTCTGTTGTTTTTCCACCCACGACTTTGGCAACATTTTGCCAACGGTTAGGAGTGTCCTGGTCATAGGTTGCTAGAGCCTGCTCAAAAGCTTTGTTCTGCTTAGCGGTCCACGAGCCAGAGCTGTGAGATGACATTGAGCTTGATGCCATTGTAATATAACTGGTTAGAAAGAGATTGTTAAGTATGGGGAGATTTACAAGTCAAGAGGATGATATGTGCATAGATGTTGCAGAATGCTTCCTATTTATAAAGAGATGTATAAGGTGAGTTTAGGTTGTGCCATTCGTAGCAAATATCTTGCAAAAATGAAGAGAATTTTAAGTCATTGTCTCCATAGGAATCGACTAATGAGCGAAAAGAGAATATCAGCAAATATTGTGGAGATCAGTATCTAAAGATCCCAACTAATCACTAATATTTGGTTCTAAGTTCTTTTTTTTCTTCCACATTTTGCATATGATGCTTGGTGGAAATATTACCTATATTTGTTTTTACTGCTGTGATTACTTTCATGTCTTCTTGATTGAGTTAGAGAGGTGTTACGTCAGAGCAGGTTCTCACATTCAATTCTAGATTAAGCTTAGAAATTTAGCAAATTATTTGCCAGTCTTCATCTACTTTGTGGAAAAATCTGGCATAACGTTTGGGGGAATTCCTTGTTATTTCTGGTATACATTCGATCACAATGACTATCAAGGTTAAGGAGAACTTGTGTCCACAAAACAGTAAATGGAAGGTTCGCCATTAGCCATAGGTTCTCTTGAATTAAAGTCTTTGCAGGATACTTTATTGTTGATTGGACCTCAGGGATACTCTGTCTTGAACATCATATCAAGTTACAGAAGATAAACTTGTCCATACCTGTGGAAAAGGTCAAGTCTCTATGAAGTTTGGCAACCATGCTTTTCTTGGTCATCTATATTATTATTTGCATTTTGGTCTTCAATTGTTTAAACAGTCACTTTTCTTGGTGGATATTGAAATTTCTGTTGGTTTCTATTCATTGGTGCCAAAGATTTGCGGCTTTGATTGCATTTAGTCATTAGTTGCGTTTACCAATCACTTCTTTATGTTGATTGTGAATTTTATTACCACTCTTCTTGAGAAACCAAGGATAGAGAAGATCGTGTTTCTTATGCTTTTTACTGGTTATCTGGATTTTATTGTCTTTATTGTTTATCATGAACTACTAGGCACCTGGTTTGGTAAGATACATGTGCAGATAGATAATTTCCTGAAACTAATATTTTCCCCTATCGGCGATATCAAGGTGTTATGGGAGATAGAAGACCATTATTATGTCTTGAAATCATATCAGGTTAGTTATCATAAATCCCAAACTATACAAGTCCATCAATGTCATACTAAATGGTATTAACTTTAAGAACTAAATTGGTATGATTCATGCGCGTAGATTTAGTCTATTTTCTTGATCGACACCAATTTGTGCCTTACAAGATATTTGCATTTGTGGTACAAATTTTACCACAAGGTTTAGGTTTTATGCCTTGCTAGATATTGCTGTTCTGAGAACTCAAGAGACTGCCATGGTTTTGGGATAGGAGATAAACTACTTTACAAGAAAGAAAAGTGTAAAAGAATCTTAATCATGAGACTGGTGGCACAATATATTCTGAAGATATAGCTGCTAGTTGCTATGGGATTCTGCAAGTAGGACATCCACGATAGATGTTCTCATCATCGGTTTCTTTCTTACCTAGGTGTTAAAATGGTAGAAAATACGCACATCCCCACATTTAGCTTTAAGCTTCGTGTAATCTCTTGAGCTGTGAGATAATAGTTTTTTTCAGAAACATCTGAATTGGTTGTTATGCAATATGGATTCGTTGCATCTTTACTTTTGTGATATGAGGAGTTACATAGGGTAAGATTTGGTGGATTTGATTCCATATCTCCAGCTTCAAGTTGCATTTCCTATAGTGAAGGTACTGGGCCAATTATGAAACACGTTGCCTAGCTGGTGATGATTGGTGTAAATTTCCACAGTAGCTTTCCAAGAATATATGTAGGATAAAGAAAGGAAAGGGTAAGCATTATATTCCTCAACTAGTGGTTGCTCCTTTTGCAACTTGAGGAACTAAATCCTCATGTAATCTTAAGTTCCTTTAATGACTTAGTTGTTGTAGCTAAATTATAATGCTGTTTCTATGGGGTTACTAATTTACTATAGTAGTCGTTCATGTCTCAGAGGTCGCCTTGTAAGGCTGATATTTTTTGGTAAACTATGATCAGAAAAACTTCGTTAACAAATGCTAAGTTTTATTTATTTCCAAGCAGTGCAGACTATTGTTGTCACTTGGAGAGTGAGTAAACAGTGCATTGCTCAACAAGCCTCTACACATTTGTCAAGAGACAAAAGTACACATATTATAGCATGTCCAAATTTTCAGCTCGGAGAGTATAGATAGAATCATAGAACTAAACTGGATGTGATTTTTTGTTGTTTCATAATCATTGTATGGATTAGGATTTAAAGGAGAAAGTCACGCGCCTTCAAATTTTTGGCATGAGCTCATTGTATTAGGAGTAGTGACACACATTTATTAAAAATTCTCTATCAAAATTAAATTTAAGGGATCATTCTTTAGGAAAATAACTTTAAATAAATACAATGATTGTTTACTTTCCGAAATGTATTACTGAGCTGGCGCAAGTTTTTTTGTTCAATATTAACAGTGATTGCTAAAACTAAAACAATACTCTTATGGAAACCTTGAAATATCCTTTCACGTTAAAACGATAGCCGAAAAAAAAAAAGTAACGGAAGGAGAATATTCAAGGTATATCTTGTTGTGTATATTAAACAATGCACACATCGGATAGGCGCATAATTCTGCGCTTCTAAACACAAATCGTGCAGCGAACTTTTTTCGATCAAACAAATAAAGCGGCAGTACCAATTATTGGTAGGTGTAAATTATATTGTAATTCATACAGAAAGTTTTAAAATATGGTACTGACAGTAATTTTCCTTCAATTAAATTGGACCGATATCGGCTAGGATTAAATAGATATGTCAACAAAATAATTTATTTGGGGGCGATAATGGAAAACTCTCAAATCTGGTTAAAAGGAAACCTTATAATTTAGTGAACAACACGCGAATTAACATTTCGTTCCAGACAAAGAAGACTTTAAACGATCTGTTTCATCAAAAAAGTAAACCAAACGAACGATAACCAAACCAGAGACAAACGGTGACACAAAACCAAATCTAAACCAAAAACAGAGCGGCACGAAAACCACACTATCTTTGATTACCAGCCACCTCCACCGCTTCCTCCGTAACTTCCACCGTCACCTCCTCCGTATCCACCTCCCTCACGGCGACCACCACCTCCACCGTATCCTCCTCCACCGCGGCCGCCTCCACCAGATCCGTAACCTCCACTACGTCTCTCGTAACCACCACCTCCTCCTCCGTATCCGCCACCGCTTCCTCCGTATCCTCCACCGCCTCCGCTGCGGTAACCACCGCCACCGCCTCCACGGCCTCCTCCACCGCCGCCGCTACCCCTTGACTGAGCCTCGTTCACGGTGATGGTACGTCCATCGAGCTCTTTTCCGTTCATCTCCTCAATCGCGTCCCTCATGGCTTTCTCGTCCTTGAAGGTGACGAATCCGAATCCCCTTGACCTTCCAGTCTCGCGATCGTTAATGATCTGCAAACACAATCAACCAAATCACACAGATCAGCAAAAACAATCATACAAGGAAAATAAAAAAAGCGAAGAAAAAAGCAAAAATCGATCGATCTCCGAGCTCATAAAAGCAGGAAGATGAACGTACCGATTGGAAAAATTAAGTAACAGTAACAAAGAACGAACGAGAGAGAAGATAGTAACAGTAATCGAATCAAGTAACAGAGAAACACAGATCGGAATCAGATCCGTCGAGGATCAGAATCATCGGAATCGGCTCGATCCGGGAGACCGATCTCTCGTGTAACAGACCTTAGAATCGAGAACGTCGCCGAATTGTGAGAAGGTCCTTTCTAGATCTTCATCATTGGTGGCCCAGGCAAGGCCGCCGACAAAGCACCGGTACTCAACTTCAGACATTTTTTTTTTAGGGTTAAGAAATTAGAGATAGAGAGAGATTTGTATGATTTGGGATGATAAGACGCAGCCTTAATTTATAGAAGAGGTGTGACGTAATAACCACTAGGGTTTGCTGAAAGATTTGGAGCTTTAATGGAATTTTAACTCTGATTAGGATGTCTAGTTAAATGGGTTAGTGGTTAGGCCCACATCATGTGAGCGTTTTCGAAAACTAATGATTTCTCTCCTCGTTTCGAGCAAAAAATATCTGCGTAAAAAATATCTTTATTCTGTAATGACACTTTTATCCCTCGTCTCGTCTTTATGTGATAGTAATTGGGCCTCACTGACCGGCCAATATTTGTATTGGGCTTATTTACTTTAATTGTAACAATTATAACTTCCGGCCCAATGTAAGTGTGACTCTTTTAGGGAGCTCCAGTTTTGTATTAAAAGCTCAAAGCATCAGCAACTGTGCATGCAAATGGTGTTATTTGGATTTTTATCATCTGGTTGGGTTACCTCAGTCACAATGAAATTTACGATTTTTTGTTTACCTGATCTCGATTATAAATAATTGCAAAATAACAAAATTACAGAGAAATTAGTAAACTCGCAATGTTTTGTAATCACAAAGTGGTACGTACTGTAACTAGTAGCTTACTCTATATGACGATAATGTGCAATAGATTTATTTGCTTTGTCAATAATTATGACAATAATGTGCAATAGGTTTATTTTCCGTGTTTTGCGTTATTACAAGCTTGAAACTTAACCCTCTTGACTCTTGCGGAGACGTACAGTGATTGATTCTTTATCGGTATCTCGATCACATAATATGTGATATCCATAACTTAGCATAGATTTTAGTGTTTTTCCTGTATAAATATTTTGGTAGGTTATGTGATATTGAAATTAAAGCTAGATATGCAGATATGTAAACATATCAAATCGTTCAATGGAATTCAATATTCAATCATTGAATAACTGGATACACTCAATCTGTACTAGAAATAGTTTGACTGTCTGAATATTATTTTTTGACAGCCTGAATTTATAATTGAATTATTTTGTATGTATAATTTATACCACAATTAGACGGATGAAGCTGTAGAGTTATACAAAGTCAAGTTAAATGGTTTAGTATCTTGATTTTGATTTTTGAGGTGAAAATGCTGACTAAAGCGTGTAGAAGAACTTTTTCAAAAAGAAATAGCATGTCTAAGATAAATTCTTTTTTTTGAAGTATTATACTGCACGTAATATTAAAAACAATAGTAGACTTTTTATAAGAGGGACAATTATTTCATTTTTCTCATAACAGAGCCACAATTATTAGGACATTTTAGTCGTTTTAAATACGAGGTAAAAAAATTAACTAATAAAACTACTCTATCGTATCCTAGGAATTCTATCATTTACTTTTTAAACTACTAATTAAAATGATGGTTATCATATTAACGTCAACAGAATATTAGGAGTATTTATTAAAAATGAAGTAATTTTCAAATGATAAAAGTTTAATAGTTCGTTAAGCTGTCTTGGGCGGGATCGTTGAGAGTCAAACTTATCAAAACGGCGCCGTATCAAAACGGCGCCGTATCAAAACGGCGCCGTATCAAAACATCACTTTCAATTATATGTGCGTCAAGATCGAACCATAAATCTTGGGAACGTGCTAGTATACAAGGAAAGATCCTCATCGGCCGAGTCACTTTTTTTTTTTGTTTCTTACACTTTTTTTATTGAATCGGCCGCTGTTCTTGACCAGTATGAAGCTTTCTTTGTCCAGAACAGTTCTGTAAGAAGTTTATATCAAATATTATAATATTGGTTTCGTATTATATTAGACTTTCCATCTTTCTCTCTCTAAATCTAGGACAAAAAAATATGGAAGAGTTAGAGAGAGAGAGGGAGAGGCAGCAGAAAATGATTGATAACCAACAATGAATGGTTTTGATTCTGAAGTGCACAGAGAAAAATTAATTGCCAAGAAAGTCGCAGAGGTAACAGAGTGAAGAACCTTTTATTATCTCTTTGTTGAATAATCATAGAAAGTCACAAAAAGAAAGTTTCCTTTTTTGATCGGATTCGAAGGAAACCATAAAAAAAAGATTTGATTATTTCCATAAATCGCGAAGATTCTTTCCAATTCAATCCTAGGCAATGAATGGCTTTAAGTTTTTCGAAACACTAGTCATCAAGGTTTAGAGAAACCATGGTGGTTCTGAAGAAGACATCCTTTCTGGTCTTCTTCTTCTTCTTTGTCTTGTTGTTAGAGTCAACGTTCGAGCAACAGACAAGTTCTCTGGACGAGAAATCGGCTCTTCTGTTGTTAAGGTCTTCTCTTGGGTTAAGAAGTAGAGATTGGCCTGTGAAAGGCAATCCTTGTCTGAACTGGAAAGGCATAGAATGTGATCAGAAAGGTAGAGTAATTAAGATCAACATTTCAGGGTTCAGAAGGACTAGGCTTGGGAATCAAAACCCGCAATTCTCAGTTGATTCGCTTGTCAATCTCACCCGTTTGGCTTCCTTCAATGCCTCAAGGTTCTCTCTTCCAGGTCCAATCCCGGTTTTGTTCGGATCGAGTCTGTTGACTTTAGAGGTATTGGACCTTAGCTCTTGTTCAATCACAGGAACCATCCCTGAAACTTTGGCTCGGTTGTCACTCCTCAAAGTTCTTGATCTTTCAAAGAATGCAATCAATGGGGATATTCCTGTGTCTCTTACCTCTCTTCAGAATTTATCAATCCTTGATCTTTCCTCAAACTCGGTGTTTGGTTTGATTCCTGCTAATATTGGGGCACTCTCAAAGCTCCAGCGTCTCAATCTTTCGCGTAACACCTTGTCTTCTTCAATACCTCCATCACTCGGAGACCTCTCTGCTTTAGTCAACCTTGATCTCAGCTTCAACCGCCTGTCAGGTTCGGTTCCATCAGATTTGAAAGGGCTAAGGAACTTGCAGACATTAGTAATTTCCGGAAATCGCCTTTCAGGATCCCTACCTCCTGATCTGTTCAGTTTCCTGAGTAAACTACAGATCGTTGACTTCAGAGGCAGTGGTTTCATAGGCGCTTTACCGTCCAGGTTATGGTCACTACCGGAGCTGAAGTTTCTAGATCTTTCTGGAAATCACTTCTCTGACTTGCTGCCTAATACCACTGTCAGTTTTGATTCTACTGTCTCCATGCTTAACATATCCGGGAACATGTTTTACGGCAATCTCACACTTTTACTGAGAAGGTTCCAAGTTGTTGATCTGTCAGAAAACTATTTTGAAGGTAAAGTTCCTGACTTTGTGCCAATCAATGCTTCATTGAGCAACAATTGTCTTCAGGGACCAGAGAACCAGCGGAAGTTGTCGGATTGCGCTTTGTTTTATTCCAACAAGGGCTTAACTTTCAACAATTTCGGACCACCTGAAGGAAAGAAGAGTCCTAAATCTTCCTGGTTAAGCCACACGAAAATAGTTATACTTGCTGCAGTTGGAGGGTCTATATTGCTTATGCTCATTCTCATAGTATTACCAATAACAGTGAGTTTCTGTGTCCGTCGAAGAAACAGATCATCAACAAGTAATCATCCTAGAGGGAGACACAACGGAGTTGGCCCATTGCCTCCTGATGAAACACTTCCCTCAAGAGGAGGAGTCTCTATAAACTTCGGGAGCCTTGGATCATCATTTACCTATCAGCAGCTGCTCAATGCCACCAAGGAGTTCAGTGATTCAAACCTGATCAAGAAAGGACAATCGGGGGATCTTTTCAAAGGGGTTCTAGAAAACGGAGTTCAGATCGTTGTGAAAAGAATCAGCTTGGAATCTACAAAGAACAACGAAGCATATCTTACCGAGTTGGATTTCTTCAGCCGGTTTGCGCATCCAAGAATAGTCCCATTCGTAGGAAAGAGCTTAGAGAGCACAACCCATAAGTTCTTGGTATATAAGTACATGCTGAATAGGGATTTACCAAGCTCATTGTTCTATAAATCCAATTCCCTAGTTGACAACGGATTGAGATCTCTCGATTGGATCACCAGACTGAAAATAGCATTGGGAGTAGCAGAGGGACTTTGTTATCTGCACCATGATTGCTCACCATCTGTCGTCCACAGGTACGAAAAATCATCCCTTTTACTATTTTTCACTTTCAAGCCACCATTAGCACATCACTGATCTTGAGTCTTCCAATGTAAATGTCTTAAAAAAAAGGGATCTTCAAGCGAGCAGCATTCTGTTGGATGATAAGTTTGAAGTTAGGCTTGGGAGCTTTAGCAAAGCTTGTCATCAAGAAAACAATGGCCGTCCCCGCAAAATAGCCCGGTTGCTCAGACTATCCCAGTAAGTGTCTCTGATTCATCATTCACCCAAATTTTGGATTAAACATCTAACAAACAAGCTTGCTACTGTTTCCCTCTTCAGGTCTTCTCAAGAAAGTGTTCCTGGTGCGTTTATCTTCAAATGTTGAAGAATCAGATACATAAAAAGCTCTAATTTATTAATTGTTCTAACAATCCCTAAAATTTCAGGGTCTCCAGCTACAGCAACATGTGCATACGATGTGTACTGCTTCGGCAAAATACTTCTGGAGCTTATCACAGGAAAACTCGGAATCAGCTCATGCCAAGATACCCAATTCAAGAAAATCCTAACCGAGATCATGCCTTACATTTCATCACAAGAGAAAGAACCCGTAATGAACATTCTAGACCAATCTCTTCTGGTCGACGAAGACCTCTTAGAAGAAGTCTGGGCAATGGCAATCGTCGCAAGATCTTGTCTTAACCCTAAACCAACAAGACGGCCGCTTATGAGACACATAGTTCAAGCCCTGGAGAATCCACTGAGAGTCGTGAGAGAAGACAGCAGCGAATCTGAGAGATTCCGTACGACGGGATCTTCGAGAGGATCTTCGAGTAGCGGTCGAATTTTTGGTAGTTGGAGACAAAGCGTGTCTGATCCTGTCGCGGCGGGAACAAGTAGCCTTCTGTCTCAAGCGGAAGGTTTAGCGACGGGATCGTCGACGAGAGAAAGTAGCCGTGGCGCGTCGAGTCGACGAAGTATGAAAGATGTATAGAAAAGGAAGACACACACGATCAACATTTTTTCCTTTTTTTCTTTTAATTTTTAATTTTTTTTTGTGGTTATGATTTGATCTCTTGTTGATAAAAAATCCCATATAAATTTATAATCTTTTTCGATGATCAAACCAGACCAGTCTTTTGATCTTCTCTTGCAATTTAGTTTGTATGGGGTACGAATTGAAAAATAGTATACGTTTGGGGCAATAATATAAAAACAAAAGTGTCTGTAGTACTGAATGAGGCTAATTGGGCTGCTTTACTATATCTAAGCATTTGGCGTCTTAGCACTTAATGGGCCTAAGAGGCCCACTTACTTATTTATATGTAGCTACATTCTTTCTTATTGCATATATCGTTTTCTTGTCAAAACCAATACGAAGCAAACACAAAACTTTTTCGTACAAAACCAAATACTAAATGAATATAAAAAAAAGGACACGCCAGATTGCAATTGAGTCGAGTGTACACACGTTTAAGAGGGAAAGGTCAAGTCCAGTAACTAGAGGTAGAATTGAAAATACCAAGAGATCATCAAATAGAGCATCTTGAATCAAAAGACAATCAAAATATCACTCAGATTCCAATTCGGCAGATCGGATTCCGTTTAATAAGATCGAGATCCACCTGCGACGAATAATGACACATGGTTTGAGTATATATGGCAATCGAACCAAGGAAATGTTTATACTTTATACAAAGATGTCAGAATAAGTGAAGATCTTGTGCTTACCTTGTGTCCAAACAAATCTCGGATGTTGTCGATACCATATAATATCATTGTTGGTCTGGTTTATGAACAAAAGCCAAGAAAGAATCAGTAACGACCCTGAGATGTTGAAGGAGATTAAAAAGTCGTACCTTTCAAGAGAAAGACCCCAAGCGATGACTCTAACATCCTCGGGGAGACCCATTGGTAGAAGCATTTCGGGTCTGAACATTCCAGAGTTTCCAATCTCCACCCACTTCCCTAAACCTTCATGGTAGCTGACATCCAGGAACAGGTAAAGTTTTACTTTTTGTCTCTGTGTTAAGCAATTTAGATGATTATATTTTTTTTTACCAATTACCTGAAAATCTCCATGCTTGGCTCTGTGTAAGGGTTGTAAGCTGGCTTGAAACGCAGTTTCGACATCCCTGAAAAGCATGATCGCGTTAAGAGTTATCTATTTCTCTCTCGAGCTTAAACGAACCAAAGGAAAGATTCAATCAAACTTAAGGAAGAGTTTACCTAAGCGTGAGAAGAAGTCTTTTAATACACCAATCAGGTCTCCAAGTGTAAGGCCCCGATCACATATCAAACCTGATCCAAGTATGAGATCATTCAACCCACGAAAATAAAGTTTGACAGTAGAACTCCCAACTGTGACAAATCTGAGCATTAGAACTATACCTTCAATTTGATGGAACTCTGCAAGGTGGGTCCGATCAACAGCCTCGTTTCTGAAGACACGGTCAATCGAAAAGTACTTCTTGGGCACAAAAGGTTTCTACAGTAAGATAGAAATCTAATTATACTACTGAATTTTGGAAACTAACGTCTCAAAACCTGTCAGCTAAAGTCTCATTGAACCTGTGCTAGTGCATAAAGCATCCTAGATGAGACAGCCGTTGTGTGAGTACGAAGAAGATTCTTGTTTGCTTCTTCTCTTTTCCAATCATAATTATACCTTTAATGCAAAAGGCCATGTCAGAGTGATTGCAGATTAATTATCATTAATCCAAGGGGATAAGAAGATACAAGTCAATTACCCTCTTGATCCATAACCACCAGTCTCATGAACACGTTTCACCTTCTCAACATAATCTTCCGGAAGTGTCCTTGTAGTAGAAGGAACTACATTCAAAGATTTACGCCTTAAATTAAGAGTTATATATTCTTTGAGATGTCAACAAGTAACCTAGAAACATCTGTCCCAAACAACAAATTTAGTGACGAAGCATTCAAGATTTGAACCTTTTAGAAAGAAGGTATCATGAGAATCACGAGCAGGGTGCTGCTGAGGCTGGAACAAAGCATCAAAATTCCAGAAGCTGGAGCGTATAGGAAACAGGTTAAGATCAGCCAACAAGTAGCAAGGAAAAAATGTATATTTTAGATATCCTTAAAGCCTCCATGAAAAGCTGAACCCCAAGATTCTGTAATAACTAGACGATACCTGCTCTCCACAAAGTTGTTTGTTGGCATCTCCTCAAACCTGTGACCACATAAGGCTCACCATTAATTTTGGCAATCAACAAAATGGGGAAATTACAATATATGCGTAGAGTCTCTCTCACCCCATCTGAACAAATATGTCTTTAAACTGCTTCCGCACCTAAGGAACAAGAAAGTAAAATTAAAAAAACTTAAGAGGTTGTTAAAGAAATGGTAACCCAAATCCTACACAACAATAGAAAAGATAACACTAGTAAACAATATATACACTGGAGCTATACCAAGCACCAAGCTTACACTAAAGGGATACAACAAGTTTATTTTTTGTGTCAGCTTACCTTGAGAAGGGCGTGAAGATGCCCAGCCTCAAGAGGCGCTCCTTTAGCTTCAAAGTTATACTCCTTAAACTCTAACTCTTTCCAGCTGCAAATACACCAATTTCCTACCTTAATTGCATATCCAAACTACACTACCATCAAAAAGTTGAAAAAAGGCAAGGAATAGGACGAACTTTTGAAGATTTTCTCGAGTCAAATCGGTAGCCACTTTCTTTCTCTCGGGAGCATAATTAGGACCTTTCTTTACGGAATACCCCTTCCATATCCTGAGAAGTAGTAAGGATACCAGCTATTGATAATGATGTCTCCCAAAAGGAACGAAACATAAAAGAAACGTGGATTCAATTACTGTGGTACGATAAGTTTTCTGGCTTTAAGAGAAATGATACTGTCTTTGTCAGACTCCTGAAGGGGTGAAAGAGACACGTCAAATTAATATGAACTATTAAGGCATAAACAACAAACGAACTCTCTACTGAAATAATATAGCACAAACCTTTCCTTCTTGTATTTGTAAAAGCTGGCCTTTCACTTTATCTTCCACATGTTTAACCTACAATAAAATGGTTCAGATTAATGCAGACTAAACAAACTAAAATGTGACTGCGTGTGACATAGGTTAAACTGATTTGTACACTAGAAAACATCCAAAAAAGGAGATAGTAAACAGAAAGTAAACGATTTCAGAACAATCTACTTGCATACCTTCCTCGAGACTTGCTTTCCCATTTCCACCCACTTGTTTTTACCAGCTTGTGAACAGCCGATCTTGAAGACTGAAGGAGCTAGCTTTTTCTGAAATAGCAAGAATTTTACAGCCGTTATTTTAACATGACTAAACAAATTCCACCATATATACATCTACATATCCATAACAATCACCTGGAGCTCATCTTTTGATATGCTGCCTTCTTCAGGCACAGCTAAGAAAAGTTGTACCTCTGGTGACCCTTCTGCTGCATATTTTTTCCCTTCATCAGTCAGAACCCATGTCTCCTTTTTAATGTCCTGCAGAGAATAGTCAACCCATGTGAATGACAATGCAAATCTAGTCCACTAAACCTTGTTAATGATAGAAACCAGTGGCACTCATGGAAAAAGTAAAGAACTTTCCACTAGATATCAAAACGTCTTAATCTAACACCTAGACCCATAATCCAAACCCTTTATCGAATTTCTCATTCTCCGCAGACCAAATTCAACCAGAAAACTCACAGGCACGGAATCGGACACAAGATTTAATATTACAAATACGGGGAAGGACGAGTACCTGAACATCGATGTAACGAAAACCATGGAGACTTTTGATGACATTGACGACTTCGTTGTGGTCGAGGTTGAATTCAGCAGAAAATTGACCCGAATCCGTGATCTGTTCATTGTTCTGCAGAAACCCTAGTATCGCCTCTTCCGCCATAAATAAATCTCTTCCAAGTTTTTTTAACAAAAGAGCCTTTGCCCTACTCTTCTATCTCCCCCGGTCAAACAGAGAGTGAGTAACGCCGCAGAATAGTATTTGCATTATACAGTATTGGATTTAAGGGTTTGACTTTAGAGTGCGTTTTTAATAGTCTCCAATTACTTTTGAAATTGCAACATAGACCCAAATATTAAAAAACAAAACAAAAAAAAAAGCTAAACAAATTGTCATTATAGTAAACTACTCCTAACGAATTAATGAACAAAAAAAAAACCAAATAATAGTCCTTATTGCATATATCAGTGAATGATTCAATTCACATGCATGATCATAAGCCATTGCGTCAAACATTAGTAGCAAGAGCATGCTCTAATCGATTCATCTCATCGGTTATAAAGACAACGTCAGACCACTTAACCAACCCCCAAATCTCTCCTCGATGTTCTTTTTCAATAACAATTTCTTCACACCAAATTAGTTTCTTCCTATGGTTGTTAAGAATCATGTCCTCCTCCCACAAAAGAGCTATGTTTCCTCCATAATTCACCAATTTAGCACTTCTACCACGCGGATGCATAAACGACCTGCGCATTAATCCTTTCAAATCTTTCCATATTTTTTTATAGGAGTCATACCATTGGAGCGACTCCGTACAATAACGGTAGAACACGTTCTCTATCACACAATTAGGTGAGTCAAAAGATGCATGATTGAACATTAAGTGTGCCTCTCTCCATCTACCTTTATGTATCTTGTAAGTCATGTCAGTCACATAATTCTCGTTTAAACAACTTACGTAGACAGTTTCTTTATACACTATGCTTTTGTACATAAAAGCTCTGCATATCTCTTCGCTAGGAATCTGCAAAAACTCCCATGTTTGGGTCTTCATATCGAAAACCTCAATCCAATTTGTTGAATCGAGATTCTTGCAGCCTCCTATTACATATATTTTCCCATTAAGGACGCAAGTAGATGGGGAGTTGTCACGTGCCACGCGCATGCTTGGAGCCTCACGCCATGTATGAGAACGGCAGTCCATGACCATGACCTTAGACGATGCATTCTTATTCAAGTCGCGCCCACCAATAACATAGATTTTAGAATCAACCGCCACAACACCCGACCTATAGTCAAAAGGAGAATAAGAAGATGATATTGGGACCAAAATTTTGGTGCAGCTGTTTATTTTTTGGCGGAGAGTGAACCAAATTCGTGTGTCAGTGTTATAGTTGGTACGGGGCAGTAAACACACGTAAAGACCACTGCTAGTGCAACCTAAGAATGATCTGAGCTCTTGAAGATCCGTTGAGGCAATGAGAGACCGGAATTTCTTGGAAACGAAGGAAAGGCTCGGGTAATACACTTTGGAAACACGGGCTAAACAGTTTAATACCAAATCATCAGGAAGCATCGAAAACGTCATCTGTGATTTTTCTTCCTTCGACATTATCACACTAGTGAGCAAAATCTTTATACGTTTTCGCTTCCACTCGATCTTCTAGAATAATAATAATAAATCTCTTCTCTTCTCTTTGTTTTCAATAATAGTGCCGTCCTAAACCTACTGCCACAAATACAGTATATATACGCTCATAGTCATCAAGGATTTGGTCTCCAATTCCAAACCAGATTCTAAAAAATGGATAAAAAACTATTTTTTATTTTATAAGGATTAAGTTTACAAATTGAACTGTTACGAATATATTGATTTTATCTAAAACTGATTCACACGGATGGTAATATATTCTAGTTGACAAAACAAAAACAAAAAATTGGATAATAATATTTTCTTATGTTATTTTTAGTGAACCAAAAAAAAAAAATCTAGGGAGGGTTGTAATATGCATAAATTAAAAGTCAGAGGACAAATTTGTGCTACTTCTTCGAAACTCAAGAAACGACGCCGTTTCTATTGTAGGGTTTAGTGCTCTGTTCACTTGTCGTTCCATCTCACTCGTATTTTCCTCCTGTCCTTGAGATTCCCATTCTAAGGAAAAAAAACTCAACTTTGTCTTGTGCAAATCTTAAGATCAGAGATGGCATCGTTTTGCAGATCAGCGTTAATGGCAGGTTCCAGAAACTTAGTATCAAGATCCAGAACCGTTACTCAAAAAACCCTCAATCTTAAACCCACAACTACTTCATCTCCTTTCGCTTCAATGTCTCAATCTATCCCTCGCGCTTCAAGGTTAGTACTCATTTTTCAGCTGATTCAAGAAATTTAACACATTTCTTATTCGAACAAAGTGAATTTAGAGAATACTCATGTTTTTAATCAGAAACAAATTTCAATGCAATGTGAAGGGTTCTCTCTGCTTTGGGAAGTGTTGAAACGATGATTCCACTTCACAGTGCCGTTGCTTCAGCTCGGCTCCGGTCAAGCATCGCTGCTGATTCCTCTTGTTGGAGCTTGCTTTCTCAGGGTTTGTTTTTCCCTCTCTTCTTTGCTGTTTTCTTGTACATTATCCTTAAATTTGCTGTCTTTCGGTGGATTGATTCCGTTTTCTGCCTTTTCTATTGTGCATTTGGAAAGTTTTTAGAATAAGATTGAACCTGAAGATTTATTCTTTAGTAAGCTAGAATCTCTCTTTTGAAATGGGATCAAAACTCTTTAAAAGATAGCAAGAGGTTAGAGTAAGTTAGATGATATTCTCGAATACAAGCATGATTGTTGCAAGAGGTTTTTCATTAGTCTACACTCGTTAGATTCAAAGTGTTTTTTTTAGCTCAAACAATACTGCTTCAGATGTGAAAGACATGTTTTTTATAGTGAACAAAAGCTGGAAGGATTGTGTCTTCACTCGATATGGTTTCGATTGGGACAAAGCCTGATAAAGATCAAAACTTTGACAGATTTTTAAAGAAAGGAATTGTTACTTCTCTGTCTTGTTGAGATGTCTAGTTGGTTTAGCTGCTTATTATGTTTTTCTAAAGCTTTGCTTCTCTGACTTGTGGTTCTTCTACTTAATGCAATAGGACTTGCCACGCCTTTGTGACCCCGGTCTGCTGGATCTATATAAGGCGAAAATAATCAAAATATTAGGACTTGCTTTCGCACAATGAATGAACAAGAGTAGTGTTTTTTTCTAGTTCGAACTCTCTCGTCAATGTGTTGTTGTGATTCACAAGGATTTGTTGTTTCAAACTTCTTGCAATCTATCTATCGCTATTTGGATCCACACATTTTGGGGCCTTTTGCTGCACTCTAAACTCAGCATTTCTTTTCTTTGTTCATGATATCAAGTTGTGTTCATGCAATTACAACTAGGAATCTCTGCATTTTTCGATTTCTGAATCTTGTTAGCTGATCCTCTTCCCATTTCTCTCGTCTCTTAGAACTGGGAGTCCCTCGGTGACACGATCATTAGCATTGGTCTTGATCTTGAAGCGTCCATGGGTTGATACTTGATACTGTACTGTTTAAGACTACTTGATGTGGCCAGTTTTTGGACCGGTTTGCTCCGGTTTAGGACCAGATTGTTTCCCAATTTGGTTCGTGTTATCTTGGTTTAGTTTTTTCGGAGCATGGAAGAGGATATATAGTTATATACACATCTCAGATTATTGATCATCATATTTTAAGCATTCTAGTGAACACATAAGAATTATTCATTGCATTCTAACGAACGTAATCAAACTGAAAACCCTACCAACTAATAATTGTGAATCCAAGCTTTCTTGCAGTCTACTCTTAAACTCGTTCTTGGTCACCAACTATGTATGTAAGTATGTAACTATAATATTGATATATGTGAAACAATATACCAAACAAACATATTCGAGAGCCCCACATTCACCAGACAATTCGTCCAACGCCAATCTCGCCAGCCTTTAGCTTAAATTACCAAAGGGACAATAAAGAGTTAAAGATGAAGAAAAAAATTGATTATATTTATAAACACTAAATTACTAGTTAAATTTAGTGGGTATTTTTTGATAATGCCACAATTATGAGTTTTTATTTAAAAATGCCATTTTTCTGAAAACTGCTTTCTCAAAAAGCCATTTTTTTGCTTATGAATAATAATACTAAGAAAAATACATGATGCAGCCTTCCGTTAGAAATAGTCAGAACAAAAATATGAATATGCTCCATAATCTCTTACATTTGGCATTCATTAGTCATTTCATTTGAACGTCATTTCTGTTAAGTGAAGAGTAAAAGTCAAATACAAAAATTTGATACGAAAAGTTAATCGATTTTACTTTTGCCTTTGTGTCTCTGTGTATCCCCCACCACCTCCTTATCTTAGTTAACCGCGTAACGAGATGGACGGGCACAACTATATTACAAGACATGTGTGTGTGTGCATGCCTATATAATAGCTCATGTTCTTGTAATATCTAACTCGAACAAGAAACAGTAAGAGAACTTTTAATAGAAAAGGCTATATGGGGAATTGTGCACTAAAGCACAATTCTGTCAGAAACCGGAGCTCCGGCGCCGGAGGAGCTTAAGGATTCACTTCTTGAATACCATAAGATCGACGCTGCAAAATCTCTTAGCAACTTGTTCCTTCAAGTAAGTCACTACAAATTAAACACAAACATAGTGTAACACTTTTTAGGATGTTATATTCTTGATTATGTTATTCTTTATGTCTCATTTGGATTTTTGGTTAATATGACAAGGCAGAGAAGACAACGAAAGAAGACGAGAAGATCACACCAGAAAGATGCCGGTAACTGAAGATCTGAAAACAGCTTTGGCGGAGGAAAAATCTCCGACTAAAGAGGCAAAATCTCCGGTAACAGAGACAAAATATGCGATAATGGAGACAAAAGCTCCGGCTGACGAGAATATAACTGAAAATCTGAAAACAGTTTTGGAGGAGGCAAAATCTCCGGCAACAGAGACAAAAACTTCTATTAGAGAGACAAAAGCTCCGGTTGATGATCAGAAGCAGGTGAAGAACGAAGAGGCCATTCGTGAAGAGAAAGTCATTGACGTTGTGACTGTGAAAGAGACAGAAACAGAGGCGAAAGCAGAGGAAGTGGGAAGAGAAGCAGCACAGTGAAAACAGCTTTGAAACGCTAGTTTTTGCGTTCTTGATAGCAAAATGCTTGTTTTGGAATTTTGTTTAGATTATATTTTTCCTCGATAGAAAAACGCAAACGCTGGATTCGTTATATGAATTGAAAACTTCAGATTTCCTTTAAACCGTTCCGTCAACCAAAAAGAAAAAAGTCTTAAGACTGTTAATTCATTTGAAACGCCAATTTTCTACTACAGCGTTTCATAGAGAATGCATGCGTAAATGGGGGCCCATTACAACACCTTCTAAACTTTTTGTTTGCATTCACACGGGCCGATACGGGCCGTATTAGTAAAATTTGTAAGATAAGCAAGACTTTAGTGGACCGGGCGATCGAGATCTACCGAGCGGGTAAGAACCGGATCGGAAATACGGGTCCGGATTTTGAGCATTAAATAGTGAAACAACTAACTCGACAAACCTTTTAATTGCAGCAATTTAAGAGGCCCACCCAACCCAACTCTCGAGCCTCGACTTCTCAATTATACATGTAGTGAACAGCCAATTACATATAGACACGTGTTCATAGTTTGTTGGTAGTTATATTAAACGCGACTACTACTAACCACCACCGGTTCATGGACGACCGACCTACCAAAGTTAAAGTGAGTTGTTCAATAAATATGCAACCAAACGAAGAATTTTTGTTTAGCATCAAATGTGTTTTTGTGAAATGTTCGATTAATTTTTAGATTGGTGAAACATATCTATTTCGATTTATGGTATATCAAAGTCCAAAGCTGGATAATACTTGCACACTTCTTAGAACTGAATCTATTTTCTGATTATAGATTATCCATATCTCTTGATCTCAAAATGGATTAATACACCATAACTTATGAGGAATCAAACGAAATCTTTGTAGATGCATGGTTTTATATATGTCATATGATTCAATTATAAGCTGATCACATAAGTGATGTGAAACGAGGATGAATGCATTAATTGTTATACGGCAAGATAGGTAGTCATTCGAATTTTATCCACAACGTCCAACCGGATTGTGTTCCATATATAATGCTCATGACAAGACGAAGAAAAAAAATCCACAACGTGGCATAGTCATTATAGTCCAAAGATAGAGAAAGTGAAAAGGACATCTAAATTATATATCTAACTATTTTTATCCATAGCTAATTTACATGCTTTTAAACCGTGTTATATGTTAGTCATAAATTCCCAGCAAATAATTCGGCCATGCAAGAAAATTCACAGGACGCTTTAACTGGTGGTACCAGTCTTGTAGCTAATTTGGGTATTGTGAAAAATCTAGGACAGTGAATTATATTCAGTCACGTGTCAACTATGAAGTAGTTTTTTTTTTTTTTTTTAATAGTTTTAACAGCATAAAACAAATTATGGCCATTTTGCTGTTAATTTTTATAAATGTTAATTTTCTAGTCAACAATAATTTAAAATGTAATTTTGTTTTAAGATTTTTTCCCTAAAATGGCATATCAGTCAACATTCATATATAGTATAATATCCATTGAAATTAAATAACTTTCCTAATTTCATGCAATGGAAAAGTTAAAGTATAGAAAAAAATCTACTCTCTTAATTTACTGGTGAAAGTAATAAAAGGGTTATTAATATCTCTATCTACTCCTCTCATCTGTAAATGCCCATATATGCACCACTCCCTTGAGAGAATCACACAACATAAACCCAATCCCTCACTCAGACAAAGACAGAGACAGAACCATGGCGAAATCTCCAGAAACAGAGCATCCGAACAAAGTCTTTGGTTGGGTGCTAGAGACAAATCCGGTGTTCTCTCTCCTTTTCACTTCTCTAGAAGGTTCCCATACTTCTCATCACATCTTCTTGTTTCATTATCTTCTTATACCAAAATTCAAGCTATTCCTCCTACTCTGTTATAATTTACGTCAGTCCGTACCGGCTCTTTGATAGTTCTTTTCGTACTTGTTTCAACAAAAGCTTTTGTCTAAATTTGGTCCGAGATCTGTTATAAAGTTTTGCTGTTCTTTTTTCTGTCTCTGATGATTGGTCTAATTTTTACTTTGCAGAGACAATGGTGAAAATGATGTGACAGTGAAGATCTTGTTTTGTGGAGTTTGCCACACTGATTTACACACCATCAAAAATGACTGGGGATACACGTATTACCCAGTAGTTCCAGGGTAATATCGAAATAAAATTTCAAACCGAGATTTCGTATTTAACAAGTTTTCGATTGTATTAACAAAACTTTTTCTATAATAAATCAGGCATGAAATCGTTGGGATCGCTACAAAAGTTGGTAAGAACGTGACTAAATTCAAAGAAGGAGATCGTGTCGGAGTAGGAGTGATCGCTGGTTCGTGCCAATCTTGCGAATCTTGTGACCAAGATCTTGAAAACTACTGTCCTCAAATGTCTTTCACATACAATGCGATTGCATCCGATGGAACCAAGAACTACGGTGGCTATTCGGAGAACATTGTGGTTGATCAACGGTTTGTTTTGCGGTTTCCCGAGAATTTACCAAGCGATTCGGGTGCGCCGTTGCTGTGTGCTGGAATCACTGTGTATAGTCCAATGAAGTATTATGGTATGACTGAGGCAGGGAAGCATTTGGGTGTTGCTGGACTTGGTGGGCTTGGTCATGTTGCTGTTAAGATTGGTAAAGCTTTTGGTTTGAAAGTTACTGTGATTAGTTCTTCTTCTAAGAAAGAAGAGGAAGCCATTAATCATCTTGGTGCTGATTCGTTTCTTGTCACCACTGATCCTCAGAAAATGAAGGTAACGAGAGTCATTTTAAACTAACTTGGTTCAATCCGGTTCAGTTTCAGAAAGCAAATAGAGATAGACTTAATCTTGGTTTTGTTTTGTTTGGAACCTTAGGCTGCAATTGGAACAATGGACTACATTATCGACACAATATCAGCAGTACATGCTCTGTATCCGTTGCTCGGGTTACTCAAAGTCAACGGAAAGCTCATCGCTTTAGGCTTACCTGAGAAGCCTCTCGAGCTACCAATGTTCCCTCTTGTTCTTGGTACGAAAAGAAGCACTATATAACTTTTTCTGCAAAATCTTATTGTGTGTAACACAATTTAACTTGACTTACTGTTTACAGGAAGGAAAATGGTGGGAGGAAGTGACGTGGGAGGGTTGAAGGAGACACAAGAAATGCTTGATTTCTGCGCTAAGCACAACATTACGGCTGATATTGAATTGATTAAGATGGATGAGATTAACTCTGCTATGGAGAGGCTTGCTAAGTCTGATGTCAGGTACAGGTTCGTGATCGACGTGGCTAACTCCTTGAGCCCTCCATGACTGAGCCGAATCTAAGAATCAACCATTGAGGAGGCTTTAAATCTATGTCAAAATCTTTTGTTTGTGTCTCTCCTGTTATCTTCGTTTTCTGCTTTCTGTTTGAGAATCGGTTTCTTCTCAGACAAGTTACCTTATTTCTTTGTTTCTTCTCATGTTCTGTTTCCTAAAAGAAACTCTTTCTGATTCGAGATATTAAACTTTGATCCATCTTTAGTTTGCTAATTATATAAAAATGGGTCTCAAACATAAACACTTAAGAATCTCAATATGCAAAATCATTGGATTGAGATTTAAAATCCAACATATGCGTTTATTAATTAATATGGAAATTGCAATCAAGCTATTTTGGGAGAAGGAGAAGGAGACGAGTCGTTGGAGTTTGGATTCTGACAAAAGCCACGGAGGACATTAGCTTCCTCAGGCGTAAATCCGAGAGAAGTGAGCATCGCCGGCCAACAATTGGTAGTGATGATGTCGACGGCTTCGCAACAACTAACCCCAAGTTTTGTTTCACCGTTGAGGAAGAAGAGAACGATCTCATTGGTGCACGATTTCAGCTCGTATAATGCGTTCCAGCATTCCATTAGCCCTCCACTTTGAAGCCTCGCCGCTATGTTGGTTGATGACTCCGCCGGGAGATATCTGCCAGAGACGGTGGTATTTAGGAGGAGGATGAGAAGTGTGACGGTGGAGAAGAGGAAAGTAGTGTTTGAAGCCATTGGTGTGGTTTTTGTTTGGAGTTTTAGTGTGATTAGACTAGCTTCTGATGGTTTGGTATTTATAGCTTGTTTATGGAATGATTTTTGGGTTAGTGGAGATTAAAAAGTTTATTAGTGGGGGGATAAATGAAAGTAAATGATTAGTGGTGGATGGTGTGATTAAGAGTAATTACAGAGGATTAGTGAAGCGTATTAGGCCTTTGGTGAAGAAGAGCAACGGACAATGCATACGAAAGGTTGGATTTTAAATTATAAATAAGTATCTGATGCTAACTAGACAACAAAAGTGGCTGTAGTTTAGTGGTAAGAATTCCACGTTGTGGCCGTGGAGACCTGGGCTCGAATCCCAGCAGCCACAATTATTTTTAGTAACTTTCTGAAAATAAAATATTTTGGGCCTCCAAACTTTTTAGGCGTTTTAAATGGACCTCCTTTTCAGAGAAATTTAGTGGCCCACTGTACTTTCCTAATAGCCCATATATTGGTATCTATATATTTTGACTTAAATAAAATTTACCAACATATTTTCATACTTAATTTTATGATTTTTTTTTTTTTTCTGGTTTTATTTCAGACTACCTCTAGCTACAAGTTTTTTTTTTGTGTGCAACTCGTAATGGCACTAATTTAACACATATTTTTCAATGTTCTCATTTTTCAATACTTAAAAAAATGAAAATAGTAGATAATAAACAAGATCAAATAAATGAATGAGAGCACAAAAAGAGAAAAGAGCAAATGAAATGAGTAAACAAGAGCCAAGAATAATTAAAGAAACGAACGTAAAAGTGGTAAAAAATTAAAATAGAGTTCAATTTAAAACCCATACTACAACTCTATAACCTCGATTGGGTCTAGCTTGTTGGAACTTTGACTTTTGATTGCTCAATCATTAGGATTTAGGCCTAACCTTAATTAGTTAACTCCCATATGATTGGATGATCTAATTATAATTAATCGGTAAAGGCACTTTTTATCATTGGAATTTTTGATTAAATAACCTATATTAGTCGAGTAGTCGTTACATGTGATTACTGTATCAGTGATATAATTAACATGGTTTTTTATTTTTTCTTAAACCTGGAAAGAGGTTAAGCGCCAATAATAAAATAAGACTTCCTATTAGTAAAATCCATTTAGCTAGCTACTAGCTACCGACAGATTGTGAGTGCGAAACAGACATAACACAGTAGATGAAAAATTGAAAAAGTAGTTAAAATAGTTATCTTCTTTTTGGAACCAGTTTTAACACGAAAAAGACACGAGTCATTGACCTATATAAGCTAGCCTATAATATTATACATTTATCACACTGTATACACAAGATTTAGTGGGAGAAGTTTAACAATAAATTAACACTAACTTTTTCCTGTGGATAACACAATAATTCGATTCTAGCAACTATGCCTGTCTAGTGTCTATTAGTCGCCAGTTTTAAAATAGTGCAATACAGTGAAAACATTTAAAAACAAATGCTTCATCTAATCTTTTTGGCAATTCTTCTAGCTACTTTTTAGTGGTAATTTCCGTCGGTGCCCATATTATATATGTTTATGCTATTAGTTAATTATGAATTGTACAAAATGCCCGATTTGTTGGTGGAGCCTTGTAGGCCATCGAATGCTTTCGAACAAATAATGGCCCATATATCGACCGACGAATATTTGTACTCCCATGAATACAACAATCTAGTTTCAAGTAAAATGTGTTCAAATTATTTTAGGATTTGTATCGTAGTTTTAAAAGTCTAAACCAATTGTATAATTACCTTTGTATTTTCCAGCTGCTTGGCTGGTTAAATATGGCAATTTTTGGCAACATCTTTATAGGAGCACTAGATCATGACCCGTGCTATACAGCACGGGATTTAATATTTTTTATGAATTAAATTGTATATTTTGTTCGAAGAAATAAGGAATAATTTAGTATAATAGTATAATATAAATGGGAATATATCATAATATTTTATATTTATTACTATTTGGATATAATGTTATATATTTTATTTGACTAAAGAAGGAGAGAATATTGTATTTTAGAATTTAATATATTTAGCAGCATTAGACTTGTATTTTTTTATATGAGATTAATAATTTATTTGGTTCAATTAGGAATTGATAATTTTATTGTGTGATTGTGAACAAACAAAAAAATAGTTGTATTGGGTCTAAGTTTTTTAATGGATTATATTGGGTTTGTGGGGCCTAGTTTCATGGTTTAAAAAAAGGAAAAAAAACGGTTTTAACATACCTTTGGAATTTGCTGATCTGTTCCTATTTGATGTCTGCTTGAATTTTGTTACCCTGTGATTAAAATAAGATGACTTAAAACTTACGGCACATATATTACAAAGAGAATTGTATAAAATTTCAATGGTACTTATAGGCTCATCTTTCAAAATCATTTCCAAAGATATGCCAGAACCTTTTGTAAAATGAATCCACGAATGAAATATACTAACTTGAATACAGCAAAAAGTCTTGACATGCTTCAAATTGTTAATAGGAGTGTAGGGACTAACCATAGCCATTTCTGCTGTATTTTTAATTGTAGGATATGAGAATGGTGCTGAGATGATTTCTGTGAGAAAGGTACGTCAAGCCTAAATGGATATTTATAGTTGTAGATTGTTTGTGATAATTAGGAGATTCAGAAATATATTAATTAACATAAAATAGTTAGATAATATTTTAGAAAGGTATATTCTAGATTATTTGGAATATAGGATCAAAATTATATAACAGAGAGATTTGACAATCTTTAGAAAAGATTTTAAGGAAACTGAATAGCTGATTATATTGATGCGTGATTAAACTAAACAAAAAACGTAAAACTAAACAAAAAACGATCTAAAATATAACAACTATTATAACTTATTTTTTTTTATAAAGGGTTTTAAGGAAACTGAATATATTCTCAAAGATTTTAGGAAAACTGAATATATTCTCAAAGATTACGAATTGCTTGAATACGAATTTATATCTAAACAAAATATAACAACCTAATATCTTTAAGATCTTTAAACTCGTTTTTCGTTATTTGACCCGTTTTTTAATTAATTTGTTAATGTTAGTGACATGAAATTAAAATGATTATGATTAGAGATATCTAATGGCATATATTATAATTTCTTACAAAATTTACGTTACGACTTATAGGATGTACTTCCCAAATAATAGTATAGGATTTGCCTTATTAGTTTGAATTGATTTTATTATTTACGAAATCTCCCTAATTAATTAATTACAAAATTATGTGATTATATTGTTTAGATAGTATAATTAAACCCGTCTGATGACCCAATGACCCGCGTAATTAAAAAATGAATATACTACCTAGACAATATAATCAACTGAAGTCAGAAACAAAGATTTAGGAAACTGAAAATATTGTATTGTTTAGCTTAATCAAAAACAATGAAATTGATGATAACAGATGTTTAGGAAACTGAAAATATTGTCAAAGATGATAACAGATGTTTAGGAAACTGAAAATATTGTCAAAGATTACGAATTGTAGTTGAAAATAAATTTTGTTTAGTTATAAGAACGTAGACACATTTTCAATTTTTAGTAACATTTTTAAAAAATGAAGAATTATATAACATTTTCAATTTATATAACATTTTCGAACTATATGGGTATTATAATTCAAAATAGCATTTTTTATTTTTTATAAATTGGATTGATATAAAATGTTTTCAATGATATATCATTTTCATTAACATTTTCAATGACATTTTTTATAAGATGTTCGAATAATAGATTACTATATAACAAATTGAATAACATTTTTAATTTTCAATAACATTTTCGAATAATATATTAGTATATTAGTATATAACATTTTTATATATTATATAAACAAAATCTTTTATGTATTATATAATATTTTTATGTATTATATAATCTCGAATATTGATTGGTATATAATATTCTCGAATTATATTAATTATGTATTATATAAACAAAATCTTTTAATATCTTTAAACCTGTTGACCCGTTGACCCGTTAATATATATTAGTGACATGTAATAAATTTTATGATTAGAATTATATAATGGCATATATTGTAATTTCTTACAAAATTTAAGTTATGATCCTTAGGATGTACTTCCCAAATATTAGTATAGGATATTTTATATTTTTGTTCACCTGTGGCTATCGTATATTAATTTTGATAGAAAGACTAACTTTGTACCATCCAAATAATGATTCGGTTATCATTTCGCCATCAAATAATCGATTTATACCTAATACTGCGGAGATAGAGACATTTTAACAATACTATTTACGATAATTCGGTAGAATATAGTAGTCTATGCATTGATGACATCGTCGGCTCTAATCAGCATTTATAATACTTATTAACATCATTATGGCATATTTATAATTTAATTTAGGCAACCAAAAAAACATAATTTGTAGGATTTTACACTTTTAAAATTATTTATAGAATGTTTTTTAAAATCATTTTATATTTTGAACACTATAAAATGATTAAGCCCCCAAAATGAAGAAAAAGGTTACGCCACCGACAAGATTTTTACCTTCTACATATTAAATGTTAAAACTCACAAAGAAACAAATTGTTTATCCAAAGTTGGTTTTGGAAAAGATACTGATCCAACGGTCACGGATTTGAATAACATTATTTTAATTAATACAACCAAATTATTCTTATGCAATGTATACCTACTTAGAAGCTTACACAGAAGAAAAAAAAAGCTTCTAAACTTTAGTTTTCTTTTTTCCCCATCATTATAATATTCACGTGTTACATACTAATAAGTTTGGATGTTTACAATAAATGATCCAATAATTAACAAAATAAATCTGATCCTCCAATCATAATAAAGTTTCGCATACTAAAGCAATATTTTATTTTCCTAAAACGACTTCTTTGATATATGGATTGGTTGGCGACGAATAATAAGATATGGGGTTTAATAATAGACAATAAAAACTTCAGGGGCTTTTTGGAAATTACAGCGTTGTAAAAATTCAACGACATTAATCTGGACCCGATCACGAGGACCCGGATCCGTATAGGTAAACAGTTTAGCTTTCACTATCCCATTTCCCCAGAACCACCTCTCAAAATTTTCGCAAGAACTTGTAAATATCTCAGTTTCGTTCACTCAATGACTCTGAATTGTAAATAAAAGCCCTTTTTTTTTGGGTATTTCTTCTTCATTTCACCAACTCTTGAAGGGTGGGACACAGTCCAGCTCCACCACCACCATAGCCATCGTCGTTTTCTCCGGGACCCACTTATTTCGTGACGTTTCTCTTTGTGTATGTACATACAATTGTTTCAATCTCAATTTGCTGTCCACATTTTAACACAACTCTATCTGGGGTTGTGTCTGAATCTCTTCTCTCTCATTCCTATTTATCTCAATCTATCTATCTATCACAAACCCCTGATTTCACATTGCTTTTGTCAGTCTGTAAAATTCTCTTGAATCAGTGAATCACTCACTTGATTCCAAAAGAGCTTTTTTCTTTTCTTTATTTGCTTGTTGTGGAATCTATAGCTGTCTCCGGAGAAAGTGAGACTCTTGGAAAATTTCGTTTTTTTTTTTTCCTTCGGGATCTCTTCTTTTCGTTTTATTTAATAATTATAAGGCGACCCAACATTTATTGTCGATTCGGTTTATTTCGTCTCATTCGTCTTCCTAGTGCATCTGTGCATGCTCTGAATCTGTGTGTAATGGGAGTTCAACAGTCTGGATCCATTATCCTAGCCGGGTCGGGTCAAGGTCTCTGAGCAAGAGAGACAATTCGTTTGATTCGGTGTAGAAGACATGAATACTGGTGGTCGGCTCATTGCTGGTTCTCACAACAGAAACGAATTCGTTCTGATTAACGCTGATGAGAGTGCAAGAGTAAGAAAATACTTCCTACAAAAGAAATTTCATTTTTCACACTTTTGTATGAATTTATAACGAAAAAAGATTATTTTTTTTTCTTTTTTTGGGATCTAGATTATGAGAATCTAGATGGAATTTTTTGATCTGAAATTGGAAGTTTCTAGGGAGTAATGCCGCAACCCACATGTTCTGTTTTTCTTTCTTGAAGTAGTGTTGCATGATTCATACGTGTCGGCAGAGATGTCCTGCGAACCGAATTCAATGTCGTAGCAGTAGCAATAAGTTCAAAGAAAGTCCCTTTTTTTTCTTGGTTTGTTTGAGCTGGTGTCTTTATTGCATTCCACCTGATTCAGATGGGATACTAATTACTAATAACTGTCTCAAGACTCTCAACTATGTAAAAATGACAACTTTATGAAATTCAGTTTCACAATTATGTAATTCATACTCTATGAATGTTTTTTTGAGTCTATATCATCTTTATGATTTGATAAAGATGCAATTTGATGATAAAAAGACTCATTATTTGTTCTCTTTTTCTATATAGATACGATCAGTACAAGAACTGAGTGGGCAAACATGTCAAATCTGTGGAGATGAAATCGAATTAACGGTCAGCGGTGAGCTCTTTGTTGCGTGCAATGAATGCGCATTCCCGGTTTGTAGGCCATGCTATGAGTATGAACGTAGAGAAGGAAATCAAGCTTGTCCTCAGTGCAAAACCCGTTACAAACGGATTAAAGGTAGTCCACGGGTTGATGGAGATGATGAAGAAGAAGAAGACATTGATGATCTTGAGTATGAGTTTAATCATGGGATGGACCCTGAACATGCCGCTGAAGCCGCGCTCTCTTCGCGCCTTAACACTGGTCGTGGTGGATTGGATTCAGCTCCACCTGGATCTCAGATTCCTCTCTTGACTTATTGTGATGAGGTGAAGAATCCAAATTGTTTGATTTCACTGAAAATGTTGTTGCTTTGATGATTCTTTTTCTTATAAGTAGTATATTTTTGTTTTTTCAGGATGCTGATATGTATTCTGATCGACATGCTCTTATCGTTCCTCCTTCAACGGGATATGGGAATCGAGTCTATCCTGCACCATTTACAGATTCTTCTGCACCTCGTATGTGTTTACTTTTATGATGCTTACAACTTTGTTCTTAGATGATTTATTCACCTTCTAATGAGTTATGAAATGGTTTTGTTTGTTGTTAACAGCACAGGCAAGATCAATGGTTCCTCAGAAAGATATTGCGGAATATGGATATGGAAGTGTTGCTTGGAAGGACCGTATGGAAGTTTGGAAGAGACGACAAGGGGAAAAGCTTCAAGTTATTAAGCATGAAGGAGGAAACGATGGTCGGGGTTTCAATAATGACGACGAACTGGATGATCCTGACATGCCCATGTAAGTTTAATGGTTTGTTAAAATCGAACAAAATGTCAGATGAAATCATGCTCTGAAATTTTTGTCTTCAATGGTTTTGTTTTCTTATTGTTGTTTTAACATTTTTGGTGCTACCTAAATCAGGATGGATGAAGGAAGACAACCTCTCTCAAGAAAGCTACCTATTCGTTCAAGCAGAATAAATCCCTACAGAATGTTAATTCTGTGTCGGCTCGCGATTCTTGGCCTTTTCTTTCATTATAGAATTCTCCATCCAGTCAATGATGCATATGGATTATGGTTAACGTCAGTTATATGCGAAATATGGTTCGCCGTATCTTGGATTCTTGATCAATTCCCTAAATGGTATCCTATAGAACGTGAAACATACCTCGATAGACTCTCTCTCAGGTAACATAAACATGAAAAGACTACTTCTTGTCTGCACATATTCATTTTTTACATTCCCAAAGATTTTGAAACTCTCTTTCTCTTACATTAGGTACGAGAAGGAAGGAAAACCGTCAGGATTAGCACCTGTTGATGTTTTTGTTAGTACAGTGGATCCGTTGAAAGAGCCACCGTTGATTACAGCAAACACAGTTCTTTCGATTCTAGCAGTTGATTATCCGGTGGATAAGGTTGCTTGTTATGTATCGGACGATGGTGCAGCGATGCTTACATTTGAAGCTCTCTCTGATACAGCTGAGTTTGCTAGAAAGTGGGTTCCTTTCTGTAAGAAGTTTAATATCGAGCCACGAGCTCCCGAGTGGTATTTTTCTCAGAAGATGGATTATTTGAAGAACAAAGTTCATCCTGCTTTTGTCAGGGAACGTCGTGCTATGAAGGTTTTCGTTGTTGCTTATTCTTTTTCTGCGTATATCCCATCATAAGAGTTCTGTTTTAAGAATTTGATTTACGTTTTTTGTTTGTTTGGTTGTTGCAGAGAGATTATGAGGAGTTTAAAGTGAAGATAAATGCATTGGTTGCTACAGCACAGAAAGTGCCTGAGGAAGGTTGGACTATGCAAGATGGAACTCCTTGGCCTGGAAATAACGTCCGTGACCATCCCGGAATGATTCAGGTAATGATGAGTTTGATCGAATATAGAAAAATGAAAGCGGTTTTTACCCTCTTCACTTTGTTTTTCTGGATCGGTTTTGGTTCGGTTAAATTGGAATGAACACTCTAGTTCTCAATATATCTTCAGCCAGAAGCCTTTTTAAGAGATTTTTAAAATGACAGGTGTTCTTGGGACACAGCGGAGTTCGTGATACAGATGGTAATGAGTTACCACGTCTAGTGTATGTTTCTCGTGAGAAGCGGCCTGGATTTGATCACCACAAAAAAGCTGGAGCTATGAATTCCTTGGTAAGGATAATGTTTTTCTTTATTTATTAATCTCTCTTTTCGCGTCCCTGAGTTCTCATAAACTAAAACTCATCTTACATCTCTCTTCTTGAAGATCAGAGTCTCTGCTGTTCTATCAAACGCTCCATACCTTCTTAATGTCGATTGTGATCACTACATCAACAACAGCAAAGCAATTAGAGAAGCTATGTGTTTCATGATGGATCCGCAATCCGGGAAGAAAGTTTGTTATGTTCAGTTTCCGCAGAGATTTGATGGGATTGATAGACATGATAGATACTCAAACCGTAACGTGGTGTTCTTTGATGTAGGTGTCCTTATGTCTTTGGCTTTGTTTCTGATTATGTTTTACTGCTCTTCCTCCTTTCTCATTTGATACTTTTTTGGTGTGAAAACAGATTAACATGAAAGGTCTTGATGGGATACAAGGACCGATTTATGTCGGGACAGGTTGTGTGTTTAGAAGACAAGCTCTTTATGGTTTTGATGCACCAAAGAAGAAGAAACCACCAGGCAAAACCTGTAACTGTTGGCCTAAATGGTGTTGTTTGTGTTGTGGGTTGAGAAAGAAGAGTAAAACGAAAGCTAAAGATAAGAAAAATAACACTAAAGAGACTTCAAAGCAGATTCATGCGCTAGAGAACGTCGAAGAAGGTGTTATCGTCCCAGGTAAAAAAAGGGAAAAGAAACAAAACATTTCTTATGTGGTTTCTATCTTGTTGAAAGTCTAAATAGCTGTTTTTGATTGTTAGTGTCAAATGTTGAGAAGAGATCTGAAGCAACACAGCTGAAATTGGAGAAGAAGTTTGGACAATCTCCGGTTTTCGTTGCCTCTGCTGTTCTACAGAACGGTGGAGTTCCCCGTAACGCAAGCCCCGCATGTTTGTTAAGAGAAGCCATTCAAGTTATTAGCTGCGGGTACGAAGATAAAACCGAATGGGGAAAAGAGGTAAAAAACATTACAAAGTTTTCTACTTTTAAAAACTACAAAAGTTCTTCTGATCTCATTCTAGCTAATAATTACTCGCAGATCGGGTGGATTTATGGATCGGTGACTGAAGATATTTTGACGGGTTTCAAGATGCATTGCCATGGATGGAGATCTGTGTACTGTATGCCTAAGCGTGCAGCTTTTAAAGGATCTGCTCCAATTAACTTGTCAGATCGTCTTCATCAAGTTCTACGTTGGGCTCTTGGCTCTGTAGAGATTTTCTTGAGCAGACATTGTCCGATATGGTATGGTTATGGTGGTGGTTTAAAATGGTTGGAGAGATTCTCTTACATCAACTCTGTTGTCTATCCTTGGACTTCACTTCCATTAATCGTCTACTGCTCTCTCCCGGCGGTTTGTTTACTCACAGGAAAATTCATCGTCCCCGAGGTACTATATCGATAACCTCTGCATTTTCAGTTTGGTTTGTTCAGTTTGGAGATTTTCTAAATGTTTTGTGTTTTGCTTCGACAGATAAGCAACTACGCAGGTATACTCTTCATGCTCATGTTCATATCCATAGCAGTAACTGGAATCCTCGAAATGCAATGGGGAGGTGTCGGAATCGACGATTGGTGGAGAAACGAGCAATTTTGGGTTATCGGAGGGGCCTCCTCGCATCTATTTGCTCTGTTTCAAGGCTTGCTAAAAGTTCTAGCTGGAGTTAACACGAATTTCACAGTCACCTCAAAAGCAGCAGACGATGGAGCTTTCTCTGAGCTTTACATTTTCAAGTGGACAACTCTGTTGATTCCTCCGACAACACTTCTGATCATAAACATCATCGGAGTTATTGTGGGCGTTTCTGATGCAATTAGCAATGGTTATGACTCATGGGGACCTCTCTTTGGGAGACTGTTCTTCGCTCTTTGGGTCATTGTTCATTTATACCCATTCCTCAAGGGAATGCTTGGGAAGCAAGACAAAATGCCTACGATTATTGTGGTTTGGTCTATTCTTTTAGCTTCGATCTTGACGCTCTTGTGGGTTAGAGTTAACCCGTTTGTGGCTAAAGGGGGACCAGTGTTGGAGATCTGTGGTCTGAATTGTGGAAACTAAGATTCTGAGTGAAGGAAGAGCAAAGGAGTTTGTGTTGGAGCTTTGGAAGCAAATGTGTCGATGATGATGATGTGTACTCTTTTGGTGGTAAGTTGGGTTGGGTGCAAGTGTGTTGTAGACAAAGATGTGCAGTTTTTACTTTTTACGAGTTTTTTAAACCTTTTTGGTTACCCCTAAATTAATTCTATTGTTATCGTGTTATACTACTATAGAGTTGTTTTGTTTTTCTTTTTCTACATATACTTTTAGTTATTCCCTAGTTATTGTATAATACTGATAAGGATCATATACACACACTTTGTTAATAATGGATTTTAGTGCTGTTTTATACTTTTTTTTTTGTAAATTAAAACTTGTGTTAAACTATCACTAGATCATCACCCGTACTAAAGTACGGGTTAAATTTTATTTATTATAAAATTTATATAATATATATATTAGAACTAAGTTTTAATATATTATAATAGTAAGGAAAAAATATAAATTTTTTTGTCAGTCCCTATATATAATATTAGAATAAATATAGATTTTTTTCTATAATACTCAATTGTGGATAATTTTTTTTTTAAGATATGTAAACAGAAAATATTTTTTTTTTTTTGTCAACAACAGAAAATAATTTTATTTTTTAAAAAGTAATATTTTTTGAACAATGAGTTAATTTATGTTAACAACCACAAAATAGGATTGCATATATTTCTGTTAGATCAAAAATTAAAATATCATAAATGAATCGCATATAAAAGATAGATTATTTTGAATTAATTAAGAAAATTAGCTATTATTTTGAATTAATTTAGAAAATTCTTTTTCAATTTATAATTCTTTGGTTGTTGAAATAGAGATTTGTTTGAGCTAATCTAATTACATAATTTGTTTGAGATTTATAATTACGGAATTTACCAATTATTCGCATAATCGAATATGTTATAAACATATATTTAGTATATAATAATACCAAAATCAATCCGTGCGTGGATTTTATATTTTTATTTTAGAATTTCAAAATTTCATTTTAAAATATTGTGTGCACAATCTATTATTCGTTAATTTTAAAATTGCTTGCGGAATCAAATTTTCAAATATTTAGAGGTGTCAAACCATATTTAAATGTTCTACACTATTTTTAAATATTCCAAATTAAAATCTTTAAAAAATATTTTTGTAGTTTATAAAATTATGAATTTCAAAAAACAAATTATCTGAAATTAAATATAACTATTCAAATAGTTATAAGGATCAAAACTCATTTCATTATATAATATATTATATTTAACCCGCTATCTATTATAAATATTTTTAAAAATAATCAAATTAGAGTATTTATAATTTTTAAGTTTTTGAACTATTAAGTATTGATGATATTCTCTAAAAATATCAAGTAAAACTTATTTTAAATATTGCAAATTAAAATATTTAAATTTTTATTGTAGTATATAAAATTATACATTTCAAAAAAATAAATGTATGAAATCGAATATAAATATTCAAATTATGACCCGTTCCACAGTCGGAATTTTTGTTGAATTTATTTTTATGTAAAAGAAATATATTACTCAAGTCTGAATTTTTAACCCGTTTAATTGTTTCTTTTATAGATTGAACAATTTATATGCGTTTTTAAAAATTCAAATTTTGGCATATGCAGAAAAAAATTACTTTTTTTTATTATGTAGATGATATGATGATTTATTTGTTTCATATAAATATAATCATATAAAGATGAGAGGTGAAGAATAATGATTAATAACAAATTAATATGGTAAATTAGATATCAAATCTCATATGTTCATTTTGATTGGTCATTTAAAAAATAATAATAACAGATTTTCGTTTTATAATTTAATTAAATTAATTAAATAACATAAATTAGTATTTTACTTGTTTATCCTTAATAAATTGAATTAAATTTGTTCTAAAATAAGCTTTTTGTAATGGCATTCTCATGTAATTTTTTACAAAAGAGAATGTTAGTTAAGGGTTTCTTATAAAGTGTACTCCCCAAATAATAGTATAGGATTTGTATAATTGTATTTAAATCCGTCTGTTGCGGTAATAAAACTGTTTTATAGAAGAAAAAAAAAAGTTAACGATTTGCAAAATTCCCGTAAAAAGTTAATTGTTCATATTCGATCGTATCGTAGATCATCAATTATGAAAAAATAAATGAAACGTTATGATTGAAAAAAACTTGTTACAGTAAAGTAAATAAGATTTACTAAACCTAATCGAACGGCTGCAAAGCCACCGCATGTCCAACATCGGATGATGCTGCGATTAAGATGAGAACACGTGGAATGAAGCAAAAGGGCCCCAAGACGTGTTTATTCCTTATCGAAACCGGATGCATGGACCCCACCAAATCGTATAATTGAAGTCAAACGCATCTCTCTTCAAAAAATGGAAATTTAGTAAAACCACTAAAACCCCATCAAATTAGTAACAGACAGATTCACAGGAGTCGTTGGATCAAGAAAATAAAAGATCTTAAAGTCGGTCAATAATTTTGACGGTTCAGGATCGTAATTAAAATACACCCGGTTTCACTGGATCAAGCATGGTTTATCAAGTTTTTTAATATTCTTATATTTCTCTGAAAGTTGCAAATTTTTCCGAATACACGTTCTTCTTGCAAACCGACATTGTAGTTTCCTTTTTTTCCCATGGTTTAATAGCTTTTTTTTTTGCTCATATATAAAAGACGACAAAACAAAACGATACAACAAAAAGAAAAAAAAAAACACAACGATACACGTAAACGTGATCAGAGTGGTCAAAAGGAGACAAGATAAATTCGATCGAGAGAATCAATTATTCGTAAATGATCAATCAAATGGAGACGGAGATTGGTTTTTCTGGAGAATCAGAGATTGCGTTTTCGGAAACGGAGATGGAGGCGGCGGAGCAGCTAGTGCAGCTGAGCGAAGAGGATACGTTTAGCTGTAGCAGCGGCGGCACCGGCTGGAGCGTTTCCGGTTACGACGGTTGTGAATGGAAAGGACAAGGCAATAATACTAAGAGACAAGAAGATGTTAGTTCGAAGGTTAGAGATCATATTGTCGGAAAGGAGCAAAACGACGGCGTGTGTAGGAATAAGAACGTTACGAACGGACAGAGTTTTATGAAGACGATCATGGAGACGAAGACAAGGATAAATAAGAAGAAGAAGTTTCGGTCTCTCACGAGCATCTACCGAGCGACGAAGGAGATGACGAGAGATTAGTTGATTAGTCGAAGGAATGATGGATAATTATGTTTTAATGACGTTTGTTAAAAGCGTGTGTTAATTACTACAGTATATGTCATCGTTTTCAATGGTTTTGTATGTAATATAGTAGTATCTATATTAGCGTTGAACCGGGAGAAGGTGCTAGAAGAATTGTGAAGCTTTGCAATAATTTTAACAGAAATTTGTTTGACAACTTTTAATTTGATCATTAATGGTCCTGTTATAAATTAAGGTAGACGTAAATGCATTTTGAAATTACATCGATAGTTCCAACTATTTTTTTTCCCCTAACAATTGTGTTCAATGTTGATACTACAGATACCAACTTTTTCTTTCCATATAAGAACCAAAATTCATGGACCATGATAAAAGAAATATGGAGTTTGCGAAGAGGCAGATATTTCTTAAAGAAATATATTTAAAGCGGTTACATGATTAAAATCGCAATCTCAATTCTCAAAGCTTTGAGTTTGATCTTATAATGTCAACTGGTGATTTAACTCGCATGCATACAATCTTACAATCTTGTATGGATTCTCACATATTATAGTGTTCAACCTTAGTATAATAAGTTTTTTAATTTATACCTACATGGCTACATAATATCATGTTTAACTCATACACTAATCTTTTATGGATTCTCAGTTTCTCACACCATTTATCTAGAAGGCTAGTATAATTAATAACTAACAAAGAATAACAAGTCACATCTTCCTACTACAGAATATAATAAACAGAATATATCCCATAATCCTATTGTTCATCAAATATTATCATATTTAGTTAATTCATAAAAAAATAGTTATTAAAAATTTAAAACCATCACTATCATATATTTACATATAAATCTTTGTTATATGTAGCGTCTAAATTTCATAATTAATTCATTCTTAAAGATTAGAAAATAATAATATTCACATTTGATGCCCTAATTTTAATTGCTACAATTTTTGATTGAAACGTTAAAATTTATAATATGGGCCCATGCGAACATCACGGACGCTTCATGTGATGGGCCCACATTCAAGCAGGTAAACGCTCCAACCTCCAAGTTTTAAAAGTCACTTTGCTTCAAAGCCTTACGGATTCTTCTTGCGGAAGCTGGCGGGAAAATCTGAAACATTTTCGCGGGGAGATAAAGAAGTCAAAACTTCGGCTATTAAAGAATAAAAAAAACCCAAGGAGATCACAGAAGAAACCCTATAATCTTGAAACACAAAGGAAATCAAACGCCTAACAAGTGTTCGATAGAATTCCTCAGAGAGCAAAAAATGTACGTTGTGAAGCGTGACGGTAAGCAGGAAACTGTTCACTTCGACAAAATCACTGCGCGCCTGAAGAAACTTAGCTATGGTCTTAGTATCGATCACTGTGACCCTGTCCTTGTCGCTCAGAAAGTCTGTGCCGGTGTCTACAAAGGCGTCACCACGAGTCAACTCGACGAGTTAGCCGCCGAGACTGCTGCTGCTATGACAGCCAATCATCCTGATTACGCTTCCGTGAGTTTTCCCCTTTTTATTTGCTTCTGTTTCGTATTTACGTTTTGATATCTATCGAGATTCGAAATTTCCCATGTTGAATTATATAGAGTGATGAAATTGTTGCTTGATCTGATTGATGTTGCGATCCTTGATTGTTCTGGATAATAATTTAACATGTTTCAATGTTTATATTACTCAGCTTGCGGCTAGGATTGCTGTATCCAATCTCCATAAGAACACTAAGAAATCATTTTCTGAAACGTGAGTCTTCTCTTGATCTATAAACATTTGTCTCGATGTATCAGTGACTATGGATTCATATGTGTTGACTTTGATGGAATCTTCAGGGTTAGAGACATGTACAGTCATGTCAATGAGAGATCTGGACTTGCGTCTCCTCTAATTGCTGATGATGTATACGAGATAATTATGAAGGTAAAATAGCGTAATTGTGTTATAATTCTTCTATCTTGTGATGGAAATTGTGATTTTGAAAATCTCTCATCTCTTGTTAAATTGTGTTTCCTTTGGTTAATTTCAGCATGCTTCTCGTCTGGACAGTGAAATCATCTATGATCGCGATTTTGAATATGATTACTTTGGATTTAAAACGCTTGAGAGATCATACCTCTTAAAAGTGCAAGGCAAAGTGGTTGAAAGGCCTCAACACATGCTGATGAGGGTTTCTGTTGGCATCCACAAGGAAGATATAGATTCCGCTATCAAAACTTACCATTTAATGTCTCAGCGATGGTTCACTCATGCATCTCCTACTCTCTTCAATTCAGGAACTCCAAGCGCTCAAGTAATGTACCTATAAGCTATAATGATGTTAAACCAGACCCGTACGTGCATCTGCAATTCTTTTACTGATGTGCTGTTGTAAATGTTTGAATATGCAGTTAAGTAGCTGCTTTCTGATCTGCATGAAGGATGATAGCATCGAGGGGATATATGACACATTGAAAGAGTGTGCTGTTATAAGCAAATCGGCTGGGGGCATTGGTGTTTCAGTTCACAACATCCGTGCAACTGGAAGCTACATTCGTGGTACCAATGGAGCATCTAATGGTATTGTTCCAATGCTGAGGGTATTCAATGATACTGCTCGTTATGTTGACCAAGGAGGAGGCAAGAGAAAAGGTATACATTTCAGGATACTTTACTCTTATTGTCATGATTGTCTGTGAAGTAATTATAGTTTAGATTGTCTTACGTATATTTTTCGCAATTGGTGAAGGTGCCTTTGCCGTATACCTGGAGCCCTGGCATGCTGACATTTTTGACTTTCTGGAACTCCGTAAGAATCATGGAAAGGTACAGTTACACCAAGAAAATATTACTCATTATAATACATGAGATAGCTCACAATATACTTTTTTCCATTCCAGGAGGAACATAGGGCTAGAGACTTGTTTTATGGTCTTTGGATACCCGATCTTTTCATGGAGAGGGTCGAGACTAATGGGCAGTGGTCACTGTTTTGTCCTAATGAAGCTCCAGGTTTGGCAGATTGTTGGGGTGCAGAGTTTGAGAGATTGTACACTCAGTACGAGAATCAGGTGAATGATTCATCTTTTGGAAATACTGCTTCCTTTTGAATTCCTGTTATCTTAATACCAGTCATGAAGCATCTCTGTTTGTATCTTTAGGGAAAGGCCAAGAAGGTTGTCCAGGCACAGCAGCTTTGGTATGAAATCTTGACATCCCAAGTAGAAACAGGGACACCATACATGCTTTTCAAGGTAAGAAATGTAGGATAAACCAAACTAAGAGGTTAATGCTCAAATGAGCTTTATTAACATAGAAATCTAAAACTGAAAATAAGATAGCTCATAGAGCTTTATTGAATGCAAGAAATATAAAAGAGAGAAAGAGATTTATGTTGTCACCAAGAGCACTATGATTTAAGATTGATGTTTCATAAATGGGAAGAAGGAGAGTTGTCTCTACAACTCTCAAAGTTTTATCACTTGCTCACATAACAATCCTATTTATATCACTTTCTAAGGAAACCCTAAGATACATGGGCTTGCATAACACATTGGGTTTGGCTTGGACTTATGTTTGGCTTCTACCTTGTATGGTCTTATAAGAAACAGTTACAATTTTGTGGCCACTCCGTACAGACATATTTTTTGTGGTTCACATTTTTGATTTTTGAATTTCTTCTGTAGGATTCATGTAACAGGAAAAGCAATCAACAAAATCTGGGTACCATCAAGTCTTCCAATTTATGCACCGAAATCATTGAATACACAAGTCCAACAGAAACGGCTGTGTGTAATCTTGCATCTATTGCTTTACCCCGGTTTGTAAGGGAGAATGTGAGTCAAAAAGTGTTCTCAGATTTTGATTTTGTTTGGTCACTTTTTAGTGCATAACTCTTGATATTTCTTACATCTCACAACAGGACATCCCCTTGGACGCACATCCGTCTAAGATTGTAGGCAGTTTGGGCTCAAAGAATCGTTACTTTGATTTCGACAAGTTAGCAGAGGTCAGGACTTAGTTACTTGGTTCATTTTGCTAGCTTTCAATGTCTGTGCAATTTGATATGGACTTCATCTTTTTACTATTTTTCGTCAGGTGACTGCCACTGTGACTGTTAATCTTAACAAGATTATAGATGTGAATCATTATCCAGTGGAGACTGCAAAAACCTCAAACATGCGACATAGGCCTATCGGTATTGGTATACAAGGTCTTGCAGATGCATTTATCCTTCTCGGAATGCCATTTGATTCCCCTGAGGTAAACTTACTCAGCATAAGTTGATCAACTTTTTAAAGTAGTTTGATCTATTTCCTGAAAAAGTTATTTGGAATGAATCCCAGGCTCAACAACTGAACAAAGACATATTTGAAACCATATACTACCATGCACTCAAGTCATCTTCAGAGATTGCTACTAAGGAGGGTACATATGAAACTTACCAAGGAAGTCCTGTGAGTAAGGTATGCATCACAACCAGCAATCCTTTCGAGATATGTACAATGTTGTCATAAATTCTTGTTCCTAATTGCTTGGTTTGTGGATCTACTTTCAGGGAATTCTTCAACCTGATATGTGGAATGTAATTCCATCAGATCGCTGGGACTGGGCCACTCTCAGGGATACGATTTCAAAGAATGGAATCAGAAATTCTCTTCTGGTGGCACCAATGCCAACTGCTTCAACCAGCCAGATTCTTGGGAACAATGAATGTTTTGAACCTTATACCTCAAACATTTACAGTCGTAGAGTCTTAAGGTATGTTCTTCAAGCAAATAAAATAGCTCCAGAAAGTTATGTTTCTGGCTTAATCATTGGTCTTGTGTTTTCAGTGGTGAATTCGTAGTAGTGAACAAGCATCTTCTTCATGACTTGACTGATATGGGACTCTGGTCTCCTACACTGAAAAACAAGATAATACATGAGAATGGTTCTATCGTGAATGTCAAGGAGATACCTGACGACTTGAAAGCGATTTACAGGTATAGAACTTCCTTATTTTTTATGCCATCATTAATCTGTGTTCATAAAATTTAACCTGTGTGCCCTCTTGCAAAATGACTCAGGACTGTCTGGGAGATTAAGCAGAGAACAGTGGTTGACATGGCCGCCGATCGTGGATGCTTTATAGATCAAAGCCAAAGTTTGAATATACACATGGAAAAGCCAAACTTTGCAAAACTAACTTCTTTACACTTCTACGCTTGGAAAAAGGTAAAAATTTATCTTAACTCTTAAAATGGTCGGTATGATTGCACTTGTAAGTATGAATGTTTATTTTATGTTTTATTATTTGCATCGCTTGTATAACCTGATCTATACATGAAACTCACTTCCTCATACTTAGTCTTGATTTGTGGAAAAACCCAATCTCACAATTGTTATTGTTGTCAATACTAACAGGGTCTGAAAACGGGAATGTACTACCTGCGATCACGTGCTGCAGCCGATGCGATAAAGTTCACAGTAGACACAGCAATGCTAAAGGTAAAACAACACTTTTGTGTCACTGTGATTCTCTAGTTACTTAGACAGCGAAATTTACATTTACCTGTGAATTCTGTTTGGTTGTGTAGGAGAAGCCTAAGGTAACTGAGGACGAAGAAGCAACAGAAGAAGACAACGAGACAAAGATGGCACAGATGGTTTGCTCTTTGACAAACCGTGAGGAGTGTCTCTCCTGTGGAAGTTAAAAACAACAAAAACAATAGAAGGAACCAACAAAACTCTTAAAAGCTGATCCAAAATAAAGTGCGAGTCTCTTTTACATTAGTGCCTTTCTTTTGTATAGAGTAAATTAAGTATAGTGTCGTCCAAGTCTTTAAGATTATCATGTTATCGGGGTGTGTAATATATGTTAAGAAATCTCTTTCTGTTCGAATAAAGAGGTTGACGATCGTTTGAGTTTGTGTAACAATTAACAAACATGTTGTTCAAGGTATCTATTTATTTATGAGTTTGTTATAAGCCCATTTTGATACCCAAATTTTATGGACCAAACCTAAAAATCAATAAAGCCCATTACTTACTGTAAACATCTCGATTGTTCTTCTACTGACGCACCGAAACAAAAAAAAAAGAGAAAAAGGAAATAAAAAACGATAGATCTCCACCGTTTGATCGTGTCAGGGAGAACAAAACCCTAATCATCGGACGCCTCTTCTCTCTCATTATATAAAGACCTCAGCCTCCAATTCTTCATAATCGGAGTCTCTGTAACCTATTCGTCATCTCTCCGCTTTAATCTCAGCGATTTTTGCCATCGTCTATTCTATCTTTCTTGTTAATTTAGTCATTGTAGCATTCGTTAGAGTTTTCTTATTAGTGATTTGATTTAGGTTAATGATGATAAATCCAAAGGCTTGTTTCTCAAAGATTCGCAGTGGCCGCCTAAGAGCTTTCGCCTTTCGCCAGGCTTGAGAGTTAATGCTGCTTTATCCTTCCTTGGATGTCTGAAACCTTTTTAATCTAAGCTTGCGTTGTTTTGTTTTCTTATTAGGGTTTTAGATTTGGGACTGAGTTTTTCAATGTCCCATTAGCAGAATTGATTTTCTTAGTGCTTAATAGGATTGAACAAAGTCCCTCAAATCTTGATCCATCTGTCACTTTGTCAGCAGTCTTTAACTGGTTTCTTGCTGATCATTATATGATGGGAAATACATAGTATCTCGATTTTGATTTCTTTAGTTGAATTGTTATATATATTGGTCGATGAGGATAAGATTTAAGGCTTGTTTCTCAAAACATTCGCAGTGGCCGCCTAAGGCTTTCGCCTTTCGCCGGGCTTGAGAGCTTATGATGTTGTTATCCTTCCTTGGATGTCTGAGACCAATACTAAATCATTGTTTTAATTGTTTGATTTGTGTTCTATGTTGTTTGTTTGTTTTTCGGTTAATGAGGATTATATTAAGGCTTGTTTCTCAAAACATTCGCAGTGGCCGCCTAAAGCTTTCGCCTTTCGCCAGGCTTGAGAGCTAATGCAGCTTTTATCCTTCCTTGGATGTCTGAAACCGATCAATGTCATAATTCTTGTTTTAAAGTTTTTGTGTTCAAGAAAGATCAATGATGATAAACTTAAGGCTTGTTTCTCAAAACATTCGCAGTGGCCGCCTAAAGCTTTCGCCTTTCGCCAGGCTTGAGAGCTAATGCAGCTTTTATCCTTCCTTGGATGTCTGAAACCGATCAATGTTATATTTCTTGTTTTAAAGTTTTTGTGTTCGAGAAAGATCAATGATGATAAACTTAAGGCTTGTTTCTCAAAACATTCGCAGTTGCCGTCTAAAGCTTTCGCCTTTCGCCGGGCTTGAGAGCTAATGCAGCTTTTATCCTTCCTTGGATGTCTGAGATCTTTATTCAATCTATTGATTAATTTTTCTTAATTGGGTTTGTTCGTGTATATTTTTATGTTCTATTTTTTCTGTGTTGAATTTTGCAGGTAATTTCTTGGTGATAGCTTCATCGCTTTACTGGAATTTGGATAAAGAGTTCTTTCATGGTTTCTTGTAGTTGTTTTTATTATGTAAAATCAGTGTCTGGTTTATCTATCGTTGTATGTTGTAAACTATTTGGTACATTGGTAATGAAATAGTGATTCGCTTATTTATGAATTTTAGTTGATGAAGACAATGATTTGCTTATTTATGAATTTTCAAAGCTAATGACGGAAATTTTGGTTGAGCTTCAAAGAATCAATGGTAGATCTCTGAAAGCAATCTCTTACAAATTTCAACAAATCAAACTCTTGTAGACTGATAAAATCACACTAACCGTTGAAATTCATGTTTATGAATTACAATTATTAGAAAAAATAGTTGTATTTGCCATATAAATAAACTAAAAAGATAATTATTCTTAAATCGTTCAGACGACTTAATCCGGACCTAATTCACTTGGTCTATTGGCCGCCGACCTTGTCTGGTTGGTCGGGATCTTAGTACGGCGAATTTAATTCCACCGAACAAACCGGAGGGTTAGGTTTCTCAATCTTTAGTCAGTAAGACGGAATGAGTTAGAGAGGGAGAGATATAGGCGATTATAACTCTCCCTGTTATTTTGAACATGGTTTCTCGTAGAGGTTCTTCCGACACAAAGGCGATTGTGTGTATCTTCACAGATAGAATTAGGATCTCCAACAACTGGGTTTCGCATTTGTCTTTCGCTGGTCTACTTGGTGCTGCTGGTTTTGTATTTGCCCAACAACACGGTCTATTCCGCAACTTAAACAACCTCAATCTCTTCTCCGGTAAAGAAAAAGACGCCGGAGACGATTCTTTTCTCGTACCGGGCCTTCAAAATCTCGGGAATAACTGTTTCCTCAACGTCATCCTCCAGGTAATGCTTTGTATTCGTTCTTCTTTGAGTTTGCTTGTGATCTTTTTTTGTTGAACAGTTTTGATTGTGAATTTGACTTTCAGGCTCTCGCTAGCTGCAAAGATTTTCGGAGTTTTCTTCAATGGGTTTTAGAGGATGCGAGAGATTCCGTAGCAGGAGAACTAGAGGAACAGCTTCCTCTTACTTATGCTTTGTCTGCTTTACTACAAGGTATTATTCCTAATTTTGTATCTTTATCTTGTGTTGAAAATTGATAATGAGAGTTATCTTTTGTGAATTGTTACCATCAGAGCTCTGCACAGTTGGAAGTAGACGATCTGTGTCTAGCCCTCGTAAAGTTATGGTGGCATTGACAGATTATGCCACAAATTTCAATTTGACAAGCCAACAGGTTAATTTTCTATTTCTATTAGTAGACCAAAGGATTCTTGTGTTGGTGGTCGTATTCTATGAGCTAATGATCTTGTTGAAACATAGGATGCAGCAGAAGCCCTTCTTCATCTTATTTCTTCTTTGCAAGAAGAGATTGTAGTTTGTTATCGTCCTAGCCAAAGTAGTAATCTTTCGGATATACTTTTCTCTCGCAACTTGAGAATGCTTGCACCTAGTGAAGGCCTCCATGGTTTGATGGAGCTCAAGAGATGGCATAAACATTTGCGTGGACCATTTGATGGGATTCTCGGTAGTACGTTGATGTGCCGAACTTGTTCTTCTCAGGTAATTGGGATTAGATTTCTCAATCTCACCACTAAAGTGGCTCTTGCTATTGCTCAATCTCATCAGTAAACATTTACCTATTTGAATTTCTTGTTTTCTGCAGATTTCGTTGGAGTTTCAGTTTTTTCATACTCTGCCTCTTTCTCCTTTACTCCATAACGGTGGTTACAACATTGTATGTTACGGAAGGTTCATTCTCTTATTGCTATATTATTTTGCTTCTGTGTATATGAAACTTCTCCAGAAATAAAAGAATTCTCAGTAGGTTTTTCCTTTTGGAATGCTCTTAGATGTTTGGATGCACTTTGGAGAATTGCTTGAACAAGTTTCTCGATGCTGAGAAAGTCGAAAACTACTTCTGCTATAGATGCTGGCATGGTGCTGCACTGAAATATTTATCTGTGATAGGAGCAGCTGAGGTAGTTAATCTCTCAGCTTTAATCGTTATTGTACATGCTTCTCAACTCCATCTGACCCGTGTGTACTTGAAACGGTTTCAATCAGATAGATATCGAAAAGGTCAGGAGCTGTGGCGGAGAGGACCAATGTGACTGTAAAACTTCTCATCATCTTCAAAGAATGCCTTGGTCAAACAGCTATTCCCATATATTGAAACAGTTAATCATCGCCCGTTTCCCAAAGGTATTTACTTACTCATTGAAACTAGACCTGAAATTAAAGTCGAATCCATTATAATATCATTATCTCTTTTCTTCTGAGTCCCATTTTGACCCTCTCTAGCTAAATTGTTACAGCTCCTATGCATTCAAGTGCAACGCGCTTCATTTAACATGTTTGAAGAATTCAAACTATCGGTAGGAGTCTTGTTATCTCTCTTTCCTGTCTACATTTCATGTCCCAAGTTCTAGTTTCTATTCCTTCTAATCTCAGTTTATCTGTATAGGGACATATCGCATTTCCGCTTGTCTTAGACCTCTCCTTGTTCACACCAACTTCAATAGGCTTAAACATAGAAGAAAGGATTGAGATGTCGGCAGAGGACCAAAAGCCAGAAGCATCAAGAAAGCACGGCATGTACAGGCTTGTGACGGTGGTGGAACATTTTGGTAGAACCGGAAGCGGGCATTACACTGTTTATAGAAGTGTGAGAGTGTCATCACAAGAGGAAGAAGAAGATTGTGAGGAATTGAGCTGGTTTAGTATATCTGATTCAGAAGTTTGCAGAGTTTCAGAGAGTGATGTTCTTGGTGCTGAAGCTAGCTTGCTCTTCTACGAAAGGCTTTGATTATTCATTGGATTGATCAATTATTCATTGGGTTGATGTTCTTGGTCCTTAACAAATTGTAAAACTAGTTTGTGTTTTTTCTTTCGTTTGTCCCAAAAAAAAAGAAAAAACAAACAAACATACAAAAAGTGACGACAGAAAGGGAAGAAATAAATATCAATCAAAGGGAAATATAGTTAAAAAAAAATGAAAACATTGTGAATAACCAAAAATATAGTTAAAAATAGTTTACCCAATAAAATAAAAAAACATTAGCAAAAAAACCAAGAAGTAAAAAACATTTTCTAATTTGAAAAAATACTTTTGAAATGAAAACATTTTGCATAATCAAAAATATAATAGTTTACATAATAAAAATATATGTAAAAAAACCATAAAAATTAATCTAAATGTAAAATTTACTTGTGTGAAAAGTGGTTGAACTAATAACACCTCTTACGGATCCGTCGGATGAGACGAGATGCTTAGTCCGGTTTGTTTTCAATGCATTGAAATTTTATAAATCAAATTAGAAATATTAGGTGAAATTGGTGAATAGATGAATCAGATGAAAACCAAATGTTATTATTTTCTTATTAAACTACAAAGACATTTAGGACTCGTTCATTTATTCAATTTGTTGTAACTAATATTTCCTCATATTGATGGAAATTGGAATAGCATAAAAGAAAAGTTCGTAAAAGATTTCTTTTAAATACTCAACTTAGTATTGAAGTTTTTAGAGTTATGCAATATTATAGACAAAGTCTTTGTTACAAGCTTAAAATTTAGCAGACCTTAATGAACACAAATGCTGTAACATGTTGTATTTTGCAGAGCACACGCATGTAAAAAGGCTTGCCAGAGACATAAGGTGAAGAAGATCAAAAAGCATATTTACACACTGATGATTTGTTCAGACATGTACTTCATTGTAGTTACCCTTCTGACGATTTGTGAGAGACCAAATCCTCTTTATTTCAAAATGATCTTCAGGTTCTATGAAACATGCTTAGTATTTACCTTTCCTATCAATAAAAACAACACGCAGAAAGTGTTTGTGTGACAATCTGTTGCATTTATTGTAAGATAAAAAAAAAAAAAGATACTTGTTGTCTTTAGGATGTAGTATTAATTACTTGTACTTACCTGTGGAATAATTATTGTTCATGAGTTTCAATGCTTTTGAAGCTTTCTTTTCTTTTATAAAGGCTCCATTTCCTGCAAATCTTTTACTACAGCACCAAAGCTTACGCTGTCTCCATTAGCAAACTTTCGGGATGAAGATAAGCCGAAATCAAATGGTCCCCGTGATTCAGCCTGCGTTTAGGAAAATCTGATGTCAAATTTCAAATCCAAATGGTAAAACATATCTCAACTTATTTGGCCAACTCGTGTATTTTGTTATAGCTAACATATGTTCTTCGAAAAATGTGAGGCAGAGACCACACAGTTGGAAGAACTCTTACTTACCCACTTGATTCCTGATAACCCGAGGCTGCTGTCTTGATTAAACACCGAGGAACCCAATAATGGTTTTGCGGGGTTCGATTCATCTTTCTGTTGCTCCTTCTCAGCTTCTCCACTTACCTGCCAAATTTTCAAATCCCATGACCATGAGTTGCAAGTTCTAAACTTCTGACAATAGTAATATCAGACATGTTTAGTGATAAAATAAACTAAATACACTGGCATAACTTGAGAAACATTTAACCTGGTCGTGAACCTTTGGTATTATTGTGGTACGCTTTCGAAATGAAAATGCATGGCATGTATCTTCTGCATCAAGTATAGACGAATGTGACGGCTCAGGAAGAGGAGCAGGGCAAGGAGCTCGAGTTTGGTTCACGAGGAAAGCATCTAATGAATCAGAGATTAGATGTAATGGTGGTTGTTTGATAGCTCTCCTTGTTTCCCAAGTTTTGTTACAGTCACTAAACCTTCCCTCTCCTAGAGAAGATGCTTCGGAAAGTAAGCCTCCTATACTTCCAATTGTCTGACCATCATTATTATTATGAGCTGGTTCCTGTTCATGGTTCATATGACGTCTGTCTTGTAAAGAAGCCTCGGAAAACAGACCTCCAATGCTTATGTTAGTAAGATTGTCTTCCCAGAGAGTTGCGTTTGCATTCCCTGCGTTTGAATTTATACAATGATTTCCAAAGTTTCCCTTCAATGATACTTCTGAAAGCAAGCCACCAATACTTAGGCTTGTTAATCCATCATCCCAAAAAAGCAATGTCGGACCAGATCCATTGTTTATCTTATTCTCCTGGATAAACAAAAGTAGTCATGATCCCTGGTATACTGTGATATATGATTTGAATCCAAAACAAGAGAAAAAGAAAACATTTTTCACTAAGCATACCGTTGACTCAACTTGTCCATCAGGCGGTAAGTTTTCCAAGGGAGGTGTGTCAGTCACTTGATTTGGAGAGGACAGCATTGTCAATGGGTTCTCTGAACCAAACATCTGCTTTCCCATACCTGGAGTTGAAGGAGATGGCGGTTCATTGTTTTTATTTTCAGTCGCAGAGGACCACCCATACCTAAACGAAATAACAAGACTCATAACACGTGTCAACGCTTAGAAAGTTGCTTCAAAAGGTATATAGATGCAAACCTTAAGCGGAAAAGAAATGGAGCTCCAATAGCTTCATAGACATCGCCTGTAGTGATGTTGCTGTTTGCTACCCATTTATGACCAGAAGCAAGTACCGATTTATCATAAGGGTACAACGTGGGATCTCCCCGAGCAATCTCTGAGCTGCCCCACTTACTGTGAATGCGTTGAAGCACTGACGAAATCTTCTTCCGTGAGCTAAGAGTGAGTTCTAAGTATGGGTGTAAGCCATCCTATAGAGTAACAAAAAAATAATAAATTGAACTCTTCACCAGAATATATACTTAGTGCAAGACTTGTGATCAGATCTTAAGCTCTACCTTTTCCAATCCTTCACGGGTATGAGCATCCAAAGGAAAGAGCTGCAACTTCATTTTTCCAGAACGTTGAACCTCTTTGCTCGAATGGAGATCAAGGACAGGTACTTTTTGAGTTTGGTCTTCGGTATGTAACAGCCTTTGATCTTGAGAAGATGGAGGCTTAGCTGAACATTGAGAAGGGGTTTTCTCCTCTCTTCCACTATTATGTTTTCCTGATATATGAAAAATCCAATTACAATTGCCAAAATATCGTAGATAACAATTTAAGACTCTGAGCTAAGCTCTACGAAGATATATTATGATATTTAGTGGTAAACGCCTTCTATCAAGGGAAAATTATTAAGAAGGTTCAATAAACTATTACCAGATTGATGGAATTTCTTAGTAGTTGTTTTCATACACTTCTTGGCTCTGGTTAATTTTCCTCTCGCTTTGATCTCCTTTGAGGGCTCCGTTGCAGTTTCAGTCTTCTTTCTAGCCATTCTGAAAAAGAAAAAAAAAGAATTCGGTATCAAAATTCAGAGTCCAATCATTCTTTTCTCCATACTATTTCACAGAGTTTCATAGAAAAACCTCCAATCATACAGATTCAAACCCTAGAAATCCAAGTGTCTCACAGATCTAGATTCATCCGAACGAAACTTAAAAACAAGCTCAATTACTCATACAAATAAATCCATACTTATTAATCAAACACGATTTCAGTCGTAGAAATATCAAACTTTAATATCCCGACATAAACCTAGAAACTCATACGCGTTTTAAATCTCAGCTTATCCAATACCGAATGAAACTTATAGACTAATTAAACTCGAATTTGAGAAAAACAAACACGGCAATAGTCAAATTATTAAGTTCTTCGGAAGATTTTATGAAAAATTCAAAATCAAAATATCCGACTCATGCTGATCGGAACCCTAGAAATCCAGCCAAACCTAGATGATTCAACCAAACGAAAAATTCATAGCATGAAAAATCAATCAGACATGAATAAATTCAAATTGAGACCAGCAATCACACTTAGATTTACAATCTATAGAACAAATCTTACGGAAACGTCTCCAATCAAGCAACAGATAAACGATCGGTGGAGAGAAGTCAATATAAGCAACGAAATTGCTCAAAATTAAAAAAAAAAAAAAGATCACTGAGAGATGATTGCACATGGTTAAAAATCACCGATCTAGTCTAAGACGCGAGGGAAAAAGCTTACTAAACGAGAGAAGACGGAGCTAGGAGACGAAGATCTTCGAGAAGAGAAGGACGAATCAGAAGAAAATCTCCGAGAGAGCAGAGAGGAGTGAAATAACCAGGCGGGAATTTTTTCGACGAAAATTTGTTAGAAATAAAATTCTCCCTCCATTGGCTTTTCCAAGTATCCCGAAATTTTCTTTTAGGGGTAAAATTCCTCGATTGTGGCGGTTGCCTTGTATTTGGGCCCAAATGCGTGGCCCATTAGTTTTGTCTTAGTCCACTATTTTTATCTTAGGCTAAATGCCGGAGATACTGTATATGGCCTAGTCCCCTATTGGTTAATAAATAAATATAATCTTAATAAAGTATATTTAATGACAATGCTGCTTCACACTGTGACGTACGAAGAAGGATAATAAAATGTCAAAACAGGAAATTAATTTGAAGATATAGCAAAGTCATATGAGTTTCTTTCGCCATAAATTATGTAAGGTTTTAAAAATTGAACTCTCTTCTCGAAGTGTCTTCTTCTCTTTCTGAAATTGATTTCTGCCAAGTACCAGTACGACGTCATTTTCAAAAATCATATTCATAATCATGGCTTTTGTTTTGTTTTTGTTTTTATACGATTTATTCAATAGGAATCAAATACACTTGGTTGCAAATCATTTCAAGTTTTCAAGTAACAATCATATAGTTTCTTTTGCCAACCAATCATAGTCTAACTATATATCAAATTTAGTCTGAAAATAAGTAATAGATAAGAACATAATCTCAAAAGCCTCGGATCAATGATAATCATTTTGACAGAATTTGTAGGAATCAATTAGCACTTCTTAACTTTTGATATAGCACTTTCATTAGTTCCATAATCTAGCTAGTGATCATACGGAATCCACCACTATATATGATGTAATAATATGTGTCAAAACTGTAAAATTAGATAGAAAACATGTATCCTTGTACTATCCGAGTAAAAATATATGTAACTTGTAATCTTGTATGATGAATCGCCTGATATCTAAGTGAAACTTACCCTAAAAAGAAAAACAGTTCACATGAAAAGCATCGAATAATGACAATAAGAAATAGATACTTAACAGAGCTAGAAAACACAATATTATTATAATTTAAAATAAAAATTAATTGAATAAACGTAAATATAGTATAAAGAAAGAAACACACAAGAAAAGTAGTCTGTTTTGGATCTTTAACCAAACGGAACCTCTGTCTGTGTCCCCGCATTGTCCTTTTGTCGATTTTAAAAATTCGGTCACGCCTTTTCACTTCCATACTCCTCATTTTCCATCTCTATACTCTACCACTTTTCTAGATTCTCTATATTTTTATTAAAAAAAAAACAAAATTAATTTTTTGATAAAATTGTAGAAAAATATTTTACTAATCTATATTGTTCACAATGTATCTATATTGTTTGTTTCCATTAGAACTATTAACAAGGTTAAAACAATTATTGAAAGACGAATCGAGTTTGTGCTAGTTGTAGGATCTTCGACAACCGGTTGCATACATTAATAAGCCATGCATTTGTCTTTTTTGCTAGAAATAAATTGTTAATAGTATATACTTAGATATTGTTTGCTATTGCATAAATTGAAACTTAACAACAAGTCAACAACACTCTATCTCTTAAATGTTTGTAATTCATAGACAAATTCAGCAAACCTATTAGATTACGGTAACTACGAGAACATCACTTGGAAAGCAAAGTTAGGAAATTCATATAAGGAAAAAAAAAACAAATAACAAAAAAAGAAGATATTTACTCTAAAATATTATAGGGAGACAAACTTTTTTATGCTGTTATATTTCTTTTATATAGAACTTTTAAATATTTTTTATTTTCATCTCAATGCTGTATATATTAACAGAAAATATATATACTGTTTTGCACTTTTGCTTAAAGAAGAAAATGAGGGAAAATATATAAAAAAGTTTTAAAAAGAGAAAAGATTCTTCTTCCCTGTCCTCGCTCTTAAATGGCAAGAAGGAGTCTCTGATGGGAAGTCCATAACTGAAAAAAGAAAATAAGAGTGAAAAAAATAAAAATTAAATAACGGAACGGAAGAGAGAAAAAATAAATAATATCACTCGGAAATTTTCCACAGCTTTTCTTTCTCATGTTGATTTAGCCCATTCGTAGACTTCCTCGTCTTCCTCCGCCTCCGCGCCGCCGTTAGACGCCGCCTCGGCAGTTTCAGCAACCGCCGTGGTGTTCGTCGTCTTCCAAGGCTCGATTCTCTCCTCTTATCTGGTAAATTTATATTATTATTGGGTTTACTCTCGAGAAGATTCGGTTATACTTGCTGGTAGACTAACTTTTATAATTCGTTTGTTCTGATTTAGTCCTGCTTCTCAAAATTCTGGATAAATTTGCAATTCATTGTCTCAGATCGTATGAGTATTGGATCTGATTTTGAATTTTATAGTTAGAGCTATGTTCATGTTGGAGTTTTTGGGACAACAATCGTTTTTGGATCTAAAGCATTTTTAGATCGTGGAATTGTGAAACTCGATCTACAAAAACAGCTAAAAGTTCAATTGATTTTCATTTGTCAATTGCCCAGGATTGATTGATCATAATAAGATCTCTATGTGTTGTTGTTACATCGATAAATTTAGCTCTGACTTGAAAAGTGAAATATGCAGAGATCTGAATAGAGATATGTTTAAAAAAATGAGTGCAACAAGCAGCAAGACGGATCAAAAAGCGGCATTAGACATTGCATCATGGCTATTCAATGTTGTTACTTCCGTTGGAATCATCCTCGTTAACAAAGCTTTAATGGCTACTTATGGTTTTAGTTTTGGTGAGTCTTCTTTCTTCTCACAACTCTTCCCATAGAAATATATTAGTCAACGGTGGTTGACTTGTTTCAATACACTACTAAAACTGATTTAAGATCTGTTTCTAAATCTTGCACAGCTACAACATTAACCGGTTTGCATTTCGGAACAACCACATTGTTGACAACTTTCTTGACATGGCTTGGTTATATCCAACCTTCTCAGCTTCCTTGGCCTGATCTTTTGAAATTCGTTTTGTTCGCAAACTTCTCCATTGTTGGGATGAACGTGAGTCTCATGTGGAATTCTGTTGGATTCTACCAGGTCAGTCCTTTTTCATCTCTATGCGAATTACGTTTTCTTTAGTTTTAGTTTTTTGGGAAGATCTTGAAACGAGTGTGTTGACATTGCAGATTGCGAAGCTGAGTATGATCCCGGTTTCTTGTCTTCTAGAAGTTATGCTTGACAATGTCAGGTATTCAAGAGATACAAAGCTTAGCATTTTGTTAGTTCTTGCTGGTGTTGCCGTCTGTACTGTAACCGATGTTAGTGTCAATCTCAACGGATTTCTCGCTGCCGCTATTGCTGTCTGGAGCACTGCGCTTCAGCAATACGTAAGCAATGCATGAACTTTAATCTATTGTCAAACTTGGTCAGATCTTGGTCAAATGCATCCTGCTATTGTGATCCTGATCACACATTCATTGTTTATCATCTAACTTAGCTTGTAAACCGAAATAGAAATCTGATTTCTAACAATTGTTACTACACACTCTGCAGTATGTACATTATCTACAACGGAAATATTCACTCGGTTCTTTCAATTTACTGGCTCATACCGCTCCAGTTCAAGCGGCATCATTGTTGTTGGTCGGACCATTTCTAGACTACTGGTTGACAAACCAAAGAGTGGATGCATACAACTTTTCATTTGTATCTCTGGTAAAGTTTCTCTTCTGTTTCTTTACAACGTCTCAAACGATTCAAACAGAGCGATGAGGATTTGGAACATAGTAGTGCTAGTTGTCATACCAATTCATATCTATTCAATTTCAAGAACTGATGACAACCAGTTAGGCTCTTAATTGTTATACTATGTTGGATTTGTCTTTCCTAAGCTCTACCTAACCCAATCTTTTGGGCAGTTCTTCTTAATACTCTCGTGCAGTATCGCGGTCGGGACCAATCTCAGCCAATTCATCTGTATTGGAAGATTCACGGCGGTGTCTTTCCAAGTACTCGGTCACATGAAGACAATTCTGGTTTTGGTTTTGGGATTCACTTTCTTCGGTAAAGAAGGTTTAAACCTACAAGTAGTTCTTGGAATGCTCATTGCGATACTCGGTATGATCTGGTACGGTAATGCATCTTCTAAACCGGGCGGTAAAGAGCGACGTAGCCTCTCTATTCCTATAACCAAGTCACAGAAACTATCTGAAACAAACGAATCTGATGAGAATGTGTAGAAGAAAGAAGTGATCGCATTGACATAGAAACAAAAACAAGAAACTCAGATACAAAACAGGTAGAGTTATCAAATGGGATATTTATTCATAAACAAAAAGAAAAAGGGTTTAAAGTATTTAATTTCCAGAACTATAATTTTCTTTTCTTACAGAGCTTTTTTGTTTTTATGAATTTTACATATTGGTTAAATCCTTTTTTTGCATTTTTGCATTTTTTTGCCTAATCCTCCCAAAAGAAAACATCATCATCCATACGACTGATAATAAGAAAATCTCAATTTTATTTTGTATAACAAATTTTGTCCTCTTATGATTTATTACTGTCACCTGCAATATCCACTTTTGTAGGTATTTTCTTTCGTAACGTGAATATTTATTCTTGGGTCCATATGAGTTTTATCATGACTAAAAGAAATATCTGCATTCAAAATGAACGGAATTATACAATGGTTCCTTGAATGCAATCTTTAGCATTTATTATTGGAGATATCATCATGGTCTTTACGTAATCTTATTTTTTAAAATGTCATCAACCATATCATTCTGTATATCAAGCACATGGACTCACCCCCGTTAATCGCCGTGTTATAAGGGTTTTAGTTCAATAATTCTCTTCTTTTTCTTATCTTTTGACGTCTCTTTTAATTATCAAGACTTTTAAGTTCAGAGTCTTTAAGACAAAAGAGCGAAAGAGAAAATAAACGGGGGCGTGCACACGTGTAAAGCTCAGTGTTAATAGGTAGTTGCGTGTGGAGATAACCGAAACGGGAAAGTTCTAACGAAAACAGCTCTGCTTACGTGTGCGTGTAGTGTTAAAACGGGATCTCTCCTCACACGTGCGTCTGCTATTTGACGTTTGATTGTTTGAAGGACAGAAATGTGTGACTTGTTTTTTTTTCTTTGGG